ATTGCGGCGCTATTGACGAAGGTCTCTCTCGTTGTACCGGATATTTGCGGTAGAAGATCTCTCTGCGATGCGGGACCAGTGACGAGAGCACCTTATTGTGTGACGTGACTCCTGTTTGATACCTCGGTTGACGTCTGTCCACTGAAGATTGATTTGGCATCACATTGCCCGTAGGAAAAGTCGAAGGACGGAATCGGCCGCCGTCAGCTAAGGACAAGCATATCCCATGTAAGGTAAGCGTATGCAGTGTGTCGGGCTAGACGTGGTGTAAGCCGGTCTCGTGGGAACGTCAATCCGAGGCAGACCAGCAAGAAGACTGAGAAGTTATTGGCAGGCAATAAGCGGTTGGGATGTGAGCGAGCTTGTGTATGGATCTGTGCAGGGCGGTCAAGACATGGCAGCTTCGTGGTTGAGCGCTGCGGAGGTACCAGCAGTAAGGAAAAGAAAGAAAGAAAAACAACCCAGTCGACGAGGAGAAGGTTGCCTTCTGTGACGCCACGAGGGCGGTGATGAAGTTCGTTAGCCCGCAAATGACACTGCCAATGGGCAGCTGTCATCGTTGTTGTCCTGCTTGCTGCTTGTCTTGCCCGACTGTCCACCTGGCCGTCGAAGTCTTGATAACTGACGGAAGAGCTGACGAGAAAACAACCGAGTCGATGGCGATATCTCGTGTGTGGAGGCGCTCTCGCAGAACTCGGCCCTGTTGATTGACTTTTCCTGAATGCGATGTCCGTCCTGATAGTGTTTTCACGTCGCATCCACAGAGCAGCCTTGTACAGGTCATGTATCACGAATGATACGATGCCAGAGGCACGAAGGAGACAGAGACGAGGCCAACGAAAAACGTTGGGCATGTAATCTGGTCAAGCGACGGTACTTTGCTCTGGGTAGCGTCGCAACTAGGTAGACCAGCTCTGGGGCAGACGCTTAGAGCAGCGCCAACGCCAGCGCCAGTGTCAATGACAAGTGAAGGGCGAAGGAAAGTGTGGAGAGAGGATCACGATGGATGGGTTTGGATCAGCACTACGGGATACTACATCAGCGTCTGTCCACCACGGATGTGCGTCTGTGTGTTTGTGTGTTTGTATCCGTACGTACCTTGGGCTAAGCAAACGCAGACGAGGGCCTGGTATTCTGTATGTCAAGTATGCGTACAATACAGAGTACACATCACACAGATGGCCTCGCCTTGCCAAAGATGTGCTCTCTGCAAGGTGCCACGGCTCTCAGGGCGGTCCTTTCTGGTGCTGATGCCCCTCGAATCGATGCTTGTGCCAACCCTGCTGCCGCGATCCTCCAGGACCGCTCACTCGCCATCTCACGGGCGCACCCCTTGAGTCCTTGCTAGCTCGAACGGTGAACGACAGGGCATCCCCCGGCTCGATTTGACCCTAGAATGCCACCCCTGCGATTCGAGGTCGACCTTGACTTTTCTTTAGTAGAATGTGCAGCGAGTGAGTGCTGTCACTTTCGTGTTGAGGATGCCCAGAGCGGTCTCGAAGAGTTCGAGGGACAGGTCGTTTGATCGCAACGTCTTGGTAGGCTGTGCGTGCACTCTATCCGGGCGCTGTTTCGTTGTATTGCTCGATAGCTCCTGCATATTCCACGGGGGATGTTGAAGTATCCGATGATCCTGACGGACAGGGGCACACCGTTGCAATGCGGGAAAAGGTGGAGGAGGAGAGCGAGGATGGGATGAGGAGGCGGGACGATTGAAACGAAGGATGCTGGAGAAGACAAGCGGCCGGCATGGCATTGGCATTGGCATGAGCATGGTCGATGGACGACGACAAGACGGGACGCCATTAAGATCGGAGGTCGGAGCTTAAGACATTGGATTTGGATGACACCTTACCTTGCCTTGAAGTCCCGTACGGACGCCGTCTCAGTCTGCGGGAACCTTGAGTCGGCAGGCACCACGCCTCAGTTGCATCAAACGTCTCTCTTGCGGTTTGCCCAGACCGATGGCTATTGCTTTTTCTCTCTCTGCTCGACACAAGAAGGCAAGATTTGCGGGAACGATCCAACAGTGAAGGCCCAGATGCTAGACAGAAACCTGCCAAACTTACAACGCCCCGGACACCAACATCGAAGGCGCAGCCTCGGCCGTTGCTTGTTGGATCAATGCTTCCATTCTGTATGCTTCGCGCCGGGCGTTATTTCCCCCTTTTCTCACAAAACAGCAAGTCGATTCGACCCCGTGCCAGAACTACAGCAGTTGATTGACCTACCTACCTTACCAAAGTCCCCTCCCTAGCTAGGCCGGTTGACATCACGGACGGAGAGACATATGAGACCGAGAAAAGACGACTGTCGACCTAAGGTAGGTACGCAACATCCATCACGATATCAACTCTGTGCTACGCCGCTCATCAACCCCGTCCGCTGGGTTCCCTGCTTGCGGACGCAGCCAATCCGTTCCTTGCCCTCGTGACTTTAGTCCAAGGTAGATGGCACTTGTGAGGTGGTGCGCTCACTGTAAGGGCCTGCCTGCCCATGTCTATCCGAGGGATGATGCAGTTGACGAGTTGCAGCAAAACCTGGTGCAGACCAGCCCAGACCACTTCGGCCCAGCCCAGACCACTTCGGCCCAGCCCAGACCCGACCAGAAGACAAGGGTTCGGGCTCTCTTCCAGTGTTTCCTTTTGTCTCTCGTAGAGGGAACGGATACTCCGTACGTATGTACGTCTGGTCTGTTTGATGCTTGATGATGATGCCAAATGCTCCCTAGGTATGCTGGAGTGTCGGGGACGGACGGGTCGTGACTGGAATTACCTCACTGCTCATTTGCTCACAACTCACCCTCCACAGGATGGATCCATATACCAGTCATCATCATCGTCACTATCCCTTTTCTCCCCCGTCGACGTCTCCATCCCGATCCCCATCTCGCTGTGATTGCTTGTGCAGTGTTCCATGCTATCAGTCTGGCACCGCGGCCAGGGCGCCGCTATTGCCGTTGGTCTTTCAATATTCCCACCATCAGCATCATAATCACCAACGCTATCATGTCATGCCATACCGGACTGGACTACAAAGTCTGTACCGTACCGGTAGCCCCAACCAACCATTCGGCGACATGCCACCCCATCCATCCCCATAGCATCACACAATGGAATTAAAACGGCCACCGTCTTTTGCCATTCTTTCTTCTCATCTACCCTGTCTTCTGTTCTACCTCACCATGCCATGCCTTGCCTTACATGAGCTGTACGTATCTTACCATGCCCGGATTCCTGTGTAAGTCGAGATTGCGGATACGGCTGGTTTGTGTCACTATCCGTATGCTGGACCTGGGTATCCGTAACTGGAATGGGGACTGTATGGTGCTGGACGAACCCTGGCTACCGGCGTCGGTCGCCCTTCATCGTGTCGCAGCCGTTGTGATATTGGTGCCGGGTCTTGATTTTACTCCCGAGTCTTTTCGCTGGTGATGGATCAAATGCTGGTGGTGGTGGTAGCGGTGCCGTCGCTGCTCCGGGGTCGTGTCATGGCCATGGATGCTAGTTTCCATTGCCCATGCTGGTGCAACCATCGCTACCCCAGAACAACATGCGCATCCTATCTCGTTGTCTGTTATTCTGCCATCCTGCATCGACGGAACTTGACTGGCCCTCATATGCCCCTGTGTCTCCCTGGCCCGTTTGGCTCCTCTCTTTTGTTTCTTTCTTTCCTTCCTTCTTCCCTCCTCCTCTCCTCTTCTCTTCATATCTATCCCTTCTTCCTCTCCAAAACTGTCGGTCCAGAATCAGAAGGCTGAGCAGACGCAGACGCAGACTTGTCTCTCGAACGGGATCTTGTTCATCATCCATCGTCTCCCAGGCTCGACCGTGATACTGGGCCTCCCTCCGCCCTACTCAGCTACCGTACCTTACCCTCCGATCCCTAGCTGCGGCACGGCACTGCAGACTCACATCACATCACATCGATTCCATCCCATCCACATCCACATCGGCCAGCCTTTTCGTCAACCACCACCCACCAGACGGTTCAGCTAAGCCCAGCCGGTACCAAGCATCAGCGCCATACCCAAATCCAACAGTTCACACCCTCCTCGGTCTTTTCAGTTTCTGTTCCAGCTCGGGACGAAAAGAGAATCCGACGAACCATCGGCGGAGAAGAGCAATTTGCACGGCGAATAAGCGACGAGGCCAGACTGGGCCGGGCCTAACTAATTAACAATAGCGAGCATCCATCGTCCATCATCACCACCACCACCACCACCACCCTCACACACTCACAGGAACTGGGACTCGTTCGTTCAGTCGACGGTGAACCCCAGAGTCGATCGAACAAATCGCCAGGCTCGAGAGACGCAGGAGGAAGGGACAGGCCAGACGCACCCCGGAAACCACTGGTCACATTGTTGTTTCTTTTTTGGCCCTTGAGCGGACCATCGAATTCTGCAATATTCCCCCCTGGACCCGGGCTTTTCATTCGTCGTCTCGCACCTTAGCTGAGGTACGGGCGAGTACTTGGGCAACGGAAAGCAGCACGATACTTGTTCCTGCGGGTGTTGTATCCGTACCTGGTCCTGGAGGCGTTTGTTGAGTCGTCTTTTCACAATCCTGTCCAGTCCGGGTTCAATTCCAAGGTTGTTTTGAGGGCGGCCGTTGATTTGTTGTCTCTTGTATTATTGCATCTCATCGCATCGCATCTCATTGCATCGTCCGACTCCGTAGCTCCCCCCTCCTGTCTCTCTGTGTCCGATCGACCCATTAATCACCCCGTCTTCTTTTCTTTTTCCTTGCTTATTCCTGCCCGTCCGTACATTCTTCCCTCTCGATCATCATCCCTTTGCTCCAATCGAGCACGGCAGACTGGGCGTGGCCCGTAGCATCTGTGTCGTCAGCAACGTGGAAAGCAAGAAGCAGCAATAGCGCCAGGCCGTAAGCTCTTCTTCACACCGACTGGTCGTCTCGACACCAGTAAAGGGTATCGACAGAAGGGAATATCCAGACCGAGAGCCACGGGCAGAGGAGCAATACAGAAACGAGGCCATGTTCCAGCCTCAACCCACGCCATTTGCGTCGTCTTTTCACGCACAACCAACCGATTCTCACGCCCACGCCCACGCTCATCTTCACTCTCATCCTCAGGCACATCTACCGCGGACGCAACACCGGGCTTCTCATAATGTTGTGGGATACGGCATGGGTATAGGAGGAGAGATGGTGGCAGGATCAGACATGGGAGGAGTCGAGGGGACAGAAGGAGGAGGAGGAGGAGGAGGAGTGGGAATGATGGCAACAGGAGGAGTAGGAGGAGGAGGAGGAGGCATGAACAACTACAGCTTCCCGGCAGACACAGGAGTGATGGGAGTGCAGGTGGCATCATCGTCGGATGCGAACTGCATGGGAATGGGCCTAGCTGCAGCGGCAGCAGCAGGTGGCCATCACGGCCATGGCCAGAGCATGGGAAGTCCCTTGGCTCACGGAAGAGGCCACAACCACAACGGCCTGGGACTGGGCGGAATGAGCAGCAACAACATGAACATGGGGATGACGGGAATGAACATGAACATGGACATGGGTTTGTTGCAATCGCAGTCGCAATCGCCGTCGCAGTCGCTATCTCTGGGCGGGGTTGGGGAACCCGCACCTGCTGGAGCCGCTGGGGCTGCAGCTGCACCACCCGCTGTGGCCCGGCCACCTGCTTCCAGGTATTCTGGGTCCCGAAGGTCCAGAGGGGCAGGCACTGGCATACCTGTAGGCACAGGGGCAGCTGCAGCACTTACACCACCCGAAGGCCTGTATTCCACGCCCTCCCCCGCCAGCCGAAGCGGAAGTCACCTGGACCTGGACGCCTCTAACGGCGGCGGCGGCGGCCACAGCCACAGCCCTGGGGCGTCTTCCCGGTCTTCTCATTCCCATCGCGCCGGAGCTGGAGCTGGAGCTGGAGCTTCTTCATCTTCCTCCTCCACCTTTTACAATCCGTCCATCTCCAACTCCAATCCCAACACCAACACTGCTCCCGCAAGCGCTGCAAACTCCGCGAGCACTCGTCCGTCCACCATGGATCCCGGCGACTCTTCCGATTTCGCCGCTCAGGAAGCCGCCGCCCGGGATTACCAACCGCAGCTCGAGGTAATCACGTCCCGTCCATATCAACCACCATCTCGGCTTTCCATTCCGTGAATCGCGCGCTGACTTTCGGCTCCTAGGGTCCATTGGTGGGCGACAAGACTACGAGCGATGCCATTACCGACGAGTACGCTAAGGCCGACGATGTCTACGTCGCCAAGACTATCGTGAGTGCTGCCCTTGCCCATCTCCGTGTCTTCGCCCTCGCCCTCGCCCTCGTCCTCGCCCTCAATAAACACGACAGAAGCTAACCAGAGGCCTCGCTGCCGCCGACTCCAGGCCCTCCCGCAAACCTACTCGCACTACCGACCGATTCAAGGCGACGGAAACTGCGGCTGGCGAGGTGAGTTTACCTTTCGCGATCCACGTCTCGCCATTTCCACCACTACCTTACCTGTCCCTACCCCGCATTCCCACCCTCGACACTTCGAGCTTCTACGAACCGGAAGCTCCCAAGCACGACACTTCGCAGGCTAGCTACACGACTCTCGTCATGTGGGAAGAAGAAAGTCAAGCTGGGAATCCTTCATGGTGCTCTGTCAAGCTGTTGTCCGTCGTTGGCTAATTGCTTCTACTACAGCTATTGGGTTCTCTTACTTCGAGCATCTAGCCAACAACGGCGACCACGACCAGATCCTCGGCGAGGTTGCGCGCATCACCAGCCTCAACCAATACCTCCTGAATGTCGGCGGCTACGATCGGATGCTGTTCGAAGACATGGTCGACGAGACCATCGCTCTGCTGAGAGACCTGGCAGACAACATCAGCAACCGCCAATTGGTCCAGCAGATCGTCATGCAGCGCTTCAACGACCAAGATGTCTCCAACGCCATCATTTACCACCTTCGGCTTCTCGCCAGTTCATGGCTGAAGGGCAATTCCGAAGACTACGCCCCCTTCATCCCAGGCGACCTGGGTGTCTTCGGCTACTGCGCCGAGCTCGAGCGTCCTAACGTAGAGATCGAGCATCTCGGCCTGCAGCTGCTTGTACAGGTCTTGCTGAAACCCGTCAACATGGTCCTCGAGATTGCCTACCTTGATAGAAGCGCCGGTAGTCAGGTCAACAGCTACCGCATCCCCAACGAGGCCATGAGCCAGGACCCTGCCAACCTTGGCCCAATCATATACCTCTTATACCGCCCCGATCACTACGACATTCTTTACAAATCTCCCCCGAACCCAGCTCCCCACGCCTTGAACCTGCAGGTCAACCGAGCGACGTCTTTCTCTCACCGACAGGAGATTATGAGTGTTACTCCGTCGCTGCAGACCTACACCAACATGGACTACAGCCCATTGGCCATGCTGCCCGGATTTGGCGGCCCGCCTTCCGGCCTGTCCTCTGGCCTGTCCTCTGCTCTATCCTCACTAGGCTCGCCCGCCTCTGCCTCACCGATGCCAGACGCTTATGATGCTCCACCTCAATCCCCCTGGATGCCCGCCCCTTACTCCGACCATCTGCAGCAACAGCCGCCGCCGCAGCAGCAGCAGCCCGTACCGACTCCTCGCCCACAACCGCAATCGACACCACAGCCACAATCTCAGCAGTCGACCCCTACCTCTGGGAAACCATCGCAGCCTGTGGACTACCAGTTGAGGTTCAGTCACCAGTGCTGGCACCTCAGCAACTCCGGCTCGTCGCAACCGTCGATGCTGCCCTCCCAGTCAAGTTTTCCGGAGCCAAGTTTCACCACGGCCATGTTCAAGAACAGCCATTTCAACAAGGCGCACTACCAAAACCCGCAGTTCCATCCGGAGGAATGGACTCCGGATGATGAAGGGCACGAGAGAGTTCCGAGTGCGAAGAAGAAGGGAAGAGTCAAGTCAGAGCACTAGACGGTCACCATGGGACAACGGCACCATTAGATCGTGACCTCGACGTGCCAGTGTTTTTTGCGAGGTGTTCATCGCGCGGCTTCCGGCAGAAGGAATGCTGTTATGGCAGCCGTAGGGAATGAGATGAAGAGTAGATGGCTTCGACAATCGGCTGGGGGGCACAGCAACTACGCGGCCGAGATATTCGGGACGGGCAACTTTTTGGGGGCCTGGCGAAGGGTCAAGGGCTTTGCATTTTTGGGCATTAAAACCGTTCTGTTGGCTTACTGTGATTTTAATATTCTTTTCGCTCACGGGGAATGGAATCATGACTTATGAAGGGAGGTCAGTTTCACGGCTTTGGCGGAACGGCTCAATCCTGGGGTTGATACTCATCATAGCATCGGCGTTGATTAATCGTAGTAATAACGGTTGTATTCTCCTGAAGACGAGATATACCACATTTGCCCGCTTCACTTCACCGACGGGTACCGCGTGCCTCAGCCCCGTGTCCACAGCCCGTAGCGGTACGAAGACACAGCAAGTCCCGACGCCCCCCGGACGTTCATCGCTGCGGCTGTCCGGTGTCGATCAGGGCGGACTTTCAAGATGGCTTGTCTGCCGGCGGCAAACCCTGGAGAAACCATCGAAAGTCTCCCTTGCGATGAACAGCCAATCCAGAGACACGGATCTCATCTCCGAGCCAGTGAGGAGCAGACGCCTTTGCACCCCTGAAACCGCGTGCTTGAACGCCCGCTAGCCAGATCATCCCCCCCGGCATTGGCATTGCAGGGCACGGCAGGGGATCGGCGAGGTCCAGGACTGTCTTATCTCCGTGGGGGGCCTGGGAGCGAACGGGCGAGCGAGTGCTCCGTACGTGCTTGCAAATGCGGATACGAGTATCCAGAGTCCAGACATGGGCTTCAGATATCGCGAGGAGACTGGGCTTGGATGTGTTGTTCATACATGGCTCACCGGGACGCGCCCGCCAAGCATCTCGATCCATCGGCTCTGGACGTTTTGGCGGTGACCGGGCCTTTGGCTGTTTCCGGGACGGGCTCTGGACAGTGGGCTCCATGGGAGGTAGGTTGGTTCGGTTGTCCGGGGATGGCTGGCCCGAGGTTTCTTTCTACTGCTCGGCAGGCAGACGGGTTTGCTGGTCAAAAGTACCCCGCAGCCTGGAGCCTGAAGAATCAACAATATGACGAGTCGTGGGTATCATTGAACAATGGACAGGTGCATGTCATACACACAAAAGTCGCAATCCTTCAAATCATGCAAAACAGGACCAGGACCGCCTTTCGGGCCTGGCACGCGAGGCCTAAACCCGGTCCGGTCCGAGAACCGTGGTGGATACTGATAACGGCACGCTGGGAGGAAATGGCAAGGCTCTCTCTCTCTCTGCAATCCAGACGTTCCAGACCTCTTGCCCCCGTCCAAAACTGCCGTGATCACCCAGCATCCCATCCTCACATCACAACTCCCGGGTGAACACCAACCAATGAACCCGTCAACGTGCTTCTCCCAACGAGGGGAGGGGGGTGGAAGTGAAGACAGGACCCGTTCAAAGACGATGATACACTGTCCCATCCGCCGCCTTCACCCCCAGCCTCTTCGCAAACTCGACTACCCACCGCCGCGCATACCACTCCTTCGTCTCCGCACTCTCGTCACGCGTCCTCCTCCTCCACTCCTCCCACGCCGTCGGCCCGACCTCGGCACGCACGCTCGTCGCCGTCTTCCCGTCCAGCCCGCACGGCACAAACCTCGCCCAGGGGTTGACCCGCTCGTCCCCCTCAACGACGACATCCACGTTCAGCGCCGTCCCGAGACCCGAGACGTGCCGGCGGAGGTGCACGCCCACGGCGGCCATCTTGCGCTCCTGCCCGCGCGACCGCGCGGCCGAGGACCACACGCCAGGGTCTTCCTCCGACAGGTAGGTGGGGACGGCGGCGGGCCCCCCCTCGGGAGAGGCGAGGACCGCTCGTGTTGTTTCCTCGAGGAGGCGGGCGTAGGAGCGGACGGTCTGGGGCGGGTAGTAGACGCTGCGCAGGTCGAGGATGGGCCAGAGGACGACCTGGCCCGGGCCATGGTAGGTCGTCAGGCCGCCGCGGTCTGTCTCGACGACTTCCGGGGTGAACTCCTCGGTGTTTCCGTCGTCGAGGGCGACCGAGAGGGGTTGTTTCAACCTGGCCAGCTGCTCCTCCCTCAGCGATTTCTGGCGTTTTCCCAGGGTGTATGTCGGTTTCGGGGTGAAAGAGACGACGAGCGGCGACGGGGCGCGGGGCGTCGGGGCGGATTTCCAATCGAGGAAGGCCTGGCGGAGGGATGTTTGGAAGTCGGATGCTGCGGTGTACGAGGGGAACGCGGCGCCGCTCGGGTCGCGGGTGAGGTGGATGTGCCTTACGGCGCTCGGTTCGGCTCCGTCATCTGGGAAGACGAGCTTGGAGGCGATGGGCTGCGAAGAGCTCCATCGCGTCTGCGTCTGCGTCTGGATGCCCGCTGGAATCGAGGTTCGGGGTAGGTGTCGTGTCGAGCAGGCGCAGAGGTGGCGTAGGGCTCGCATTGGCTGTTTTCTTCTGTGTGCGGGCGGTGGTTGGACGTCAGGTAGGGCTGAGGTGATGAGGTGAAGTTTCTTTGGAAAGCTCTCGTCCGAAAAGAAGCTTCCAGGTTGAACAGAGTTTCGCGGAACGAGCCGGCTTGAAACGGCGCCGCTCGTTGTGGAGACGGCATTTTGACGGCGGCATCTTATCGATAACAGTGCACGGACCATACGAGAACTGGGATGCCGATCCTCCAACATCGAGACATCGAGAGGTGACAGTGACATGCACTTGGCATTGAAGCCGCGAAAGGAAGGTTCCTGGGGAAGCCCTGGTCAGGAACTTCTGCGAACCAAAGAAACATAAAGTATGGGCGACTTCCACCAATTCAAGAGCAGTATTTGCTGTAGCATCGATGGAGATGTCATACGCTAATGCGCTACCTCAGTTCAGCAAGAATCTCAGTAATGAGAACTGATTCTGTCCGGGTTTCTCGTTTCCTGTTCTTGTCATTGAGTTGCGTGATCAATTGCTCTTAATCTTATGTACGTATCCAAACTTTCTCGTTCACCGAGTCAAACGTAAACGGAGCCATCTCGCTATCAAGCGGGTCGTAAACCCCGTCTGCGTCGTCCACCAGTTCATCTAATCTCCATCTAACCCAAGGATTCATAGATCTCTCGGTGGATCTCCGGTATGAAGTTTGCTACTGCTTTCAAAACACGTGCTTCAGTTCCAAAGTGAAGGTGGAGATGTCCGCGCCAGACTCTCGCAGAGCATCCAGCTGCTCCTTGACCTTGGGGTCGTCAAGCGCAGTCTCAAGGACCTACACAGAAGAGTCAGTCATTATGAACACCATGTAACGGCATGCAGTGTGACAGCTTCAAAACATACCTCGAGCGAGCTCCATCCGCTAAACCCGGCGAACTGGCCCTCGACGTTCTGCAGCCCATCACCATAATGGAACTTGACGCCATCCCCAGCTACACCAGAGAAAGCAGCAGTGACATTCTCCCACTGCTTCTTCGCCTGAAGGACCTGTTCGCCGTCTCCGATAGCCTTGATGACGAAAAAGTGCGTGGTGCCCTGGATCGTCTTCTCCACAGCAACACCTGGGGCAGCGTCAAAGAACTGGAGTACAGGGGGCCCTTCGTTGTAAGCACTCAGAGACTGTTTGAATTCGGCGAATTCTGGCTTCTTCAGGAATTCCTTGATCTTCTCGAAGCTTTCCCATGCTAGATAGAGGTCGGTTCGGTCAGCACAGAACATGGCCCGTGGTCGGAGGGTAGGAAACGTACTGATGACGGCCATGTATCCGCGATGATCTTCGGCATCAGCTGGGCTGCTTTCAAGCACTCGAGCCAGTGAAACCGACATTGGACCACCGTCATTATGGAAGATTGGCCTCATCAAGTCGGGGACCTTCTCGAAGAAGCCAGCTCTCGCCTCCTCGGTGTTCTTGAGGGGCGGAAAAACAAGTTCTGTGATGGCCATTGTGGTGAATGATGCAATTGAAAGCTTTGCAGTCGCTTTTAAAAGGTTTGATGTTCTTGTCTAGAGCTGTTCGGAGCGGTCGTAGACGAGTATTGCTTGTTGATGCTCTGGACTGTGAGTAGTCTGGTCTGAGGATGGAGCGACAGTATGGCTTTATACTTATGAACCACAGGGCATTCGCTTCCATGAATTCCTGTGAACTGGCTACTGTGCCTCCACGACTGTCATCTTCGAATTGTTGGTCAGCGAACGTGCAGAAGTCGTGTAAGACGAGAGCGGACTGAAGTGGGGCCGTAAGCAGCGCCGCGGAGCCGAGTGGATCACAACCTCCGCGGAGCATCAGCGTGATCTTACAGCCTGGACAGCTCCTGATATTCATAGAAGATTTTATCAATTATTTTGGAGAACTCAACATGTACGCTTGCTATCCTCGAAGCAACGTGTCTTCCCGTCTCACAGCATCCACGCCTTTGCAAGCAGCCACAAGCAAGTCCCGAAGTCTCCCGTCATTCCCGCCAACCGCCGGCGTCAACCCTCTCTCCCATTCGACCACATAGTCAGGATACAGCATCAGTTTGTGGTTTCCAGACAGGCTCAGCGGCACAAATATACGAAAAAGATCGTCCCATACGTCGCATGTTCCGTAGCAGATAAACGAGTGCACACCGCGGACTGAATAGGACAAAAGGATCGTCCGATACGCCGTCTCAAGAAGGCCCGCATTGCTTGCAGGCAGATCAGGTCCTACAGCGGCGGCACCGCCGTTTATAGCGGGTAAATTCTGCATGATTTGGACCTGCAACTGGAGCTCCCTCGTCCAGGAGGCGAATAGTGCTTCATGCTGTGCTGACTTTTTGAGATCTCGGACTTTGTTGCTGAAGAGCCAGATGATTTGATACATCGTCATGGCCTGGAGCCGCGCGATGCTTTCCTTGATTGCCATCTCCAGCTCGTATCTTTGGCCCGAAGCGCTGTAAATCGGTGAATGTGTGGACGAACTTTCGAGATCCCGCAGTTCGTGATCAAGTAGCTGGTCGAATATGGGTTTCTGGGTATCGGCAAGGGTTTCGTGTGCTGCACAAATACCCAGGGCCTTTCCCAGCGCTGGATGTAGGTCACTGCGGACCACATCCGGATCCGTGGGTACCATCATCGGCGAGGTACCAGTCTTCGCATAGAGCGAGATGTACGAGAGCATTTCGCTAGCACAGAATTCCCACGTCTCAGCTTCCTTCGACCTGTTAAAGGGGTTGAGAGAATATGTTGGAAGACCGCTACCACTCCCAGAGGACACTAACACTCGTGCGTTTCCGGCAGAACCCTGTAGAGACTGTCTATGACGCACACTCCGTTTCTTCAGTCTTCTCTCTTGCGACGACGATGTTGAACTTGATGTGCGGCGTTCCGTATGATGCTCAGCTATTCCTCCATGGTCAAGGTGTGATATGTCCTCAGATCCTGGGAACCAGTCCGCAGCGACATCGTCAAAATCCAGTCCAAGAGGCTCAAGATTGAACAGTTCGAGCTGAGGACCTATATCAACTCGTCCAACAACATCTGTAGTTTCTTCCATCAAGTCAACTGGGAGGTCTGGGAACTTCTGCGAAGATAGATCTTGCGGAGCGTCATTCGCAGGGGGGAAGAAATCGAGGGCAACAGCAGGAGGGTAGGGGTATTGGCACTCGAGAGACTGCTTGGAGCATCTTCGACATGCAGGCCATGCCCTGTCACAGCGCCTCTTGGCCTGGACGCAGGCCGAGCAGGAGGTCTTCCGGAGAGACATGCGGGCAAAGGTGGATTGGTCGGGGGGAGAGAAAGTGCCGTGCTGTACAGTGCAGCTGAAGGTGATTGACTCACGTATGTCTTTTTGAGATGTTTATTAGAAATCTCACCTCATCTCGAGTTAGTCTTGTCCTTTTAGTCAGCCTCCGGCCGACCCCGGGTAGTCCCGGGTCAGCAACGGGACAGCTCCGCCGTTGGATCCACAATTGTCCGCAGTCCACATCACGAGAGTGCGGAGTGGCTTCAGCTCTTTCTAGTGTGGGCGGCTTAGTGAGGACAGATCAAAACAAGGTCAAGAGATGAAGCCTGGTCATCGATCAGCTTTCAGCATAGTCGGTCGCGTCTTTTATCACCAAGAAATCGTTGTTCCAGTCTATGACGCGAGGTGCCTCAAGACTATAATGGCTTTCGGTGCTTCAAAGCCGATTTCCAGTTGAGCAACTGTTTTATCGGCGGTCTGAAGTGTTGACTCTCGAAATCACTTCGCGGGAGTTGGTGACAAAATGGGTACTGCCCTTTCTAGCGTTTTGACCACATCGAAATCGTTCCAGAGGACCAGAGGTATATTCTCATTCTATTTCTGAAGGAAACTCATAGGTTCATGAGTATTCTCGTGTGAATTCCAGATCAAAGCTGAAATCAATTGACTCATTATTGGCATCAACGGCGGCAAAGTTCGAGAAGCGGATGCTCTCACAATTGGTCCCACGAACATAAACCAGAACCATGTTCAGTTCCACTGACTTTCTAAGACATCATGTGTGACTTTTGAAACTTTACACATTCGCCATTTGTTTCTCTCTTGTTGTTTTGCTTTGATGTTATCGAGAAAAGTCCCCTGAAACTCTGGGCAGTTAGTCGACCTTGCACTTACTTCCACACATCAAGACCTCCGCGATGAGCGTTGAGAAGCTTCGCTCTCCTGAGCCTGCCACGACCCATAACAGTCTCATCCGAACCGCAGTCTATCAATTCATTTCCATCTAGTCAGACTTTCAGAGCAAAACGAAGTTGCGAATGGTCGATAGACTAATCAAAACATGAATGATCAACTGATGTGATGTTTTGATTATCAGGTACACCTTTCGAGTACGCCTTGCGAAGCGCCTTAATCAACTGAGGCAATCCCTCACCATATCATGTTGACTAAATTACACAAGAGAAACTGGCAAACCTTATTTCCTATCATAGCTATCAATCTTATCAAACTCGGGATTTGGGACGATGACGTTGCCGTACAGAACGCACCCTCGGATGCTCAAACACCGACGTCCTTGCAAGCATAGTACCCCACATGGCCGCATCTTCAAGTCACTGCAACAGAAGCTCTTGGTCATCCACTCAATTTGCACGGTAAATGTAGGCTGATTAACGGCATATATTCGTTTCAACCAAAAGTATGCCTCTCAGTCGCGGGGTTCAATGGGACTTTGACATGCGGGGTAGTAGTAACAGCCAGCCGGCGCCTACGCTGCCTACTTCGGAGCTGAAGGATCAAAGCCGAGATAGATGTCTTATCTGACATGCACCCGAGCAGATGCCCAGACTTCCCGTCCGTGATTTGCATATTTGACGCGAGGATGTGACCACAGAGATAAATAGTGACGGCCACTCGCATGTTTTTGCCCTGGGTTCCGAAGTCAATTATGTTGTCTCATCGTCGTCCTCGACTCACAACAACAATAACAACAACAACCATGGTGTCCAGAGTTGTCGCGACTCTTCTGGTCTCGGCCAATCTTCTCACCGCGGGCAACTGCCTGCGTGAGTCTACTAATCACGATCCAGCGCCTTACATCAACCCTTCGTCTACCTTTCAATTGGAGAAGGCAACATACTTCATCCCCGAGTCGCCCGTTGCCCGTCTCGAGTTCCCTGCCCACATCCGGGTCATCAACCTCCAAGCCGGTGCCTCACAGTCGCTTCTAACAGTTTTCACAACAAACACGGCCACCATCGACTCCGAGGCCCTCCAATCCTGGTCAAACCAGTACGCCAACCTCGACGATGTCTGGACTCCGGCCTTCCTCGACACCGTGGCCCTCAAAGCGCCGGCCAACTCAACCCTCACCCCCGACGGCTACGACTGGCTCGCAGAGCAAGGTGTAAAGCAACTCCTCCACCCCACAGATCTTCAAAGTACCGCCGCGCCGCAGTCCAACATCATCAGACTCCCAGCCGAGGAGATCCCTCAGGACCTCAACCCGGGTCCTTACGTCATGGATATACAAAACCACCAGATCACGTTCCGCGAGGTGTACCGCATGTACGAGGACCAACTTCAGGCCTTCACCCAGGGCGTCGTCCCTCTCGCGGGCTCGACCGCCTTCTCTGCCGTCAGCTTCCACGACTCCAGCACACAGGCGCTTCTGGTCCCTGTGCCTTCGCGATTGTATAGCTTGCACGACACCAGACCCCTGGCGGGCCTGCGCATGGCCGTAAAGGATCTCTTTGATGTGGAAGGAATCAAGACGGCCGGCGGGTCGCGGGTGTATCTCGAGATGTACCCGGCGCGCAATAAGTCCGCCGTCGCGGTGACCAAGCTTCTGGAGCTCGGCGCGGTCGCAGTTGTAAGTGTCCTTTCCGTGTCGAACTCGCCGGTTTCACTCATGCCTTTCTGCAGGGCAAAACCAAGACGAGCCAGTTCGCCTTCGGAACTGAGCCGTGGAAGTGGCAAGACTTCAAGTACCCCTGGAACCCCCGGGGCGACGGCTGGTTGGACGTCGCGTTCTCATCGTCAGGCAGCGGTGCTGCGATTGCCGGTTACGACTGGATCGACTTTGCCATGGGCAGCGACACTGGCGGTAGCGTCCGAATGCCGGCGGCTCTGGGAGGGAGTTATGGGATTCGGCCGACTCACAATGGCATGAGTCTTACTGGAGCGTTGCCGTTGGCAAACCCGTTTGATACGGCTGGCATCTTTGCGCGTGACCCTAAGCTGTTTGCTGGTATAAGTCGTCACTGGTGAGTCTCTCAGGGTGTTGGACCGTTTCCCGGTCTTACCAGTCTCATGCTTGCTCTTGTCATACTGCATAAGGAGCATCAGCAACTCGCGGTGTTAACCACGTTCAGGTATGCCGATGGTCCATCGCAAGCGGACAAGACTTTCACCTCCTTTCCAAAGAAACTGCTGTACCCGGTCGACTACCTTCCCCTCGCAAACCCCGACGCCCAGGCCGCATTCGATTCCTTCATCGAGACATTGGAACAAGAATTCGACATGCAAAAGCAGACCATCAACCTCACCGCAACCTTCGCCGAGTCGGACAAACCGTACATCGCCAACGCCGCCAAAGAAATGGGCGGCGCCTTCAACACGATAGTCATGTGGGACTCCTGGACGGACCTCGGAAAAGAGCTCGTATCGCGGTGGAACGCGACCTACCCGGACGCCGGCTTCCCTCCCTTCGACAACGAGACCCGTTCCAACTACGCCCGAGCGCGCACCTCGACGCAGGAGATCTACGACGAAGCCGTCAAGCGAAAGGCGGACTTCCGCGAGTACGCGGAGGACGCCTTCATGCGGCCGTCGGATGAGACGTGCTCCGAGTCGATCATGGTTCTCGAGTCCGGCGCCGGCGGTCTGCCGTCGTATCGCGAAGAGTTCCTGAACCGGCAGCCCGGGGCCGGATTCCTTTACATGACGGACCCGAAGGAGTGGTTGACCCCCTTGGTCATCTCGCCGCTGATGTCGGCTCCGCAGATTAGTGTCCCCATCGGTCAGGTCACGTATCAGAGTTCGATCAGCTTGCAGACGGAGTATCTCCCTGTGGTGATTGATTTCATGGCTCATAACGGATGTGATGGCATGTTGCTGAGTCTGGTTGAGGCGTTAGCGGAGAAGGGGTTGGTGAAGACGGTTAAGACGGGGCGGACGGCGTTCTAAGATGCGGTTCCTTGCTTGATAGAGGGTCGAAGCATAGGGGATGACCTGATAAACTGCAAATCAAGAGAATTCAACACACTGAAGTTTGCCTGGCATCCCTATCGGACGTCAAGCCTCCCGAAATGACCACTCGGCCCCGTTCAGATCGGCCGGGACGGCTTTCGGTACGGCAGAGAAATCGTCCGGATCGGTCCGGGAACCCAACGTCAGCGTGCCGTCAGTATGAAATGAGCGAAAGAGGCACCTGACAACAATGTACAGCGTCATGGTGAAAAGGCGCGATTGAATCACGGACGAGGCGCTATCACCAAGCCATCGATCATGATGGCATCAAATGCCAACTCCCCAAACCCAAAACATATGTCATCAAAGGCTCCATGGTGCGCCGAGCCAGCGCCAGCGCGCCGCCATGTGGGGACGCCGCTCTTATTGCCGGTCGATCTGGCGCTGGCGGGAGAGACACCGCGAACTGGAACACGCACTCGTCCAGGGGTGAAATGTCTTATTTGTCACCTGTCAATCATGATGCTCCCCCTCCAAGGCGATCCCGAGAGCGAGGTGGCAGCGCATCTGTCAAGATGCTAGGACAGAGGGTGTCACCCGTCCGTCCCATCCGAGAGGTGAGGTGACGCGAGCACGACGGGCTCAGCCCCCGTGTGCAAGCTGATGGCGACGGGTGAGATGGAGATGCCCTCAGCACACCGCATCTGAGCCACAGTTGTACACCTCAAAAGCCGCGCAATAAACATTTTGCGGGACCTCACACATTCAAGAGGTCTCGTGGGATTGGGCCGCAGATCTCATCGAAGGGTCCTGTCCTCGGAGCAGTGGTTCTTGGTAGACCAGGGGTGTTCCTGCGGGTGCTGCGGCTTGGCCTTGGAAGAAGAGGGCAGAAAGCAAGAAGTTGGATCCCGGCGTGCATAATAGACCCTGCATCTGCGTCTGAATCTCAAAGTCCAGAAGGTCACATGTGGCAGGGAAGAAACATCGTGAAAAGAGAAAGAATACTGACAGCACCAACCAACCGTCCGCTTTGGCAGATGGATGCTCGTGCGGCAGCGGGCTGGAAGAGACGACAGTTCGGAACAGACCAATTTCCATCCGAACCTCGAGGGAAACCTAGTCCCGGCCATCCCAATTAACATTGACGACCTTATTTTGATGACCCGATCTGTTGGCCGCGAGCAACCAAACCAAGCACGAGCTAATTGAGCTACGTTTACGGAGTACCAACCGAAAGCAGCCAACGAGGAAGACGGGTCGGTTTCAATTACCTCGTATCCCCTGTCACGTTGAAAGAGCTGGAGGCTGGAGGGTTCAAGGGGAAAGGGAAAGGTGAAGAAACAGACCGAGGGAAAAAGAGAGAAAGAAAGAAAGAAGGTGCGGCCGTGGCCGTGGCCCGCTTTGATCAGAGGATGACGTCGTCTCAGGAAGCGGGGAGGGCTGGCCAGATTGTGGCCCCTGCGCTGGCAGCCCACCTCAAATTGACTACGGCGCCCGTGCGCGACGAATCAGCAGCTTTAGGGAAGGCGCTAACGATGTTTGTTGCCCAGCAGGGTCTTGGACTAAGTGGGTCGTACTGTTTGCGCCGAATTAAGCACTGTCCTTTGGTATGAACTCCACAGGCAGAGCACAGTGTGGGCCCGGCAGTGGCTCGGTGGTGTCGTCATGGTCCACGATGCGCTGTCCGCTGTTCGTCCAGCAGGCCTTGCCTTGCAGCTCTCACTGAGCCATCCAGCAGCTACTGGCATTGGACTGAATATCTGCTTTACTGAGAGAAGTGAGCCAACAGACAGACCGGGGTTTCCCTCTTGCTCCCCGCTAGTTTGGCTTCGCATCCCGGCACACGTAAGGCAACTTTGGTTTTGCATCATCTGATTGCTCACCCGTCATCCAAATTCTTTTCTCTCTCTCTTTTCCCCTCTCCTGTCTGCTTCATCAAAGCTCCTGCGTCTTCTACATCCCATCTCGGCCTCCAGCCAACCGACGAATCACCTACGACAGACCGTACATAATAACACGCGATCCCTACACATAGAGAAGAACAAAAACACTCGGCCGAGGACAAGGGTCGCATCCAAGCCTGGAAGAAACAAAACCCACCCTAGCAGCATTTGACTGAAACATCTCTGCGAATCCGGTACGTCGGCCCAATTCACCCCTGTCTGTCACCCAGCTTCCAGTTCTCTCCAAAGAGACCACCATTACTCGCGCGTCTCTGTCTACACACTACGGATACCGTCACCTGTCACTGCCCCGTACACCGAACACCCCCGTTGCGCAACACGGCCTAGTGTCACCTCCCCCAAGACAAGAAAACACTCGCTGAGTACAAATCAAACCAGACCACCCTCCAACACCCCCGTCCTCCAGCCATCGCAAAGAATCACATCTCAAACCTCCTCGTCGTACTCCTCCTCGAACCAAACACCCGCAACAATGGCCAAGCGTGAGTCTCCCTCATCCCTCCCCGCGCAAACCACCACCCAATGCTGACACAGAACCGCAGAAGCCGGCCTCGGCCTAGCCTCGATAGTCTTCCTCTCAGGCTCCATCGTCCTCCTCCTCTTCGTAATCCTCTCCGCCGTCCGCGATGCCGCCCCCCTGAACAATACCTACTTCCTCCAGGCCGACACCACCGGCATCACCGGCGCCCGCCAGGGCCTCACCCGGTGGACCTACTTCTACTACTGCGGCGACCAGAACAACGACTGCTGGGGCCCGTGGCCCGCCCCGGCCTTCGGCTGGGCCTGGGGCGAGAACGCCGACAACGTCCCCTCCGGCCTCGCCGGCGGCCAGGGCGGCGGCACCACCAGCACCGAGTTCTACTACCTCTGGCGCTTCGGCTGGGTCATGTACCTCATCGCCCTCTTCTTCATGGCCCTCGCCTGGTTCGCTAGCTTCCTCGCCTGCTGCGGCCGTCTGGGTTCCGCCATCGCCTTCCTCGTCTCCGGCGCCGCTTTGTTCTTCCTCACCATCGCCGTCTCGTTGATGACGTACGTCTTACCTCTCTCCTCCCCTTCAATTGAGTCCTCGAAATGCTGACATTCCTCCCCGCGCAGCGCCACCTTCGTCAAAGCCCGCAACGCATTCCTCTCCGCCGGCCGCGAAGCCACCATCGGCACCTACGCCTTCGGCTTCAGCTGGGGCGCCTGGGCCGCGCTCCTCATCGCCACCGTCCTCTTCTGCATCGGCATCCGCGGCGAGAAGGGCGGCTACAAGGGTCCCAGCCGCTTCAGCCGCAAGCGCAGCGTCCGCAGCCGCCGCTCCTTCGACGTCGGCTCGAGCCGTCGGGTCAAGGATGATTACGCCTAAGGCCTTGATCGTGGAACACGAATTGACAGAAGAAAACTACACGAAATATCCAACATGAGAGAATAACGACGGGGATCCCTACCGTAAAAATGGAGTTTGGCTTATGGGAAGGACATGAAAGAGAAGGGAGTTGTTGATATCCAAGAGCGTGTGATGTATTTACGACCTCATCTTTTCTGCATTTTCGCCCGGCGTTTCTCAAAGCAACGCATTCCACCTGCCTACCTACGCTTTGGCTTGGAGTATTGGTATACTTAGCGGCTGAATCGAACGGCTTTCCTACGGGATGCCACGGTCCAGTCTAATACAATAATACTATCATTACTATGCAACGTCTCCTTCTACACATACGGCGTCAGTCAAAAATCATCGTCAGTTGGGTCTTACACCCACATGCTCGCGTGACAACCGTGTCGTGAGTCCGGAGATCTCAATCAGCTGTCGTAAGCGTCCAAACGTTGCGTGTCAGAGACGTCGATCCGTTTCTGCGACTGAAAACTGCAAGCCTCTTGAGCCTCTTACTCCACAACGGAACCCATTCACCCGCAGGTCAACATCCTCCACACTTCAGTTAGAAATTCACCCATCAGACGAGTAACGCATCAACGATTCATGTAATATTGCAGTGATGTGGTTTTTATCAGACTCGCACAGTTTTGTCATGAAGCATGCATGCCACCACCAACTCCATCAGCCACCCTCGCTGCATAAGAACATCGAATCCCACTTGCACTGGTCCATCACCCACCCTTCCCAGACACACACGTTTCTTGAACTCATTTACCGTAATCTTCTTGTCTTCTGTCTCGGACTTGCTATTCTTCCCGTCGCGTGTATGTCTCCGTCCGTCGAGAATTCCCCCACCGTCGAAAGCCAAAGAAAAGAAAAGTAAAAAAAAGCCCATTCTCCCCCGTGTCGGTGGCCATCGGGTTTCCATGAAAATCGAGAAATTCCAAGTCTGAAAACGCCGTCCATGTCGTATACTGGGCGACCAGAGTGCTGTAAGTGTGTCGTACAAACGCAAAGAAATTCTCGTCAAAGCAGACACTCCTTGCCAACCAGTGATATATGCTGATGATGCAACGTAGAATACTTGGATTGAGGGTATGAAACAAGGGGGTAAAGGGAAAAAAAGAGGTGACAGTGGGTGAAAGAAAGGCCAACGGAGGCCAGCTCGGTCAGCTTGGGAATTTTGTGTGAGACGTCATACACCTCCCTACCAACCGCTTTGGTTTGGCCTTGCTCGACTCGACAACGTTCACTCCAGCCTGGCACTGGCCCCCAAGGCAGGGCTCGAAGTCGGGCTGACACTGTCCAGGGGTGCGGCGTGCAGTGCAGGGCGGGCTGCGGCATTCGAGTTGAGTCCCTTCTTCTTACGATCCAACACCCCCTTCACCCACTCCGCGACTTCTTCATCTTCTGTACCGGACGACAGGGACATCTGGCCAACGGCGTCTGCGACGGCCTCTGCCTCTTCGCCCTCCTCTGCCTCTTCGGCGATCGTCTCGATCTTGGAGAATGGCGCCATCCACGGATGCTGGAGCAACGCGGCGTAGGTTGGGCGTTCCTTGGGCACCTTGTTGAGGCACTTCTTGACGAAGTCGTGCGCGGTGGCGGAGTAGCCTTCCTCGGGAAGACCTGGGGGTTCTCCCTCGACGATGGCCTAGAAAGGGTCAGCTTAAATCTCTCAACTGTGCTTAATACACTCACGCTAAGTTGACTGAAGATGGTCGACGATATCTCGGGCGGGTAGGGATACCTTCCCATCGCGCACTCGATGATCGTCAAGCCCAAACTCCAAATATCGCTTTGCACACTGTACGTGCCGTCGGCACCGACTGCCATTCCGCCTCCCGATATCCGCTCGGGAGCCATGTAGCTCTGGCAGCCAATATTCGTCTTGGCCATACTGGCAACGAGATTCCCGCTGACACCGAAGTCGCAAATCTTGACTTGTCCCTTGGTGTTAACTAGGATGTTGGTAGGTTTGACGTCTCGGTGAATGATGTTGTGCTCGTCCTTCAGTGACTTCAGACCCATAACCGTCGAGTATGTAATTTTCCTGAGGACGCCCTCGGGAATGCCGCCGGTGTAGAGCTTGTCGATGGACCCACCGTCCATGTATTCGATGCACATGTAGACAGCACCCTCCTGGAAGAAGGCTCCATAGAAGTCGATAATGTAGGGCGACACACACTCGTGGAGGATAACCAATTCCTTCAGAATCGTTGTGAACTTGGCCTCTTCAAGCTCCAACCGAATCTCTTTCATGGCCATAACTCTTCCCGACGTTCCGTCCAGCTCCACGGGTGAAGACTCAGAGGATCCATCAGCTCTCCTAACCGGTGAAGGATCCGAGTGTGACGTGTTCAGGCTCGCATGCTTGAATCCGCTCAAGCCAGTTCCGAATCGGGGTACCCGTGGTTTCGTATGCCTGACTCTGTACACGGTACCGTAGTTTCCCTTGCCGAGCTCGTCCAAAACCTCCACCTCGTCTAACGAAATGGTGAAGGCAGTTCCGTTTGCGAAGTTGACGCCTGTCCTGGTAATAGTGGCAGCGCCATCGAACGTGATCCAACCCTTATCGGAGTCAATGTACTTCTTGAAGTCATCCATCTTGGAGCCCGTGGTTCCATTCGTGGCGCCGCCATTGGAGCCTTGGATGTCAGACAGCTTTGGTGTCGGAGATGCTGGGGAGGGACCGCCGCCCATGTCGGACAGCTTCATCTGCGGACGCCTCCGGTCGGCCAGCGACGGCTTCGTGGGGATGACTGGTGCGGAGCGGGGCATTCCAGCAGGCGAAGGTCGAACCATACCTCCAGGTAGCTTCAGGTTTCCCGGAATGCCTCCCGGCAAGCCGCCCGGTGAGCCTTGGCGGGGAACCGGCGAGGCGGGGCTGCTCGACATGGAGTTGGGAGGGGGGTTAGTGCCGGCAGGCTTGCCCATGCGCTGGGCGTGCAGGGCGCGCGCCTTTGCCATGATGTCGTTCATGGCGCCGCTGCCCATACTACCGGTCATGACGGAGGCCGTGGGAGGAGGCCGGCGGGCGGTGCTTAGCATGCCGAGAGGTGTTGACGAGGGCGTCATGTTCTGAGGGTCGGAAACGGTTCGCAGCGAAGGGACTCGTTTGGGGATGTCGGAGGAGTGTTCGAAGGGACCCTCTAGAGGAGTGCTGGCCTCGGAAGAATCGGCGGAACCGGGGGAGGCGGGACTGCTGAGGCCATCTCTGTCGACCAGACCGTCTGGCGTGGCCGGGACGGAATCGGGAGTGTTGATGTCTGCCATGACGAAATGAAGCTAGTCGGCACAGCGGTGAGGAGGATCGCGATCACGGGTGATGGCGGGGAACGAGGAGTCGTAGAAGAGGAGCGAAAGGGTGGTCTGGTGCTCCTACAACGTAGCCGGCATGTGACGCTTGGGAGCGGGAGACGGGAGACGGTTCGCAGACGAAGACGGACGAAGAGTCAGCCGGGACGGTAGATATTGGGCAGGTATCGTGAGGTCGGTCGCGCGGGATGCGGATAGACGCAGCGTGTCGGCCGATCGCACAAAGTCAAGCGGTGGCGACAGATCGAAGACTTTGGGGTTCTTGCGAGCTGGCGCGGGGTTCTAGACGCGGCGGTTTGGGTAGCGTGGCCTGCTGCGAAAGTACTGCGTACTCGGGGTCGGGGTTGCGACCGGGGCGGTGGCAAGGTCAAACTCTAAGTCGGGGCGAAATGCGAGACTGCGACGACGGGCTAGACCGGCCAGGCCGATTTTGTTGGGACCTTTCTTCGAGTCGTTCGATGTCTAGGTGTCTTTAATGAGCACGGAGTCTGTTGGGCAGAAAAAAAAAGGGAGGTTGAGGTGAGGTGGTTTGAGCGCACCGAAAGAAAGAGTGTGAGGTTAAAGCGGAAAAGGGAAGAGAGAGAGGGCGATCTTGAGGAGAGGTAGAAAGAAGATGAAAGAGAAGGCAGGGTAGAGAGACGACGCCGACAGACATATGATGTTTCCCACTCCACAGCCAAAATGCAAATGGCACTACACTAAGAGTGCAGGGTACTAAATACTGGCTATTGTCGCCTGAAAGAAAAGAGAATGGAACGGCGGGGACGAGGAATCAGACGAGCGGAATGGATAGGTCCAATTCGAATGGATTTGGCAATTGGCAGGCAATGTGGTCAACCTACGCAATTTTGGTGCAAACGTCACAAATGCACCTTCTTGCTGCAAGTATTGCCAAGTACCGCCACCAGCTTGAAGAAAAACGACAGCTGCCTCCGCCTTTGTCGATTGGCTTACGCAGACAGAGCAAGGGCCGAACATCTCGAGAGGTACCCCGCAGTACCTGTCAGAGTGGGCAGACGATGCACCGGGAGATGGAGAAGGAAAAGGAGGGATGTTTCTTGGGCTCGCACTCATTGGGTTGGGTTTGGTTTCCTCAGATGCTCCTCCACAGCGGGGATGCTTTCTCTCTGTGTGGAAAGTAGGTAGGTACCTACGCAGAGAGGTACTTTCCCAGAGAAAAAAAAAAAAAGAAGAAGAAGCATCACGAAACTGCCTACCACTTGGAAGGAGCATCGTGAGTCAACCTCACCACACGGACAATTCTCATAAGCATTAAGCTTATCCGCCACTTGAAGCCTTGAGATGTTCCTGAACAACTGGTGTCCAAGTGGTTTGCTGGCGGGGAGGCAAGATATCTCGACGAGAAAAGATGAGGCTCACCGACTTGTAATCTCAGGTAGATGCTAGCTGGAGCTGTCCACCTGAGGGTGTACAGAGCAGCTCGGGTTATTGATGTCAGGCTTGGTTCTGTGCGTAAAAGTCCAGACCCGAGGCAGGTTTGCTGTTGCGTGGGCACTTGGGACGGGATGGTCGTTGGGGGCGAACTAGCCGTTGATATATATGGATGACAATGACGATTGAACGTCCCTGAGATGAAAATAGAGGGAGGACCCTTGAAATCGGGACAAGATGGCAAAAATAGGATGGAGATGGAGATGGGGATGGGATGATGGAGAAGTTGAGGTGCAGGTGCGGCAGGCGACGAGAACACGAAGCTCACGTTGGGCTCGATCAGGTTTGGTCCTGTTTGCGTTGTCTTCGAAAGGGAAGGTCTAGGGAAGATCCAAAGGACGATGCAGAAATGATAATTCAATGACAACCACTATTCGTACTGCCTCCCATCGACATTTGCCCTGTCCACCTCCAGCTACGATCTAAGTTGTACTATGCATTACATATCGGTACATTACGCCATCGTCACAGCGGGTACTCTCGCAGCTAACATTGGCAGCCGAAATACATGTCGCAGGGTACACCGCTTGGCGTCGAGCAGGAGCCCAGCTCTACGCTCATGTCATCCACCTTCGGGCCTTCATCATCAGCTATGTAAGGTATCAAGAAAACCCTTCCCATTCCCTGTCATTCTTCTTCAGTAGAACCTGACGTTTGTGAGGTACTGGACAGCACTGCCTCCTCAAGAACGAGGCTGCAATATCTCATGATATTTGCTTCGAGACCACAGACACGGGGTAAGGTCCAGGGAGCGAGCTTGGGCAAAGCTGCCGAGAAAGAAGCAACGATGGAGTTCCAAACTGCCCTCCTGGTCAAACTTGCATATGCAACTCCCGCCCTCGAACGGTAGAGCTTCCGGTGCACCGCCACCTGCATCACCGCCCAGTCTATCCAAGTTCAGTTCTACCCGTGCCTGTGCCTGTGCCCATTCCAGAACATGGAAAACCCGGTAGAGGGACCTACGATAGGTAAAGCCCACTCATATCATCCATCCATCCATCCATCGTGTCCATCCCACGCATCGACACTCGGTCAGATCTCACTCATCGCATGGCAACCGCCAGCCGAAACAGCCACAAACGTATCCATACCACAGGGAACATATCCATATCTTGCCTTGCTTTCTCTGCCGGATCATCCACCGGTCCCTTTCCCCGGTTCGCACCAATCTCGTCCTCCAGAACGCGCAGTCCAGCTGGGGATATCGCAAGGGGCAGGGTCGCCAGCAAGATTTTCCACGCACCACATCTCGCAACGTGCATACCGACGGGGTCGACAGGCCATACCTACTATTGCCCTTCAACGATTCCCAAAATAGCACGCCGGTACGCTGTGATGTAACTTGAAGACAGAATGCCACTATTCCCAAGACAGGGCAAGGAAAATTTGCAAGCACCGGCGGCCATTCAGACACGGGAAGTCTTAGTCTTAGACAATAGCGCACTCGCCTCCATCATCAAGCATCACAAACGCATTTACTACCGGAGGAGGCTTACCTGATCGAGACAGCAGAAACGATTGGCCCTCACCGCACAAAAGAGTCGTCTTCTCCCCGCTGAGAGATTTCGAGGAACAACCTGGAAGGCGGAAATATCCTCAGTTGGCGCCCATATCCCAGCCCGCAACCGCAAGCTACCTGCACTAGATATCCGTAATGCCGCCAGCAGAGTACCGATGCTACCTTGGCCAGACCGCGCGCATGGCAGCCAGTCCCGCCTCGACCAGTAATCGGGAAATCGAGAGCTCGAGACATCAAGACTATGCCCTCCAGAGGAAAGCTCGTGGCCGGATGGATCCCACCAAGCTGGAGCTTCTCCCTGCTTCTTGGTCGCGGGGCTATCCCACCCCCTTCCACTTTCAGCCCCCAACTCCAACGCCGACCCCTGTCCGCCCTCGCTCTCCGTCAACTATCTGGCACCGATGACGTTGTTGGTCGTTGGAGAGACAATAGAAGAAAATGTGGCTTGACCCGGCCGGGGGGCACGCTTGGAGACGCGACCCAACTGTCGTAGGCGAGGGAGGAATTTCCCGTGGCACAAGCATTGAATCTAAAAAAGTGAACCGCACTGACGTTATCCCTCCGTCGGGAGGAATATAATTCTCGGGCCGCTAGCCGTAATTAACCAAACGTTGAGTCTTATGAGACGATGCTATGAAGCTAAGGAAGATTGCTTTGCATCATAGCCATGCAAACACAGCACATGCACAGAATGACAGAGAGAGGATTACAGAGTACTGCGGTATGGGTACGCGATGCTTCAACGATGAACGACTCTTGCCTTACATAAGCTACGAAGTCCCTTATCTTATCAGCACACCCCGGAAGACAAGCTCCGTCAAACTGACATCATCACCTCACCTCACCTCACATCGCTTCTGATCCACACGCTCGTCAACGTCAATGTGAATTTCACCTAGTATGCTCCATGGACGACTGAATCCTCCCAGGCGAACCCAAGGATGCATGTCTCACTCAACTGAGCCAACTACGTGTATGTCAGTGAAACCAGAGCTCACGAAACGCTCATCTGGAGAAAGCAGAGCTCTGATCTGCGATCTGAATCTTCCCGCGACGAACCCCACACACCACTTGGCAATTCCACGATTGTCACTCCAGCAGCGACGATGCGTCCAAGAGCAATGGCATGGTGTATATGCACTCCCAAAGTCAAAGATGCAAAATAAGGGTCTTACGCCTCGATGTTTGGCTCATCAGCCTCACTCAGTCATGAAAAAAAGAGGCCCCCTTGCTCGGGAACTCTTCCGCGGCCGGCCCCCAGATGCCGTTTAAACATGGAAAGGTGGCAATGGCATGTCATCCGGGAGAAGCCCTGTCCATGGTCACAGCAAGCACCCTGCCGCAGGGAAAAAAAAGTCAATGGGAGTACGAAGCGCAAGAAACACAAAAGAGCTATCCTTATCCAAACCTCGGCACAACCGGTTTCCGCTAAAAAGTGTTGATGGTGATTTTCGTGCTGACTGAGCAGCCGTCGACAATTGCGAGGTCAGCAGCACATCACGCCAACCCATCTGCGTCATCGGCCATGTGGTTTCGACTTCGTGGCACAGATCAACACCTCCCCACATCTGTCATCTGTTTCATCTTCTAGCCCAGCATCCAGTCATCGTCCAGATCTCCCCACGTACGTCGATCCTTCACAGCCACGAAATCCAGGTCCGGGACAGGTTTTCAAGCTTTCCCCCCGAACTCGATCACCACAATTGCATATTCCGCATCCATGTTTGACGCGGATTGATATCATGAACCTGGCGCGTCTTCTCATCTCGTCTCCCGCTCGCGTGAAGAGCGCTTTACTTCTCGAGGGAGTACTGAAAACGCCATCATTACGTCAATGTCACACGCAAACACGTGATAAGAGTGTGCCAAGATTCTTGATTGATGCGATGTCTATCGAGGGTATTGATGGTATCTCATGTTTGTTTGGGCGGGTTTTCGGGGATGTTTTGCTCGTGAAGGACTTGATATCTCAGTATCGATCTCGGTGTTCCTGGCGAATTGTTAGCTGCTGAAGCAAAAAGGCGACAGTGATTGGAAACTTACCTCCTTAAACAGGATCTTGAACGTCAAGCAATGTGCTTTTCTCTGGAGTAACATCACGACTCGGGGCCGTTTTATCCTCCGCGTTTTCAGACCATCACGACCCATGCCCTTAACCCGTGTTGAGAACCAATGTCAAGAGTGAAGTGGCCTAGCGAGTCGGCTTGGGCTTCTTCACCTCAACCCACTCCTCCTCGACGATCTTCTCGTCGGCAGGGCCCTCATCGTACTCAGGCAGCCAGGCGTCGTCGTACTTATCGTCGTCCGCCGTGTCGAGTTGAGAAGCATCGCCAACTCTCTTTCTGGGGGCGCGACGGGCCGGGCGCGTGATGACCTTCAGCACGGCCTCAGCAATCTTGCCGTCGTCGGCCTTGCCAGAGTTGTCAGAGCCGCTGCCATCCTTGGCCTCCTTGCCATTGGCGTTGGTTCCGGTCTGCTTGTCCATCGTAGAGTGAGCTGCTGGTGGGTTATTGGAGTATAGCAAGATTGTGATGCCAGTTGGCCTTGTGAAGCAATTTTGATGTTTTGGTTTGTGTTTGGAGGTTTCGTTTCCTCGCCCCAGGATGAAATCCTTTAATACTCATCAGTGAATGAAGGCCACAGCGACTCGAGGCAAGAGCACCTCAGAATAGGCACTTGCCATTATTAGCTGTTCATTGCGCCGTTCACCTCGTTCTAAGCGGATATTAGCAAAATACTCAAAGCGGGTGAGTAAGGTATAAAGACCTCTGACGAAGACACAATCCCCACAAAGGACTGTTGCCAATAGCATTTGCGCGGACAACGATTTCAGATCAGACTCCAGATCAGACTCGAGATCCCATGTACAACTGCTCCCCACGTGAAATCTATGGTCGAACCGGAGGCTTTTACATCCCAAATTGGATTCAAAATCCAATGTCGAACAGAATTGCCTCTGGCCACAGCCGTCTCTCTGTACCAATTCTGCCTGCCAAGTATTGTGCTTGGTATTCTCTTCGCAGTTCCTCTTAGTCATCTTGGGCTTGCTTCACCAGATACGGCGACACCCTTGTCCGACCTCGCATGCGGTTGGATATCGGAGCCGGGAGCCGGGAGGCCGGAGGACCGCGGAGAAGACGAGAGCTACGGCCGGCAACTCATGCCATCTTGCATGAAACCGCATCTGATAAGAAACCTGCCACTTGGGATGAGGCGAAGAGAAGACAAGCCAAAGAGCAAAATGAGGCAACCCAGCTCGCTTCGACATGCCATTGTGTGGTACTGCCGTGTTGACCTCAGCCTTGGCGGGGTGGAAGCGCAACCTTCCGGCAAGAGATGACCATCTCATTCAGCATCTGACACGAATAAGGGTGGGACGAGAAGCTGTGGCCAAGCTGCGGTCGAGCAACGGCCTGATCAAAACAAGGGTCATCTGCTACTGAATTAGCAAAATGGATGTTTCTGAGGTTGGCAGAGTTGCGCCAAGTAGCGGGGAATTCAGAGCGCAACGGGCCTCACATCGGATTGTTGAATGCGACCTGGGCATGTTGAGGTGAAGGGTGAGTGCAGCCGGGCATCATGTCCCTGCTGCCGTCCGCCAACAAGCTTAAACTGCCAGCAAGACCCCTGACTGAGTACTCGGGGCGCTGGGCAGGGCAGTGAGATGGCGAAGGCTTGGAAACAATAGCCGTGAGGGATGAAGCTGAAAGGTAAGCTTTCGTGGTGGTTCCTGGGCGATGTGGCTGCTCCGTATCAAGGAACAGGAACAGGAACAGGAACAGGAAAAAAAACCGTCCAGCACGGAGAATCAAGAAATGGCATCCACGGACGTTGAATGGTGGTTGGCTGGATAAATACAGGTGAGGTGAGGTGGTGATGCGACTACCAATCAATCCGTGCGACGCGGGATAGCTGACGTGCGGCGTGGCGTACCTTGCGGGAGATGGTCAGCGCGTGTGGATGTATGTCTCTCCGCCTTGCATGGCCCGAAGAAACAAACGATGTGCCCTAACAATCCGGTGTGGTATCGCGGATGGAGATGCCGTTGGTGAGCAGCGTTTTCTTCCGTGTGCACTGGGCGCTTGGTGCAACAATTTCCGACAATGGATGAATCACCCAACAGCGAAGATGGAGGCGAAATATGGGCCGTCAAGGGAGCGGAGGGTGGAAGCGTTTGGAAACGAAAACGGTGGTGACGGTGGAAATGCAGTTGAGACTGAAAGTGGAAATAGAAATGGAAGTAGATGGACGGGTCGACTTGAGGAGGGCCACGTCCGTCATCCACGTCGACGTCAAAGACAGCAACTACGTGTATTAATTACCGTACTTGTGAGGTAGCAGGAGCTGATTGCTCGATGAGTGCCTTCCTATCGATGCCAAGGCATTGCGCCCATGATGCCAAGAACCGGTGAGTGGTTAGGTCCAACCAGTTCCAGCTCTCGTTGATAGCAGTCCCAGTCAGTAAGGGGCGAACTTGTGGCATTTTATACCCTATCGATCAATCAATTCTGCTCATTTCCGTGTTGTAATGGCGGTGCAGTCGGGTGTTACTGTGTTCGCTGGCCTGCGCCTCGGGACGTAAGTGATGGCGATAAAGTCAAGAGTTGCACTGCCTGTCGTGCTTCAATCTGATGGTGAGGTGACGACGGGACGGCGCCCTGGGTGGAACTCCAAAGCGCAAGGCGACGATGGACGGGGCAAGTATAGCCGGGGTACCTTGCATGCAGAGTTTGCCAGCCGGGGTACGGGGACTGTACTCTGCATAAGCTACTGAGACTAGCGACATCGGTCGTCATCGTGCTACCGTTTGTGCTTCTGATTGGCCATTGAATGTTTCTGAGGCTCGGTACGTACACAAGACTGGACCTCCGGAAGCCCCACAGTGTTCCACCCTCCAGCTGCCAGCAAGGTTCCGTCTATTTGCACAGGGCAGGCACCTCACACCTCGCACCTCAGACTGAGGTGCAGACAACACATCGAAACAGCGAACGGGGCTTTTTCTCTTCGGGACGGGTTTCTCACTTTCACTTTTACTGGTCTGATGTTCGCTAAACCACGGCGGTGCGTAACCGTAACCGCTACAGTCTGAAGTCTGGGCCCTTGCTACTCCCTGGATGCCCCCAGGTGTTTCTGTCCTGTACAGTGACGCACCGCCTGTGACTTGTCGCTACGGTGCCACTCTCAGCCGCCTTCATCCCTGGAACCACCCGACATTTCAGCACCACACAGCAGCACCTGCATCAAACCCACACCCATCGTCGTCTTGGGTAGCTCACATACGCTTTTTTTCTTTATCAATCTACTCGCCTCGTCCTCGTCCTCGCTCTCGTCACATCATCTTCCCTCCTGTGGCTGGCGCTTTCTGTTCCTAGCATTCTTCTACTTCTCATCTCTTACCTCTCTCCCTCGTGCCTATCTACGTCCGTCCAACACCACCTTCTGCCATCCATTCTTATCTATCGCGACCACCACACGCCACCACCATCCGCCAGCCTTCCTCTCCAATGTCTGCCTCCGCCAGAGAATGAGAGCTTCGTCGCAAACTTCTGGGAAAGGCCGAACTCTACTTTGGAGGCCCGATTCCTTCCACCGCTAAATCCGAGCAAACTACTCCGAACCGAACCATCGTCGCTACCTCCATACCTGACCTACCTACTCTCGCCTCCTGCGATTGCAGTCAAAGACAATATCCATTCCTTGCCAACCTCAAAAGAGCCGCGTCGTCCCATCGTCGCTGCCCCCGAAACCACACGACTTACATCCCTTTGCCTGCTTGGGCTCCTCTACCTCAAGGTAGCTTGGCGATAGAGGTCCACGCGCACCGCCAAGCCTCCATCTCAAGAAACTTCGAGCGCTTCTGTGTTGCGGAGGACCGTTCTCCCAGCACAACCAGCCTTGCGCCGGCCTTCCGCTCCGCATCTCTTTTCCATCGAGCCCGCCCGCCGCCATAAATCTCCATTCGCCGTCCGGTTCGATACCGAACTCTGGTCGCCATGGACCAACAATACCTGAAGTCTCCGTCGTCTTACCGACTGGCCAGTATGGCCCAGAACATATACGAGATGCCCTTCATTGCGCTGGACAATACCCACGACTCCCACCCGTCACTGGGTCACTTGGTCCTCCTCGTCTTCGAGGCCGTTCTTGAGGTCGTGTGCGTGAGCTTGCCCGGCTATGTCATTGCTCGCCTTGGCCACTTCGATGCCGACAAGCAAAAGTTCCTCGCCAACCTCAATGTCATGCTCTTTACTCCTTGCCTTAGTATGTCCTTCCCCACCATTGCTGCTCGTCTAGATCTAGATCCGTGCTAATACCAGACAGTCTTTACGAAGCTTGCGTCGCAGCTGAACGCTGACAAGCTGCTTGACCTTGCCGTCATCCCCATCATCTTTGTCATCCAGACCCTGGTCTCATGGCTCGTCGCAACTGTCGTCGCCCGTCTGTTCGGGTTCAACCGCCGCGCCTCCAACTTTGTTACGGCCATGGGAGTCTTTGGCAACTCGAACTCGCTGCCCATTTCCATGGTCCTGTCACTTTCTCAGACGATCAAGGGTTTACATTGGGACAGGATCCCCGGGGACAACGACGACGAAGTGGGAGCCCGCGGCATCTTGTACCTTCTCATCTTCCAGCAGCTCGGTCAGCTGGTGCGCTGGAGTTGGGGCTACCATGTTCTTCTCGCTCCCAAGGACAAGTACCCTGAATACCAGGACGAGCGCGTCGAGGAGGGCCAGTACGACGGAGACAGAGAGACGGCCCCTCTCCTCAACGAGTATGACGACGATGACACTGCCGCCTCACGCAGCCACTCCAGCAGCGACTTGTCCAACTACGAGCCCGCCGGTCGCACTCCCGTGGCCACGAGGTCGAGAGCGTCACCCGCGGATACCGAGGACGAGGACGACGACTATCTTCCCAAGAAGCCCATGAAGAACAACGGTTTGGCGCCCCTCAACGGCAATCACCCCGTTTTCAACGACAGCGGCGACGAGATATCATCTTTCCCTCGAATTCGTAACACGGATGAACCCGATATTCCCGAGGGGATCAAGGGCTACCCTGCCCGCATCAAGAACGCCGTCAACACTGCAACTACCCAGACCACCAAGTCGATCTCCGGCTTCTTTGCGAGAATCTACAACAGCCTTCCTGCGCCCGTCAAGACGATGCTGTCCGCCTTGAGCCGATTTGCTGGAAAGTTCAACAACTTTATGTGGGAGTTCATGAACCCGCCTCTGTGGGCCATGCTCAGCGCCGTCGTGGTTGCGTCCGTCCCTGCTCTCCAGAAGATCTTTTTCGAGGATGGTTCATTCATCAAGAACAGTTTCACTGACGCTGTCCAATCGAGCGGCGGCGTCGCCGTGCCTCTGATTCTGGTAGTACTCGGAGCCAACCTGGCTCGAAACACGCAGAAGAGTGAGAAGCTGCGGGACCCCGAGGAGGACCAGATCGGCACGAAGCTCCTGGTTGCTTCCCTGATGTGTCGCATGCTTCTGCCGACTCTCATTATGACCCCTATTTTGGCCATCTTCGCCAAGTATGTGCCGGTCAGCATTCTCGACGACCCCATCTTCGTCATCGTCTGCTTCTTGTTGACGGGTGCGCCGAGCGCTCTTCAACTGGCACAGATTTGCCAGATTAACGAGGTGTACGAGGGCGTCATGTCCCGTATCCTCTTCCAGAGCTACGTCATCTGGTATGTTTCTCTTTTGTCCCTCATCCAACATCAACTTACTGACTCACCTCACAGGATTCTCCCATCAACCTTGGTGCTCGTCATGTGCGCTCTGGAGGTCGTGGAATGGGCTGCTTGAGCATAAGCAGGCAGCTATCAAAAAAAATTTTTTCTTTGTCATTGAGGAACAGCCCACTGCGATGAAATAGCGTGGTATGTTTCCAACGAAGCATCAACGGGCGTTCAGGCTGTTCTTGAGTTCTTGAGGCACACTCGCGTGGCCAGCAGAGGTTAAGGAGAACGCAATACGGCCATGGGCCATGTACAAATAGCAACAGCACAAGCGTTTTGGAAGGAAATGGGGTTGAGCGCACGACGACGTACATAACCACAAAAGTCAATGCTGGCGTTCTCGGTTTTTGGCAGGTGGAAAGTTCAATGTGTAATAATGGGACAGAATTGGAACTGCAAGAAACAAGACTTATGGTGCAGTGTATACGTAAATAACCCAGATGTTTTTTTTTTTTCTTTTCCCTAGAAGTGGTACGGTTTACTTAGCTGTCAAAGGTCGTGATGTTGGCTGACCGAGTCTCAGCCTTCGGTGAGGGTGCTGTCAGGTAGGTGCGTTAGGTAAGCAGTTTCTGCCGTCGTTATCACGTGATCGGATCCACTCCACGCCGTTGGAAAGAGCGTTGCGCGTTGCGCGACGGAAGGCACTCCCGTCTCTTCTGGCCCAGGCTCTCGCCGTCGAATACTTTCTTCCTACGCAACCGACACCCAATAAAACCTGAACGTCAACACATCATACAACAACACGACACGAAGATGGCGTCCAGATCAAGATCGCCATCGCGCGACCGCTACCGCTCCCGGTCCCGAACCCGATCGCCGACCCCTCGATCCGAACGGTCTCGCTCACCAGGCCGCCGTCGGGACTACGATTCGCGGCCTCCTTCGCGTTCCAGATCGCCAACCCCGCGACGCAATGGAAGGTACCGCAGCGAGAGCCGCAGTCGTAGCCGCAGCCGTGGAAGAAGTATCAGCCCTGCAGTGAGAAGCACCAAGGTAATGCGCACTCTTTATTCCCTTTGCTATTTTCCCTGTTGTTTCGCATCCTCTTCCGCGCACTTCCTTCGTTGGAAACTCCGAGGCTGATTGGACTCTTTGCAAACAGATTGTCGTCGAGCGCTTGACCAAGAACGTCAACGAAGGCCACTTGGAGGAGATTTTCGGCCAATTCGGTCCCATCAAGGACCTCGACCTACCTATCAATAGAACCTGTGAGTGAAGCATGGGTCTCTGCTCGACAAGCCCCCACATCCAACATGGAGCTTCTCTAGGCTGACACTTTTCGCAAATCTAGACGGCACCAATCGAGGCACTGCCTACATCCTCTATGATCACGAAGCCGACGCCGAAGATGCCATTGCCCATATGCACGAGGCGCAGGTTGATGGCGCCGTGATCAACGTCTCCATTGTCCTACCCCGGCGCAAACTCTCCCCGCCGCCTCCGATGGCTCGCCGAGGCGCAGGCTACGACCCCAGACCCCCTCCTCTTGGCGCGAGAGGCGGCGGCAGGCAGTCGGGCGCACCTTATACCGGTGCCTCGGGCCCCGGATCCTTTGGCCTGAACGGTCCCCGCCGTGGTGCTTCACCCCCTCCCGGTCGCCGTGGACCCAGATCAGATACCTACCGGCCACGATCGCTGTCTCGCTCGCCTTCCAAGTCACCCATGGCCGCACCCCCGTCCAGAGGAGGAGGCAGTAGATACAGGAGCCGTTCTCGATCCTTGACGAGATCCCGCTCGCCGGCCCCCAGACGCGGCGGTGGAGGACGAGGCAGCGACTATCGCAGAAGAAGCCCCAGCAGAGACAGCTACGATAGCTACGACAGTCGTCGAAGCCGATCCCCAAGCCGCAGCCGTGATCGCGCTGTCCGTGCTGGTGGCCGTGGCTATCGATGAATGGAACGAGTCGACAAGCATGTTTCGGAAGAGGATTGTGTATATGAAATTTCACGGCGTTGGGGGAACCAGGAAAAGTCGGTTGCGCACCGAGCAGGCGGCGGGCTAGGGCATCTAGGCTGACCCGTAAGGCCCGATCAGTCTGCATGCATACCCAGCTAATAATACCTAGAAGACAGATGATTAGATTGCCTCTTTCGGCATTTGCCAGTTAACTTTTCACCTCTCGATTCGTGATTCCATTCTTTGGGATGGGAGTCTGCCTCGCTACTCGAGCTCCATGTCGCATCGTTCTATATTCGGACCTGTGGGCCGCCGCATTCATAATTAGATGTCTTCACGCGGCTCCCGAGCGACTTACTGTGTCAGGCTTGATTTTGCAAGGACTGGATCGCCAGGGAACGAAATTATGGCCAAGGTGTACTGGTTGGAGTCGATGCTGAACACCCCGATTGGGTGATTTTGCGACGAATAAGATACCGCTTGCTGCGAAAACACCGACATTTTATCTCGGTGCCTTTTACCGCGCCGCAATCCATCGGCGGGCCTAGCGCAACGGATGCGTTCTTTTGTGGAGCGCTTCTGACTGCCCTTCGGAACACCTTGCTGGGCCGCTTCATGTCATCGATCAAGTCTGGAAATGCTCGTGATGAGGCGACGAAGTTGTCGGTTCGAATCCTGCTTCGGGGACGGCGATGGATAGCGTGCTGAGTTGAGAGGCGGGTTGCCATTTACGCTGCATCAGGTGAGCTTACACCATGCCAACATCTACATTCGCCCGACTCACCTTTTCCCTCTCAGATGAATCGACCAACGACTTCTGCCGTGGCATCTGCGGTTTAGGTCACCCGAACGCTTGCATCGATCCCCGAATAGTAAGACGCGGGCTATTTTGTCATCCTTGACCCGGTTATCGCGAGATGGCGGCGAGGCAGCAGGCAGCAGCAACTCGCCGTCTGGTTCTGGCCGTGTTATGTCATCGCTTACTCCGACCAGGGAGGGCCCTACCGGGCAGTCGCCGATGCCATGGTTCTGGTTTTTGCCAATGATTACATCTATCTAGCGGAGCAAACACCACTAGATGTGTCGCAGTTACCGTTATAGTCAACTCTTCCCGTTACACAAACTCACAATGGCTTGGTTTCGGGCGCGCTGACGACTTGTCCAGTTGAGCACTCTCATTCGATGCCGGCAAGGTCCACGCAATAATACCAACTATCAGGGCATCCGAAAGGGCCAATCACTAACTGGATCGGGCTGACCAAGATGCCGGGATGAGGGGCAACGTCCCTCATCTACTCACCAGACACACCCAAACATGCTCTGTCCAGCCAGGTCACCCACACCGACGTACTATTCCCGCATAATCGCTTGCCTGTTGCGCCACAGAACAATTGCAGAGCCAGAAGACAATCGAGAGAACCGACAGCCGGGTTCAAGCTGACTCCATCTCGGCTGTTGGTCGACCCCTGTCTTGCCGCCCTGCCATTCTGCAGTTGCAATGGAATCTTGACAAATACGCTGCCAAAAGCAGGCGGGATATGCGGCAGGGGGGTTAAACCCGGGGCGACTGGCGTTTCCTCCGGGTTCATCGATCAACATTCGCGTCTTGAACAGCAGAAGTTCCCTAGAGTCAAGAAATCGCTTTTCGAAAGTCTGACGGCATGTTTGCTGCGCACCAACCCACACTCCGATATTTGCCAGAGCACCTCTTGCGGCGCAGAGCGAGGAACTCCGCTCAATCGAGTCCGTCGTCAAAGATACCTTGCTTTTCCTAACTTATCCTGGTCGGAGCTCATCCTGGTTGAGTCCCCCCACCTTGCCAAGCCAGGAGAGCTGAGCTGAACTGAACTGAGCAGGAAACCCAAATCCAAATAGGCAAAGGAAACCAAGACGAGCCTTTCAGGATTGATGAACCCAGCGAGTTCAAGAAAGCGAAAGGCTGGCGTTTTACGTGCGAGACGAGGCTCTCAGCTTGTCCATGATTTCAGACGAGTTTGAGCCTCGTCGTTCGAAGTTACCAAAGCCTCGAATCCTTCAGCCCTATAGCCTGGCAACATCCTCGTCCATTGCCCCAGATGACTGGGTCGAAGGCATGGCGCTTGGATGGTGTGTGGGTAGCAAGGCGAATCCGCCCCATCGGCTCGACGCTAGACCACAACGCGCAGACACTGCGTCTTTGGGGTTGACTCCTGCTGACATCTTGGTGTCGTCCTCGACCTCTCTCCTTTCGTACCTCGTTGCCCGCCATCTCTTCTTGCGTAAGCAGGGCCATGCCCACGTTCTTATTTTATTCTCGTTTTATTTGAAAGCACTTCTAGGACTCCGGATTGGTCGACAAATATGTCCAATCACCCAGTCCGTTCGTTCAGGCTGCGCAGTAGTCCCGCGTCCACCGCTCACTGGCCCCTCCTTTGGGGGCCATCCACCGAACTCTTGACAACCTTGACAGCCTTGACACCCTCCCAGTCGTCTCTGATGTGGGTGTTCTCACCGACCCATTCGGCCGGACCCGAAGATGCTCACTATACAGTAGTGTCGACGGGCTTGGTTGCTCACATGACGGTCCAGCACGGCGGTACTCTCACCACCCCTCTCACGGCACGACGCGGGACTCACGACCAAGGCAGCAAAGGCCGAACGAAGTAGAGCTTCATCATTACTCATCGTCATCATCATCGCCCCTCGCGCGGCCTGCCAGTGAACAAGCGTTGATTTGGCAAACGCCGACGGCAACGGCAGCTATGAGACGGCTTTGTGCTGTTGATTGGTCACACCAGAACGGCTTTCGACAAGGCATATTCCCAGTATCCTACCGCGTCGTTTGCATCCCACGCGACGCCTTACATGCGGGTCTCGGGTACCGTGAGACTACATACCTCACATACCCATACCTTGCCCACCTTTTCTCAGGAGAACGGGGGCCATCCACCAGTTTCTATGTTTGCCTAATGGCTGTTCCGCGGGGAGACGTGCGTCCTGCGTCCCATCCGCTCGTTCGCGAGGCCACCTCAGGAGTCTGATTGGCTGTTCCAAGTTCCTGGTAGGCTGGCGCATGGTCTCATCTACCCTACAAGACATGCCCCCCTCCATTTCAGATGGCCCCCCCGTCACGCGGCCCTTGGCAGAATGGGTGTCGTTTCACTGTGTAGTTACACAAGGCAGTAGTTCAGCTAGCTCTCTTACAACTTCCCATCGATGTTCCGGAGAGGCACAGAGTCCTTTTGTGGCAGTTTGACATGTTGTTTGCCTGCCAGGATGCTTGTTCGTCGCCCGAGAGTACTGTCCTCGAGCAGTCTGTCTGTGTAGCAGCGTCGTGGCAGAGCCTCACAGAGTTCCTATTCTCGGGTATATATGAGGCGTCTCTCATCTAGTCAGGATGTCTCAGATCCTAGAACTTCATCAACAAGAACATCAAACACCAGACGTTATACACCTTTCTATACTTCCGCTACCAGCTCCGGTTGAAGTTTGCATTACCACTTATCAAAACCAATCATTCAAGAGACCGCGGTCCAACAGCCAGCCACCTTCCTACACTCCTGCATTCGACTACTCTGCTCTGTAAGAGAGTACAATGTATCTCGCACGAGAAATCACCCAAAGTCTACGCGGATATCATTGGACATCATCGCAAATGGACCCCGATCCTCCTCCAAGTCCGCCTGGTCCTCGACCCATCAACCCGAACCCGAATCCCAATCCCCCTCCCACACCCCCGTATTACTCCTTGGGTGACGCCATTGCGGGAGTATCACCACAGACACATCCCGAGGCTCACTACCTGACAGCGCCGGGAGCGCTACCGGAATGGCTCTCCAGTCGATTCATCGACCATTAGGGGACACAGTTGCAGCGGATGACGTCTGTCTCTACTACGGGTGGTGTCTTATTTGGGCTGCTCGTATCCGATGACAAAGCTTCCGAGCTCTTTTCCCCCTTTCCTTTGTTATGAATATGATGGGCAAACGGCATGATGAATGAACGCATCAGAACTTTCCTACTACACTCTCCTTACTTCTGTGTACCCCTTACCTCCCTTTATGAACTTTCCCCTTGGCTCGTCCGTCCGTTCACTTACAAGTACCAACCGGTCCCAGTCCGCCTGCATACATGTACATCCTAGACATTATACATCTCTGCGAAGAGAGGTCGCGCATTTCTATTTCTTCCGCAATGTAGATTCAGTATCATGTAGCTAGCATCATCTGTTCTCTTCTTCACCTTCTCTTCTTCATCTTCCCTTCTCATGGTCACACTTTAGTTAGATATAGAAACAAAACACAGTTGCAGACGCATATTGACAAATCCTTCTAAAACGAGAACATGACCCGATTGTGATTGGATGAGACACTCACCCTTCCATCCCTGAAGAAAGCCAGGGTGTCTTTTTGGAATGCGAAAAAAAAACGGTGCTGCTGATCCTCCCGTCCTCCCGGGCATAACGTAAGGGTCCAGTCACTTGCCCCCCCTCCTTCGATTCGTTTCAAGAAGCTTCCGGTCCTTTCTGAGGTCAGCTTACACAAGACGAGGGGAACTTTTTGTGGCTCGCTCGCATTGCATCGGCACTCGGTGCGAAGTCCACAGCCACGACGAGTACGCCACGGTACCATTTTGCCTGTCTCCAGAATCCAGTCTACCACACCGCTGCGGAGAGCCGTCGGATGGATGAGGTTCCTTTCGAGTGATGTTTCCAACCAAGAGAGTTTTGCCGGTTTGTTGTTGTGGCGGTCGGTAGACGGGCCGTCCTCGCAACCTTTACGTATGGCGGTAAACCGTTGGTATCACGGACGACCTGGTGTTGACGGTCGACGTACCGGTCGTTGGTGTTGCTGGCGGCGTGATTTCTTCTCTCTTCAATGAATCTGTGTTTTGCATCGTTCTGTTGGTTAAAGACTGTCTCCGTTGATCGTTTGTACTTGTTTCCTGGCATTCTCTCATGTTGTCATCTACATGATGCGTGTGTGACATTGTCCATGTCCTCGAGCGGTAGAGTCCTGTTCGAGTCTAGATGTCGAAGCTTCGCATATAGAGACTGGCATCTGTTCAGACACAACCAGTGGCAGTAGAAAGCTGTTTTGATGCTATTCTAGGTGCTACAGCAGGAACGCGTCTACAAAGGCGCAACGACGTTCCCCTGATTTGCATCTTTTTGGGTCAAGGTGATAGCATTGAGCAAGGCAATCAGGGAATGTGAGTGGAATGATGCCGTTCTTGTGACCCGGACTTCCCAAACTTATATTGAGATTTCGTATGTTGAGAATGTGAGTCCTGCCGAAATCCACACATATCGATCTTGTTGACGTCAATAAGCTCCTCAATTGAGGCATGAAAGTGAACGGGTTTGATCAAAACTGGACTCTCCTAGCTTCGTAGCTCTTGAAGCACGCTTCGTCGATACCACCAAACTGCTCGCTAATGATCCCAACACGGATCTACAGAGAGAGGCCTAGCCCGCAATTAGAGGAGACATCTTAAGGATTGAGTGGAACTATCACGGTCTTCCAGTACAACTTCACAATGTCTTCGCCACACATGACGTGGTGAGGTACATGGGCGTTCGAGAATGGGACGCTGTACAAGGGTGTCATTAAGTCCAGACTTAACGAGCATGGGCGCGATCCAACGTTTTTAGAGGACGATTGGGAGGGATTCGGTTAGATATTTCAGCATCCGTCTCCATCATAGCCGAGTGAATAGAGGGTCGCAAACAGTATTTTCAGTCTGTCGATCCCCGTGTTCCGTGCTCAGACTAGTCGCGGGCTGGTCCGAATGTTTCCACCCCGCGAATGCGGGGCTCTTCCGAGCCTCACTTTAATCTATCGTGACCAATGCGGACCGCCATCTGGTGATGTATACGCGGTCAATAGAGTTGATTGATAATCAGTTCTACGTTTTCCAAAGCTTTCAGTTCATCAAGCGGGCTCCCAGGGGGGCACGGAGTTTAGCCATCACAATCTCAAGGGTCACGTTGCAGCTATATAAGTTGGGACTTGACATCAGATATGTCAGTGCCAACAAGCGTGCATCTCAGACTTCATCCATTCGTTCTTTCCACGTCGCTACAATGAGAGCCCCTTCTTTGGCCTTCGCGGCATTGGCTTCTTCAGGCCCATTGGCCTCTGCCCTTGCGCCTGGACTCAAGGTCGCACTTACACTGGAACGGGCAACCCAGGGCATCAGCATCTCCTCGGATGGACGCAAATTCCTAACGCAGAGATATTCCACCACGGACGCGCCGCAGGCCGTGGAACTCCTCAGCAACGGAACGACGGTCCCCTACCCCGACGCCACGTGGAACTCATGGACCTCCAACTCGACCCTAGATCCAAAGAAGGCCTTCGTCAGCATCGACGGCGCCCGTATCGGCCCCGACGGACGGTTCTGGATCGTCGACGGAGGCACTACCGACAGCGACCGCAAGCTCGTCAACGGGTCCAGCAAGCTTGCTGGCGTGAACCTCGAGACCAACCTGGTCGATAAGGTTTACTACCTGGACAATCTTACCGACACCGGCAGCGTCATCGACGATGTTCGCTTCAACGGAGACTACGCGTACCTCAGCGACACGGCGGGGGCGCTCGTGGTGATGGACCTCACGACAGGAGAGGGCAAACGAGTTCTTGTGGGCCACAGCTCCGCCGTGGCATGGTTTCCGATGGCCTATAACGGCAGTCTTGTCCCGGGATACCAAGGAGACGGGAGCACCTTGTCCGTGGGCCTCGACCAGATAGAAGTATCGCCTGATGGCGTGTATCTCTACTACCAGCCCTGCAACGGCGGCATGTACCGGATCAAGACGGATTATGTCAACGGGGCTTTGACGAACGACACCCTTGCGGTGAACTTGGGCGACTACGCGGAGCCTTTCGCTCTCACCCCCAGTACCGGCGGCACAACCATTGACGGAGACGGGAACATTTACGTCAGCGATACCAATCTTCTTGCTATCTGGAAGGTGAAGCCGGACGGCTCTTCTTCTATTCTTGTTCAGGATGATGCGTTGGTCTGGACGGATCTGATGTGGGTTGATGCGGACAAGAACCTCTGGCTTCCCGCCTCCCAGATGAGACCTGGCGCGGATGGACTGATGGCGGATGGGCCGAACTACATCTTTACCTACCCCATTGAAGCCGGTCCGTCTGCAATTGACCACGCATAAGTGTGTGTGAGTCATAGAATTAATTCGCATGCAGATCTAATCCGCTATACAATGTTGGATAGGTATCGGGTCAAATTTCCAAGACTGGAACGTGCCCTAAATAGAATAGAAAGTCAAGTGCATATCGGTAGAGTTCACCTAAATGTAACTTATAGTATAGTCAGTTGCTATATCAAGCGAAATGGTAGTAGTGTGTAGACGCTCTCTCCGTGCCGCCTTGTGACGGCCGGACAGAACGGCCGGAAAGCCGGAGAAGTGGGGCCGTCATCGGGCGGAGACCCGGCCGGGCCAACTCGCCCCGTAGCCACGGACGATAAGGTTATTCGTGCTCTTCAACCCGCTTCCCGCAGTCTGTCCAGGAATAAGTTCTTGCCTACTTACCAAGACGTCCGACCGACAACATGTTCACGTTCCCATACTCGCTTTCCCAGCGTGCTTATGATTCATGTCGCCGTTCACCCTGCGTACCGGACCTGAGGAAGCTCCAGTTGGATGGCCATTGAGAAAGCCAATGAAACGTGCCCACGCCTTGTTTCGGTCGCTTCATAGAGTGCGTTTCTCTCCTATTCTCCTCGTGTGTTGCGCCCCAGCCATCCTCCCTCTCTCCTCCTCCCCCCTGCTAGCAGCCTCAGCGAATGCTTCTGAAGCCATCATCATCGTTAGCACATCAATGACAAGCATTTGGGAAAGATAGCGTCAGCGTTGTAACGGTCCACCAATACCCTGCTGGCTCCAGCGCCGATGCCCTGTTGTCTAGTGGAGCATGGCCTGATCCCTGCAAGACTCGGCAGGGGATTCGGGCGCTCGCCAGGGCGTAGGATGCACCGTCTATGGATAGCGAGAACTAATCGACGTGGTGTTGAAAGGTCGAGCTGCTGCAGCGGCCGCTCATGGCTGGGCTTCCTAATGTCGTTGGCTGATTGATCCCCAGCGCCTGCAGGACATCTCGTGTCCGGCCACCAGACCTTGGCTCGGAGGCGCTAGAGCATGAGAAGATTTCGATCGTTGAATACGGGACCTAGTTGAGCGATGTCTTGGATTGGCCGTGGCCAAAAAGCTCGTATCACCCTCGTGTCCTTCAGCTGGTTTTCACTGCTCGACCGCAAAGTAAGGTACCACAAATACGTAAATGCAGCACGGTATGTTGAGAATATTCGGGGCCACTCCTATTCGCGTGGCTGGCCGTTCAACTGTATTCCATTCAAAGTTGATGGCTTGGCGATTACCGAGACATCGAGAACCTGGAAGTCACGAGACCTGGCAACACAAATTTAGCTTTTGTCATGTCTTGAATCTTGGGAAAGGGAGAGACATTCACATTCAACTTTCTTCTGATCCCCAGCTTCGGCTTCAGCTTCATCTGCAGCCCAAAGCCCCGATTGCCATTTTCACCCGTTCCAAACCACGTTGCCTGGCTGGCGGTAACCATCACTCCTACGGATACATGTGGCTGACATCGATCCAATGTCAGCGCGCTGTCCCACCGCGCAAGACGATAGATATCCACCTTGTCACTTTGTCATACTTGCTTCTTCCTGTCTTGTCACTTTCCCATACATGGCAATAGGGCACGACATGGATGTCTCTCCCGCCCCTGTGTGGTAGGTTGCCTTGGCCCCATGTCCATGTTGCCGGCTTCCGTCCGCTATCTCGAGAGATACCAAGGCGAGTGAGTTGTTCCTGGCTGATGGCAAGGGAGGGTGGCACTGCTTGCCTTGTGGTTCGGTAGATGGCTGGTTGCTATTGCCAACACCAAGCAGATCTTGGTCAGCTCTGTGCCTGTCCTTCCTCGGGCAGGATACCTCTCTTTGGATGCATTATTTCCGACCATCCTGGTGTATTCAGCCTCCCATCTTACGAAGCCAGAGCTGAGCGTCCCGGACGACGTCAAATCCCGTGCTGAGCGTTTGATGCAGCCTCTATTGGCACATGTATCATGATCGTACGGGTGGAAAGACATCAATTTCGATGCCGCCCTAGAGTTATTTATCTCGATGCCGAGGGAGCTCTTGCGAACTAAGTGGCTTGAATCCGACGCAGCAGCTCTTCGCGGTGTCACCTTACCCCAGCTCGATGCAGAAGATCCTTCCCAAGGGGACCCAGCTGCTCCTGCAGGGTGGTGCAGGGTAAGGTAGGTAGCCAACAGACCAGACCACACCGTTGACCACCTCTTTAAGTGACGGTTCCTTCTCTCACGGGCTGATCTCTGATCCCAACTTCCTTCTGCAGACCAAGTGCGGCTCTCGTTCATTCTGAATCGTCACTGCCTAGCTTTCTATTGGTGGCGCTACTTCTGTTCTCTTTTCGGCGCTGGTGGCCGCGTATCCAGGAAAGAACATCGTGAAGCAAGCGCGACCGCACTCTCTGGCACCCCAGTATCTAGAGAGCTCGCCTTTCTAGGTAGCCCATACATCTACAACATCACATCAACAGTCGCAGTCACAATTCTACACCGTTGTCTTTACTCCATCCATTGGCTTATTTGGCGAACACGCATTGATTTCAGAATTTCAACATGATTGCGTCCATCATATCCATCGGGGTTCTCGCCCTGAGCGGCGTCGTCGCGCAAAAGGACGACCTTGGGACTGTTCTCCAATCGAACAAAGATCTCTCCACGTATTACAACTTGATCAAGGTACGAAATGGCAATGCTTTTCCCTGAATTCACGCTCTAATATCACCCAGAAATACCCCGAAGTCCTCTTCAAGCTTCCAAACTACGAAGGCGTCACCATTGTTGCCCCCTCCAACGAAGCATTCAAGAATATCCCTGGCACACAGCTCAACGGTATTTGGAACGACTCGGACGCGTCCATCGCCGTTCCTATCCTCGAGTACCACATTCTCCAGGGCACCGTTTCCACAAGTGCTCTTACCTCTGGCCCAACAGTGTTGCGATCCTCGTTGCTCCAGAACACGGCTTGGACCAATGTCACTGGCGGCCAGAACGTCCTCGTCAATAAGCAGCCCGGTGATGTTATCGTCTTCACCTCCTCCGAGGGCATCCGCACTACACAAGTCGAGGGTGATATCAAATTCGCAGGCGGACTTATCCAAGTCGTGGATAATCTGCTGATCCCTCCCGCGAGGCTGGAAAACACCACGGAATCTTTCAAACTGTCTGCTTTCCTCGGCGCCTTGTACGCCGCCAAGCTTTTACCAGCTGCATCAAATGAACAGAACGTCACCATCTTTGCCCCTCGCAACGAGGCATTCAAACCTATTGCTGGTTCTCTCAACAACATGGACAGCGATGCCGTCAAGAAGTTTCTCAATTACCACATCGTTCCTGGCAAGGTCTTGGCTTCATCAGACTTGACGAACGGCACCAATCTTACAACGCATTCTTCTCAGAACCTGCGCGCCATCCGTTCTGGCAACAACCTGTTCTTGAACTCGGCCCAGATTGTCCAGCCAGACATTCTCATCGCCAATGGCATCATGCACATCATCGATAACGTCTTGAACCCAGACGTGCCATCGAACCCGAGTCCCGATGCTGCAAGCCAACCTCCTGTTTTCCCCGAGAGCTCTGCTTCTGGACTCCCTTTCACAACCGCTATTCCGTGTACCGTCAGCTGCCCGGTCACCACGACTGCAGCCACAGCTACCGGTACTGCCACCAGATCGGCTTCAGCAACTGATGTCAGAGTTACTAGCAGTACAGGACTTGCTGCCCCTCGGTGCACTGGCGTAGCTGCTGGTGTCGCTGCGGGCCTATTCGCTGGAATTGCTGCACTGGTTTGAAAAAGATAATGTTGGAATGAAATGGCGTTGGGGCTTGGTAGAATTGAAAGATACCACAGTATAGATTAGACTAATTCATGAATACATCAAACGATGGCGTTGTCTATCCTCGGTTTCGGGCTGTTCTTGATTTCTTGTATGTTTCGGTTCCATCCATCTGACATTTCCCGTCGTCTTCGCCGTCGTCGTCAATGTTTTTGTTTTGGTGTCTGTTTGGCAGACAACATCCAAGAAACGTTTTCCCCTCGACCTGAAACCCTTATATCACACACGCATCCGCTGCTCTGAACTGTCCCCGTCGTTCCACCTGAAAACACAAGATCTACAGCCATAGATACTCAAGACGGAAGCAATTAACTCAGCCAACTTCCAGTTCAGCCTGCTTGCGGCTCTGATTCGCTGTCATGGACTCTGAAATGAACTTCTCCAAGGCCGTCGTCATATTGTTATTGTCTCTTACATTCTATTAAACAGAGCTGCTGTAGTCGACTTTGAGGCTCCAGTCCATAATCAGATGGAGGAAATCATGGTAATCACGACTAGTTGTTCATGTATGAGGGAGAAGAAGCCTGGTGTTCTCAGCGGAACGGTTGACTCTGCCAACATAACGTAAACCAGATCTGTCACCCGAGATATTGTTGATCGAAGCCACATAGCGCCTCTCAACTTTGACATCCTGTCAAATGATGTTTTGGTCTACCGGAAACGTCACATAGCTCATTCTGTATAAAAGTTGAAATAGTTATTTGCCCAAGGCTAGGATGCGTATCTCGTGCACAACGGGAAAATTAAGTGACTACCCTAACAGTCTCTCCAGTCTCAACCCTGTCGTCTGACGCCTTCATGTTAGAAGTTGCCGTTAATGTCTCAAGATATTGAAACTCTCGAAGACTTGTCTGTTGCTCGCATCATTCAAGAGCCTCGACAACTCATGCTCTTGGCCAACTCCGATCACCAAGCCCTTGGAGCTCAATAAGGACTACTGTCAATAACATCAAACACGCCTCAACTTCAACAACGTGCCATTGAAGTGGCTCGCTCGGCAGATACCAAACCCCCATACGAGCCCTCGGGGAACGGAACCCTCGAATCCCGCGCTCACAGGCCGGGCGAAAATCGCTTAACCTCCCACGCCTCAGACCTGCATACAACCCATGACCGCGTTTTCAATGCAGCCAACATCAGTCGACGGGCCAGAATCTCCCCAAAAACCTGCTTCGGTGGACGTGGCGAATCCCAGGCGTAGCCAAGCCGTCAATTCGTGCGAACATGCTCTCTCTGCCTTATCCTGCCGTGCTTTCCTGCACTCTCAACTGCCTTGCCTCACAGAATGCAATGCATAGTAATCTGTACTGGACCCTCTCTACCTGCAGAACGCACAATATCCCACAGCCAGCGGCCGAAATCTCACAGAATGCAACTTTTCTATCGGCCGTTGCCTTGGCAGAGGTGCATCGGCGTCAGCATGCCTAAACCACCCATCCCGGTCTATACGACAAAGTCAAAGATAACGGCGCCGCCTCGTCTCCTGTCTTCCTCTCTTCCAACGTTCGTATCAAATCGGCCCAACTGAAACACACAGCGCGAGCTGCAAAGAGGACTCGATTGGACGACGTGCCACCACGCCGTTGACGGCCCGATCAGCGCGGGATGGCCTGCATATTGACGTGGTGGGCAGTGGGAGAGGCGTCGGAGGGGATCTCAAATGCGTATAAAAATAACCGTTGGTGGAAGACTGCATCTTTCACTGGCCGGGGAAACGGCTCTAGCAGCGAACACGAAAACATGGAGGAGCGGGGCTGTTGGGTGTCGTTCCTGTTGCGGCTTCACGGCGACCGACTGGCTGTTCTTCGTCGCGCTATCGTGTACGACATGAGCTATGGCAATACGGCAGTCACTGATTACAGGCGAGACAAGACGATGCAACGTTGAAGAGAAAGCTTGGAGCTTTGGTGATGTGGCATCGGAAGACGGCACTTCACGTAGGGTAGCTTTCTCGACTGCACGTCTCAAAGCACCTCAACGGATGAGATGTCGCCTGCCTCAGTCACATGCTCCAACCATGATGTTGTTGCTACCATGCTGCTTGCAGTGTTACCGATCTCAGGCGCACAGCTACTGTACTGTAACCGGACTCCCAGACCCGAGTTCACGGGACGGTCTAGTAGGGATCAAGTTGTGCAAGGACAGCAGAGCCAAGAAACACTTATTGTGTTCTGACCCCAATGATCTTTCGTCAATGGTCAGGGCTCAACTGAATGCTGATCCTAAGAGGAAAGTCAAAGTATTCCCGGCTCAACAGTGTGCTCGTTCATGCTCGCCACGATGCAGTCGGTCAGCCACCGCTCGAGAACAATTCTTCCTGTAGAGCTAATGCATGCAACATGCATTGTTGGCAAATTCCCAGCCAGTAGCAGTGACTCTGTCAGTGGTTGAAAGAGGCCTCTGGCGTGTCAACCAATGGGCACGGCAGCTGTACGTCTGCAGTTGCAGATGTCTTGCTGCATGAGCATGTGGTTGGATGTGCCACAGTTGCCATCAGCACGTCAACTACGATGACACGCGAAGCCCTAACCATGATGAATTTCAAGTGTCTTTGAAAGTCCCTTGGTTTGTTGAAACAAACAAAGATAACTGACGCTGACTGAGGTGTTCGACTCGGTGGGGGGCACCTGTCACTCCAGAATGGAACAAAGGATGGCTCCAAACTCATCATGGGGACGCTACTGGAAGGCGTCGATCTGTTGAATAGGATTCTGTGCCGTCAAACCCCATGAATCCCAAGACTGAGAGGATACATGGGTCATCCCACGGCAAGGCCGGGAGGGGCGCTTTCAACGCCAATCGACCATTTGGTATGTTATTCGCCACGTCGCTTGGGAGGATATTCGGGACGAGGAAGCATCGCTGCCGATCTTCTAGTCAAGCTTCAAAGCGGGCCGTCCGAGCTGTTGGTGCAAAGAGCGGTTTGGGTCTGAAAGTAGCGAGCCGTTGGGTAACAGTCACATTGGCCTTCGACTGAAGATCTCGTAGCTCGTTGCTGATCTCCGGCCATGGCCATCGTAGGGCGAATACCGTAGTATTCCAGACAACACCCTCTCGCCTCAGCAACTGTGGATCTGATATCGAGACCTCGTCCGATATCCCGCATAGTTCGCAAAGTAGGGCCAGCTTCCCTCGCCTGAAGAAAGAGACGATTGATTGCTTTGGCCTCAGGGTCAGTGCTTCAGCTGGGCGTTGTTGTCTCTGTCTCGTATCGCGTCTGACTGGTCTGTAAGACGCACAGCATTGACTCTTTTTCTGGATGCCATCTGCCAAGGTCGTAGGCGCGCGGTGGGCCTTTTTCGTCTGGCCGTACCTATCTGTATCTGGACGCTGGTGAGCGTTGACGCTATCACCGCGTCTTGACGTGATGGTGGAAATTGCAGCAGGAGTCGGCCAAGACGGGTGATGACAGACCGGCGCAAGACTCAGCTAGTTGGTGCCATAGCGATTTAGTCCTAAAGAGGAAGTATTTCTTATCGCTCTTCGGCCGGCCAGGGGTCAGGCCAAGAAGGTGTCGTACAGGGGTCCTCTATGCAGGTACAAGGGCATCGTTGTCGATGGGTGCACGCCACGGAGCTAACAAACGCACCGGCGCAAGCCGTGTCCAGGCAAATCTGTTGCTGCTTTTCCGCACGATGGAGGACCAATGGGAACATGTTCCTATGCACCATGGGCTCTGGAGGTTTGTTCTGGCCACGATCTGGGCACCTGGCAGCCGAACAGAGGGAGCTGGAGTTGGATCCCGTCAGTGAAGCGAGGACGGGAAGCGGGACGAGAGGACCGGGGTTTGGGAGACTGATGTGCAAACGGAGGGAGAGGGAACGGAGACCATCTTCTGCCCCGTACACTATCACCAGGGCTGAGTGCCGGTTGATGCAGTGTTTCAATAGTGAGGTTTTGCCAGCCGTACATGGTATTCATCGCGGCGCGGCAGTGATGTCCGTAGAACGTTGCCAGCACAGTGAGGTGCCATCGACATGTCGAGTAAGGTAGTCTGATATCCGCAATATTGGGCAAAGGACGCGGCTAGACCGCACCAGATTCGCGTGCTTCAGGTTTGAGGGTGGGTTGAGAGATAAAGGAGAAGCAGGACATGACTCTCATCCCGTCGAGGTGGAAGCCGAAGATGTTGGTCAAAGAAGACGTGATACGAGTCTCTCGAGCTAAGAGACGCCGGCTTCAAAGTCAATGAAAACTCGAAGGGCCTGTGCGGAAGATTGGTGACTGATGACTGAGAAGGGAGACAGGCCGAACCGAAAGAGAGACGGGAGACGGAGAAAGCCAGGAGAAGGAAAACACCAATTCTACAGTGCATGATCCTTTACCATCGGAACTTCCAGGTCACTAGCATGTCAGTTACAGCTGATGTCCACTGTGAACAGGCGCCACAAGCTGCCCATCAATAGCGCTAGACAGCGGCGTCAAATGGGAAATTGCCGCCAACAGGCCGAGAAAACGACACCAACAAGAGCCTAATGCTTGGTGGAAGTGTGTGAGGTGTGAGAAGCTGAACTGCTGGAGACAGCTTCCTGGCCCCCCCGGCGCCGCCGTAAGAGCCAAGAGCCACAGTACCTACCTCACGTCCCTGACTGAGGTGATGGAAGTGAAATACCTGTCCCGCACTTGACCTTCCTGATCTTAGCTTCCCGTCCCTTCAGTCTTCATTTGCCTGTCTTTTACCTACTCAACCTCGCCTCTCTTTCACATCCATCATCCTGCCGAATCTTTTCCCTCTCCTTTTGCTTCGTCCTTCGTAGGTAATACTTATCCTCCACCTGTCGCTCTCTTCCAGAATACAGAGGCATTCGACACTTCGGAAGACATTGCTCTAGAAGACCCAGCAACGAGAGAGAAGTCATTCGTTCTTCTCCAACGACAACCACACTCGCTTCACACTCGCCATTGTCCCCGCGCTTAATTGCTCCGAGGGACCGCAGCTCATTCGAGTCTGCCGCGGGATAGCTGCTACTTTATCTTGAGCAATCGAATCGGCTTCAATCAGCATTCACAATGGACCAAGATCATTACAACCAACCCTACTACTCCAGGCAAGTCGCCGGACAGCCTTCGCAGGCCACAACTGCCGCCGGCACCCCGATGCGCCCAGGCACTCCCGAGACGGGTCGCAACCCGTTCAACGACGGTGCTGAGTCGCAAGCATCGCAACGCCCTGGAATGGGCACAAACCCCTTCGGCACTCCCGCCGTCTCTCGTCCTGCTTCAAGCTTCGGCTCATCGAGTGCCATTGGCACCCGTTTTGATGAGCGTTCTCAGCGCTACTTCCACTCTAGACGTATCCGCAAGGAGGATGTGGAGAAGCCTTGGCTGGACAAGGCCGACCCCAAGGAGAAATGGGTTACCATCATTCCCATCATCGGCATCCTGGTTGGCCTGGGAATCTCGGGTTTCCTCATCTGGGACGGTATTCGCAGTGTCGTCAAGCACAAGTACTGCCCCGTGCTCATCGAGGACTTCAGCTCCGGCAACCTCGACAGCAAGATTTGGACCAAGGAGGTCAACGTCGGTGGCTTTGGGTACGTTCTGTCATTCTCTCTACTCTGCAATGACGCTAACAAGGGTCCAGAAATGGCGAATTCGAGTGGACAACCGCCGATGAGGAGAACATTTACTTCAAGGACGGCAACCTCGTCATTCACCCTACTCTCACCGATAACCAGATGATTGAGAAGGACACCGTCGTTGACCTGCTCAAGGATGGAACTTGTACATCGGACAAGTTCACTGACTGTGTTGCCGCCACCAACACTACCACCGGTAACGCCACTATCGTTCCTCCCGTCAAGTCTGGTCGCCTCAACACGAAGAAGGGTGCGACCATCAAGTACGGACGTGTCGAGGTCGTCGCCAAGCTTCCCAAGGGTGACTGGCTCTGGCCCGCCATCTGGATGATGCCTGTTACGGATACCTACGGTGGCTGGCCTGCCTCTGGAGAGATCGATATTATGGAGTCTCGCGGCAACAACTGGACCTACGAACAGGGTGGCGACAACATCATGTCATCAGCTTTGCACTGGGGACCTGACCAGGCCAACGACGCTTGGTGGAGGACCAACAACAAGCGCCAGGCTCTTCACACAACCTACGGAGACAACTTCAACACCTTCGGTCTCGAGTGGTCTCAGAAGTACCTTTTCACATACGTCAACAGCCGCCTGCTCCAGGTCATTTACACCAACTTCGACGAGCCCATGTGGCAGCGCGGAGATTTCCCCCAGGCCAACTCCAATGGTACCCGCCTGACGGACGTCTGGAGTCAGACCGGTCGTCCCAACACGCCCTTCGACCAGCAATTCTACCTCATCCTCAACGTCGCCGTCGGCGGCACCAATGGATGGTTCGAGGACGGCAAGTCCAACAAGCCGTGGGTCAACACCAGCCCCAACGCCAAGAAGGATTTCTGGACAGCGACCGACCAGTGGTTCCCGACCTGGACCCAGCCCGAGATGACCATCAAGAAGGTGTCCATGTGGCAGCAGTGCGACGGCAACGAGGAGCTGTAAAAAGCACATGCAGCTGAATGACTTATTTCTTTTTCGCGGCCGGGAACATAGACATGTTTATTTTTGGGAAATAGATGACGGGCATGCGGTGCGGTTTCACAACGGACGGCAATGAAATTTCGGAATACCACATCTTTGGATTGCTTTCCTCCAAGCTCGGCGTGCTGGTGGCGCGTCGGCGCCTGTATATGACGACGATGTCTTTGGCTATATTAATTGCGTCGCCGAGGAGCCGTCACTCTGGGATGGGGAAACGTTACACTTACCACCATAATGAATTTGAGAACCCATTTACACATTCCGTGAGGCAGACGAGATGTTCATCTCATCATCACCTGCAAGGTAATTTGCGAAGATGGTCACGTGCCAAGCATCATCATTGTGCATCTGCAGCCATTCATCCCTGCGTCTCACTCGACTCAACGCAGGTAAATGGCCGATGCAGTCATGCCGTACCACCACCACCACCGTGAGACCGGCGCCGGTTCATGCCTCGTCGACGGACAATTCTTGTTGTCCTCTCTCATGCAGACGCAGCAGCACACTCACCGGGCAGATAATGCGCGAACCTGCCTGGGAGTCGCTGGCCTGGCTGGCCTGGACTCAATAAACCTCGCTCGGCCTGCAGCCCTGCGGCGGTGGACCAGCTACACGGCATGGCCAAGAACCAAAGGGCCGCCGGAGGGCCCTTTTTTTTTTTTTTTCCTCAGTGTGCGTTGCTGATCCGGGCCCCGGTTTGTCTGTCGGGCGTACGTACGCGGTCGAATGGCGAACGAGTGACTCGGCTTTCATTGTATTACATGTTACGTGAAAACCTAGCGGCGGGAGTCGTCCGAGTGAAAGTGAGAGTGACAGTGAGAGTATCCGTAAGAGTGTCTTTGCCACGCATCAATAACGAAAATCTTGGAAAGTTGGACAAAATTGACTGCTAGTGCATGCCGGTCACACTCTCTTCCCCTCCCTCTAATTCTCCAATATTCTTCCGCGCAACGAGTTCGGATCCCGAGAGGTGTTACGGACGGGAGGACATGTGGACATCAATCCCTCTTGCAGTGATGTCAACGTGATTTTGCTTCCTTTTTGTGGGGTCCGCGGACTGATCACGATCAACGAGGTTGAGATTTTCCCGTGTCTCGCTTCAGGTATATAGAGTTCAGAGACTATGGGGAAGAAAGACGAGACCATGCTGTGAGTCTTGGAATCACAGCCTAGGTCCACTGAGATAAAACCAATGTCTGTCCCACCCCGCCCCGCCCCCACCGGCGCCGCGATCTGGGGGGGCTGTTCATCCCTTCTGGGTCAATATCAGAGTGCGAAGCTCACGATATGAGACGTTTGGAAGGGCGAGTGAGTCCGGCGATGGGGTTCGCGGCGGTTCCGCGGGTACAGCTGCGTCGGCGTAGTAGATAGACTTGCACCCTCTGCTTCTTGTCCCTAATGCGGTCGACGGCGCTGTTTCGGGGTCCTTTTTTGGGGGGCATGCAAACGCGGACTATTAGATCAGCTCCGTGCCTAGAGGTCTAGGCGAGAGCTAGTTGGCTTCAGGTTGAGGTTGTAAAGCACCGCGGCGGCGGTGGAGTCGATGATGGGCGTGTTAGTGTCCGCCGCCGTGTTTCCGAAGAGGCGTATCGGTACGGTACTTGTTGTTTGAACGGAATACCCAGGCCTGCGATGACCAGGATTCCACATTGTTGATTACGATGTGAAATCCGGTGGAAAGGAAAGAGATGCGATTTGGACGGTGGGTTCTTACTCGGGCCAAAGACCACGCGAGAAACGAGCACGGGGGGAAAATCCGGGTTTGCGCCGAAAGAGATTGTGTAAGCTCGCGCCTTCGGCAGGCTCAGGGTTCTTTCTTTCTTTCTTCCTTGCCAAAAGTCTCGGACAAGGATATCGGTGAGAAGTAGGCTATCAGAACCCACTTTTCATCATTGATGCTCCGACCGGCGTCAAGTTTCCGAGTCTTTGTTTGTTTGCCAACGGCTTGGCCCGGGTCGCCGTTCGCCAGCATCGAAGCGCTGTCAGATGTAGTAATCCTCGAGTTTGAGCTCAAAGAGCAACAAACAAGAGCTCGGGTAACGGCCGGCGGGTAGCACGGAATGCCTCTTTGTCCATCTACTATCCGACATTCCCTTGCGAGTCGCAAGGCCCTCGGGATCCTACCTCATGCTGACGTTTCTCGTCGGCCGCCCGTGATAACATCAGCGGTTAGGATATTTGGACGGTGGCACTAACAAAGATTCCTAGGAAGCATTCGTTACGGACGCGTCACATCGCCTCCTCATGGATTCCCACGGACTATGCGCGTTTCTTTCCCACGGTTCTCGGCATGCATGTTTACGAATGCCCACATGCGGCACGTTTTTGCCTCGTGGCTGGCCGTTTGGCTGGCTGAGATATGAAGCTCGATGTACCGGGTGTTTGCAGAAACGATGGAGAAACGCGCCTTGACCTCAGCTTGAAAAATGGGCTGATGGAGATATTGAGGAGAAGCTCCTCCGTAGATGCGACCGCATCTTGATTGCAAGGCCAGGGGCAGACGGCCACGGTCCACGGAGATGGACATGATTGGGCCTCCGGGTGATCCGCCGGTGATGTTCCCCATGTGTGGGCCAGCCGGGCTGGGACCCCGGCGCCGGGATGCAGCGACAGCTTGCACCTCGTGCTTTTCACCGAGAGATAGTTGATAAGAAGTGGCGCCTGTAAGCGGCATTGTCGCAGTTGTAGCCACTCCGAGCATAGTAACCAATATGATGAGGCTGAAGATAACCCAGGTTATCGTCGAAAGGGGCGTTATGCGACAATATGTACGCGGGCGCCAGAGATGATGATTTGTGTTGCTGCCTCCCTGGGTCAAGAGCGGCTGACCCAGTACACTGGTATCCTGTACCTGTAATGAAGTCAACGCCACGAGCGAGCCGCTCAACGAAGTCAGCCCTCACACGTTGTACACTATGAAGTTCATCGTGGTGGTGTGCGACTTGCTTCCAAGCCTTGTACTGGGCCAAATCTTGCTCAAGAGTGCGTGAAAGATGCATGGGCGGTACGCCCAGCTAGTCAATATAGAGAGAGTAGGCGCGTGGAAACCCCTGACTTCGAAGCCTTGCTACTATCATCGTGGACCCCTTTTCTGTAAGTTGGGTGGAAATTGATGGCTGCAAGCCACGACATCTGCAATCACGACAACGGCTCTATCTGATTGGGCCGTCATGCGTAACAAGGTCTAAGGCCGTGGTTTTGGAGCCAGGGGCATTTGACAGTGGTCAGAAAAGCTTGATTTTCCTCGCGGAAGTCAGATCATCCTTTCTCGAATTTGTCTTGGTCCATTGGGCAGGAACATAAATCGGTAAGCATGCTATCGAAGAAAATGTTCGATAGGTGAGATGTCGGTGAAAGCTGCCGTCAGCAATATTGGAGCAGCAGTATCAGACGCAATGAACCGTGATAAGCTTAAACTGCAATGAGACCAGGGGCTGCTGGCGATAATGGGCGCTATCCTGGCTCGACAATACCTGCAGTCTCTGCAGTCTTTCGCCATAGAAAGTTTGAAGAGCTGTCTGGCTGGCAGACTTGGTGTCGTTCCCGTCCAGCGACCAGTGAGGAGCCTCACAGCCGTTGGGTGACCGGCACGTCCCATCCCATCCATCCACAATCGCTACCAAAGAATCTCGACTTTTCGCCCTTCCCGTCGAGATTCAACGGTTGTGAGGTGGGTGGTTGGCGGGTGGGTGCTCTCGAGCAAGGAGGTGTAGTAGGCAGAGCGTGTGTGGCATTGTCGATGTCGGATTGGTGGGTTTGCAATTGCATCCTCTTGCACTGCAACTCCACTGATGAATACGAAGAATTGGCGCCTTGGAAATCCCCAAAAATAAACACAGCCACCCCCGGCTGGACGCACAACCTTTTCTTTCATATTACTCGCTCTGCTCTGCCCTACCGTGACCAGGGCATTCCAGTTGACAGCACCGGTGGCCCGCAAGCCGCCGGAAGTTTTAGCGATCATGACGGAGAATCGGTGGGCCTCGTTGGCTCGTGAGGTCGCCGCCGTCAGCAGTGTGCTTCCGACATACAACGAGTCTGTCGAGATGGCGCCTTTGTCTCTATCACGAGTGTGGTTAGTCCAATGAAGCGACCACCGCCATTTTCCTGGGCGGTCTTATGCCGGCTTACTCGCCACCTGTAACTGAGTCGTCGACCTCTGAGCGCATCTTTGCCCGGATATGGCAAGGTTCACTCTAGACCATCTGCGTTGCCATTGGCCTTGTATCCGTTCAGCAAATCATCAGGATTTTCTTGGTTATCTTCGAGCTCAAGTTCTGGGTCGTCGTATCAAGTCTCTGCAGCTAACAATCTTCTGGAGGTCGTCGACACGGGCGTTCGTATCCAAGCTGCCATGGGTCTGTGTTTGTTCGTGCCACAGACAAGATCAAGTCTTGTTGACAACAAGCCGCAGCATGTATGGTGTCCTTCAACTTCTGTAGTCAAACTTGCATGCGTCTGAATGCTCATCCAAACATCTTGGTACAAGAACACGGCCACGCCCAAGCAGAATATGGTTTGGACGGACGTTGTAATGCCATGTCGTTCGCCGCAGAGGGAAACATTGGACAAAGATGACTGACGGGAGTCCCAACGCCCTGGTACCTGATGTGAGGTACTGCGCCGCCGTCTCATCTTCCCTTAGCTGTGGCATCATGGCTTTGCGTCGTCGTTGTCAGTTGGGTCCGCGGGTTGCACTTGGGTGCAGGCGTTCCAGAAGCCGGTTCTATTTTCCTGTTAGCGTGCTGTAAATATTCTCAATATTTTTTCCCCTGCCGTATCGATTTAAAAAAAAAAAGACGTCTTACCTGTGGCTAGCACGCCGGGCACCCGTTGGTCGCCTGGAAGTAGCTGCATACGCATGGCAAAGGGTGGACGAACCCCTGTTCACGCCACTCATCGGATGCTTGTCGCTGCTTTTAGTCGCAGAGGTTTTCAGCGACCGAATTTTGCTCGTCGAGGGAAGCCCTTGGAGAAGCCAAGAACCCGAAGACCTTCGGGGAAATGCACCCCTGTTGATCGCTGTTCGTCTCTGGGTTCTCGATATTGCGATAGTGATTACTCCAGGTCCATACTCCCATACGCGAATTCTGAGGCATGTGTAACGTCATCATTACCCTGCGACGGATACCAGCCGTCTCCTTTGTTGAGGTCCAATTCGGTAAACCGCTTCCCGAATCCTTTGTCTTTGTCGGGTCCATTGCATCTTATCAAGATTGGCATGAAAGTTGCATATGACGAGGCGCGACGAGGGTGTCTTCAAGGGTAGCTACTGTACCTTTTCCGATAAAAATTCTCAACGTGGCTTCGGGCGGGAGCTGCCCCCCGAACGGTATAGGCTCTCAACAGGCTCTATCATCGTCGTCACTATTGAATGCTCTAGTGACTTGGTGGACGGGTTCTTCTTAGCCCAGCCAGACCTGTCAGTTGGCGACCTCGCAGGAGCTGAAAGTATCGTGCAACACAGGTGTGTGTCGCCGGGAGTCGATAAACCGCCAAGCCAGTAGTCTGAGGAGATGAGCATCCAGGCATTAACCGCGCTTGTGATATTGCTCTGTGTTCAGCTCCAAGCCCGATTATCACGATGGCAGACTGAAGGCTTTTCTGCGCATTTGGCACGGCACCGCGAATCGGGTTTGTTATCTCAACAGGGTCTCGATGATGTTGGACAGAGACAATGTCACCCCGGAGGCTGGGCTGGAGAACTGTGTGCCTGGAGCCCTTGTATTAGGCGTCTTGGTTGGAAACCTCGTCGTCCTCGTCGGCCGCGCGCATATTGGTGGTGTCTTTAGTGGTGGTGTTCCAGATGGCGTGCAAGCCGAGGCCGATGGAAGAAAGTAAACAGCGGCAAAGGACGATGTATCTCGTCTTGACGCTGACGGAACACGGACGGCGGGAGTAAGGTAGCCAGCGTGGCAATGCCGAAGTGGACCAAAAGTGTATGCACTATCCTGTTGATATCATGGTGTCTCTGACTCGGGTTTCGTGTCCACGAGGCGCACATGCGTGTCTCTCTTTCTCTCAGCAGTGGAGTAATGGCGTTGGATACGTTGTCGCTTTGTTGAAATCGACCAAGGTATTGTATGGGCTCTCGGTAGGTGTCATGGATTTGTTGTCGCGTAGCGTGTCCTGAAAAAGATAGTCGGATGTGCTTTGTAGTCTACTAGGTAGTAGAGTATACTTGGTGGATGAAGATGACATAATACCGGGGATATCGCCGAGTACTGATGCGGTGCGAAGTGGTACCGTCGTGCAAAAGTGCTTCGGCTGCTGGGTAACGACGGGAATATGGCCATGGGATCGGTAAATAGGCCGATGGCGAGGGTGGCACGGATTCGAGGTTGGACCTGACAGTCTGGTGGTGACGATCTTCCAAGTTTCCGGTATCGCGGGCCCGTGGTTGCGGCTCTTTGGCGATTATAGCGACAAGCAGTCGAGGATACCAGACAAGGTATCATTGGTACTGAGCATGCCCAAAGAGGCAGTGGTATGAGGAACGGTTCCTTGGCGATAAGTTGAAAGGAAGACTCAAACAGGATACCTCAGTGAGCCAAAGCAGTTTAGTCAAGACCTGATGGTCCGGTCGGCCACGGGTAAAAATGGCAGAGCGCCACCCCGGTAACCGCGTCCCGTTGTTGTGACTGCCCGCCGTCAATTCCTGAGCTCGGCATCCTTCGTTTGACTTCCATTCACTTTGGTATCTTCAAAGTTTTCACAATTGGATTGGAAAAGAGACCATCTGCAGTCGTCACCTCTCAATGTGGAATATGGAAGGCCCGGACCTCAACCACGGACACCGGCCGGGCGCGACTGCCCTCCGGGGCGGCCTAGCGTAGCCGAGACTCCACTTATCTGGTCCCATCAAGCAAGGGAGCACAGGCCGGCGTAAGGCTCAGGCTCAGGCACAGACGGCGCTTGAGTGGGGTTCAAGGTAAAATAAGCGGAGCTAGAGGCCGTCTCTCCTTCCTTGTCCATTCGAAGTTTACCCCTGATCCCAGGTAGTTCTTTCCCTTGACCACGCCCCTCCTTGTTTATTGTCCTCCTCACCTTCCCGTTTAGCACACAGAGTTGGCCTTGAACCCTTGGCAGCCACGCGTGGAAGTTGCTGAATATCCACCCACACAAGCACGCTCACCCCTCCCCTTGCCATGACCCTTGCCTCTCTTGCCGTATTCGGGCATCATGGCCTTTGCTGCATCTTGCTTATTTTTTATTTTATTTTTTGTAAATTGTACACTTTTGTTATTCTTTTTGGCTTTTCAAAACGTTTACTCGGAAACTAGACCTGATGAGGCCAAGTCATCAATTTCCGCCTGCTGGCTTTTCCCTCGCAGTGTTTACTGCAGCTCATCCCATTAAACACTGCGATGGCGCCCTCTTTCATTTCCACAACCAGACGTTAACGGGAGGACTCATTTATTGCTGCTTTTCTAGACAGCGCCTTTCTTTTTTCTCCCCCTTCCAATCCCTCGCTGACTCCCTTCCCCCGGCGTTGCCGCCGCCTTGCTGCTATTGCCCGCCTGTCTTCCCCTCTTTATCGGACTATTCGTATCCTCCACGCCCCTCGCTCGCTGATCATCCCGGTCCAGCGTGGCAAGCAAGCAAGCACTGCCAAAGATCGTCGATAATCGTCAAACCGAGTCCAGTCTTCACTCCGGGATACCACGCAGGACCAGGGCGCCCGTCCCAGTAACCTCGAATCGAATAGAGTGGAATCTCACCTCCATCATCAATATCCCGGCTCACCTCACCTCGCCTCGCCTCGCCTCGCCTGGCTTCGCAAAAGGTACCGTACCCGTCGCTGTCCGTCCGCTTACACGGGAAGTTTCCCAGCCTCTGCCCTCTGCCCTCCTCGCATCACGCATTGTATATCTCATCCCGTCGGTGACGGCTGGTATCCGTACCAAGTACCCTACCAGCGAGCACTCGTCCGTATCCCACTCACACCACTCCCGTGAACCACGCCCAGAAACTACTGTGCAGTAGTGCTCTACTCGTCTCCCAAAGATATCCTTGCTTGCCTACGGCCCTTGCTCTGGCCCCGGGCTCCAGGCCGGCTTCTGCAGAGTGCAGACCTTGCCTTGGGCCTGGCCCTTGGCCCTGGCTAAAGAAGGAATTCCCTAATCACCTCCCTCCCCCACTCCACCACCAACAGCACCACCACCACAACCACCACCATCAGTACCACCACTTTCGCTTTCACCCGCCGGCCTTTTTGCCTGACAGACTATCCGCTGTCCTATCCCTGGTCTCGTTGGCGAGGCTCATCGACGCCTTGCCCGATTGGATCTCTCGTGTTTCTTGCCGCTCGTCCTCCTACGCCTTTGTCCCCTCAATAACCTTTTCACTTCTCCCTCGTCCTTGACCATCGATTCCGCCTTCTTCCCTTCTTCTCTCCCTCGAGATCGTCTGCCAGACTAACACTCAAGGCGCCTTCAACAGAGACCAGAGGCTCGCACTCTTCAAGAAGTGCTTCCTCACCGGCTTGTCGCTTGCCAAAAGGTCCGCATTCCTCGACTCGACATCGCCATCGACTTCCACCTCGACATCGATTCAATTCGACTCGACAACTGGCGCCTTCGTCAATGGTAGCCTGAACCTCTCCAAACAATCGCTACCCTGCTTCCCTGGCTCCACTTGGAAGCCTGTACACTCGCTACTTCATCCCGACACAGTCCGAGTTTGACTACACTTCAACTTGAACGTTGGGTTCCACCAGCTTCATTTTCCTGAGCGCGCACTTCCCTCAACTCTGCTCATCTCGGCATCAACAAGATGGGTATCGGCAACTACTTCAAGGCCGACAAGGCCGAGGCTTCTCGAGGGCCCAGCCCATCAAACCGCGGAAACCAGGCTCCTGCTGTCTCGGAGAAGGCTTCTTCCCAGCAGGGAAGCTCCAACGACATGGAGCTCCAGCCACCAACCCCTCGCTACAACTCTCGCCCTCAGTCCATCTCTGGCAGGTCAACACGCTCCAATGGCAGCTCCATGTTCCTGGACGACATCAAGCACGAGGTCATGGTCAACTACCTCTACCAGCAACAATGCTCCCACTTGTGGGTGAGTGACGGATCCGGCGAGATTGAAGGCGTGCTCCTCCGAAAGGCTAGGGGCCAGTACATGGCCTGCCCGCCACAACTGGGCAACTCGCCCTTCGCCATGTCATGTGCTGCCCTCAACGTCCAGTGCGCCATGACGGTGAACTCTCGTGTCATCAAGACGTTCCTCCAATGGACACCCGACGCGGTCGACGTCCCTTTGACGAACGGTCTGCGAGTCCAAATCCTCCCCACCATCGAGGACCTGCCAAGAGCGAGGAAGCACCAGTTCGCTGCCTTCGTGGCTTCGGAAGGCCTCCTGATTGTTTGGGATGACGACGCACTGCATCTCGTCCAGAGAGCCAAGGCTATTGAGTCAGAACTCATGGAATTGGTCTGGAAGGCCGGTGCGGACGACGAAGACGGTGACGAGAAGAAGGGACCTACCGTTGCCGACTACGAGATCGATGAGGAGAGCGGTGAGATCAAGCCGGAGAAGCGGCCTGTTCACCTTCTTAACACCTACCTGGTTTCCATCACACTCGTGCTCGTTACCGTGTCCTTGGGTGCTGCATGGAGACAGCTGGCCATTGAAGTCTCGGTAGACGGAGACTATCTTCGTCTGGCACTCGTCGCTCTCTTCCCGGTTCAGATTTTCTTCACCCTCTTCTTCGCTCAGGTCATCGTCGGTTGCTTGGCTCAGATCTTCGGCCCCATCCGTCAGTTGACCATCAACTCCAAGTTCTACTCCGCCCGCCCTCCCCCGAGACTGCAGAACAGCGTTCTTCCCCACATCACCGTACAATGCCCCGTCTACAAGGAGGGTCTTGGTGGTGTCATCGCTCCCACAGTCAAGTCCATCAAGCAAGCCATGTCCACCTACGAGCTCCAGGGTGGCTCTGCCAACATGTTCATCAACGACGATGGTATCCAGCTCATCTCCGAGGAGGACCGCCGTGCCCGCATCGAGTTCTATGCCGACCACAGCATCGGCTGGGTTGGTCGCCCTAAGCACGGCGAAGATGGTTTCCTGCGTCGCGGCAAGTTCAAGAAGGCCTCCAACATGAACTACGCCCTCATGATTTCCAATAATGTCGAAGAGAAGCTCCAGCAGATCAACCGCACCGCTGATTGGACTCAACACGACGAGGCGCAGGCCTACGAGCATGCTCTCAAGGAGGTTCTCGAGGCCGACGGCCGTGCGTGGGCTGATGGTAACATCCGTGTCGGCGACTACATCCTCATCATCGATTCCGACACCCGTATCCCTGCCGACTGCTTGCTGGACGCCGTTTCTGAGATGGAGCAATCCCCTGATGTCGGTATCATGCAATTCTCCTCTGGAGTCATGCAGGTTGTCCACACCTACTTCGAGAACGGAATCACCTTCTTCACCAACCTCATCTACTCCGCCATTCGCTACACTGTCTCCAACGGTGATGTCGCGCCTTTCGTCGGTCACAACGCTATCCTTCGCTGGAGTGCTATCCAGCAGGTCGGCTACTTCGACGAGGATGGATACGAGAAGTTCTGGTCTGAGTCCCACGTGTCGGAGGACTTCGATATGTCTCTTCGTCTGCAGTGCAACGGCTACATCATTCGCTTAGCTGCTTGGGCTGGCGAGGGTTTCAAGGAAGGTGTCTCTCTTACCGTATATGATGAGCTTGCCCGTTGGGAGAAGTACGCTTACGGCTGCAACGAGCTTCTCTTCCACCCTATTCGCACCTGGCTCTGGAGAGGTCCTTTCACTCCCCTGTTCCGCAAGTTCCTGTTCAGCAACATTCGTTTTACGTCCAAGATCACTGTCGTCTCGTACATCGGTACCTACTACGCTATTGGCGCTGCCTGGATCATGACGTCCGTCAACTACTTCCTGATGGGTTGGTACAACGGGTACCTCGACAAGTACTACGTCGACTCCTGGCAGGTTTGGTTCTCCATCATCATCGTCTTCAACGGTCTCGGAAACGTCGCTCTCGCTGTCATGCGCTACCGTGTCGGTGAGAAGAGCCTGATCATGGCCTTCTTCGAAAACATCAAGTGGACTTTCCTGCTCGCCATCTTCCTCGGTGGTCTTAGCTTGCACGTCAGCCAGGCTCTGCTGGCTCACATGTTTGAAGTCGACATGACGTGGGGTGCGACGTCCAAGGAGGCCGAGTTCTCCAACTTCTTCATCGAAGTCCCCAAGGTTCTGAAGAAGGTGAGTCTTTATATCTTCCCCTCCCTTGGCTGCGTCAGCTTTCGGTGGCGTTTCCCCCCACATTCCTGTGGTCGGCTTCACCAATTGCGACGCGATTCCGCGCCATGCTTCGGACTCTTCGGGCTTGATTGCTGACATGTTTTTCAATAGTTCAAATTCTCCATGCTCTTCTCATGCGTCTTCATCGCTGGAATGATCATTCTGGCTGTGGCGCCCTTCATCCCTCACGACTGGCGCATCACAGATTTCGTCGCCATCCTTCCCATGGCTACCGTCTCTGCCAGCCATCTCCTCCTGCCCATTGCACTCAACCCTGCGCTCATGACATTCTCGTGGTAATTGATTTATCGCGAAGAATCTCGCGCTGCGCATAATTGCTTATTTATTTGGGCCCTACGAGGCGGTCGATATTTGTACTGCCCCAACAGCGGGCATTGGGCGTTTCTCGCACCGGTATAGACTTTGGATGGAGTTGCGGCACGATTGATACCTAGATTCGAGCTTGAGCACGTCATGACATGATGAAACGTGGCTCTTGTGTTTTCTTTCTTACATGATATGATGCAAATATCTTTGCTATTTATTTATTAAAGCCTAATCCTTTTTACGACCATGAGGTTGGTGGCCAGGAAAAGGCACCAAGGGACACTACAACCGGACGACAGGGCAGGGACATAACAACTAGATGACGGTCACATATGGATGCCCTGAAGATGGGATTTCCTTCTTACGCACAATCTAGACAAAATGAATATTCATCAAACTTGGTTGCTGCTTTTTGGTGAAGTTGTCCGCCTGAATCAACGAGGCCTAGGCTCCAGACCTTGCCTCTCCTCAATACCCTGGCGACTCGTTGATGTCTTCACTGAGACTTCAAAATTGAAGTTGAGTGAGTGCCGCCCCAGCAGTACCTTCAGTCCTGCATATCAACGGTCACTTCTCGTCAGTCCTTGCTTGCGACTCTGGTGAGTCTACGATTGCGTATATCCCCAAACCTAACAATGGCGGGATTACGCGATGCCGCTATGGAAAAGAAACGCAGTATGTCACCTCAAGACGCCAAGGCAGATACTCCAATTTGAAAGTGTGCGAACTCCCACATGCCCACCGAAACGAGCACAGTTCTTCCTGTCTCGTGAGCATGCCCGGAAGCAACCAGGCGCTGCCGCAGAGTCTATTCCTGTCCTTTGCAGTTAAGGCCCAAGTCACAGCAACACTGTCTGTAAGTCCACATGGATGCTTGTGTATAAATAAGACGGTGCTTTGGTTGGTACCCGGTGACGGGAACCGAGAAACGAAATCGAGGCTCATGGTCAATGTTTATGTTGAGATGTGGGCATGGGTTATGGACTACCGTCTATCTCTCAGCGCATGCGTGTAAAAACAATGAGAGTAAGTTGAACATGCTCCATTCGTCCTTCTGCACCGTCGTTGCCATTGATGAGGTATTTGTACGGATATCAAGTGGCTTCGCCGCAGCATCGAACACGACAGCCCTCATCCATGCTCCACAACATGAGATATCTACATCGTTCATATGCGTAAAGACAACCAGTCAAATGTATGATGGCTGTGCCAAAACATTCACAGAAGGAGAAGAAGAAGAAGAAGAAGAAGAAGAAGAAGAAGAAGAAGAAGAAGAAGGTCTTGTTGCACCGTCGGCTAGAGCGTTGAACATGGTCTTTTCAAGCTGGACTCATGCTTCAATGCCAATTGACACCAAGGTCAAGGTTTTGCCGCTGATACCTACCAAAGCATTGTATATTTAAGTAGAACTTCACAAAGCATCCCGGCCACCGCATTTGGCTCCTTCAACGATATGGGTGGAGGTGTGATGAGTCTTTTAGATCCATGTAACCGTGGACAGTGCATCCAGTACATCCAACATGTGGATTCCCGGATCCAACCAGCCACGCTATAACGAAGTGTTCTTCCGTGAAGTTATCGAACTATGATACTCCAAGAACGAGGACGAGGAGTGCTGGAAGTAATTGAGAGCGAAATCTTGATCACTGTGTTTTCTGGACATCGGAAGCCTGATGTCGTCCACATCCGGCGGGAAATCCTGCGGAAGTTTGCAAGATACGAGATCACCTGGTCGACGCAATCCTAAAACCGATGAATCCCCGTTGACAAAGTCTCACACATTTTAGCATGGCCGCAGATTTAAATATCACCCAGACTCCTTTGGTGAGAACATAGAGCCGGACTCGAGACCAGGCGGGTGCGTATGTCTGCTAGGAGACGGCAAGCCTGGCATGGGGCCAATGATGATACACCCCTCGGTATTCCGTGAAGAGCTGTATATAAGCTATCTGTAAGCAGAAAAGAACATCTACAGATAGGATGGCACCTTCGTCCTATCCTAGAAGTGATTTGAGTCACAGGACAGAGATGATTTCCGGTCTTGAGAACGATGTTAAGCTAGAGGCCTGCCAGAGGCTCGAAGACGCAAGGGATGCCTATGACACTGCCCGGAATCGTCGTCGTTATACGCTGTTTCGGATGTATTCCTCTTGAATCACCAAGTGTTGTTGATTGATGACCTCCCAATAACGCGCAGCACTCTCCCCAACAGCTTCACCTCGGATCACATCTTCCCCAAGGTAATTACAGACACGTCAAGGAAGCCGTGATCATGTTGGTTGGTCTCTCAAATCAAGGATGCACCTCAACGAAACATTTATAGTGAGAGCTCAGGCGTGGCTGCACCACAGGGGCCGTTCAGCTTCCATAGCCAGATCCGCTCTTCGGCCATCTTGACCGCAACGTCAGTCTGGCAGTTGGCCAACGCAGAGGGACTCAGATCACGATGTCGTTGACCTCAAGCCCAAGATGTGATGCCGACATGCGTATATAACATGCAAGGTCTTGCATAGCTCTACTAGCTAGCCGCCATCATAGGTAGGCTAGAGCATTCATACTCTCGGGTACAGACTATTGCGCTTTCTTATCAAGGAGAAGGACGCACCGCATGCCGCAGAGCATCCTCGTCTTCAAGGAACATGACCCTCGCTCCCTCAACAATTGTCCATCCTCTTCCCCGACCACTTATCACGGCAGAATAACCGGAGAATGTTAGAATCGACTCCGAGAAAGGGGCCCGGCTCCTCTGACCCCTGAACGTGAAGCTGGAACGCAAGAGTCTTGCCTTCGCTCTACGCAGAACCTGACACCGGTCGTCTTGAACACCGACCAACTGAAGGGCTTTTCCTATGCGTGTCGGCTATCCTCTGCAAATCCTCCCCATATGGCGCTTTATATCTCAATCATGCAGCAGCACGCCACCCAGTCCCGACGGACTTTCGGTATATATAAACGTATGGACCGATTCCTAGACATAACCGTGGCCCAGGCGCGCCAAGGCAATACGACGGCCAAGAAAGAAGTTTGTGTCCATCTCTAGTTCACACAAATGCGCCATGCTGCCTTCTTTAGAGGTCTCGGAGTCATCTTGACTGAACATCCATCGTTAGGAGTATTGAGTGCGGATAAACTCAGAGAGACGAGGACCGATCGTGCTGGCGAGAAGGAGCCCGTCATGACTTTTGTCCAAGGCTGTCTGGCTTTCGCAGAGCGCCGTATACAACTGTCGGAGCGATCTTCTCAGTTGATAACAGACTTACACCGGAGACCTAAAAAATGTTGGTCTACCGTCTACTGTAGGACAATTCAATGCCTTTTATTTAGGGGCGGACTGAATCGCCCACCTCGGAACGAGTTAACATCCTCGTATCGATCACTATTCTTGTCAGCGTCGTCGGTGTCAACTTTCCTGGGGATGGGCTTAGCTTAGAGCACTTTCATAGACGACCTGCTAGTACTTGATTGCTTCAAGTGATGTGAACAGTATACCAACCCTATGCCAGACGGGCAAACTCATTCACTGATCATGAAGAAGGACGTGCAAAGTTGACTGGATCAATTCATTCCATCGTTCGAATAGCTCTAGGGTGTCTTTAAACTAAAGAAATCAACCCGCCCATCCCAATCCATCTATATGCAGAACGCCTCTATGGTGTTACCCCTTCAATCCGTCTAAAAAGCCCGGGGGCCCAGGGGTGTACGTCTTTACTCTAATCGCATCTCTCGGTCTACTCGAGGCGTCCGCGCGCTCGCTGCTTTGCGCAGGACAAACCGCTTTCCCAAATCCCGTTTGAAAAAAAAAAACACAAATCCCAAAATCACTTTTCCCGGCAAATCGTCTAGACAAAGGCATTCATCATATTACCGTCGCAAAAAAGCCATGAGGAGGTCTTCTTCTTTATTCCTCGTCATCGGTGTCGACCGGGTGGGGGGTGCCCTTGGGGCTGTTGAGCCACTCGATGTGACGCAGACGGCGACGGACCTCCTGCTCCTTGAGCTCCTTCTTGGTCTTCTTCTTCTTCTTCCTGGCCTTGAACTTCATTTCCGTGTTGTCTTCAACGCCGCTGTTGACGGCACTGTTGACAGCACTGGAGACGGCAGTGGAGGCGACGGTGCTAGGGACACCGCTGCCGGGCGCGCTGTTGTCCTCGAAGGAAGAGAGGTTGATGGCAGCGTTGCCGCGGAGGGCGACGCGACCGTCGTTGACGTGCCACTGCTCGGAGCAGAGAGCGCCGACGAACTCTTCGTTGTGGGAAATCAGGATAACACCACCCTTGAACTCGCGAATGGCGACGGCGAGACCACCGAGGGAGTCACGGTCCAAGAAGTTAGTAGGCTCGTCGAGGACGAGCAAGTGGGGGTTGTTCCACATGGCACCAGCAATGACGACCTTGACCTTCTGACCACCGGACAGAGAGCCGATCTCGTTGTGGTTGGCGATCTCGGGGTCCAGGCCGAGGTCCTCGAAGTGCTTGGAGATGACGGTGGGCTGGAGCTCACGGTAACCGAGACCCTCGCGGGAAGCCTCGTGGTCGTCGAACTCCTGGATGAGCTTGGTGAAACCCCACTCTTCCATGGTCTCGCGGGAAACCTGGGTGTTGTACTTCGGGAGCCAGCCCTTCCACTTACTGCGAGGTATTAGTGCGTGTGACCTAGGCATGGGATGCAGTTTTTACTTACACTTCGTATTGGAAGGTCTTCTTGTACTTCTGACGACCGACAACAGCCTCGATCTGACGAGGAGACTTGCCGTCCTTGAGGTCAATCAGCTTCTCCATCTGCTCCCTGTCCTTGTCGGAGAGGATGCGAGTCTGCTTCAGGAAGACCTCACGGTCGTCACCGTTGGCGTAACGCCATTGCAGGTACTGGTTGGGGGTCTTTTCCAAATGCATTTCGACGTGTTCAAGAGCGTGCTGCTTGATGTAACCGATACGCAGGTTGGGGTGCTTCTCGACCTTGCCGACACTGGGAATAACCTCGCCGGTAAGGATCTTGATGAGAGTCGACTTGCCCGCACCGTTGGGGCCGATAATAGCCACACGGGATGACAGGGTGAGCTGGCAAGAGACGTCCATCAGAGAAGGCTTGGGGGCCTTGGGGTACTGGTAGGAGACGTTGGTCATGCGAATGATGGCGCGCGTGTTGGACTTGACACCAGTAAGGATACCAGGAGGAGGGAACTTGAACTGGACCTGGGAGGCAGAGAGGGTGTAGTAGCTCTTGGCCTCGGGGCGAAGCTTGACGAAGTTGGCCAGGTTACCCTTGTAGCAAGCCAGCTTCTTGTTGGGCTCGTAGTGGTAGATATCAGTGGTGACGTTGTCGAGGAAACCAGAGTCGTGGGACACGATCAAACTGGTGATGTCGGGGTGTGTCTTGAGGTAGTTCTCCAACCAGGCGATGTTGGCAACATCCAAGTGGTTAGTAGGTTCGTCCAACAACAGAACGTCGGCGCCCTTGAGCATAGCGCGGGCCAAAGCCAGCTTCATCTTCCAACCACCAGACAGCGAGCCGACCTTGTGCGACTGGCGACCTTCGGGACCGCTGGCGAAACCGAATTCGGCGAGAACCTCGACGACCTTGTCCCTGCCGCGGGCGGCAATCTCCTCGTCCTTCAGGACGAAATCCAGAATGCTGATGTCGGCGTCCTCGCCCTGGTTGTGCTCGACGTAGATTGTGCGGAGAACATCCTGAGGAGGGAAACCCTCCAGCTTGCCGTTGGCAATGCTGCGCATGAGTGTAGACTTGCCAGCACCGTTGCGACCGCAGAGACCGTAACGGTGACCCTTGAGCAGTCTCAGGTTGGTGTGGGAGAGCAGCAACATGCCACCGTAGGCAAGGGAGAAGTGTGCGTTGACGATCTCAGTCTCGCCGTCGTCCTCCTTTTCGGGAACACCGAACTTGCGCTCATCCTCCTTGACGTAGTATTCCTCAACAGCATCGGCAATAGTCGTGTTTGCACCAGCAGTCTGGACCAGCGCCTGGAGGTAGGGGGCAATCCTGGCGGAAATGCGCTTGACGAAACGGTGGTTCACGTCTTCGGCGACCTGGTCGCAGATGTAAGAGCGGGCAACCTTGAAGTCGACCTGGCTGGCCAGGCCGCCGTTCTTCTTGATCTCGGCGTCGAGAATCTTGGCCACGTCGTCGCCCTTGACACGCTCGACGACATCCTTGTCGTCACCCATGGCCTTCTCGATGACGTCCAGAGCTCTCTTAGCAAGCTCACGGACCTCGGGGAGGGAAGCGCGGTCGTAGACACCCTTCACACCAGGCTGAAGCTTGGGAAGGAAGGTGCGGGCCTCGATGGGGTCGTGGACAAGCTTGGTCAAGTTCTCGACGACGACGACGGTCTGGCGCAGGACCTCCTGGGCGGTGGTGGGGGTGTTGAGAGATCGCTCCAGCAGAGGGGTCAGGAGAGCCAGAACGGGGGAGGTGACGATGGCGACGAAAGTGGTCATGGACAGGGCGTGGATGGCCTTGCGCAGGGTCTCGGTCGAGGGGTGCTGCATGGTGTCGATGAGGAGGGGAATGCGAGGGGCGACGTCGTCGTTGGAGAGCAGAGCGGTGAGAGCGGTCATGGTCTGGACAGCCTGCTTCTCAACCTCGGACTTGAGATCGTGCATGCCGGCCTCGACGATAGGGATAAGACCAGCCAGCTTGGTGCCCAGGGCCTCACGCAGAACGTCCTGCTCCTCGGCCTGCTCCTGGGTTGAGCCGACAGTCTGCTTGGCCTTGTCGGCCATCTTCTGCAGCAGCTTGAAGGCGGCGGCAGTTCCCTGCCACTTTCCGGTCTTCTTGGAGAGGTAGGCGGAGAGGGCGGGCAGCAGGCCAACGACGAGAGCCTCGGGGCTCAGGTTGTTGAAGAGAGCGTCCAGCGCATACTGAGCAGACTCGCGAACGACGGAGCCCTTGTCGGAGAGAGCGTCGAGAGAGCAGGCGACCATGCCGCCATCCTGAAGCAGGAAGACGACTTCGCTCAGGGGAGACTTGGGAGGGAGGCGCTCGAAGAGGGCACCAAGGAGGTTCTGGGCGGACTCGCGGATTTGGCCCGACTTCTTGTTGGCAGCAGCCTTCTTGATCTCGGCGAGGATGCCATACTGGATCAGACCCTGGTATCCGATCGTGTTGTTCAGGACTTCGCAAAGACCGTAGGCGGCATCGACGGAGGCGGCAGAGGTGGCCGCGTTGAAGACGGCGTGGATGAAGGCGGAAATCTCCTCCTGGGTTGGCGGGGAAGGGGCATCGCCCTTGGCCACGACAGTCATGGTCGGCGACTTCGTTTTCTTTTTTTCAGCGATAAGAGGCGGGGTATCAGCGCTTTTCGGAGAGGTCGACGAGAGAGAGGAAAGGAGGGGTATCAAAGTCGACGAAGAGCGCGAAAAAAGACCTCGCTTCTGCTGCTGACACGGAAGTGAGGAAGTGAGATTTTTTCGAAAGGCTCTCTCGTCCGTCCTCTCTCTCACACGAGTGTGTTGTGTGTGCGAGTGTTGCAGTAAGCAAGAACTCAGCGCCTTCCGTCGCAACACAAGATTTTTTTTAGATTGGGCGTCCGGGCGCGGTTTTTTTTTGCTCTTTGTCTTATCCACCAAGTAGAATCGCATCCTTGGCCCATGTGAAATTTTTTACTTATCCGGGTTCGTATCGGCGCTGATCCATTGGCTTAAGGCCCCTGCTCATCTCCGCTAGCGACCCCTTCTTCGTCACGATAAGGTACGTACCCAACCCCTCCAAGCTCCGTACCTCATCTTTTTCGCTCCGCCGCCAGTGTCTCTTGATGCCCGAATTACCAATCCGCAGCCAGCCATGTGCTCTTCTGCCATATGTATGTTGGATTCCAGATTGGCAGGGTCGAAAAAGGCCTTTCTTCAGCAAGTGCATCATGATACCTTAGGGTTCGTCAGTGTTGTCAACCCCACAGGGCACTCTCACTTAGGTAAGGTTGGTAAGAATGACATTCAGGTTGAAACACCTCCGTCTTCTTTGTTTTGCCGTAAGGTACCAAATGAACACAATCTCAGGCGGACTTAACCTTCCGGGCCAAGTGGTAGCTTTCTATCTTGTGTGCTGAAATTATCTCAATGGGTTCATATACAATTATTGCTGCTGTTGTTCTATCTTTTTATTCGTATTTGACTTATCGTTTGAGAGCCTCTCCATCAAATCTGCCGAAGTGCAAGTGCGACTTCAATCCTTAGGTATGGTGCGTTACTTGGGCCTCCTCTCGTGCAGCAATTCCACTGGAGGTACCCTTGAATTTTCAGCGTTCTCCTGCGTTTCGTTCGGTCAATATAAAACATTGCCAACAGGACTTCGAGTGCCAGATGCTCAAAGTTGAGCATCCAGGTTGACTGTTGCTGCAAAGAAAATACACGTTCCACGCCACTGCGGCTCTCCAAAATTGCGAGTTCGCTGAATGATCAAGATGCACGAAGATTCTGGAAGCCCAAAGTCAATGGCAGCTCAAGCGGGCTACTGTCTGTGTACAGCCAAGGCGTGCAGCGCATGATGATAATCAACAGAGTTCAGGAGAAACAGCCATCGGACGGCGAGCGTGCTCAACTTCGACGACAATGAGGCTGAAAATTCTGCATAGAGCCCGCGTCGGGGCCTGCAGATGCTCCTTGGACTTGATTCTCGCACCGGACTCGGTATTCCGAGTCTTCTCGCGCTTCTAGCTGCGGATACGGAGCAGTCGATCGCCTAGCCGGTTTGGCTGGTTCTCAGTGTTCGCCGCCGTGGTCTAGTTGAGACATGGTGTCTCTGATTTCCCAGCCGAGTACGAGTGTTGGCCAAGGAAAAGGACTGTCGCTGTTTCTTTTCGGAGGAGCACAGCAGTTCAGGAATCCGAGGTATGAAGAGGATATATTGCCTGCTGCGTCAAATTGATCAAAGACGAGATATCGTAACTTGGTTCTCGGATCAAGTTGATAACTCTCAGGACAATCGACTGAGGTTGGTGATGATAAACTCGTCTCGGTATCGGAACTCCCGTCGAGACATTTGAACGGAAAATCATCGGCTGAACTGCGTAAGGTGAGGGCGGTGACGGGAAGAAGCTAAATGGTGATTTGGCATGCTCTTCTGCCCGCCAAAAGGCACGCTAGGCCCGTGCTGCCGAGGGGACGAGTCGGGTGCCTGAAGATGGCGTCCTTTCAGTCCTTCCAGTCCTTCCAGAGCCCAGAGGGACGTCACTCTGAACAGGGGTGAGCGGTCCAAGCGGGGGACTGCCCAGCAGCTGTGTTTCCCCCCACTGTTTCAACCAGTCCCAGGTCTCTTTCCAGTGTTGGCACTGGATGGGACACCTCAAAAGGCACGCCGCGGGAGCTGCGACCCGAAACCTAAGAGAACAGACCTGACGCCCGTCCCCGGCTCCTGTCTTGACTTTTTTGTCATTCTTTCTCTTCAGCCACACATTGGATCTGTGTCGGAAGAAGAGGCATTGTTCCTGATCTGCCATTCCCGCACATCGAGTCGCTGCTCGACTGTCGTTGTCATTGTTGCCTCGAGCACAATACCCTGTCACCTCGCCTCCATACGTCTTCCCGGGGCGCATTGAGCAATGGTCCGCCGCCTGTCGTAACGAGTTGCCAAATTATCGACGACGAACCTACACTTCAACACCTACTCGGAGCTATTCACTCCAGCTGTCCATTCAACGATCCGTCAAATCGAATCACAGATTTAAGCAGACGGAAGCCTACGTCCACACACCATGGATCCCAGCAAAGAGGGACTCCTCCACGAGGAGAAGTCCCGTCGGTCCTACGACAGAGACTCCGAAGATGGCTCCGACATCGATACGACCGACTATCTCCCCCGCGATGCCCAGAAACAGTCCGCATTTCCCAAGCCCGCCTTCCTCTCCGGTCAGCGCACCGGCATCGTCAACGCTCTGAAGAACTGCTTCCGAGGCCGTTCGAGACTATGCTGGGCTTTTGCCGCCGCCATACTCGTCATGTGGGTGGTCATCAGCGCTGGCTCGGCTGTGTTGTACAAGAAGTTCAAGGCGGGCCCTCCCACTGGCCTGTCACCGCCGTGGTACCCGGCGCCCAAGGGCGGAATCTCTAAGAACTGGGCCGAGAGCTACAAGAAGGCAAGCGACATGGTTGCCAAGATGACGCTGCCTGAGAAGGTTAATGTCACAACGGGAACTGGCTGGATGATGGGCCTCGCCGTCGGTACCACCGGCCCGGCTGTTCATGTTGGCTTCCCCCAGCTTCAGCTTCAAGACGGTCCTCTTGGCTTGCGCTTCGCCGATAACGCGTCTGCATTTCCTGCCGGCATCACAGTTGGTGCTACCTGGAACAAAGAATTGATGTACCAGCGCGGCAAGGCGCACGGAGAAGAGGCGCGAGGCAAAGGCATCAACGTCCTGCTGGGCCCTTGCATTGGTCCTCTGGGTCGTATGCCCGCCGGCGGTCGCAACTGGGAGGGCTTTGGATCCGACCCTTACCTACAGGGCATCGCCGCTGCGCAGACCATCAGGGGCATTCAAGAAGAGGGCGTGATTGCCACTATTAAGCACTTTGTAGGCAACGAGCAAGAACATTTCCGCCAAAGCTGGGAATGGGGTCTCCCCAACGCCATCTCGAGCAACATCGACGATCGTACCCTGCACGAGCTGTACACTTGGCCCTTTTTGGATGCCGTCAAGGCTGGTGTCGCCAGCGTCATGTGCTCCTACAACCAAGTCAACAACTCTTATGCCTGCGGCAACTCGAAGCTCCTGAACGGCATCTTGAAAGATGAGATGGGTTTCCAAGGATTTATCCAGTCGGACTGGCTGGCGCAAAGGAGCGGCGTTGGAAGTGCGCTGGCCGGTTTGGACATGTCCATGCCTGGCGACGGACTTATTTGGGCGAATGGCAAGTCCCTATGGGGTCCCGAGCTCACCAAGGCGGTCTTGAACGGATCTGTTCCCATCGACAGACTCGATGACATGGTGCTGCGAATTGTGGCTTCATGGTACCAGATGGGTCAGGACGACAAGAAGAAGTTCCCCAATGAGCTCCCCAATTTTTCTTCGTGGACCGATGGCAAGATGGGAGTCCTTGCACCGGGAAGTCCGACACCCCAGGAGGAGTTCGAGGTCAACAAGTACGTCAACGTCCAGGCCAACCACTCCGACATCGCTCGTCGCGTCGCTGCCGAGGGCATCGTTCTGTTGAAGAACGAGAACGTTCTGCCGATCAGCAGAGACGGCTTCATCGACGCCAAGCGCAAGCGCCATGAAGGAAAGCTGAAGATTGGAATTTTCGGCGAGGATGCCGGACCCGGAAAGGGCCCCAACTACTGCAAGGACCGCGCTTGCAACCAAGGCACTCTGGGCTCGGGATGGGGCAGTGGTGCTGTCGAGTTCCCTTACCTAGTACCTCCTGTCGACGCTCTGAAGAAGGGTTTCAAGGGCGATAAGGTTGAGCTTTCCGAGTACCTCACAAACTCGCCTCCTTTCAAGAAGGACCCCTCGATTTTGAACAATAAAGACGTGTGCATCGTCTTTGCCAATGCTGACGCTGGCGAAGGCTTTGTCTCGTGGTCGGGCGTCGCAGGAGATCGCAATGATCTGAAGCTGCAGAAGGGAGGCGATGATCTCATCATTCAAGTCGCTGACAACTGTGGCAAGAGCGGCGATGGTAACAGCGTTGGCGGCGACACGGTTGTGGTTATTCATTCCGTTGGACCCGTTGAGATGGAGCGCTGGATCGAGCACCCTGGCGTCAAAGCCGTGCTTTACGCCAACCTTCCCGGCGAAGAAAGCGGCAACGCCCTTGCCGATGTAATTTTCGGCGACGTCAACCCTAGCGGTAAGCTGCCGTACACGATCGGCAAGTCCTTGAAGGACTACGGAGCTGGCGGACAAGTCTTGTACCTGCCGAATGGCGTTGTCCCTCAACAGGACTTCACCGAGGGACTTTACATCGACTACCGACACTTCGACAAGAACGGCGTCGAACCTCGATTCGAATTCGGCTTTGGATTATCATACACGACTTTCGGCTTTTCTAACGTCGTTGTCGAGGAGGTCAAGCCGAAGTCCAAACTGCCTGCCTCCCGTCCTGCTCCCGGCGCTGAGCCGCCCAAGTTGACCGACAAGCTTCCCGACCCGAAGGAGGCTCTGTTCCCCGCAGGCTTCAGAAAACTCGAGAAGTACATTTACCCGTATCTGGAGTCTACGGACGAGATCGTGAAGGAACCCTATCCCTACCCGGACGGATACACAACCAAGCAGCCTCTGTCGGGAGCTGGTGGTGAGGAAGGAGGAAATCCCGATCTGTGGGAGACGTACGTCACCGTCAAGGCCGACGTTACCAACACTGGCGCTGTCGCCGGCAAGGTTGTTCCTCAGCTTTATCTCTCATACCCCAAGAACGTTCCCGACGTCGACTTCCCTGTCAAGGTCCTTCGCGGATTCGACAAGTTCAACCTGGAGAAGGGCGAGAAGAAGACGGTGACGTTCAACCTCACGCGCCGCGATCTCAGCTACTGGGACGTTCACGAACAGAACTGGGTTATGGTTACGTCCGGGCAATACTCCTTCCTCGTCGGCGAGAGCTCGAGGCAGCTTTCCAATGTCGGAAGTTGGTAACGAAGCAATGGCTTCGCTGGTAAGAAGTCATGTATGGATATGAAATAACAACATAAGCGGAATGGATGTACATTTTCGGAGATTATTGTTCACTTCATAGCACCCTGAAAGGGTCGTAGCATATCTGTGTCACCGATTGGTTTAGAGGCCAATAGAGCCAAAGATTCATGTTGACTGTCTATGGTATCTTCGTTTCCTGTCTTGTCTCAAAAGTCCATCCTGGAAAACGTCCATCATGCAACGCAGCTTGCCTGTGACACCTTCCGTATTCCTCAATGTGGTACGCAATGCGACGGTGCGGCTTACTCCTCGACGCCGGGAGGGGGGTCCTCACGAACACCGCACTGGTACTCGGAGCAGACGAAGCCATCGTGGTTGGCCAGGTAGAGGTCTGCCACAGCGGTCAGTCACGAGACCCTGAGAATGGGGATCGGAAGAGGAGGAACTTACCCAGATCGATGACGGTCCTCTGGAACTCTCCCTTGCTGTCCTTGCACTCGCACTGGAAGTAGCTGCGGCTGTCCTTGTGGCGGGAGCAGGAGACGCACGAGGAGGAGAAGTAGCCCTCCTTCTGGTAGACGAGGCGGCCGCCGACGTTGCCGAGCATGTGGTCGAGGCCGATGCGGGACCAGAACCACTTGCCCTTGCCGCGGGCGCGGCACTTGGCCCAGAGGTGGTTGTTGGCGTCCCAGACCTTCCAGGTGATGCAGGTCTTGATGAAGCCGGCGGCGGGCTCCGAGTCGGCGGCGATGGTCAGCTTGTTGGTGAGGAGGGTCTTGTTCTTCTTGCCGCCGCCGGTGGAGTTGTAGGGGCGGGCGGGCGAGGCCTGGGCCTGGGTGTTGGTGGCGGCCGGGTTGACGGTTCTGGCGAGGGCGTTGGAGACGGAGAGGGGGGTGTTGATGCTGGTCTGGGTGGTGGAGGGGATGGTGGTGGTCGTGGTGAGGGTGGTCTTGATGACGGTGGTTCCCTTGGTGTCCTCGACCTGAGCGGCATTGTCGCGGGCGGCGAGGACGTGCTCATTGTTGTTGTCGCGGGGGTCGTTCATGAAGAACCCGCCCTCAGCGGCGATGAGGAGAGGCATGCCTCCAAGGAGACAGATGGCAGCGCGACGAAGGTTCATCTTGACGGCTTGGTGTGTGATTTTAGTGATGTGAGGTGAGTGAGGAGTGGTTGAGAGTAAGAAGTTTTCACCTGTTTGTGAAAATTTGGGTGGTGGTGAGGTTGAAGAAAGGAGGAAGAGTTGGGGGGAAACAACAGAAGAGATTGAAATATGTGGGTTTGGATCTTGAGAGGGAAGGAACTGCCAACCCTTAGAGAATAACAAAGAAAGCCCTAGATCCCTTAAGGATGAGTTATTGCTTCAATCTATCTCATCTGAACTCTAGTCCTCGCTTAAGGGGTGAAAAGTTTTTACTTCTCAAAGTGAGTTGAATATCACAAGACCAGACGGCAGGTGCGGGTTACTAGTGAATTGGTCTTGCCTTTACAGATCAACTGCCTTCTCTCTCTTTATTAAATCCACCTTAAGACTTTTTCTCTCAACTCCTGCCCTTTTACTCTAAGTTGCACAACACGGCCTCATCACAAAGCCATCATCACAGAGCCACCATCATCTGACACTCCCAATATGATGGTCAAGCTTCTTCCTATGATTGTTCTCAAGGGCATAACCCTTACCTTTGGCCTTGCAAAGGTGGCCCGGGCTGGCTTCCTTGACGAGGGCTGTGGCTACCTCACTGACGGACCCCAGTTCGCCCTGCGTGGCGACGGTAGTGTCACCACCTACTGCGAGGACAACATCTGTGGATCGTCCACCTTCAGTGTCATCAACCTCAACGACTGCCTCTCCAACGTCCTTGGTGACCTCCAGGTGAAGCCCGAGAAGCACACGAAGTAAGGTCTGCGGCTCCTACTTGATCGATAGATTACTGACAAGATTGAAGCGGCAATTTCTAGGAGACTTGCCAGGATTGTGCCCCCGATGGCTTCGCCGACATCAAATGCAAGTGCAAGACGCTTGCGGGCGACTACAAGGAGACCAGCATCGATCTCAGTAGGTTCTATCATGTTCGCCGGCCCCGACCGAATGCAGTTTGCTGACCATTGCTTCCCAGACGAGGTCCTGACCAACTGGAACGGCTACCTCTCCTGCCGCGGCGGCATCTCCGACTGCTACAACACCAAATGGGTTTGCAAGCCCAAGGACTGGTGGCCCGAGGGCCCTCCTCCTGAGATCTTCAGCACCGACTGCGACATCTGGTCTTGATTCCGACGCCTCGAGATTGATCGCAGAGAATTGGAAAATGCTTTGGCAGCCTGATTGCGGCAGGCTATAATGGACGAGGAGATCTGGCCTGACTTTTGGAGCGAATTTGATGATTGGATGCGCGTCACCGTTGGCGTACCCATCTCTGCATTGCTACGGAGCATTCTAGGCTACTCATAGAGGCAAAAATCATTGTTTACAATCAGGTTCGGAGTGAAAAGTTGGAAGTGACGATGCCGGGAAAGGTGCTGAGCACCATAAGCAACAAGTTGGGGGTAGCCGCCCCCCTCCTCGACCCGACGACCGAGTTCCCGGGCCAAGGTTACACAACGAAGAGGCCTCGTGAGGTATGAGATGTGATGTCAATCGAGGACTCGGAGGTGGTCAGCAAGGACTGCGGCGACCTTTCGGGGGAAGGTCTTTCCGGACCTTTTGAGATGAGATAAGCGGAACGTCGAGGGAAATCACGGCGCCCTCGCCGTACGATCCGAACAATGGCGGAGTAACCAGCTGCAGTCAGCGACGATTCCAAGCAGAAACATGTTCACGTGACAAATATTTACGGCCGAGGTGAATATGCGTGGGGGAGGGTTTTCAAAAGTTCTGGCTTACCGATCAAAGTGCATGATGCCGAGCGCTGACACGTCCCGGTCGTCGGCCGCTGGTAGTTGAAGCGTCCCGTTGGAAAGGTGTGCTGGTATTAGTGTCAGGAAAAGAGCTGCCAGCCCGTGTGAAGCCATTGATCGGGGCATCATCACATTTCCAGTCACCGGATCCGAGAGATGACGGCCAAGGACTCGGTGAGGTCCGGTATGCCGGGGTGTCTGCATCTAAAGGGAAAACAATACAGTCCTCAAGACCAACACCAGCGCCGGTGTGGCATGGCTTCCGGATTCAATTTCCAAAAAAGAAAAGATCGTCAATACGAAACAGCAAGTCAAGTTTTCTCTGGCTCTTCCTCTGTTTGAAAGTTAATACTACATTTGGACCGTTAAATCGGGAATATAATCATGGATGCGTCTTAGTGAGGTGCCTCTCGGATTTCCATGAGCCGGGGGGCTGAAGCGGAAGCCACTTTTTGCGGATCAAGCCACGTTTAACCAATGACATGGCTCCCCGTCTCGGACTCATCAGGTCCCTCATTGGAGTGACGAACGGGCGGAAGTCTTTTTAGTGGATAATAGTCCGTGCAGTGTGGCGCAGGCATGCACCAAGTCCGGGACCTGCCCTGTTTCACCGGACATTTCCAGGATTTTAGCACTCGCACTTGCGGGCATTTTGTTGGTGTTTTCCCACTCTTTTTAGGCTCCCGCACCTCTGGATCCGCGATTGTTTCTACATCTTCACGTACCGCAGCAAACCACACACCTTTCACAGCGTTCGCGCGCTTAGCATGGCCAACGACGGCGCTTCCGAAGAAATCTGCTTTACCTCGGCTCCTGCTTGAATGTTTTCACCCTTCGCGGATGGCAGAATAGCCGCCCGTGCGAGTCTGCCTTGCCAAGTATCGACACGACCTCCTCAGTATTTGCGATGCCTCATTCTTGCATGAACGCGGAGTCAAACACCACTCGACGCTTACGATGACTCTGTCCAAGAAAGGATAACGAACACGATCTGCGGTCGGGACCAGCTCCGTTGATCGACCGGTCGCAGTGCCATGCGGCCGCCCAACGTCGTGTCGATCGATCTGTCAGGGACGGCTGTGAAGGAGTCTCAGCTCTGCAACAGCCTCACGTTCAGCACCACGTTTTCTCCGACCAGGAAACGGCTTCATTGGCCAATCTCAATGACGCATGGAGTGATTGTGTGTCACAGGCCTGTTTGGCCTCGCATCTGAGTCTGGGCCACATCACCCTCATTTCTGTCAACAGACCTCTGAGATCGCAACATAGGCGCACCACATTGTCGATCTGATGCAGGTTGTCCATATCCCTGAATGACCGCATGTTTTGGGCATCCACACTTAGGGCATCAACAATTTACTATCAGCAGCGCGGACCGAGGCCACGGCTCAGAGGTCTCGCCCTCTCTATGATGCCAGACGCGGGGCAGCTGGTATTCGAACCGGCCAGTTCTGACTCTTGCCGGGCAAGTCAATGTTCAGCCCTATCAAATCCGCCCCGCACATGCATGAGGGTATTCCATCATCCGAGACTTGAGACGACACCTCACGGGAACTAAGGTTGAGACATTCGGACGATACTACCCGCACGGTCAACTGGTATCCTAATGACTTTGTGAGAAAAACAAACCACGGGAATACGACACTCACAACCCTCACTAACCGAGTAATCGCCGACTTCCGGACTGTCGTCATTGTGGGTATTCCCCACGATTCCCGCTCATCACCGGCTTTCTACCGGCATCTCTGCCATGAACTCCGACTGTCGAATTCGCGTCCGCTCGCCACTCCACCCGGGCGTTTCGAGGCCGTATCTGCAGAGATAAACCAAACAACAATCGCCGAACGCCTATCCACTTCGATGAATTCGTTTCAGATCCGCCCCTGCTGCAGACCGGCCGACTGCCAAGTGACGACTCCTCGTTCCGTGTCAGCGAGCAGCGCCACGACTACATCCGCTGCAGTACATCCTTCATCGGCCGTAACAGCCACGACCTTCACCCTCACCTGCAGATGCCGCCTCGGTCTCGTGGGTCAATCAGATCCCGGAGGTGGCTGGTCGTGAGCGGCCGTTGAACGCCATCCCACGGACATGACCCCCGACTAAAATCTGACTGCCTTTCTCGGTACCCATCGAGCGCTTGTTGCTCGCTGACCCAACCTATGATCCCACCCTCATCGTAAAAGCCTCCTTGTAGGGCTGCAGCGACAGGGATTAGGGAGTCTGTCACATCCCACTCCACCCATCGCCGGCAGAGTTGCCGTCCCGGGAGCTGGGTCTCGCACGACAGCGATCCCATCGTCATTGTTCAAAGTAGCTGCCAGCAAAACCAGCAAAGACAAAAATAATGTTTGCTCTGTCAGCAGTTTCTTCGGCCGAGCATCGGTCTCGTTTTCACCAATCAGCGGGTCGAAGCACCTCTTCTCTCTCATCAATCTGCAAGGCCACACCCACTTGTCTCCCCAACCTTGACATCAACGGTCCCTTTGAACGATCTGATATGCTTCCAGTCTACTACAATCCATGCACAGCCGGCCTTTTGGGACAAATTGGCCTCGAGTGTGGACGGCGCTGTTTACCTATTCGAGTGTTTGTACCATAATTTACCCCATTAGAACGTCCATGGCTGGACATCGTCGTCCTAGCTGCCGTGCTCCCAAGCTACTTCCCGAAGCCAACAATCAGCCCCATACTCAGCCCTCAGCTAGCCCTCGGATTGCATGTTTCCCACGTTTAGGGTTACGGGTTTCACTCTTCCCATGGCTGGCGTGATACCTGGCCTTGACATCTGTGGCTTAGACGCCTCTCTCCCGTTTCCATCTGCCACAGACATGTCTTCATGCTCTAACTGTCATGTTCCTCTTTTGGACCTTGATAATCACCATATATTGGACCATATTAGTCGTCGCTGCTGTAGATTACAGCGACCTTGGCTATTGCATGACCATTCCTCGGTGTAACTCATACAACATAAGCTTCTCATATCAGACTGAGGCATCACGGAGGCTCTGTGAATGCATATCCACATCACATCATACGCTTTCTCCGGAGATCGTTGCTGCGGATATCTTTCTAACAACCCGACGGCTATCTCGAACATACCGTGACTCGACCAACGACGTCACTCGGGATACGACTTTCCTCAGCTGGAACCGTCCTTGGCTACCTCAACCTACCGATCCAAACATCTACGCAGCTCCCTGGGGCCTGAACGCCTATCGTGATGAGACCGATGCCAAGAGAAAGATCGGGAAAGGATATATCATCTTCAGGTTCGCCCGTCCCCAAGTCTGAATCTCGGAGTAGCACGGACAGCAGCTACACGAACATCACCGAGCTTCATGACTACGTCGGCAAGGACACAGAGTTCACAGTCCAAGACATCCTATCTTCCTTTTCCTCATCCCGTCTCACTCAGAAGTCTCATCCTTTCCGCGCAACGCCGTCGACCATGTCTTCGTCTCGTTCCGGCCGCTCGGCAGGATCGTCTAGCCACCGCAGCTCCAAGAGCAGTAAAAAGCCGAGGGCGGTTCAAGTCAGTCAAGGCCTCTTCTTTGTACTATCCCCACGTCCGTCCCTGCCCATCCAAACCTCCTCCTCAATCATCTGTCTATACCTGTCTCGCGATGTCTCCATGACCCACACAGCCTCACGCCTCTCGTGGGGACTCCAAGCTTACACAAAACGCAGCGCTCCATCCAACAACTGATCGAGTCCCTCGAAACCCACCGCGTCAACACCCTCACCGAACTCTGCCGCATCGAGCGCGTGGCGGCGACCTGCGAGAACGAGGAGGACGCGCTCGCCTTCCAGGGCCCCATGACGGCGGCGTGGGACTACTACGTCAACAGCAACCAGCTCCTCACCGAGCTGCGCGGGCTCACGCGCAGCTACCCTCTCTGCACCGACATCCTCTACGACGCCCACGTCCGCGTGCGCAACGACCCGGACTCGAACAAGAGCTGGAACCTGGCGTGGCTCTGCTTGACGAAGATCCAAGAGGAGTACGTGTTTCGCCCTCGTCGACGACGACAACTACCGTGAGCTAACGCGTGTGTGCCAGCGGCCTGGTTTCGGGATACGCCGCCCTCGAGGCCGCGAAGCCCGAGATGTGGGGAGGTCGCGACCCTTCCGAGGAGGAAGCCGCCCAGCTCGCGGCGTGCTTCGAGTACGAGTGGAACAAGGCCGTCGATAACATGCTTCGGCACTGGTCCATTCCACCTACCTGGTACTGAGGGGGGCTTCCCGATGTGCGTTGTGGTGGCGCAGACCAGGCGCGCACGTGTGTTACGACGACGACGATGATAATGGGTGTATGAGTACGAGGGGCGGCATATTCAGCGAGGTTTGGTTGGCATTTTTGGGCATGACTGAAGCGAGCGACACTCCTTTGGCGGCAGGCATCGACATCAGCATTGGTATTGGTATTGATTGGTATTGGTATTGGCATTGGCATAGCGAGCATCAGCGCCTGGACGCGCATCTGCATCTACACCTCTCAGTCTCACGACGACTTTCTGGGGATTCATTTCTTGTTGTCTTCATTTTATCACGTCATTTAGCTGTTCTCATATGAGATAGCTTGGGTTGGATCGAATCTGATGGCGGGCCCAAAGATTCCGATAGAGATATTCAATACATTGCGCCGGCATTTACATCTTCTCATTTAGCTGCGATGTAATCCACAGAAACTATTCTATGATTCAAATGACACACGAATCGACGAGTTGAAAGACTAGGCCTCGATTGAACCCTCTGGCATAATGCACTGAGCGGGAGTCGACGAAGCAACACACCGGCCCGGTAGCTGGCCAGCGGGATCCCGTTGGACTTCCCGGCACACCCAAAATTCCGGCCCAGTCTCTTTGCATGGAACCAGACCGATACGGGTAGCGAATCAGAACGATTACATCTTTCCCTCGTCTTATTGACGCCTCGGGGAGGACTCCAGTCATGCGCTGCACTGCGCCCCATCATCGCAGTCCTCCCCTTCAGTTGCCCCGATTAGCGCGGAAGAAGAAACATGTCGGAATAATGGAGGTAAAACAAGGTCATCACGCGGGGATGCGTTGATTAGCCTTACCAAGATTCAATACCCACGATGATGATGAATACCCCGACTATCGTGCCTGGCATTAGCAAGCGCCAAGAGCACTTGGCCCGACTGCTTGTCCAAGATCATGGGGGCTCTTGAGGCAGTAAAGCAGTGACGCTGACCGGTTACGACTCTGCCTTGTCCCTTGCAAAAAGCCAAGGCCAGTCAGCATTCGGCGGCCACCCCGCGATCTTTACTGTTGCGTCAGCGCCGGCTCCGATGTTTCGTCACCAGTTCTCGCCTGGCGGACTTTTGATTGCCTATCGCAATGTCAAACCCGTAGAGACGGGATTTAGAAATAATGACGCAGGTGTTGTGTAGATGCGACTTGAATTGTATCTGCGCGATTTGTCATCAGTTGGGGCACGAGATTGCGTCAATTGAGTGTCGATATTGTCGTAGGTGTCTGCCTTTCGTGACCCAGCTGTATTCAAGGCGGCAAACGAGAGGATTCAGCACGCTTCCAAGACCGCGAAGCTTTAACACTGGTACGTGGATCGTAAGTAGGAGACACTGACCAGGCACAGCAGGAGTGAATTTGAGGATCATGAGCCATCAAGTCTATTCTCATTACTAATAATACAAAACACACGCTTACCCACATCTTAGAATACATAGCGGAAGGAAAGGTTCTCCTTATCCGTCATGTCCTCAAAGGCGTGGGCGGTGTAGTCAGGAGAAGCCTCGGCGACGCCGGCGGCGGCCATCTCGTCCCTCTTCTTGTTCTGGCGGACGAGGTGGATCCTCAGGCCGACGATGATGAGGATGAGCAGCGCGTAGCACCCCAGGTGGGTGGCGAACGCGATGAAGTACCGCGGGGCGTTCCACTCGAGGAAGACCTGGGGCCCGATGGCGTTTCCGGTGGCCCAGATGATGAAGTTGAGGGCGACGGCGACCTGCTTCTTGGTCTGGCCGGCGATGTTGCGGGAGATGAGGGAGAGGGCGAGGGTCTGCGCGGACCAGAAGGAGAGGGTGATGTAGTAGCAGATGAGCAGGCCGACGTGCTGGGAGAAGGTCTGATTGGGGAGAGTCATCAGGAGCACGGTGCCGACGACGGAGCTGTATCGTGTCAGAGGGAGAAATGATGACAGAGTGTTCGGGGGAGAAAACTCACGGGACGCAGAAGCCGAGCATGACGTAGAGGTTCTGTCCGGTCTTCTTGACGAGCCAGACGGAACCGAGGAGGACGAAGATGATGTAGAAGCCGAGGACCATGGCGAGGAGCTGCACTTCCAGCGTGGAGAAACCGAAGCTCTTGATGATGATGTTGGCGAAAGCGCCCAGGCCCGAGGTGGGCAGGGTGGTGCAGAGCGCGATCAGGGCGTATCCCCAGACCTGGGGATCCAGGAGGGCCTCGATGGCCTGCTCCCGCTTGAAGGTCTTGTTCTGGATACCGGTCTGGTTGTCGCGGACGCGCTCGACCATCTCGCGCTTCTCCTGCTCGGTGAAGCATTTGGCGCGCATGGGCGAGTCGGGCATCCAGAAGAGGACGAAGACACCAAAGATGACGGAGATGACGCCGTAGCTTTGGGATGGTTAGTATTGAGAATGACATCGGACGGCGGTGTACTCACATGAGGAAGAGCCATTGCCAGCTCTTCAGAGGTCCGCCGGTGATGTGGGTGAAGCAGTAGGCGAGGAGACCGCCGACGATTTGCTGAGCGCCGTTCATCATGTACCAGTACGTCACGCGCGAGGCCTGTTCCTCGCGACGGTACCACATGCCAGAGAGAATCACGAAAGCCTACGGCATAGTACATCAGCATATGTCATTACTATACCACAAAGACGTTCACCTACGGGTTGACAGGCAGATTCGAAGATACCGAGCAGTGTGCGGACGACGACGAGGCCCGTGAAGTTCGTGCAGGCGGCATGGCAGGCCAAGGTGGCACCCCAGGCGATGATGGAAAATGAGAGATACTTCGCGATAGGGGCGCGGGCGATGATCCAGTTCTGAGGATATCTGAGGGTGAAATATTGTCAGAAAACGGGTTATCAAACGAACAGGATGGGAAGACGAACTCGACGAAGAGAATCGCAATGTAAATACACGTCGTCAGCCAGGAAAACTGCTGGCCGACGAGGCCGGTGTCCTTCTGGAGACCCATGACGGAGGCGAAGGACATTGTGCCCTTGTCGATGGCTTGGAGGAAGTAGGTGCCGATCATGACGGTGAGGACGCGGCGGTCGATCTTCTTGCGGAGTTCATCGCTGCGTTCGCGGGAGACGGTGACGTTGCCGCCGATGTATTGTGAGAGTTCGTTATCGACGTTTTCGAGGCGGGTTGCCTGGGCTTTCTCGTAGGAGGTGGTTCGTTCGACCTCGTGGAGGGAGCTCTTGCCCGGGTTGGGCGTTACGTCGGCGACCTCTGTTGATGCCATTTTGATGGATGCGTGGTGAGGGTGATCGGTGATGAATACCCGTTGGGCTGGGTCGACTCACGACTACAATGAAGTGTCGATGAGGGCAGGGGATCCGGGTATGTCTGACTTCTATGAAAGAAGGAAGAAGCTGGGCACCTTGGACGGAAGAGAGCGAAGAGGAAATGGATGCTACCTGATTCTATATATGGACGGATTCGGAGTGGAGTGTCGAGGGCGGCATGGGAAGGCAGGTGGGCGAGGGTATTTGGATATGTCACTTTTAGGACTACTTGCCAAACCCCGGATTAAACCCTCACTCTCCTCACTTCTACCCCAAGGTTTCTGTTGGAAGCGCGCGTTCTCCAGTGGGGGCAGTTCGGTCCCCCGCGAAAAGGGACGACGAGGAAGCGCAACTCCAGATATTGTCCCCCCACGGGTCTTGGGGAGAAGGAATGCTTCCCATTCGACGGTACCAAATAAGACCACGATGGTGGCCAACGAGAGAAACCGGACAAGCGGGTTCACTTGGGACATCATTCGACCGAGATGGCGGGAGACTGGGCGCGGTCTGAGCCTCGTACACCCCCTTTGGACCTTCCCCCAAACTCCTAATATCTGGAGAATAAGAGCAGAACGCGCGCAGATTGGGTGAGACACCAGAGAAGGGTATCCATCACCCATGGGTAAACCGGCACGAGTCAGGCCTGGGGTTGGTCGAAAGCTGTTGATATGGGACCGGGGGGCCCACGGGGTCGGTACGCGGTGACGGTGGGCGTGGCTACATTGGACAATGGCTGCGGTTCAGACGGCGAGAGTGTGTGGACACGGGGGGTTTTGTTTCTGGCGCATGTTCCACGGTTTGGCAGGATAACGGGGGCAACCCGGCGATCGAGCGTCTGCAATTGCTGTGTCTGGACTTGGTGGTTCTTCCCGAACTCGACTGAGGACTGAGCACTCAGATATTCCAAGGCGAACGTCTCACTTCATGGCGGCCTTCTCTTGTGAAGAAGGATGTCGACGTTTTGGAGGCTCATTGCCAAGACGGGCGGTCAACGGCAATATGACGGCAGTCGACGGGATGGCAAGGGAAGATTTCTGGGCAATTCTGGGCAGAAGGAAATCTGGCGAGGCGGATCGGCTTTCGGGAGGGTTTACAGGGGACGGGATTGGCTCGAGTGAACGGCTACGAGGGTGATGGAATCGGGGCGGCGTGCCCTGGGAGAGATTAGCGTCGGTGAACATCCGTGACGTTCATCTTGGCTACGGCTGCCAAAGCTTGATGGGTGTCTGCGGCAACTTCGGGTTGCCTGGATTGCTGGAGAGTCAATTGGAGTGTTGGAAGCGACTGTCGTGGCTCAGCTGGCCAGGGGCTGGCGGGACTGGTCAAAGTTGTGTTGGAGGAGACGGAGAGGGAACAGGAGAATGGCGGAGTTATGCACAACCTCTCATGTCTTTACCATAATGATGTCTGCATATGTGGCATAACAGGTATGGAATTGGCAAGTGAAGACATACTTCATCAGTTCTGGCTAGTTTCTCCTGCATTGTCGAAGCTCGTCGTAAGTAACATTCCAGTTGGAATTGCAGTTCAGGCGCACTTGATCTCGTGATAATGCGACGATTAATTTTGTGCATTTCAATTTCACTCCGAGTCGACTCCGCGTTCTGGTTATGCCTGAGTCGAGTCACCTTCGCTTTTGGTCAGCAGAAATATTGGGCCTGCGACTCCCCGCAACCTGGGGGAAATGGAGGAAAAGCCCGCTGTTTCCCCTCTCTCCAGACTCTCCATCTTTCCGTCCTTCTCCCCAAAGATCCAGTGCGGACGCGAGTGCGGAGATGAGTTCCCCAACACTGAGTTAAAGACCGGGGGCCGCCGCAGTTGGCCGGCGGCGGACCTCGTAATGAGCGAGGAGAAAGCAGGGTTCATCCAGCCGCCCTTTTCTTGATTTTGGTCAGGTTAGGAAAGTCGAGCCAGTCAGGAAAGACAGAGACAAAATAACACCGAGGGAGACGGGGTTCGAGGCCAAACCGCAAATAACGAAAAAATCGGAGTAGGTCCCCACCGGCGCGGGGTAACTGGCCCGGGGCGCGGGGGAGGAGGAACCGAGATGGAGCGGAGTCGCACCGGGGGTATCCACCCAGAGCGGACCCCAGCCCGTCCAGCCAAAGCGAGAGATTTCGTGCCTTTCTGCAGCAGCGCAGTCCTGGCAAGAGAGTCTAGAGAGGCCAGAGAGAAAAGACAGATGGCTTTTCCCTCCTGCCAGGAGTCTCCGTGCCTCTTTCTAACCTCATTGTGCATCAAGTAGTGGAGTTCCAAGACCAGCGAAACCGCAACAGCATAACGCGTTGCTTGGCTTTCTTCGTCCTCGGCCTGTATCACGCCGAACTCGTCGTTCCCCCGGTTCCCTTCGTCCACGTACCCCTGACACCCTGGTTTTCCTTCAGATTATTCCGCCGAAGCCCTACCTTCATAAGCATTCTGCAGCCAGCAAAAAGTCGCGTCAACGCCTGTGTCTCTGCTCTCGTCCCCTGTTGTCATTCTTCACCGAACCGGAACCGGAACCAGGCCGCCAATTCTGAACAGAGAAACGTGAATCTCGAGATCCCAACTCATACTGGTCTCAAGTGTGTTCTTCTTTAAAGGTTGGTAGCTCTGACGTCGCAACCTGCAAAAGTCGGTCTTGAGCCGATCGCGGGGCTACCCCGCCCCAGGAGATGTCAAAAGTCTAAGAAGCTAACTCGCTGAACCATGAAGCCAACTACCATACATCAATTCTCACACATCCCTCAAGCCAGCCGCCAACATGCCTGCCGAACTCCATGGCGTCAAGTCGGCCGATGTGCACAAGCAGGTCAAGCAGCTCATCCACGAGCTCGTCAACATTAAGGACACGACGGGCGAGTTCCTGATGACCCTCGCCGACGGCCGCATCATCGACACCAAGGGCTGGCAGGACTGGGAATGGACGCATGGAATCGGCCTGTACGGCATCTGGAAGTACTACGAGTTGACGGGTGACGAGGAGTGCCTCAAGACCATCGAGGACTGGTTCCGGAACCGCTTCGAGGAGGGCCACAAGGGCAAGAACATCAACACCATGGCCGTCTTCCTCACCCTCGCCTACGTCTACGAGAAGACGGGCAACCCGACCTACCGCCCCTGGCTCGAGAGCTGGGCCGAGTGGGCCTACCACGACCTCCCCCGCACAAAGTACGGCGGCATGCAGCACATCACCTACCTCGAGGTCAACGACCAGCAGCTCTGGGACGACACCCTCATGATGACCGTCATGCCGCTGGCCAAGATCGGCCTCGTGCTCAACCGCCCGCACTACGTCGAGGAGGCCAAGAAGCAGTTCCTCATCCACCTCCAATACCTCTTCGACGCGCCGACCGGTCTCTTCTTCCACGGCTGGACCTTCCACGAGGGCGGCCACAACTTCGCCCGCGCCCGTTGGGCCCGCGGCAACAGCTGGGTGACGATCGTCATCCCCGAGTTCATCGAGCTCCTCGACCTCGGCGGCGACGACGCCCTGAGGGCACACCTCGTCAACACCCTCGACGCGCAGGTCAACGCCCTGGTGCCTCTCCAGGCCGAGAACGGTCTCTGGCGGACGCTGCTGGACGTGCCCGAGGCGGAGGGTTCGTACGTCGAGGCCAGCGCCACGGCGGGCTTCGCGTACGGCATCCTCAAGGGACAGCGAAAGAAGTACATCGGAAAGGAGTACGAGGAGACGGCCATCAAGGCCGTGAGGGCGGTGCTGGAGAACATCAGCCCCGAGGGCGAGCTGCTCAACACGTCGTTCGGCACGGGCATGGGCCACGACTTGCAGCACTACAAGGACATCCCGCGGACGAGTATGCCGTACGGCCAGGCGATGGCCATGATGGCTTTGGTGGAGTTCCTGCGGGTCTACTATTAATGTTATGATACCATGCTGAAATGAAATGAAAAACGAATTGGATTCCAAAACCATAATCCTGTCTTTGAAGAGACCCGGTGAAACCTCCGTTCCGGGTTCGCCGGCACGCCGGTCAGTTCCGCTGTGAGGACGTAGTGGACCGCGAAGACGTGTCTCTAACTTCTCGTCAAGAGGGACCGAAACGGCGGTCGGTATTCGCGCCGAGATGCGCTTCTTGGATGCGTCGTCTTTCGGCTCATCATAGACCGAAGTAACCCCTCCAGCCAGCTGGGGTTTCCGCCAGGCACCGGAGTCGCGACCCTTGACGTTGGAACAATGAACCCTGGACTTGGGGTAGCCTTGTGCGTTTTTATCCGGAAAATTTGTGACTCGGGAATTATGCACATGCTCATCTGCAGCTGCCGGCCGTCTGCTGCTTCACCGAGCTCGGGTTGGAACGCCGCAGAGAATGATGGTGATGGCCACTTATATGGCGTTTACGGTCTCACAAGCCTGCGTTTACAGAGGGCTCGGCAGAACGGCACAGCTTGATGTTAAAAGGGCTCGGGCGGGCTGAGACTTGCTCTTCATGGGGGGCCAGATGGCACTCGTTAATGCTGGGAGGATGCCACGAGGACCCGGATCATACCAGCCCGGGACGAGAGTGTCTTGCCCTGCCGTACGGTTTCTATTTCATTTTGGCTTATCACGCGCATGACCTTGGTGGGAGTTTCTGATACTGAATGTTGCAGGATGCAGCAAGACCTAAGAAGTCTCTTCAGTCCATGACAATGAATTGTGTTGAAGCGTGTCGGCAAGACTGTCTTTGTCTTTGCCGAGGCAGCCGCTTGCATGAACGTGTCAAATCCGGTCCTTGGTGTGAGCATAGTTCTCTGACCAGATACGTTGGCATCTGCATCGATGTTGCCTGGCTTCTGTACTGGCAGTCTTCGTTGAGAGCCTTCAACAGCTGTCCCGCGCCTAGATGACAGACGGACCAGTGGACCAAAGTCTTGGCTGGTGCTGTACGAAATAGTCGGGGGGCCATAACTAACCTGTATCGGTTCAGCTAATAGAGATACGATAGGAAGGGCTGCGATCTTGGTGCATCTCGCACAATAATGAAGACACCTGGACCCTGCATTGGCCTAGTATCGGAGATTTTAGAGCCCAGAGTCAGATGTCTCTTGTGCTGGCTGTAGATGACGCCGTTGAAAATGCCAGTTAAGCCAACAGTCCGTGGTCACAAGGCTGTGGTCGAGAAACAGTCTAGTGTAGTGGCCGTCGGTCTGCGAGGTCAACTGATTGGCGTGTGGCCTCGCAGACGAACAGTTGGGGGACAACAAAGAGACAGCGACAGCATTAGAATTCAGTCGGTTTCTGTTGGAGGATCTCGGACGAGTGCCAGATCAGAGATCAGATGGGGCTGACCAATGACAGAGGGCTGATTTTATGGGTGGACGTCATCATATGCGCGTGATCGGGAGAAAGCTGAGGCACGAGGCGATCAACAGAGTCGAAAAAAGAGGTGCGGTTTTAATTGGCTGTTAGTGTTGAAGCTTCTGTCAACAGCGGGAAGCTTAACAGAGACTTCGTGACTTCCCGCCTGCCACCCGCTTTTTTTTCATGGTGCACGGAGCACGGAGCACACCTCCGAGGTACGTAGCTCTTTTTATGGAGCAGGAGAGAAAAAAAAACCAGTGAAAAATGAGGTCACCCTGGTCTGTGCTGCCACCTGAAGTACCTTGTAGCTTTTCTCTCCTTCGCTCTCAGTGGGCAGAAACAACTGCACCACGGCAAAAACAGCAGGTGGCTACGTCGCATCCAGCCGAAGCTAATTCCCGCTTGCCATTCCATCTCGACTTTTGAATTACCACCACCACCACCAACCACCAAAAACCACCAATCTCACCACCGCACCATCGACACACCCTCGCGACACGTCTTCTCCCCCTCCACCTCCCGCCGCTACCTTCCTTCGCCGGGCCTCTGGGATGCACCATCGATCTCCTCGCGCTGCGCACCAGTAATTGGCACTACTTTCCATTAATATCGCACGCTCCCCGGGAAACTTGAAGCCATGCGCTTGAGGCTGCGATTCTGCATTCCATCACCGTGAGACCCTGGCAGCGGGGTAGCGCCGCCCAGAAGCGAAGCGCAGCGCAGCGCAGCTACACCCGAAAGAGCATTTCCCACCGACCCGATACCGATCTCCGACGATTTACCACCGACTGACGACGACAACGACGACCGTGTACGAACGCGCACGCCTACGCCTTTTCGTCGACGTCACCGCCAGCAGCGACGTCTTCTTGCGCCCGGCTAGGTAATCTGCAGCCACCACGCTCGGTTGGTGCTTAATCTGCTCTCGGAATACCAGTATAATGGTCCACTCCAACCTTGTCGGCGCTGCCGCCGCTACCCGCACAGCCTCGTCGGGTTCATTCCACGCAGGCGCTCCCATTCCCACCTTGGGAAGCATCGAATCAAGCCGACGACAATCTACCATGCGCCGCCAATCCACTCATCGATATCACACCTTCCCGACACCGCCGCCCAAGACTCCTCGCGAGCAGTCCTCCGCCGAGCTTTTCGACCACTCCGACTCGGGCTCCAGCGCCTCCGACGATGACAAAGAACAGACTCCCTTGCCGGTGCGCCAGCTGGCCCTGCTCGCCTTTCTCTCCCTCAGCGAGCAGACGGCCCTCAACTCCATAGGACCCTATTTGCCCCAGATGGTCGAGTCCTTTTCAGACATTCCGGACTCGCAGACGGGTCTGTACGTCGGCATCCTGGCCTCGTCCTTTGCACTGGCGCAACTGTCGACGAACTTGTTGTGGGGATACTTGTCCGATGTAATCGGGAGGAAACCGGTCATGGTCGTGGGCACTTTCCTGCTCATGTGCTGCTTCGTCGCGTTTGGCTTCTGTCGGACCTACTGGCAGATCGTGCTTGTCCATGTCTTCATGGGCTTGTTGAACGGCAATGCTGCCGTGGTACCGACCGTACTGGGCGAGGTCACGGATCGCTCGAATCAGAGCAGGGCTTTCACCTGGCTGCCTGTGATCTATTCGCTGGGAGGCATCACAGGACCCGCGTTGGGCGGTTTGTTGGTTGGCAGCCTGGGGAAGAAATACCCGTATCTGGCGCCGAATCTGCTCAGCGCTTCGCTGCTTCTTGTCAGCGTCATCGTTGTCGGGATCTGGTTTGAGGAGACCCTGGAAAGTCTCGAGCCCGACCACGCGGCCTGGATTCCCACGTGGGCCCGGAACGCCTGGTCATGGGCCCAAAGACAGACACAACCGAAGAGGAACTCTTGGGCCGCCCGCTGGCCCAGACGCGGCTCGCAAGTCGCGGTGAGCACCTCAGACGACGAGGACGACGAAGACGAGGCGGCCGAAGATGAGGGACTGCTCAGCCCCAGATCCGAAAATGGGTCGGCGGCCGAAGACGGCAAGTCCCCGGGCGACCCCGCGACCTGGCGTGAGATCCTGAACCGCAACACCATTTTAGTCTTGTTGACGTATCTGGTCTTCCAACTGTCCAACATCTCTTACAACAGCTTATACCCCATCTTCGCCGATGCAGACCCCCCGACCGGCCGTGGCCTGCCTCCAAGCAAGATAGGCGTCAGCTTGAGTCTGGCTGGCGTGGCCACAATCGTCTTCCAGGCTTTCATCTTCCAGCCTGTCAAGACACGGCTAGGAAACCTAGGTAGCTACCGAATCGCCCTGTTAGGGCTTGCCGTCAGCATGGCTCTGATGCCGTGGATCGGGTATCTGGACGATGAACCGTACTTTGGCCTCGGCACCGGTTCCACCTGGCTTTACATTGAGTTGGGCGCTATTCTCATCATCAAGAACATTTGCGCAGTGGGCGGGTTGTCAAGTGTGATGTTATTGGTAAGTCTTCGTGCCCTAAGGACAGCAGGCCCTCGCTAACGGACATTAAGATCACCAACTGCGCTCCGAACCATGCCACGCTCGGCACCCTGAACGGCATCGCCCAGACATTATCCGCTGCCGGCCGCAGTTTCGGACCATTCGTTTCCGGCGCACTTTTCACCTTGTCTACACGCGTCCACCCCAAAGGTGAAGCTCTCGCCTGGGGAATTTTCGGAGGCATCGCCCTACTAGGATGGGTGGGTTCTCTGGCTATTCGCAACCGTGGCCTCGAGAGTGGTGACTGGGTCGGCGAAGAAGATGGCACCGATGGCGAGACCGAGCCATAGCGAGTCATCGCGACCGCGACCGACGCCCAATGTTCTTCTCGAATAGAAGAAAAGAACTTTGCTTGTTTTTTTGCTAAAAGTGTTAAGAATAAGGTAATCATAGCGTTGCAGGTGGGATTAATCACGATCCAGGATAAAGCGGCTATACTGCATTGATAGAGGGATACATGGCAGTCTCCTCTTAGAAGCATGGGAGGAGCAAAAGCCAGCACTGTAGACTCCAGAGGCCTACGAGCCATCCTTTAAAAATCACAATATACTTGTCGATCTCAATATCTCATCAACAGTCGCCAGTAGAGATGTACAACGACAGCCTCGGCAACATCATGTACATCTGATCGCAGATTACTCCGCTATGTGTGCGGGCTACGTGCAAAAACACCGATTGACAATCAGGATACGGTCATTTTGGTATTGGACTTAGAAACGATCAAACGAGTTTAGGCTACTATAAACAAGAATTGCGCTTCAACGATAATCAGAAGTTGCGCGTCACCCCGGGCTCGATAGCCTCAAGCTTCTTCACCAACTCATCCCACACACGATCTTGCGTCTCCTTGCCCTCCCGACTCCTGACAAAAGCCGACGGCTCGTCGATCCCGCAGTCCGACACGTACTTCCCATGCGTCTCGGCCCCAGCAGACCCGGCATGGACCAAGTTCCTGCTACCATACTCCGGGGTACGCGCCAGGAACACGGTCATGAGCCACATCGCCCACGAGTCCACGTCCCGCGCCAGCTCCGAGCGACAGAACCCCGGGTTGACCATGTTCACCGTCACCGGGCACTCGGACGCGGGGCTCCTCTCCGCGACGGACCGCACGCCGAACACCTCGAGCAGCTTGGAGGGCCAGTACAGCGTGCTCGCGTCCTTCCTGCCCTGCTCGTCGAGGGCGTCGAAGATGCCGCCGTCCGGGGCGTGGCGCTCGTCGAAGGGGGTCCACGCGTGCGTCTCGGAGGTGGTGATGGTCAGGGTCGGCCTCGTGCGGAATTCCACGGCGGTCTCCTTGAGCTTCGGCAGGACGAGCGCGGCCAGGAGGAAGGTCGAGACGACGTTGACGGTGATCTGCCCCTCGTTGTCCTCCATCCGCTTGTACTCGACGTGCACGACGCCCGCGTTGGCGTGGAAGACGTCGACGCGGTCGAGGGTGTCCGCGACGCGGGCGGCGAAGTCCCGCACGCTGGCGTAGCTCGACATGTCGAGCTGCCAGACCTCGACGACGGTCTTGGCGCAGCCGGTGGTGGCCTCGATGTCTTCCTTGGCGGCCCGGCCCTTGTCGGGGTTCCGGACGGCGAGGATCATCTTGCCGGCGCCGAGGCGGACGTAGTGGCGTGCTGCTTCCTTGCCGAGGCCGGCGTTGCCGCCGGTGATGATGATGGTCTTGTCGGTGTAGGAGCCCGTGGGGTAGGGGAGGCGTACGAAGAGTTGGCTGTAGAGGAAACCCATTGCTACTTTGATTCAGCTGGATGGTAGACCTAAAGTGAATTGAGGTATGAGATGTTGTGTTGATGATCTGTGATTAAGATCTCTGAGGCGACGAAATGTTCCATATTTAATAGTATGCGATTTTGACTTGGCGATATGTGGATTTAGCACGCGCGAAAGTGGTGATGCGGAGATGATTGTGCAGCTTGCATTATCTCCATGCGAGCGTTGATTGAATACTTGAATAGGAATGCAGTGTGCTAGACGCCCTCTGAGCCTCGCCTCGACTTAAAGCCGTTGGGACTGCTCTGTCTCGCCGCTGGCTGGAACCGATGGATTGGCATCCTGATTGGTATTGGTTTCTGGTTCACGTATTGTTTCCCTTTTCGGGCAATGATCTCGGACAGTGCAGCAGGCTCATTGGTTGATATTCCTGATAATTCGATTGGTGGCTATTAAGCATCAGGACGAACTGCTATCGCTTTTGAGCGTTTGCGCCGGGATCTGGTCAACGGCGGCTATGATATCCGGACCTGATTGCTGCCTGGTGTTCATTCGGTCAACATGTTCAGGTTTTGCTCAGCTGATGGAACGATGACTTTCCCAGAGAAGGAGTAGAAATTCGATGTCCTGGAAGTGAGGACTCGATTGTGCTCCGTCTCGGCTCAGTACACAAACTTCGACATGGCCTGAGAACGATCTTTGTGAGATCATACCTCACAGACTAAAGCGTTCACACCCATTCCATCCATCCCGACCTTCTCCATAACCGCAAAGAAGCACGCGGCAGCTCCCGCGGCCGTCGTCCTGGAGAATATCCGGTCGCGTCATTGGCCGGAGATGATCGTCGCGACCGGCTCGGCCATGTGGGTACTGGGATTAAGCTTGCACGCCGGAGTTTGCGGAGCTGAGCGTTTACAGGCGCAGAGGCGCCACCTCCAAAGTCCTTAAACTGCAGCTGTCGACAGGCTCCCTTGAAATACTGTCAAGCGACGGACAATTTTCCAGTGTCCGTCAATTGCCCGCGCTCGCTTTTTTCGAGCAAAAGATCGCGCCCGGTTCAATCGATGTCAGTTGTCCGCCATCACACCGATCTCAGCGCTCTCGAGCCCCATACGGCTTACTTTCGTCAATCCACTGTGTCCACGTTGAATCGTCCAAATGAGACCATCGTGATGGCTTTACGCGGAGGTTTGGTGCCTCTAATGTCCAGAATCACGGATTTTGCAACTATCTCCCTTTTCGCCCCTCATGATCTGGTCCTGAGCGATGAGTTCTGTGTTTCAATGACCGTGTAATCCAAGTTAACATGAAAAATGAAAGATATTTAAGAGTCGCATTGTCATGTCGTGAATATCTGAATCAACAGTCTCAACAACGCGATCATCTCGCCCATTCAACAACAGCATCGCTGCAACAAACAACTACGAATCTCAATTCCATCACCACTTCAATCTACCAAATCCACAATGTCTGCACCACCCATGCCCGCTTCTCTCCAGAAGAGCCTCGACGGCAGCAAGGTCGAGTACGTCAACATGGGCGCCTCGGGCCTCAGAGTCTCTGTCCCGATCCTCGGCGGCATGTCTCTCGGCTCCTCGCAATGGGGCTCCTGGGTCCTTGACGAAGAGGCGTCGCTCGAAATCCTGAAGGCCGCCTACGACCGCGGCATCAACACCTGGGACACGGCCAACATGTACTCGAACGGGGTCAGCGAGCAGGTCATCGGCAAGGCGATCAAGAAGTTCAACATCCCCCGCGAGAAGATCATCCTCATGACCAAGTGCGCCCTCCACGTCGGCGAGGAGGTCGACATGCACACCCCGCCCTTCACGAAGCAGCTGAACCAGAGCAAGGACTACGTCAACCAAGGAGGTGAGTGCGCCGGTCGAATTCTCTTACACAAACAGATCACTGACCATATCCAGGGCTTTCCCGCATCGCGATTTTCAAAGCCGTCAATGACGCCCTGGCTCGTCTGGACACCACGTACATCGACCTTTTCCAAATCCACCGTTTCGACCCGGCCACCCCCATCGAGGAGACGATGAAGGCGCTCCACGACCTCGTCCAAGTCGGCAAGATCCACTACATCGGCGCCAGTTCCATGTGGGCGACCCAATTCGCGCGCATGCAATTCGTAGCCGAGAAGAACGGCTGGACCAAGTTCGTCAGCATGCAGAACTACTACAACCTCTGCTACCGCGAGGAGGAGCGCGAGATGAACCGCTTCTGCGACGAGACGGGCGTCGGCATCATGCCCTGGTCGCCGCTCTTCGGCGGCAACCTGGCGAGGCCGCTGGGGTACAACGAGTCCGCGCGCTCCCAGATGAAGTCGCCCATGAACCCCGGCCTCACGGGGGCCGACGAGGAGATCATTCGCAGGGTCCAGGAGGTCGCGGGCAAGAAGGGTTGGAGCATGAGCCATGTCGCGCTGGTCTGGGTCACGTCCAAGGGCGCTATCCCGGTGACGGGTTTCAACTCTGTCAAGCGGATTGACGAGGCCTGTGAGCTTAGGGGGAAGACTTTGACCGAGGAGGAGATCAAGTACTTGGAGGAGCCGTATGTTCCTAAGAACATCATTGGACACTTCTAGAGAGCACTGTTTTGAACCAATTCTTTCTAGCGGTTTAGTAGTTTCAGCTTAATCCAAAATCACTCGCCCCGTATCGTCAAGGTTTCAATCGTTTTGAAATGAAGTATTCATAAGGCATCTATTGTTGACGATCAGTCTGCTCGCCATGACCTCCGTAGATGAAATGTATCTAAGTTCTAGAATTTTCGCAGGGCATAGCACTATTTTGCTATCCTGCCGTCATTGCCAAATCATGAGCCAGCCTGGTTTCCTGAGTCTATAAGCCAACTCTTTCATCAAGACCGCAATCTTCAATGAGAGTTCTGTACAGCGTTAAAGAACCTCTTGAACTCAGAGTCCCTTCCCAACAGGGCACCCGGAGCGTCCCACTCTACGATGTTGCCTTGCTTTAGAAGCAAAATTCTGTCAAATTTCTCCACGAATCGCAAGCGGTGGATGACAGAAATGACAGTCGGTTGGGAAAACTCTTTCTCGATGACCTTCTGCATCATGGATTCCGTCACGTCATCGACACTATCAAGATTTAGTAATCATCTTCAGCAGCAAAACCACCAGAAAAACGTACCTGCTCGTTGCCTCGTCAAGCACCAAGATCTGGCTCTTGGAAACGAGTGCTCGCGCCAGCGCCAGCAGCTGCCTCTCTCCCGCGGAGAACTCACCCGCATCCAACTCGGCATCCAGACCACTCGCCATGCCGATCTTTCCGAGGAGGCCAACTTTGTCGAGTGCTGTCTTGATGTCCTCGTTGCTCACCCGAGAATGGGGGTCGAGGTTGAATCGGACTGTGCCTGGCATGAAGAAAGGCTCCTGAGGGATGACGTTGACGTGGGCTCGAACTTCTGTTCTGTCCAAGGTGGCGAGATCTATCCCGTCGACTTGGATACTACCTTCTGTGACCTCTATCATCTGGAGAAGTGATAAGATGAGAGAGGTCTTTCCACTGCCAGAGGGACCACACACGGCAACTTTCTGGCCCGGGTGTATGGAGAGGGTGAGGCCCTTCAGCGTCGCTTCTGTATCCAACCTGCGTGTTGTCAGCATTCCAATCCCAAATCGAACACATGGACGAGATCAATGACGCACGAGTATCTGGCGGTAACGTTCTCAAATTCGATGGCACCCTTCAACGGCCATCCTGGCGGAGGAGCACCGCTGCTTCCTAAGTCGCGCTGCTCAGAAGGCGTCTCACCGGCAAACTGCCTGATTCTCGCCACAGCACCGATAGAAGTCTCAAGCGCAGTCCAGTTCCTAATAGTCCACGCAAGTTCCTGGTTGAAACCCAGAACCAGTACCATGGCCACACCGATGGCCCCGGGACTGAACTTGTCCGTCAGCGATGTAGCCATCGTCACAACGATCAAAGCCAGAGCTCCGACAACGAGATCCAGAACGAGTGCCAGCCATTGCTGAATGCAAGCCAGCATGTAATGAGGCTTCTGGGAGCGGTTCAGCAGCGATGCTGCTTGCCCTTCAAAGTTGTTCTGCCATCCGTACGCGCGAATCGTGGCTACGCCCTTGAGCGTCTCGAGGAAGTGCGTGTACATGGGCGCCTTGGTTTCGATGTCCAGAAGACGAACTTGGCGCGAGGTACGGAGGTAGTACCGCTGGATAAAATAGAGTACTACAACCAGGAGGGGAACTGAGGTTGCAAGGTATTTACCCATGACGCAGAGAATGATGAGTTTGATGACGCAGGAACATGAGTCTAGGTATATTAGCTACTGGTCAAGTCGAATCGTGCATGTGGTAAATACATACTGGTGGCGAAATTGATTGCGTTCGATGGGAGAGTCATGTCTATCAAGTTCAGATCCTGGCTGAATCTGATTGAAGTTTTAGTAAAAGCGTCTCATGGGGAATCAGTTTGATAGAGTTTGAATACCTATTGGTAATTGAGCCAGTGTCTGTTGACTGAAAGAAGCTAAGTGGTGCGCTCAAACTCGTTTGGAGCAGCTCCGCATGCAGCCCCGATGCTGTGTCATTGATGATGCGGATGAACATCAACCTGGTGTGCTCCTTTAGTATCGCCCTCGTCTTGCGTACCACAAGAGAACTCACCAGCACTCCAAAGTGAGGGCCGTCATATTCAAGACCAGCAACACGGCGTACACGCCAAGATATTTCCCGAGATTCTCGTTGGGGTGTTCTCCGTTTGCCTCAACCCACCACTGAAACCAAATGGCTAGAACAAAAAACGTAAGCAAAGCCTCGATATCAAACCATATGATCAAACTTACTAGTGAAACCGGCGCAAAAGGACTCGATCACGGTCGCAGAGAGGAAGAGGCCCAGAACAATCCATCCGCTCTGGTCAAAGTAGTACTTGTACACCGACCACGAGCCGTTCTTCCTCAAGCGGTCCTCTTCTTCCTTCTTCGCAGTCTCGATCCGAGTAACCGCTGTCTTGATCTCAGACTGCAATGTCTGTATCTCAGCTGTACGTTCGCTGTCATTGTCCGATTCCGCTGATTTGGCGATCACATCAGGAGACTCGGTGAGAACCTTTTCATACGGGCCCTGGCCAACAACGTTGCCGTCATCGAGAGCGATGACGTCGTCAGCGAAACGAAGAAGACTTCCTGTTGATGTATCAGTTTAAGTTGAAGGACAACAATACGGTAGCTATCAACTGACGAGTGTGCGTTGCGAGGATAACCGAGATATTGTTCTGTCGGAAATGACCATCCTGGGCGAAGAGGCGAGTGGATATTTGACTGATACTCTTGGAGTCCAGCCCACTGAACACGTCATCCAAGATAACCGTTCGGTGTCTCGAATAAATGGCACGAGCGAGTGCCTAGTTATGGTGTCAGTTGTCGCCGCGAAGACGCCTAGGGAGCTCCGAAACCTACCACACGTTGCCGCTGTCCACCACTGAGACCTACTCCATTGCTACCAACGTTGTACATATCCCCTTCCGGCATGTTGCTGACGTCTTCCGCAAGAGCACACATGGCAAGCACGCTTTGAAACCATTTTGGATCGAAATCCAGACCACAGGTGATGTTGTGCCGGATCGTGTTGTTCAGTATCCATGGGTTCTGCGGGCAATAGGCGAGACTGTCAGTCGGGGTAACGTGAGAGCCGTCCCGGATATCGGTTTCCCCGAGAATGCTTTCGAGGAGGCAGGACTTCCCGGAGCCGACGGGGCCGACGACCATAGTGACCCCCTGGGAAATACTCAGGTCGAGATTCTGCAAGACCAAGTCCGTGTCTGGTGACCACGCGATATCTGCAGAATGAAAAGAAGTGATCGCATCCTCTGAAATTCTAGCAGTAGAACGCGCGGCAAGTTCCACGCCGCTGCCGATGGAAGCAATGGAGTATGGGCTTGATGACCTCTCCTCCAAAGAAACTTTCGATGTCTTCAGGCAAAAAGCCTCGATTCTTCTGAAACAAGCTACGCCTTGAATGATGTTTGGAACGTATTGGCAGAAGTAGAGCAGGGGGCTGGTCAGAAGGCCGATCAGCGACAGGGCAGTGAAGGCGTTTGTGGACGTAAGAGTCTGATCCTTCGTTATGACGGCGATGATGCTGTAGATGACGAAAGTCGCAAAGGGGGCGAATTCGAGCGGAAGATTTGCTGGATCCCGTGTTAGTAAACAAACATGTCATGCTAGGCGGGCTGGGATATTCCTACAAACGAGGATTTGCCAAAGGAGAAGCTTGCGAAATCTTGTGGATTTGCTGATTTCCACTCGTCGCAGTTCTAGAACGACCTTCGATAAGACGTCGTGGAGTCCGAGCATCTTGATTGCCTTCATGTCTCCTATCATGGTTGCTGTAACTGCAACTCTCTTCTGGACCCATTCGATCCACGTAGTTTGAGCCTTGCCGATGTTTCTTGAGATGGGTATCACCCCCAAAACACAGACTAGCAGATAAAATGTCAGTTGGATCTCTGATACGCACCTCAACGCTGTACTAACCGATTGAAATGACGACGGGTACAACAGAAGCAACGGCGATCTGCTGCTGTAACAAGAAAACGGCGATGCCGACCTCGAGCACCGACGCCCAGATCTCGTGGAACATGGCGAATGTAGTGACAATCCGCTCGACGTCGGTGCCCATCAAAGTGACGGCCGCGCTGTCCTTCAAATCATCCGCCTTGAGTGACACCGTCTGCCTGAAGATCAGACTTGTCAACCCTGCCCTCAACATTGTCGTGAAACGGTACTGCTGCCGAGAGTACGCAGCCCGCGAGACTGCCAGGCCGAAGTATGTGAGCACGTATGCTCCGACCAAAGCCTGGCCGTATCGCTCTGATTGAGGTGTTTTCGGGGTTTGCATGAATCCCACTGTCGCTGTGATCAAAAAGGGTTGGCAAAACGTGAACGCTGAGAGGCACAGGCGGGTGATGACACCGAGGAACAGGGTTCCGCGGCAGGCATAGCAGCTTGCGCGGAGCAAAGGGTAATGTTTCTCTCCTTTCCGCTTAGTCCAGGCCGTTTCGAGAGCGTAGCCAGCCTTCTCGCCTGACAGATCAGCGTCGATGTCGGGCATGTCGCTGACCTGGATTACGCGCGAGTAGCCGAGGCGAAAGAACGGGAGAAGCCATGTGAAGAAGCTGCGGCCCCAAAAGCTGATTTCTTCCTCTTTGGTAATCGATTGGTACGTTGGGAAGAGGAACTTCTTCTTCCCAATGGATTCCAGAGGTACAACAAGAGTCGTGAGAATGAGTATGGTTGTCCAGACAGCTTTCGCAGAATTGACTGATGCAATAAGCCAGAGAGAACGAAGACGGGGTAGCGCGAGAATGGCGGAAGTTGAGAAGTACAGGATCAAGAGATCGGACGGCCGTATGGAACGTTGATCTTCGAGTACGGAGTGGAAAGACGCCACAAAGACTGCGATGAAATTCAAGATACCAGCCGCAAGAGACAGCTTCGTCCTGATAGCTGGTGTCTTGGTCTGCAAGATCAAGAACACTAGATGAGCTACTGTAAGAACCGTCAAAAGCGCCTGAAGAAGTGTAAGTGATATTTCACTAATTTCATCATGAGCTTGGTACTAGACGTCATACCAATTTCCAGAGAGCAAGTTGGTAAGTGGTTAGCTTCTTCGGTGTACGCCATAGTGAGATCAGCCTGACAGGAATGAGAAGCAGAAACACTGTCGCGGGCACCAATTGAAAGACCGCATCCTCGAAGAGAAGCGTGAAATCGAACGGGCGGCAATCGAAGTCGATACGAGGACCAAATTGATCATCACTGCCCAATGGGCAAGTCGTGATGTTGGCCATGGTTTTGTGAAGTGAGTGAATTAGCGCAAGGTGAAGCTGGAGAGCATCCTGCTCATGATCTGAAGCAAACAGTGCTCTGTTTACATAGCACACAATCAGAGGGGACTTTTGACGCACGCCGCAGTCAGGGATGATGGCAGTCGTCACGGTTCGCCGCACTTGACCGTGTACGGCAGGTCGTGTTAATTCAAGATAGCAAGATGATTGGATACCCCGGCACATCATCAACCAAAACGGCTAGCAAGAGTAAGCATCGCTTGAGCTTTGCGTCTTACATGTTGCCAATTCGACAGAAGCTTTTGATTGAGAAAGGCAAGATTCCCAAACCTGAAATGACGACGATTCAGCGTGCGAGTCCGGCAATAACCAAAGAGCCAGGGTAATGTCGTGATCGCTGGCCCCATCATTTTCTTTCTCCTCCGTCCCGGACCCGAAATCCGGGGCGAACCCCCGCACCGCACGTCGTAGTGCATCTCACGAACCCAAACACAATCTCAACTGGAGACATCACCGCCGGGCCCCCGGTCCGATAGCTTACGACGCAACATGCGTGTCCCCGATCTCATCAGCGCTTCACAATCAGACACCAACGCGGCACCTCAGCACTCACGACAACGCAACGGCAATCGCAACTCATCACCGGCCGCGTCCGCCTCTACGTCGCCGTCACCAGAGGCAGAACGGCCACCAGCGACGCGTCCGCCGCCGACTAAGAGAAAGAGAATCACCGAACCAGACGCAGGTAGGTCTTACACGCGCAGGAAACGAGCCGCGACGGCATGCGGCTTCTGCCGGCTCCGCAAGACGAAATGCGACAACGTGCGGCCTGTGTGCGGCTTCTGCAAGCACCACGGCGCGACGTGCGTCTACGGCGATGAGGAGGTGGATGAGGCCGGCAACCCGACAAATCAAAACCGCGGGGAAGATGCCAGCGCCGTGATATTAGAACGGCTGGATGAAATCAAACAACTCCTACAGAGTTCGCCCAAAACCTCCGGAGATGCGGCCGCGCATTCCGCGTATCATCGGGAACCCACTCTCCCCGCCGGCGCCGGCCCATCTCCAGGAAATAACGTCTTTGAGGACAATCCTGGGCAGGCCGATCGATGGAACACCTCCCGAACGCTGTATTCCGCGCTTAGATGTGAGTCCATGCTGCGATGGCCGGTTTTCGACGGCATGATACCGGAAGAAGACGCGAGGATAGAATCCTTCATCCTCGAATTCGGCACAGATCTCAACGATGAGCCTCGTCACGAGGGCGGCACCTCCAACGTATCACTCGCGACAGCTGGTTCGGGAGTGAGAGAAGACGCTTTTGTCCCGCTGTGCCAGAGGTTTCTGATGCATGTCCACCCGCGGAATCCGATTCTCGAAGGCAAGGAGTTGATGAGTTATGCGAGGCGAGCGGCTGAGCATGGAGTTGGATGGGATTCACCTTCGTGTCTGGTGGTAAGAAAATTCGATCGCTGGCTCTGCTGAAGATTCACGCTCACCTTTTTCTCAGCTACTTACCTGCGCTCTGGCTTGTCTGACGACCCCATGGATCCCACCGGCATCAGGAACGCCGTTCATGGCAACAGTCGTCTCCGAGGATGTCGCTGAGCTTCCTCTCCCAGCAATAATTGAAACGGAAGATTGCGGCGTGGCGGACGCGTACTATCTCGCCGCTTCAAAACGCATCGGTCTACTGGGGCCATCCATTCTCGACATCCAATGCCTTTTCCTGGCCTCCATGTACGAGAAATGTCGTCTGCGGCCGTTGAGAGCGTGCTTCTACATCCAGCAAGCCTCGACAAGGCTTCAAACCCATCTTCTCCGAAGGGGAAGACGGCCCTGGAGAGAGGCCAACGGCAGGGAGAAACCCACGCAGCCTCTGGAACAGCGTGTCTTCTGGTCGTGTTTCAAGGCAGAAAAGTACGTTTATTCGGCCCTTCTCGAAACGTTATGCGTCGTTGAGGTATCCCACCTGACAGCTGTTCCAGCGAAATCCTCCCAACCCTGGGCCTGAGGTCCAGCGGCCTCGAAGACTTCACCTACCCGGATTCCTTCCCCGCCCCGCCGTCTACTCTGTCTTCCGCCAGGTACGACAATGCCGACTATGCATGGTCCCCGATGTCAGACGACCAACAACGCGTCGAGGAAGAGCGGAGCTGGCTATACTACCTCGCCGAAATATCCCTACGCCGGACCATCAAAGACACCATGGCCGTCCTGTACTGCAAAGGCGAGACGTACTGGCTCCAAAACGAGCGGCTGCTAGTGCGACAGTATGACGAGTTCGAAAAGGAGATTTCTGAACTGTAAGTCGGAATTCCGGACCACCAGAGCCTGCTTTACCGAATCCCCGCAGATCTGTGTTAGCTTGATAGGCTGATGGTCACACAAAGGCACTCTCACCTACCGCCCCTGATCCAGTTCGACGAGCACCGTCTCGCCGACAACGAGCTCTCGTTCTATCTCCAAGGACGCTTCCAGGGATGGCGCGAGTCGACTCTGAGGCCGCTGCTCTACTGCGCCCTCCACACCCCCGCCGTGCCGGAACAGCTGGACCCGCGCGTCGTCGAGCTGGCGCAGAAGGCCGTGGACACGTGCTCTGTCATGGTGGTGAAGACGGCGTATCATCACCGCCATGGCGGAAGCTGGTTCGTGGCCAGGAGGGCGTTCTCGTGCGCCTTGATGATACTCGCGGCGAGACTGAAGAACGGACCTGTCAAGGCGCCTTCGAATTGGAGGTCGTTGGTCAGATTGGCGTTGAGGGTCATGCGCCGATGGGGCAGGGAGGCCCGCGATATTGACAAGATGAGGTCTACTTTGGAGCGTCTGTTCGTCCGAGTACAGGCGAGTGCGGAACCGTAGAGTCATGCTCTGAGCTGGCAACAAGCTTCATTGTCGGTATACAATGCATGTTTGCTAGTTGTTTGCTGTCGATGATGCCTCTACTTAGAGACTCCGTCTTCACTCTACTAGTTTTACTGATGAGTATTGTGAGAACAGAGCCGGTTTAGCATGCCAACTTACCACGAAATCGGTCCGAATGTCTCGCCTTTTTCAAAACAAGACTTTACTTTACGTGGGGAATGACGCTAGATGTGATGCTGGCAGTGGGATGAGCGAGATGAAGCTGCGATGAAGCTGCCTCGGCAATTGTGAAAACTGTCACTATCCCCTCGCGCCATCTCAATGCCCAAACCATAGACTCTCATGACTGCATTCGACTGTGCACTACTACCTACAAACCCCGCAAAAAGGAATGACGCCGCTGTTCATTAGTTCACCAACTAGCCAGAGCAACTTCGGCAGACCTGAACCATGCCCTTGGATCCGATCACGGCTCACACTCATGCGAGCTCCCGATCCTCCGTGTGACATCCAAATCTTTCCTCGGTGCAGGGTGCGGTCCAGAACGATGTTGGGAGCAGAGTAACACCAACACTTCGATGCCGACAGTCTGTGCGACCCCAAAATCCCCCATCAAACATGCCATCTCGCCCGCGCTCGAGACCCTGACGCCTCCCCCCAAGAAGCACGGCCGTCAGAGGAGGCTGGTTGGCTGTTCGGGTGGCTGATCCTTCCCACTCAGCTCGAATGGCGCTGGCAGGTGACTAGGAAAGCCTATTGTCGGGATTGGATCGGGCTTGATCTTTGACAATAGCTTGTGTGACATCCGAGTAAGCGGGCTTCACTTGGCGGCATGTTGGCGCGAGAAATGTGGCGGCGAACCCCCGGATCGGCGGTGTCATTGATCGGGCCAGTCACGTCCGCATTCTGAGCCTCAACCCCTCACTCAGCGAGATGCTGGAGTTGAACGGTCGAGAGTGGCGAGTGCGTCTCGCTCGCGTTACGAATTAATGCTTCAACTTGAGCCAACACTGAGAGAACTGAGAGGTAGTTCCTTGGGGGCGACATCTAGGCTCGGCGAGTTTGACATTAGTGAACATTTCAATTGTCACGAGACCTAGAACACTTCATCGACACAGACAACTCGCAGCATCCGAGGCTCGTTGGCGGCGTTGCCGGACAGGGGGTTGACTAGCACCATGTCACTTGGCATCCGCGGCATCTGGGAAGCGACGCTAGAATCCGGTAGTTTGGTTCGAGTCACCTATTGACCGTTAGTTCTTTTGGCAAACACAGATCATGGGCATTTGGAATGGGAGAAGAGAGAACATGAACGATCTTGCACGACGCCAAACAAACACACGAAGCGCCGCGGTGATGGGGGCCCGGCGCCTCACGTGTCCATGGACTCGGGATGGCCTAGGGGGTCTGCATGGTCCGTTTTTACCGGGGTCTGCATTGCCGCTTCGTGTCTGCCGTTTGAGCAACGGTCATCGCGGTCCCATGGACTACCCAAAAAAAAGGGAAATAGCGGACGAACTCGCGGTCTGGGCCAAGACACCACGTGATGAACGTTGTGTGTGTGAAAGGTCCACTTGAAATTCTTCACGCCCAAATGAGTCTTCCGATCTTGGACTTGTGTTTTTCCCTGGTTTTTCCGTTCAAGCCGGGGGATTCAGGGATGATTTAATGACGTACTCTCCGCAGTGGGGAGAGAATCTGGACCATCGCTGAAGAGAAAATTCGAAAATTCCTTCCGAGCGGAGCCTGACACCGTTGCCGAAGACCGTAGCCGTGGTCCGGAAGCCCCGTGGAGTGACGAGGACTGCATCGTCGATTCGTCGGCGGATGTGTAAGCCAGTTCGTATCTTCGTAACTTCGTATGATGGCCCCGGGGCATCAGGTGGAACGGCGAAATCGCGGTCGGTGTCGCGCCAGTGTGCCCATGGGGAAGAACAAAGGAAGAAAGAGGAGACTTTTCGAAACCCAGACCAGTCCCAAACTCGGCCGAAAGCCGAGGTGACGAGAAGAAAAAAAACATGAAGCAAGGCAGAGGCGCCAGCCTCGACATTGACAAGCGCTGCCGTCCTGATTCCCGGGGTTGTTAGCGATGGGGCCGTCATCAAAGACGGGCCGATGTCACGGCCTTGACAGGTAAGAGTAAGCACCTGCTACGGAGAGCCGACCAGGATGGCTCGGAACGCACCCACAGCCCGACAACCGGGGGAGGGAGGCCTGCCGTTTGCCGCGGGCAGTTGGTTGCGAACCCTGCCAGCAGAGGAAGCCTGAACGGGCTGTTGTTGGTAAAATCTTGGTCACTCGCTCGGGGGGAACCCGTTAACACCGGCACATATCGAGTCAGGCGGTAAAGTGGTACGAGGTGACTGCGTGTCGACGCGGTCATAATCACGGTCGACGACGTAGTTTTGAAGGATTGCGATGGCGCGGTGTTTCCAGAGACCCCGGAATCAGACGAGAAACCACAGATCTGGAACGCGATGTGGCACTGATTGGATACCGCGGGGTGAAAAGCTGGAGATGCTAGGCTCTCTGGTGTTTTTTTTCTTGGAGACCCCGACATCTCCAGATGGTCGAGAGAAGGCGCGCGTCCGGAGTCTGGAGTCCTGGAGTCTGGAGTGTGCATGTGAGGAGATCCACATCGGACAGGAACTCGGCCAATTTGGCCAGAGCACGCTGCGTCTAGAGGGATCTGGAGGCAGTTAGCGTTCCCAAATACCACCGAGCATTGGCCCATATAGAGCCGGGGCCGGGGATTGGAGGAGAGATGATGGGGAATTTGGGGAAAGAAGTTGGGGGAAGATGGTGGGATGAGAATGGGATGGAACGGAATGAGATGGATGGGATGGCATGGGATGGAACGGTTGTATGTTGGAAGCAGGACGCGGCCCGGATACCTAGCTAGGCACGAAGTCGACGTCGACGTCGAGGTTGACGACGACTTGGAAGCCAAGGCGAGGTTAGGGCCAACTTGAATGGCCCGAATAGCTTCGACTTGGGAACCCAAACGAGGAGACAGATTGTGTTTGATCTGTCTCTGGGCATTCGAGCTAGATAGAAGTGAGTAAGGTGGTGTACTGTATATCCGGAGGGAGAGATGCTGCAGCATGCGGGAGAGCACCGGCGGCCAGTCTCGGCGGTCGGCTCGCGTGTGTGGTTGGTATCGTTAGTCCCGCCAGGGAAGGGGCCTGGCAACTGGCTCAAGATTTCGATCAGGATCGCAATTGACCGATATTCGTCCATCGTACATGGCGAACGAGGAACTGGAGGCTGAACTCTTGAAGCGAGAAGCTGATGAGAAGGAGAGACAGGTGCCAGACAGCAGGCCAGGGAGCGGCAAGTGCTCGCCAGCCGCATTCTTTGGCAGCGGCATAGGGCCGTCGAGTCTGCGTGTCTCTGGCCAGCTTGTGTCTCTGATTTGATGATTTGGCGAATGCTTCGCTCATCACGGGATGCCAGGATGAATCCCCGGCGGCAGAGTCAGCATACAGTACAGTACAGCCCGCAGAACCGGGTTGACGTGGAGGACAGTGAGCAAGTCAAGGCGAGACAATACGTACCGTTCTGCAGCCATTTCCGTACGGATGGTGATTTCCCAGCAGGAAGGTCAGGCCAGACAGAAGACCGGAGAACGGAACAGAGCCGAAGAGTAGAGGCAGGGGACCATGACTCTGACAGGGAAAATGGTGTTTTGGATTGGCGTGAGAGCTGCGAATCGCGGCGGCCACGGGCTAAGAGAAGGGAGGCGTGAAGCCAATCAGACGCCACTGCATCGGCCGGGGGAAAAAAAAGAAGACGAGGGCGGCGTGCGGCGCCATGATCTCGGCGCTTCTCTGGCGGTTTCCCCAACTGAAGCTCCAGAATTCCCCTCTTCGTCTCCTCTCCGGGGCACTTTTTAATGTGGTCTGTTAATACTTTTATTCAAGTCCTTATTCAAGTGTAAGGAGATCCCGGGGACCCCACCGAATGCGGGTGAAGTAGCCTGGATAATTAAAGGGGGAAGAAAAAATCCTTTTGAAAATTTTCATCGTGAGATTAGAAAGAAGATGGCGGACGAAAACAAGGCCAGACTCGAACAACAACAGCAATAACAACCACGACAACTTATTACAACGATGACACGAAGATGACAGTGACATTCAAGACTAGGGCCCACGCCGAATCTCTTGACAGATGGGCGCTTATCCACAAACGGGAGCACGTCGTCGACGAGTCCTCTCGAGCGTCTCCCTCCCGTTAATTGTTGCATGCCTCGCCCGGCCTCCCTTCCCTGCAAGACACCACGGGCAGAGATTAGTGCCCTGTCGAGATTCCTCTCGGTATGCAGTGTTTCTGCACGAGCTCGGGGCCAAGCTCGGCACGTTCAGTCTTGGCGGACAACTGGTCCCTCCCCCGCCGCAATTGTGCGTTGATGATGGTGTCGACGTTGTGGTGTTGGTGTTGGTGCAGGTGCTGGTGTTGGCCACCCCCAGACTTTGACCGTTCGCCTGCTGCTGCGCGCTTGCGGTGAAAGGCGTGTCAAATCAACGGTGATCAAATGACTTTTGCCCAGCGTGATTTCCGCGTTTAGATTTGCAGGGGCTCTTCTTTCTTGATCGACCATCATGGATGTCATGAACAGGGTCGTTTTCGGCTGCCGCGACGCAGACAGAGGCAGAGCTAATTCGCAACTGGGACAGACATCGTGTCATTGACTTTCAGTACACACTCTTTTGGGTACTACAGCCGTGGGCATAGGCAGAAGTCGGTTGAAGCCCGACTCTACTCTGTACTCTGTAAGCTCTGTCAACTATTAGTAAAAGCTCTTTGGTCTTTAGGAGCCCGCGAAGAGTCGAGACCGCGTCTAGATCAGCACCAACACGAGGCAAGGGCCATTAAAAAAAAGAAAAGGAAAAAAAACGTTGGTCAGAAGGGACCTGCAATTCGCGTCTGTCCCCGTGGTCATCCCATTCTCCATGCTCCAGCTCATCCCAGCGGCGTATCCGTACATTTACTATGTACTCTCAGTTGGCGAGAGCGGTCAAGGGTCTGAATCGAGTCTAGTGTCGATTCATCAGCGCAAGAGCGAGCCCCGCAAAACGCCACGCGACGGCGAGACAACGGCGAATTTCCCCAGCTTTTTTCCTTCAGTCTGTTCTATTATTTGTTAGCAGGCCTCCCGGTGCGAAAAAAGTGAAGACTGCCCCGTGACTTGTGTGGCTGCGCGGACCAAAACAGGACACTCCCAGGTCTAAGGGGCGGACAAGGGGGTGACCGAGAGAAACCAGGGGGTGCTGGGGGAAGGGAAGGGGTCCCCAGGGGGCAGGACTCGTGTATGGAGACTGGAGACTGGAGTCCCCCTAGTAATGTTCCCCAGGGGACCGCCAACTTAGTCAAAAGTCACTTCACCTACCTCAGTACCTACAGTGAGTCTACATAGGATTTCCAAATGTTTTAGCGCTCTGGTGGCAGACGCCGCCCGCCGTCTGCCGCCGTTCAGTTGAACAGCGGCCGCTAATTCTTAAGTTGCGGCTGGCCGTCGAGGTACTTCCTGTCACTGTACTCTGTATGCGGCTGGTTGACGGCCTGATGATCTGTTCATCAGTGTCATCTGTAGCAAGGTGATGTGGACTCGGACTGATCAGATAGTCTCCTGCATTCGGAGTCATGTCAGTTGTACTTGTTGAGGTCTTTCTATTCTTTTGGTTCTGGTTCCTATTGTTACGGTGTTCCATATGGTATACTGCTTATAACCTGTCTGTATCATCACAAGGTGTCCTTAACAAGCAGAGTTTACATACCATACCACTGAAATACTGAATCCATACCAACACAACAATAAACGATACGTTACCTTCTAGCTGCTCTAAGTCAGCTGGCACGGAGAGAACCCAAAGTACCGTCCGAGGTCATGTAAGGCAAGGTACATACCTCACAGGATTGCTGACAGGTACTCCGTCCCTAGTGCATTCTGTCTTCCTTCCCCGTCCCCGTGGCCTGCACGCCCCGCGGCCCCCTTCCCAACTCGTCGGAAAGCCCCCCAAGAGTTATCGGCCCTATTAAGCATGAGGTCCAATATGGGGACGGCTAACCATCTGCGTCTAACCCAATGGGAGCTCGACCTCGTGAACTGCATCCTGTAAACCCTCGGAATGGGGAGATGAAGCACCACACACCCCGATTCTACCCTTTCCCAAGTTCCAAAGACCCAAAGACGCTTGCCTGACGTTCCATTCTTCGGTGCCACCTCGACGGGTAGCTGCCAGACGGACGAACCGTGACTGACACAGACGCGAATTGACTGGCACTCTCCCCTCGCTCCTCCCGACGGATTCTCCAAACTGACACGGCTGATAAAAGGTCTCCGTCTCGCCCTTCCTCTATCATCGTTTCCCTTCCCCTCCTCACGAGCTTCAGTCTTCCTCCGACAAGCCTCCCCCCTCGTCCTTTGTATCTTCCACTCCGAATACCGCCAAGCTCAGTGTTCCGGTATCATCACCAACAACAACACACAAAGTCAACAACTTACTCCAACACCACCATGGAGAAGGAAACCGGCGGCGTCACCCGCGAGCCGGTCGGCCTGGCCGTCACCGAAGATGTCAACCGCATCGAGGCCCCCGTCACCTGGAAGGCTTACATGATTTGCGCCTTCGCCTCCTTCGGAGGTATCTTCTTCGGATACGACTCCGGTTACATCAACGGTGTTCTGGGTAACCAGATCTTCATCCGCAGCGTCGAGGGCGGTCCCGCCGACGCTGTCAACGAGTCCGACCAGTCCCTCATCGTCTCTATTCTGTCCTGCGGTACCTTCTTTGGCGCTCTCATCGCCGGTGACGTCTCCGACTGGATTGGCCGCAAGTGGACTGTCATTATCGGCTGCGCTATCTACATGTTTGGTGTCGTCATCCAGATGCTCACTGGTATCGGCGCCCCCCTCGGTCCCATCGTTGCTGGTCGTCTCATTGCCGGTATTGGTGTGGGTTTCGAGTCCGCCGTTGTCATTCTGTACATGTCTGAGATTGTAAGTTCGCCGTCACTCATCGACCAACGTCCGCCTGAGCATTCACTAACAACACTTCTCATAGTGCCCCAAGAAGGTTCGCGGTGCTCTCGTTGCCGGCTACCAGTTCTGCATCACTCTCGGTCTCATGATCGCAGCTTGCGTCGTCTACGGAACCAAGGACCGCCCCGACACTGGCGCTTACCGCATTCCCATCGCCATCCAGTTCCCCTGGGCCCTCATCCTCGGTGGCGGTCTCATGCTTCTTCCCGACTCTCCCAGATACTTCGTCAAGAAGGGCAGACTCTCGGATGCTACCGACTCCCTGTCCCGCCTCCGCGGCCAGCCCAAGGACTCCGAGTACATCCAGGTCGAGCTCGCCGAGATCGTCGCCAACGAGGAGTACGAGCGCGCCCTGATTCCCTCCACCACCTGGTTCGGCTCTTGGGCCCACTGCTTCAGCGGTGGCCTCTGGAAGTCCAACTCCAACCTGCGCAAGACCATCCTCGGTACCTCTCTCCAGATGATGCAGCAGTGGACTGGTGTCAACTTCATCTTCTACTACTCCACCCCCTTCCTCCAGTCCACCGGCGCCATCGACAACACCTTCTTGATCTCTCTGGTCTTCACCCTCGTCAACGTCTTCTCCACTCCTCTGTCCTTCTGGACCGTCGAGCGCTTCGGCCGCCGCACCATCCTCCTCTGGGGTGCTACCGGCATGTTGATCTGCCAGTTCCTCGTCGCCATCATCGGTGTCACCGTTGGTTTCAACCACACTCACCCCGACCCTGCCGACGCAACCAAGAGCATCGCCAACAACATCCCCGCCGTCAACGCCCAGATCGCCTTCATTGCCATCTTCATCTTCTGGTTCGCTTCCACCTGGGGTCCCGGTGCCTGGATTCTCATCGGCGAGGTCTTCCCCCTCCCCATCCGCTCCCGCGGTGTCGCTCTCTCCACCGCCTCCAACTGGCTCTGGAACACCATCATTGCCGTCATCACCCCCTACATGGTCGGTGAGAAGCGTGGCAACCTCAAGTCGTCCGTCTTCTTCGTTTGGGGCGCTCTCTGCACTTGCGCCCTGGTCTACACCTACTTCCTGGTTCCCGAGACCAAGGGTCTGTCTCTCGAGCAGGTCGACAAGATGATGGAGGAGACCACCCCCCGCACTTCCGCCAAGTGGAAGCCCCATGAGACTTTCGCCGCCGCTGTCGCCAAGGACGGTGTCCTTGACAAGGCCGTTGTCGAGCACGACATCCGCCGCACCGGCTCTAACGTCTAAACTGTCCATCTTTGTCTATAGTATATCAACCGGAATACCCGTGCCGTATTCCTAGGAGAGGCACCTGTGGATTGATCCCAAATTCGGGCATCACTGTTAATGCGAAATGCTGTATGGCGCGTGGAGGAGTAACGAAGTCAATATTCACGATTGTGATATCCCATATTTCCATCTTAGTAAACAGTAATACAAAACTACCACTTCAATCAAACTTTGGCTCGGCTCATTTCCGCAGTGAAGAAAAAAAAATATGCCCAAACTCGAAATCTCCGATGATTCGGGGGAACGCGGACCGAGGTTATGGGCCATCGGAGCCCAACGACACGACGCTTCGTTATGCTGACCCCCAACCCAGTTCCACTCGCATTTTGAACCCCGTGAGTCGTCGCCGGGGTGGTTGTAGACGACGGTCGTCAAAAACCCCCAGTTCCGTACGCTCCCGGCCTTGGCCTGATCCGGCAATCGGGCGGGGCGGGAGCTTGATTATCCCAGGCCTCCCGGGTGTCGTCACCCGGCGTCCGCCCGTCTTGGCCGCTTTCGCCAAGCGGTCTCACCCGGGAAATTTTGGGTATATTCTGATCATACGAGAGGTGTCATGGAAGACAGAAGCGAAAGATGGGTTTGCTGAAGCGGGTTTGAGTGCCTGTATCCGTCATCGCATCGACTCCTGTCTTCGTCGTCGTGACTGTAACCGATATGGGCCCTGCTTGGGGTTCAATCCGAACGCTGAAATCGATCGAAGCGGTTGTCATGCTTCAGAGACTGACTTCATGCCAATAGCGGAAGTGTTGGTCAGTACGCATGCTCCCGGGGACGTTCCATCACACAAGTCTTGCATACGGCGAAGTGAGAATGAGCGTGTTTGCCCCGATATAAGACTCAACATCACAGAGTACCGTAACATGGACACAACAGACGTGCGCCTGAGTAATGACCGTCCCCGAGAGCCGCAAGCAAGACATCTCAAAGACCACGACCCAGCCGTCCATGCCCTCTTACATCAATTCAAGCTTGCGAGCCTTGACTCCGTCAAGGTCCTCGACGATCTGATCGGCAGCGGCGAGCGCAAAAGCTGCCGCGGTGATGGTTGGGTTACAGGCGCTCTGTGTCGGAATCACACCGCACCCGCCCAGGACGAGGTCGTCCTGGCCCCAGACCCGGCCGAGACGGTCGACGACGCTGCCCTCCCCGGTCTCTTCGTCGACCTTGGCCTGGCCGGCTCGGTAGGTGCCGCAGAGGTGCATGGCGGAGCCGGGAGGGAGGTGCTTGGGCTCGGCGCCTGGGAGGAAGGCGCCGAGGTTTTGGGCGACGTCGACCATGCTGTCGTGGCACGGTATTGTTAGGAGATACGTTCGATAGAGCCCGAGGATGTATGGACTTACTCGGACATCATTCTGGAGGCGCGATCGGAATCCTCCTCGTTCATCTTGAAGTGGAACGTGGGCTTTTCAGGGGCAGGTCAGCTGGGACATTTCTATTCTCACATCGTCACAGTACTTGCCTGAGGCATGCCGAAGCCATCAGTGACATCTGCGGAGAATTCGACGCAGTTCTCCTCGCTGGGCTTCGTGTATCCGTACCAGCGAAGGTCAAGAACGACGCGCTGGTCAATGATCCCGGGGATCTGCCCGTATCCGAAAGCATCGCGGTGAATCTGTGCGTGCCAGGGGTAGTCCTCGCACGGAGGGAAGTAGCATTGCGGATCGGGGTCGTTGAAGGGAAGGGGGAGAGGATCGTTGGGATGTTTTCCCTTGTGGTGCGTGACGGCTCTCTTCCAGCCGAGCTGATACTCGTCGTGGGTGACGGCGTCGATGTGCTTCTGGTCGAGGAGGACTTGGCAGAAGCTCATGGGCTGATCTACAATGTAGCGGCCCTGCAGAAAGAAAGATCAGCGGGCGACTTATCTCATGGGGTAGCCTTTCATGTAGCACATGGAGACCACTCACCAATGCGGGAATCGTCTCACGCAAGCCGCCGGAATTCCAGAGAATACCCGCAGTCAATACGGCCCCGGCGCAAATCACGTACTTGTTAGCCTTGATCCCGTACTTGCGATTCTCCAAGAGATCCTCGACCTGAGCGAGCTCGACCTGGCGCGTGACAGGGTCCATCTCAAGCCTGACGCACTGCGTGTTGGCTCTCAACTCGAAGCGAGCGTTCCGGGCGCACGGCTCGGCGAGGTCGCCCAGAATCGTCGCGGTGCACGCCCACTCGACGTAGTCCCGGTTCTGGAGTCCGCGCCTGCCGCACATGGGCATACTGGCGATCTCGCGACCGCGGTCCTCGAAAGCGTCGCCGAGGACCTTCTTGACGAGCTGCTGGCGGATGGAATCGTCAAGGAGGTTGTCGTCGGTCCAGAAGAGGTCCTCGGCCCGGGCGTACAAGGCATTCCACTCCTCGTCCGAGAAGAGGTCGGACCTCTCCAGAGTCTTGTTTTGTCGGGGGGTGCAGTTGGTCCAGTGGCCTGACATGCCACCAACGACGCGGGAGGCCGCCGCGGCGGGTAGGTTGTCCGAGGCTTGTTGCTCTGGGTTCTGCCCGTTGTAGAGGAACTGCGTCTGGGCGGGCCTGGCAGGTTGTGAGTAGATGTCCTTGGGATAATAGACAATTTGCTGATGACTACTTACTTGGAAGACCACGAGCCGGGCTCAAGGCCAGAGTCAGTTGCGTTGGTGGACACGGAAAGAGGATGAAGATCTCCCTGAAACACGATGTGAGAGTGAGATTGTGTACTCTAGTGTGGGATGATATAAAGACATTGAGTAAACTTGCCCTGACGGTGCTGTTTGATGTGTCAACGAGATAGCCAGTCACAGAGAGCGAAGAGTTGTGAACTTACTGACTGAACAGACTAATGTCTTTCTGAACAGCGACACTATTCTTTCGATGGTCACCAATTCTTCTCGTACCTCTATGCTCACAAGTTAGTCATGCTAGCCGCTCTCGGGAAAGAACCTGGCACTTACTGATCTCCGACATCAATCATCACCACACTTCTCCCAGCTGATACAAGAGTGCGAGCAAAGACTGCTCCGATGGGGCCAGAGCCCACGATGAGAACGTCAACCTCATCCAGGTGCTCTCTGTCCGGCATAGATCCCATGATGACGACTTGGGTTTAAGTAAAGGTCTAAGTTGAAGGAAGGGGCGAACTTAGGATGATGGGAGATAAAGACTCAGTGGTGTTGAATCTACCAGGGGGCCCAGGTCTTATATAGTACATATAGAGATCAACTTTCTTGTTGCATCACCTGAACCTCCTCACCGTTGCCAATAATGGTGTGTTGTACACGGAGACATCCGCCGGACTGTTTGACTTGCCAGACGGGTGCTCCGCGTCACAGCATACATGTAGATAGCGTTAGGTTTCCAGAGGCACTGCATAGAGCTCAAAAGCATCCTTGTCTCGAACAAGTTCAATGTAGATCGACAGGTTTAGCAATGGCTGGGGGAGCACAAAATGAGGGGTATTCGGAGCTTGCTCTGTCACAGGCGGCGGGAAGTTGAGCTGCCGCGCGTATACATATATCAAGTAAGTGGGAGAACATAAATTGTAAGTTCACATTGAGTATCTAGTAAAACCAGTGCTGTATGCTATGACAAGCAGGCAGGTCGAACTTTGGGTCATCAGATTTGGATACCGACATCAAGTCGCCTTACATGAAATGCCGAATGTCTAATCCCCGTCAAATACATTGACATGATCATGATACTCATAGTAGACCAATACTGCCGGTACTGGTACAAAAAGATACGCGGTCTATCAACGTAGATAACACGGTGACAGCCGCCCGTGCGACTCATGTCGGCGCGGTGCTCCGTAGGGACGGGTAACAACATGAGTCCTTGAAGATCTTCGTGATGCATGAGTAGTAGAGAAGCTATCTATAATTGGGTATATGGAAAATAAGGTGAGGTTCTCATCCCTGCAGGCATTCAGAAAGAGACAAGGCATAGCACAGAACATTATAACGTGGGACACGATGACAACCCCTTTCAAGTAGGCGGAGATCTTTCTAACGCACACATGTCATACCTGCATACGATATCACAACGATACTATGATCCAGTCAGAAAGTTGGATTGAAATAAACATGTATTTTTACACCATCTGCGACGCGCTTTATGTTCATTGGTTGGAGAAGAGCTGGCCCCAAGGTTCCAGTGGAGACATGTCAATCTTACAAGCTCGCAGCATCTCCCAAATAACCGTAGCAACCGTGTCAAAAACGGGTATTCCGTGCTTCTCTTCCCAATGAGCTACCCGTTGTGCAGCTCTAAGATTGGTGCAGAACGTTGTGACGCCCTGAACTCTTTTGGCCACCACGTCGTCCACCATGCCATCAAGAGTAGACTCTTCCACAGCTGCGAAAGTAGAGTTTTTGAAAATTCGCAGATGGCTCTCTTTCGTGCAGTCAACGCCAATGGTAGAGTATGTCTGAATGATAGCCTCCTGTACGTCATCTGTGTACGGCGTAACAAGACCGAGCTCCTTGATACCGAACTCATGGACAGCCTTGTTGAGGGCCAGAACCGAAGTAGTAGCCGGAATCCCCGTCGCGGCGGTGATGTCGGCGCACAGCTTCTCGTCAGCTTCGAATCCCAACCATCCGGATGACGTGCCGCTCCAGCCGATCATGTCCACCTCGGCGTCAGCCAAGAGTTGAGCGGCTGCGACGATGCTTTCGTTCTGGAACTGATTGAGTCCGTCGCTGTCTAGACTTATTTTGAGCACGCGGAATCTCGAGAAGTGAACCGAGACATTGGGCAAAGACGCGACGATGGCTTGAGTGAGTGGCTCGAGGCTTGTATTGGAGGACGGCGTTAGGATTCCAAGCCGGACTTTTCGAGACATGATTGATTGAGTTGAGACAGACAAAGTAATTGGTTGTCAGTAACAGTGATTATTGATGGTCAAGAGTGATTGGGAATCACGTTACTCTTAGGAGAGGCTTGTGTGAATGAGCTCAAGAACTGGTCGCACGTCGTCGGCTGATCCGACCGATTTCCCCGCATTGGGATTCTCGCGATCCAATCAAATCGCGAGAAATGCACTCCGATCAAATCCCGATGAGACTGGCCTATCTTCGGCGGCGCCAGATGCTTATCGCCCGACATCTTTCAATCGCCTGGAGAACATGCGTCCTTGGGTGGGGACTGATATGCTCCGTGGCGGATACTTATGATGCCTCCGGGCATAGGCGGCTTCGTATTACTGAAGATAGGCCACGATGATAAGAGACTCCATTGTACTGCGAGCCATGAACTATCTCAATCAAACTATTTTGATCTTGTAGCACCCTAATCTTCATTGATGCCGTCCTGACACCTTCCCATACAGTCATACAAAGGCTGCCATTGCTCATCAGCTTGAGAAATCTTTAACTAAAATCGACGACTATGTCTGGGCAGGCATGTGGCAGCGCAGAACAGACCCGTTGGAAACCCCGGGAATTTGCGAAAACAATCAGACTCAACAATCCTCGGCCAGAGTCAACCCAAGGCAAGTTTGGCCGGTGGTCGAACATTGATCTTGACCCAACACCTCCAGAACAGCGTACCTGGAACTCTTGGTCTTTCTTCGCCTTCCAATTCAGCATCGCCTTCTCCCCTACCACTTACAACGTGGGCGCCAGCCTCTACGCCATTGGACTGAACTGGTGGACCATCTTGATCGCATCTAGTAAGTAAAATATTTGTCATGACTGAAATCTTAAAGGTGCACGGCGTTAACAAAAATTTGGTAGTTGTTGTTTCTGTTATTGTTGCCATTCTTCTTTATCTCAACTCACGCGGCGCAACTTGGTAAGTTAGGCAGCCTGAAAGGCAAACTTCCTTCATCCATATCAAATGACCGATTGATTTCAGGTATCACGTTGGGTTTCCCACCATCATTAGGTCTTCTGCTGGAATCTATGGATCACTTGCGTACATAGGCATTCGGGGTGTAAGTGAAACGGTGCAATGTGTCTTCTGGAGCATACTGCCAGAGCCTAATACCATTGACACAGGTTGTTGCGGTGCTTTATACCGCAATTCAGACCCTGTATGCCAGTCAGTTCATGGCAGTCATGCTAAGATGTGTGTTTGGTCACAGATGGACCGATATTCCAAATCGTGGGTTCTGAATATCTACAGCCCATGGGCAACTCAGCTCACACATCTCTTATCACACAGGCCTGCCATCAAGTGCTGGGATCACCTCTGCGAATCTGTTGGCGTTCGGAATTCTATGGTTACTTCAGTTGCCATTCGCTTTCATTCACCCTAGCAGGATAAACATCGTGTTTCGCATCAAATCAGTTTTGGCTCCGATTGGTTTGATCGCGACCATGATATGGGCTCTGGTTAGAACTAAGAAGACCCCCACAAGCACGTACGTACATCAGCTTACAGCAGATAGGTCTCCAGCCACGGGGCTGATTTCCAAGGCCTTAGTACATCAGAAGCAGCAACTGGTGCAGCTCTGGGATGGTCATTCATGAAGGCATTAAATACTATCGTGTCCAACGTTATCCCGCCATTGGTCAATATTGCCGATCTGTCTCGCTACGGAAGTCGTCCCAGCCAGACTATTCCAATGCCAGTCGGTCTAGTAATCAGCAAGCCCTTGGTGACATTTTTAGGCATGGTCATAACGGCAGCAGGGTACAAGCAGTTCGGCGAGGTGAGTGGTAGCATCATCGCTCTTATTCAGTGACTGACTTCAGAAAGGCTTACTGGAATCTCTGGGACTTTTATTCAAGTGTTCTTGACAATTACTGGGGCCCTGAAGCGAGAACACTAATATTTCTTGCTGCGGGCATTCAGGTAAAACGCTCTCCGTATTTTCGCGCGGGATCTGCTAGAAAGCTTTGGATATTGATTTGACCTTTCTATTTCGCAGGCGTTTGCAACTTTCGCCACCAACCTGAGTAGCAACTCCATACCAGTGGGCAGTGACTTGGCAGGGCTTTTCCCCAGATACTTCACCATTGTCCGTGGCCAGATCCTGTGCTTTTTGTTGGTATGGGTTTGCGGTAAGTCCACATGCAGGTGAAAGTCCATCAACCGGTAAGACGCTGATTCAATGACGTTCTAGTACCATGGAAGCTCACATACTCGGCTGCCTCGTTTCTCACATTTCTGGGGTCCTATCTATGCTTCATCTGCCCTATTGTGGCTTGCATGATGTGAGTTCAACGCCCTGTGCCTAATTCTTGTTTATCGTATTCTTGAAACGATTGAATTGACCGCATACAGTGTCGACTACTGGCTCATTCGCAATGGCAACCTGCACGTCCCTTCGCTCTACTCAACGAAACCTGAATCTCCATACTACTACTTTCATGGGTTCAACCTGCGTGCCTTTGGGTCTTGGGCAGCGGCTGTCGTGTTGGTCGTGCCAGGGGTTTCGGGCAACTTGCATCCCGGCTCAATAGGAACCGCCGCCGTGCGTATTTACAACATGGGGTTTCTACTCTCGTCAATCACGGCTGGTTTGTTATACTATGCGAGTTGCAAAGTGTGGCCGGTTCAGATCTACCCTCCGGAATGGAACGATCAACCTAAAACCAGAGAGTTCATGAGACACACGGAGGGCTTTTTCACAGGAGAAGAGATGTACCCAGTACATCTCTTGGACACATCCACCATCGTCGGCGAAGCGCTTCCCGAGAAGATGGAGAGATCGAGAGAGGATGACGACGGAACAACAACTGTACAGGAGAAACGCTGAACAGAACGGACATACATGGGTAATACGACGCGAGCGCGACTTCGCTCTCTGGCATTTTAGGGATGCGACACGTTGTGGGGAGCGATGAGGCTTGAAGCTGTTAGAGCCCTATTAGCAGTACTCGTATTTAGTGCATGTAGATTTTACCCAAGGAGGGTTGGATGCTCTGCAAGATTTGCCCAAAATTCCATCTCAAAGTCCCATAACTGATTGTTTACATACGGTTCCCACATCTCTTCTGCTGCAGCGGCAGACCCATTTCCTGGTCCTGTCGTGGGTTTTGCTGCTAGCAATGAATCAAGCAAAGTCTCAATGGTTCGCGTTGCTCGTGAGAACAGAGCAAAGTTTGGTTCGCCAGCTTGGATCCATGCTCCGGTCTTGATCTCAGCCACGAGAACGCTGAGGTCTTGAATCATTTTGGATCGTGAATTTAGGAGAACAGCTGACGAGTTTATTTTCAGAAGACCAAGCGAAATGACGCCAGCTGCAGGGAGACCGTATTGAGCGACCTAGCACAGGTATACGATTAGAATGTGAATTGAGCACTGAACACATGTCCAGGTGATAAAGAGCGTCTTGACATACCTTCCAAATTAAACACGACCCTGAGTTCACCAGTTGATCGCGAAGTATGATAACTTCCACCACAATTGAGAGCATTTCCGTTGCCACCATTAGTAGGTCATCGTTAGGCTCCGATATAGGCGTCTGTGAGGCAATACCCAAGAGGAAAAGAATGTGAAGGTGGTCAAGCCTAGTCCCAGCCAGGAAGTCTCTATGAAATGGGATATTTTGGCACTCCCTGACGCTGGTTGTGAGTTTAAAAGACGATGGGAGGTCTTGCCACAGCTGTTCAACTCGTTTACGAAGTTGACTTACACGGTCAGCAATTTCTCGACTCAATAAATAGTGTGTGTTACTCAGCAGGTTGCTCACCTGATGTCATTTGAGATATCCATGGTATTTTTCCTTCTCAGGAGCTGGAGGACATCTTCCTTCATCCGTGCAGATAGAGCCGTACAACGCGTATCTGCTGTGTAGTTGATTGGTTCCATATGTCGAGATGGTTCACCGTTTGTGTCACGGGCTAGGCTTTGTATATGTTGTTCGGTTTGATCGTTTATCCATCCGTCTTGTACGCTGGGTATTTGAAAGTGACAGTAGTCTTTGACTATTCGTGGAGGTCGTCCCAGGAATACCGCCAAACTCTTATCGGCGGTGTATATTCGAGCAAAGCAGGCCTTGCGCAACTCAACCACGAAATTAGGAACATTTGGGTTGCTCTCATCAATGATTTCGTTGTAGCCCAACGCAAATAAAGAGCTAGCAAGGTCCCCAATCTTCCGCCATGAATGGTGGTAGCCTTCACATACACGTTAGCTTGAAGAATCTTTGTTTTGTTGGAAGATATGTGTACTTACTCTGATCTCCGTCCAGCTGTGAGTGCACTATGAAGTTCTCATACTGGAGAACAAGCTGAAGATCGTTCAAGCAATCAAGACCTAAGCAAGTTTCTAGACAGCAGTCACACATGTATGTTAATGCTTGACCAAGTCTTCGGCGTTGCTCGTTTGTTGCGTAAAGTGGGGGAAAGTATGGAGTATCGTATGCCGCTCTCGCTGCAGCGGCGAAGAAGATACCAAGTGTCTCCCACCTGAGATTCCGCTTGACCATTGCAGCAAGAAACTCATCTTTGCTTAAGTCGCCGCTCATGACCAGCGGTTTTAGTGTGTTCTCCAACAACGCGGTGACGAAACTGGCACTTGCAGTTTCTGCAGCATTGGACCCTCGGACTCCAGCAACTGGGGCCAAAAGTTCCCTCCAGTTTTCGACTGACCACAAACATTCCGAGACGATCGGACCTGCCAAAGGTAGATTTACGCCTCTTCCGAGCCAGGATCGGACCAAGGGTGTCACCTTTGATACGTCCATTCGCTCAAGACGAGATAATGCATGCATGGCTCTGTCCATGATGACCTGGTTACTGATGAGGTCGACAGGAGGCGCTGAGTTGTTTTGCTGGGCGGCATCTGGTTGAAACTGCGAGCCATCTTCCCCAGAAAACACCTGGTCGAACAAGGTTGAGTGGCTCGAAATCCCAAGGTAACCGGGATTTGGGTATCGGTAGGGCTGTGCTGAAGCATTCGACGCCGATTCAACAGGCGACGCAGCAGCAAGAGAATGAGTCGAGGTAGCTACGTTGATGGCTTCGGCGGGGGTCTCCGTCGGACTAAGTTCTCTAAACCATTACTCACTTTAGTTCTTGGCCTATAGAAGCAATCGTAAGAGCCAATACTTACACCGGATCTTCACTGAGCGACTTTGGGACATGGAATCTTCTCCGAAGTGGACGAGACCTGTAAGTACAAGCATCGCCCCGTCCCCGGTCTCTGCACCGTGTACAACTCGGCCTCTCATGGCCACAGGCTAGCTTGGACCTCCGACAGGGCTCACAAGCCGCGAGCCTCACGCTCATATTCTCGAGCCAGAATCGACTTATGCTTATCGATTGCGTCTGGCTTTCTGTGACGGGTTGTTCGGTAGACGTTGATTCGGAGAAGAAACAGTGACATTCTGGTGGATTACTCCGATAAAACCTGAGCGCCGGAGTTTGACTCCACTTTACCCCGAGATCGCTCCGCCGCCCCGCTTCATCTGTCTAAGGCGCCCTGCCTTTGACACCAACACCGCCCGACATCGTCGAAGGGAGCTGTTTTCAGACAGAGTAACAGAGCAAGTGTGCCATATACGGTGGATAGAATCCACAATGGGTAACCGGTTTGTTCTGTTTGATAAGCTTGAGGATCTGGTATTGTCCGATTCTGGGACGTTCCTCTCCGAGATGACTCAGGATGGATTCAGCAAAGCCCATGAGATGTGCGGCCTTCTTCAAGTGATAAATACTGTACGAATATCTTCTGTTTGAATCAGGGTCTGAAAGTCAAAGCAATTCACACTACCATGGGCGATTACATCGATTCATCTACTGACTCCTTTGCGGAGGGCAGTGCCCCTAACCTTCAGCCCAATCGTCGTCAGGTGCACCCTGCGCAATGGGGAGTGGCAGCACCATGTAGCAGCGAAGATTTCAAGACGAAGACTCACGAACGCAAGCCTTTAGCGAAAGATTGGAGCCGTAAGTCATTGCCTGATTCTACTTGTCGGGGTTGATCAACGTAACTCAGACATGAGCTTGGACGAAACACTAATCAGTAATCTTCTTAACGTCCCAGACCGCTTAAGCTCCGAGTCATCGAAAAGAAAAGGCTCTTCGTTGAAATCAGCCATCAAGCACCTACAGAAGCCAGATCTTATCTCTCTTGGAGGTGGACTTCCACTCAGCGAATTCTTCCCCTTCGACACCATCTCATTCACCCCGGGATTCGTCCCGAGCACGGCACGCAAACCAGCGAGCTCAAGCTCCAGAGAAGCCCACCAGGCAGGAAAGAATGATATTGCAGAAGGTCGAAGCGTCTTCGACGTCTCCGTGGCTCTGAACTATGGCCAGGGAAGCGGATCTGCACAGCTTCTGCGCTGGATTACGGAGCACACGGAGCTCGTCCACGATCCGCCATACTTGGACTGGCAATGCACCATGACCATTGGCAATACATCTGCCTTGGATATGGCTTTTAGAATGCTGACAAAGCAAGGAGACCTTGTTCTGTCCGACTCCTACACGTTTGCATCGGCAGTAGAGACTGCTTTGCCTATGGGCGTCAAGTTCTTTGGTGTTGAGATGGACAGAGAGGGACTATTGCCAGATCGATTGATGGAAGTACTGGACAACTGGGATGAAGCAGAGCGAGGTGCAGAGAAACCTTTCTTGCTCTACTTGGTTCCGACTGGTCAGAACCCCACCGGCTCAACACAAAGCCTTGAACGCCGCAAAGCCATTTACCGCGTGGCGCAGAAGCATGACCTGATTATCTTGGAAGATGACCCATACTACTTCATCCAGATGGACCCTTACGTCCCACCGAGCAAGAATTGCAGTACCAGTTCGACAGCGGCACCGGCACCGGCAGACTTACTGAAGATGATCGTTCCGTCCTATCTCAGCATCGATGTGGATGGCCGAGTTATGCGAATGGACTCGTTCAGCAAAGTCATCAGTCCGGGATCCCGCGTAGGCTGGATTACGGCGCCCCAAGCCATTGTCGACCGGTACAAAGGACACGCCGACGTGTCAACACAAGGGCCAAGCGGTTTCAGCCAGCTGGCGTTGTTCAAACTTTTGGATGAGTTCTGGGGCCACGCTGGATACCTTGAATGGCTGTTGCACCTTCGGAGAGAGTACACGAAGCGAAGAGATTTCATGATTTGCTCTTGCGAGCAGCACCTGCCTAAAGACATCGTTTCGTGGGAACCAGCTGAAGCAGGAATGTTTGTGAGTATATCAAGAACTTTTCCCTGGTGACAGCGAATTGTGTACTAATAATTACAGTTGTGGCTGCGAGTCAGTTGGGATAAACATCCAGATGCCTCGGTCAAGTCTGCTTCGAAGATTGAGGAAGAAATTTGGCAGCAAACAATTGAACATGGGGCTCTCGTTGCTCGTGGTAGCTGGTTCAACGCTGCCGATGACATTAGCTGCCAAGACATCTTCTTCAGGGTCACTTTCGCTGCTGCGCCTTTGGAAAAGGTTGACGAAGCAGTCAAACGACTTGGCAATGCGCTGAGGAGTTGCTTTCAATTGCTCTAAAGTTAGGATCAGCATCCTGAAATCCCCACTCTCTGATTTCACGAGTCTTTTCTGATCGTCCGAGAAAAACATCATGTAGTAGATTTAGACAACCTTAACCGTAGATGGCCATGATAGCATCTAAACCCGTTTTCATTCTCACTGGTGGCGGGACACATATCATCCAAGGCTTTGTTTCATTCGGAAGCTAAGTTGAGGGGCGAGTTGTTTAAGCACTTAAGGTACATGAACCAGCAACCGGCCTAGTCCTGGGGAAAGGTTCACCAAGCCCGGCTCTCGGCATGACTGCAGTCACAACATCAATGGCCCGTCGATACTCGGTTTCTAATTTTCTCAGCATACACTCACAAATCGACTACATGAACGTCGCAGCAGAGCCCTTCAGGTTGGAATAAGAATGATGGTCAGCGTCGCGTCGTATCGCGGCAAGTTGTGCCTTATCGCTGACCTCCTGAGTCGTTATCATCGGCAATTGCCACAACTGTCGGCTAACTGTCACAATATCAACCTGAGCGGATAAAGACAAGCGAAGGAAATGTCAAGAATGTCCCCCTTTTTAACCATGCTCAAGAGCCAATTGTCTATTAGGTTTGAATCGCGCAAGTTGAAGGTCTCACGCTCCACTGGTGAAAATGTTCGGTTTCAACTCCGGGCTTTCGGCCACCCTGCTCTTGGCCGTGGCCCAGTATGCGAACGCGGGACCAACAGCCAAGACTCTGAACGGCACTTATGAAGGCTCGCATCTTTCAGCCTACCAGCAAGATGTCTTTCTCGGGATTCCGTACGCTCAAGCTCCCGTTGGAGACTTGCGTTTCAGAGCGCCTGAAAGTCTGAATGCTACATGGCCCGCAACCCGGCCTGCAACTGAGTATTCAGATATTTGCATGCAATACACAGTATGAGCCTACCAATGCATCTCGAGAGCTGCGCTTACCACTGACTTAGGCACCTCCTAGTCACCCAATGTCCGAGGATTGCTTGTCACTCAATATCATTTGCCCGAGTGGTCTGAATGCAACGGAACCGCTTCCTGTCGCAGTCTGGATCCACGGGTAAGTACCATGACTCTCGCACAATTCACGTATGCAGTCGCTGAGACCAAAAGCAGGGGCGGTCTATACGCCGGCTCATCCAGAGAAACCAACCTGACAAACTTCGTGCGCCAGGCTTCGGCAGCTCAAAAGCCTCTCATCGCCGTCTCGATCAATTATCGACTGTCGGCATTTGGCTTCCTATGGGGTTCCGATGAGCTCAAAGCCAACGGAAGTGCCAACAACGGCCTGCGAGATCAGAGACTTGCTCTTCGCTGGATTCAAGAAAACATCGGATTCTTCGGCGGCGACCCTCGTAAAGTCACGATCTTCGGCCAGAGCGCCGGAGGGTTATCTGTGGGAAAGCAGCTGATAGCTTACGGGGGAAGAGACGACGGTCTGTTTCGCGGAGCGATCATGCAGAGCGGCGGTATGGCCGAGAAGTGGCCGTACAACATCAAGGACCCGGCGGCTTACACCGAAGATCTGTACCGAAACATGACGGAGACAACTGGTTGTGCCGACGACGCGAGCCCTTTGGAATGTCTCAGGAAACTCCCCGTTGAGTCTCTCTCGGCCGCGTTGAACGTCAGCAGCACACCTGTTTTCTTAGGGACCGGCCTCGGACCTTGGCTCACGCAGATCGATGGTGATTTCCTCCAAGATGGACCCACGTCGTCCCTCGAGAAGGGCCACTTCGTGCATGTGCCCATCATGTATTCGACTACGTCGGATGAGGCGACTGTGTTTATGTTTGGAGGAGCCATCGATACAGACGCAGACTTCAGAGCACTTGTTGCAGCCGGCGGACCAGATGAGCCAACCGTTTCCAAGATCGAGAGTCTCTACCCCAAGAACAGCACAGGGCTCCCTCAAGGATACACCCCTTCCGCGGAAGACGTGCAGACCCATGGTTCACAGTGGAAGCGAGGCGTTCTGTTCCACACAGACGTCGTCGAAACCACCTCGCGACGCTTGACGTTGAAGGCGTGGGCTGCCGCTGGTCTAGAAGCATACTCAGCGCGTGTCAACTTATTGCCTCCAAGCACAACGCCTCGCCTTGGGTCACATCACTCGATGGATCTGAACTTCATTTTCGATAACCTCGACGCCGAGACGGCCAATATGACCCAGTTCGCAACAGCATCCCGACTCATGAGCAGATCGTGGGCGTCTTTCGTGTCAGATCTGGACCCTAACGGTCATGGAGGTATGTAAACAGCCCGGTTTCGGTGCTTGACTCCAGAAAAAGACTTCAACTAACATGAGGCAGTACCAAACGCCCCTAAGTGGCCAACATGGACAGATGATAGATCGAATAAGACCGGAGATCATGGAAACAACTTTGTTTTCAACGCAGACAGCGACACTACATCAACGTCTTTTGTGGAGTCTGACTCTTACCGGATGGAACAGACGGATTACTTGGGAAGTATTATGCAAACTCAAATGTATTACTAGTCGAAGAGGAACCCCGTCTGGTGTTGGCCGTAAGATGATTGCAGAAGAAACAACGGCAAAGTACACATACGCAGTGTGTTTGTTACCGAAACGACAGCCAACACTACATTAAGGCCTTAAGGTGCATCTCTGAGCCAGAGATCTTCTCCAACGTTTCCCGCAGCCTCCGCATTCTCTCCCGGGTGATGACATACTCGTCTGGAAACCACTCGCTCACGCCCTTGCCCATAAGCATCTGCGCGACGGCTCGGCCACACAGCCATGCATTAACCATGCCATAACCACCGTAGCCAGCACTGATCCATTCTGCAGCTTTGGTGTCGCCGGCGCGTCGATCAACCGTACCAGAAGGGAGCATACCCACCAGTGGCACGCCGTCCAACGTGTTGGCCATGATGCCTGTCCAAGAAGACCGCATGACCGGCGGATCTCCCGTGTTTTCTTTCCCGAAAACGACCCCGACAACACCTGCAAGGTGCGCCTTGGCGGTGATGGATTCTTCCGCATCCGACGCCTCACCGAGAGGCTCCATCAACGCTTGTTCTCCTCCAATATCGCCGCCTCCCACAAACAACTCTCCAGATCGTGCGTTCTGTGTAAGGTAGTCGAAGCCTTGGGAGAAGTAGAAGCTCCACGAATAAGAGCCATCCTGTTGATGGAAAGCCATGGCTAGGGATTTGAGTCGACATCTGGCCCCTCCGGGGAACGACGATGCCCCAAAGACCGGTAACCAAGTGGCCGACATGACCTTCTGTGCAATGTACGACATGTCGACTGCAAATCCGCCCGCGAGGGGTGCTAATAACATACGGATGCCAGTCGGGGGCATTGACCCTCCGAATATGCGTCGCTGGAGTGTTTGCCTCGATCGTGATGTTCTCACCGTGCTCGGATAATAGCCTTGACCAGATGCTTGTGATAAGGCGATACGGCCACGCTGCTCCAGCGCGCCCGATCAGAGCACCCTTGGCCTGAGGGATTTTGAAGGTCTATCGATATGTCAACGGTTCATTCCCATTTCAGCTACTCACTCATCAGCTGTACCGTACCTCTTGAACCTCCTGCGCTCCCGCAATTCTCCAGCGACCCCTGAGATCTGGGAAAGCGGCCTCGAAATTAATCAGCATCCGTTGAAGATCTGCCAGCTTCTCGTCGTCAAAGACAGCGGCGCAAGTCCCAACTTCTCTAATTTCGGACCTCTCGAACTCCTCGGGCCCAAGCTCAGTTGCCGCCGCCATGAGCTCGTCAAAGTGAGCAAGCTCGAAGCGGACGATTTTGATGGCTGCCTGTCTACCGAATTTCCGGCAGTACTTTTCAAAGTCCAAAACGGCCATGCAGTTGATGCGCCCGCCGTTGCGACCCGTGGCTCCTGAGCAGATCTCGCGGGCTTCGAGAACGGTAAGCTTCATGCCCTGGCCAGCGTTCAGAAGCTCGCGCGCGACGCTGCATGCGGTGATGCCGGAACCGATGATCACTACATCCCGTTCTTCAGGGAGGGAACTCGACTGGATGCCGGCGAGTTGACTGTGCAGTGGTTGCTGCCAGTACGACGCCGTAGGCTGATCCGCAGGCAGTCCCGGGTTTCGCGTCAATCGTTTAGCCATCGCGAGGCCAATTGCGATTCGATCTGATGATGCCTGACGCTGTTTCTTGCAACTTGCGGATCGTACTACGATGCAGGGTGCTTGAAAAGCGTCGCTCAGGCGCGGTGCATCCGACCCCGCAGGCGACTGATAAGGCTTCCCCGCATGCCGGAGTACAACAAGCGGGCTTCCCGGTCAGCGAGCCGGTCTTCGGCGGAGACCCACATGCCCAAATAGGAATTTCGTACCAATCTCGACATGTTTTACGGCGAGGTAGGCTTGGCTCAGCGTAACTCAAGGGAGTCTACGTATGATCTGGTTGAAGCGAAATTCCCGATCAACTTTCATATCCAGAGGGGTCACTGTGACAAGCAGGGAAAACATTCGGACTTATCTGACCCGTTAGTTGTTTTGGTTCCTGTGTTATGTAGACCTCATTACCACATCTGTTCTTCTTGTGTTATGTCAACTTCACTGATATTGCTGATTTAACTGCTCTCAATCTGAACTCTGATATCTCTTTGACTTCCGGACCTTTGCAGATATTAGGGCTGTATTTGAGATATCCACTCTTCGAAAAGTAGCTACTGATGCTAGGCAGCTCACATACGGACGAGAACAGTGCTTAGTTTCAAGATTTGAGCCATGTCGTTGCGATCGTGCTCCTACATGTGCTCCCCAGATCAAGACTGACAAGATGCTTGGATCTACTTGGATATGCTCGCTAAAAAAGACACAAAACCGCCCACCAAACCATCCCACATCGTCAACTCCCTACGCCGCTCGCACTCAGCGGTTTCCTCCCATATATCGCATACCCGTCCCAATACCCATGCAAGCCCAAGTTCTTCACGTCCTGCCTCACATGCGAGCAAAACACAATCGTCTCGGCCTTGCTCCACTCCAACACCCTCGTAAACAGCGCCAGGCTCATGCCCTCCAGCCCGGGCAGCAGCGACGCCTGCACCCACAGCCCCATCTCCTTCAGCTTCGGGTCGTCCGGCCAGGGGCTCGCGGGGAACTTGAGCTTCCGGCTCACGACGCCCTCGAACCCGACCTCCTCCATCATGTCGGCGAACGTGCGCGTGATGGCCAGCGACCGCCCCAGCTTCTCGCACGCGTCCCGGATCATCCGCGTCCACTTGCTCAGCGGCATCTCCTCCGTCAGCGTCCCGTCGTCGCACTTGATCGGGTACTCGGAGTCGTGGATCTCCAGGTATCCCCCCGGCTCCAGGTTCTCGTACGCCTGCGTGATGATCTCCTTCCAGTCCGCGAAGCACCCGATCATGTTCCGCGCGAAGATGAAGTCGAACGGCTCCTCCCACGGCCACTCCTGCTCCAGGTCGCCCACCTCGAAGTGGCAGTTGGACGGGACGTAGATCGGCTGGATCGCGCTGAGGTCGACGCCGACCACGGTGGCGTCCGGGAACTCGTCCGCGTAATCCAGCGCCCACACGCCCGTCCCCGTGCCCATGTCCAACACCCTCTTCGCGCCCTCGTTCTTCGGACACAGGCAGTAGGCGCCGTCAAAGGTGAGCATCCAGAGGTGGTTGATGATGTCCAGCCTCTCCTGCTCCAGGGCGTCGTTGGGGAAGGGGTATTTCCCGTCAGAGAGCTTGTGATACGTGCGTCCGTTCTCGCGGCGGTAGTTCAACATGCTGGAGTGCATGTGCGCGCTGGGGGCATCCCTGATGATGGCGACCGTGGCGTCTTCTTCTTCCTCGTCGTCATCGCCATAGTCGGGGTACTCGGCGACGGCGACAGCCGCGGCGTTCTCCGGAGCCGTTGCGCTTCCGGGGCGTAGTAGTGCGCCGGCCGGATGTGCCGGTGTGGTCACTGCGTCGGCCGTGGTCATCGGCGAAGTGCCCGGTTGTGTTCCAGCCGTGGCCGGTGCCTGGCTCGGCGGCGGGGTATCGCTGACGGTGGCCCAGAATTGATGGGCCATTTTCTTCAGCGAGCTTCCCAAGACCCGGGTAACCGGGGAACAGGGCAGATCAGACGGGAAGGGGTGACCGGGTTTTGGAGCGAGAGTTCAAAACAGTCCGATGCCGGTAAGACCGAGAAGCGCAACACCAAAGCACAAGCACGCACCGGCCCAAGGAAAAAAAAAAAGGACTCAAGAGCGGAAAGGAAAGGGAGGAAAGGGTAGGGGGAATGAGGAGACATCCGTCGACTCGGACTCGTCCCACCTTACCGATTCCCAGGGAACATCCCCGCCAAAACGCCACCCACCGCCAGTTTCGCGCTCTTCCCGGGGTCCCGGTAAAAAAAAAAGCTGGTGTGCTGGGAATTCCAGCATATTTTAGCAACCACATCCCTGGACGCTTATCCGAACCGACGGGACCATGCCTTTCTCGGGGAGGGCCCCAGCGTTGCTGGATGATGGAGGGGGGGCTCCCGTCCGGGCCCGCGGGCGCGACCTACCAGGAGGTCTGGAGGACCCAATCGGCGCCGGAACATCTCGAGCCTCCGGTCCAAAAATTCCCACGCTCCGGGCTCTTGGGTGAATTGAGGCTGCATCACGCCAGCCGCAGCTCCATCGCGACCGAACGACAACGGAAACGACTGACGACGGCCGAAGAAAGAAACCGCACGATCCCGACGACGAAGACGATATATATACATTACCCACATAAGATCAATCACCATGGTCGTCCGGATAAGACTCGCACGCTTCGGGCGAGTCAACCAGCCCTTCTACAACATCGTCGTTTCGCAAGCCAGGTACGACATGCCCCATCCACCTCCGCATCTCGGCGCAATTCACTCCAATCTGGCATGAAATGAAGCATTCGTCTCGTCATGTTCAATTGCCTCGAGGCTCTCCCCACGCACGCGGAAGCTAACATCCCCCCTCCCTTTCGCGCAGAACCGCCCGCAACAGCAAGCCCATCGAGGTCATCGGCACCTACGACCCCGTCCCCAAACAAGACCCCTACGACGCCACGACCAAGCCGCACAAGGACATCCGTCTCGACTCGCTGCGCGCGCGGTACTGGATCGGTGTGGGCGCGCAACCGACCGAGACCGTCTGGAGGTTGCTGTCAATGGTACGACCGTCCCCCTGTCTCCTCGACTCTGTCCTGTGGATCTCCGGACTACGCCCCAGTCAGGCATGTAGAGCTGTTACAGGAGGAGTGTTGTGAAGCTCTGGCTAGACGTCGTTGAATGGCTGTCGTGGACCCGAGACCGCAGATGGACAGGAGCAGAGAGCCCAGCTCGACGATGAGGGGGAATGAAGAAGCTGACAACACAACAGGTCGGAATCCTCGAGCCGAAATACAGAGCAGACGGCGCCCTCAACACCGCGACCGCCGCCAAGTCCCTCAAGAACAAGACACCCGCGCCCAAGTCATCATAAAAGCACGCATCCCTCCATAGCACTTGAAGCCGGGAAGAAACTAAGGTCCAGCGGCGGTTGTACATTATCACAAAAGGGCGAATGAGCATCGTCCCGAGTCGCGGGCTGGATCAAGTCGTGCTCGGAATCCATCCAGACAAAGCCGAGGCGAAAAGTCTGCATTGAAAATCTGGAGGACCATCAGACGATGAAGGAGGGTCGTCTGTAAAGCAAGTGGCGAAGGGTTATCGCCGAACTTCGACTTGGGATCACCTTTGAGATGCCATGTCAGGCTTCGTGTGGGATACGTCACATCGAATTGTACAATATCAGGAGTATTCATGAAAAGACCAAAAAAGTCAACTCCATTGAAGCCGTTTTATGCTACGCTATCCGGGCTCACCTCCGTGACCCTACACTTATCCTAGAATTATCTCTTTCAAAACGAGACGCGGCAGAAGTGAATTAGACAAACGGAATGAAGAAACACAACTCAACGCCCACGATGCAACCGTCTCGCTGATAGTAAGCGGTCAGGTGGAGGGGGAGAAAGAACCCCTTGTGGAAACGGACAAAAGAAATAAGCAATCGAACCCGCCCAACTCCATGAATGCCCGGCGAGGTTCCCGTAGGACATTTACCCCGCCGTAATGTCTATCCCAAGCGGCCGTGGATCAAAAATAACACGCATTCCTATAGCATCATCCAAACAACTCTTCCTCTAAAGTTCTTGTGCTGCGAAAGGATAAAATCGAGGTGTGTATCAATGCGATGCGTGGAAAACAATGTTCATGATGAGGCACACAACCATGACGCACAGGCCGTAGATGGCCAGCGCGAGCGCGAGCTTGCGGAGGAGGTCCTGCTCGATGTGCTCGAGGTCCCAGCGCCACTTGCGGTTCCACTTGCGGGGGTTGACGACGACACTGGCCGCGCTGCCCAGGCTGGCAATGCTGTTGATCATGGTGGCCTCATCTTCCTCGTCTGACGGGATATCAGCGTCGTCGTCCTCCTTATGCAGACGCTGCTGGTGGACGCTGTCTGGGTCGCTGATCTTGTAGTAGAACAGGCCCGGGAGGATGAAGCTGATGCTGGTTGAGCCGGTGCTTCCGACGTAGGCGAGGACTCTTTCGAGGCTGTGGACCGACAGGGCGGTGACGTAAGACAAAATGAGAATGGCGCTGGTGAGGATGGCGAAGCGGACGTCGCTCATGGACGAAGTAGATCCATGGTCCGACCGGATGGAAGCCGACGACGGCAGCAGAGGCCGGCCGCCGGGAGAGTTGGAGCGGTTGTTGGAGGACCGGTTGGGACGCCACTTGAGGATGGCATCGATGGAGGCGCGGCAGGGGTGAACCTGCAAGGGGACCGAGAATGTGACAAGGACCACGATGGCCAGTTGGCCGATGTAAGACGCGACAGTCGCAGAGTCTAAATACGTCAGAAACCAGGTTTCCCGAGTCAGGGCGTGAGCACGCGATCACTTACACATTTGCACAATGTTGCCCGTGACGGCGTTGCCAAAGGTCAGGTAGCCGGTGATGGCTACGAGGATGTAGATGCTGGCGGCGGAACCGATGCTGGAACCAACAACGCCGATGACACTGCCGGGCGAGTTGTCCTTGATTTCATTGAGAATAGAGAACATCTGGGCTGTGTTAGCGAAACTCCAACTCGTTGTCCTTCGTGCAACCTACGTTCTGGTGACAAGTATACGCAAAAACCACAACCGGCAAAGTACTGAGGACTGCCACGGTGCTTTCAGGCTGGACCACGCGGATGCCGCTCGTGTCCTTGAGGGGACTGTCGGCAAAGTGATAGACCACCAAAACAATCAAGTACCCGATGGATACCAGCGCAACGATGCTGGTATACTTGAGAGAATCCAGGCGCTTGAGGAAACTCAGCGGGATAATGATCAGCATGAAGAGCGTGATGTAAAAGTTCCTCTCGCCGAGATACGGCCTCGTCTCCGCCAAGCCACTGAACAACCCCAGGCAGACCTTGGGCATCAGGTCGCCGATGATGATCATGTAAGAGACGCCCACGCCGAAGCACTTTATCGCAATGGCGGTATCGAAGATGATGGCGGCGTTCGGGTACGTGATCTTGGATATCGCAAAGAAGGAGGAGGATCCGCGGTCGAGGTACCGGGCGCAGCGAGACTGCAGGTAGAGGCCGAAGGCGGCGGTGACGCCGGACCAGACTATTAGAAACACACCGAGCATTATTCCCATATGCGACACCACCGAGGGCATCGCCAACGTCCCCGCGCCGACAACTGTTCACGGCCTCCTGTCAGTCTTGTTTTCTTGCCTTCACCCCCGCACGCGGGACCGGGCGTGTGATCTCCGCGGGCTTTGGTATGCGACGGGCACGTACTGGTATTCAGCAGGTTGATGACACTGCTTATCGTCGAGGCCTGGCCTCCGCCCTCCTTTCCACTTCTTCGGCGTGATCTGCGCGTCGGGATACCATCGTCAGCAAACGTCTCTTTTCTCTGGTGTAGGCCTCGTCCTGTCCTGTCCGTTTCCCCTCGCTGGGTCTGACATGCGCAAGGTGGGGTTCGGCGTACCGTGACATTTCGCCGGAGCTTCCAGACGCAATTGAGCTTGCGTTTCCATCAGAGATACTCGAGTAATTCGTCATAGTACTGCGCGCCGGTGTTCGGGGTCGTCGGTTCGAGTCGATCGTCGTCGCCAGAATGCGTCGTCGCTCGTGCTGCGGTGCGGGTGCGGGTGCGGCTGAGTAGGCAGGAGACGGTCGCACATAAATCGGCAGGGCGGAATTCTGTCCAGATGGAATTCGAAGTTCAGGTGCCGTAGACCAAAAAAGGAAGTCGGATACGGGTAGAGATTAGATAAAGAAGCTGGCCACTCCACGGTAATCAGGCAGTCGCAGTAGTAGTAATAGCCCCCAGTGACAAATGGCCAAAACGTTTCGCGGTTTTCTTTCTTTGCTTGTGATTGTCGACCCAGCAGTCGTACGGGAAATGTAAGTTTTAAATGGGAGAATGCGGTTGTTGCTCGGGTTCCCGGCGTCTGGTTTTTTCCCTCTGAGTGCAGATGCTTCGCTCAATCGGAGAGAGAGCGGAGAAGGAAAAAAGAGAGGAAGGCGAGGCGTGACGTGAGGGTGCGTCTCGTGGTGGAGGGTACTTGGATAGGCAGCTGTGACGTGCTTTCTCGCAATTCTCTCGAAATGTCTGGGGCCGCCCTACCAGGACATACCTCGCAGGGCAAGTCGGGGTGCAGCAACCGAGTAATGAGTAGGAGGAATTCGACGTCGCGACAAGTGGATGGATGGGCGGACGGACCGGCGAGCGACGCAGGATGTGTGTAGCTGATACCAGATGACTTAGTCCAGGACGGCGATACGTTTGTGAGGTGTGAGCGAGTCGAGTTCTGGAGGTCAAGGACGGCGGCGAACCGACAGACTTTGGAGGCGTCGTCGCCGTCGCCGGAGCTGTAGCTGGACCTTCTGTCTGCGACAGTTGCAAAGGCAAGTCAGCGACCGGGAAGTCTGACTCTTTCGCTGGTTCGCAACTATCCGGCCGGCAGACCAAAAGTTGGCTGAACTGGCAAAGATTGACTTTTGACAGCAGACGGGAAAGGTTGCGTGGGCGTCAGCGTCCCGTGGGGTTCCCGCTGAATAAACGAGGATTTAAAGGTATTAATTATGGACAGTTGACAGGGCAGGTTACATACAGCCAAAGGAAATCAGGTCAGGGTGCAACAGCAGGCCGTAGGTAAGGTATCCGTAACCTCCGCTCAAGTCAACATGAATGGAACCTGACTTGGCAACCTCCAAAATGTCGTTGATTTTGGTTAATGGTTAGGTAAAAAGACGGATCCTTCCAAACGGGAAACTTGTCTTCTTACGTACCTACTTCTCGCAGCGCTTAGGTGTCGCATTTGGCTGCGCCGCCAGGCATTGCGACAAAACCCGCTACAGCGGCAGAAAGGCCACGAGGCAACGACGCACTTTCCGACCGTCCGCCAGCCCGCCTGTTAAAAAAGAAATGGGGGCCCTTAGGTACCTTACAAGGGCACCAATCTTAGCGCTCCCCGGAATATGACACTTAGTCAATCTCGCCTTGGCGCCGTTCGGAAGCAACCACCCCCAACCCGGCTCGAAGGCCAGGGGAAAATGAGGTCAAGCCCGGTCCAGTGGAATGGAAGGGGGGTCACAAGCCACACATCACCTGCCGCCGCCTGAATGAACGGGCTCTACTTCGTAGGTACCTTAGGTCTCTGCCGTATTCGTACCTTGCGCTGTCTGGAGCTTCAGCCACTCACAAACATCGCCCGTACCAGCAGACCACGATTGAAATCGGGCATTTCCAAGCAACACAAACATTCCCGTCGAGCTGCGACAATCCCTCGTCAGAAAGTTACCTACGCTAGGGAGCTCTTATCTTCGCGATAACCCGGTGTCGTCCTTGCTCCCCAACCACACGCAGTGCAGTCACCTGTCCACACCAAAACACCACCCCGCGAACGACCAAATCGAACCCATCTTGATACGCGACATCACGCGCCATATGATCGAGATGGACTCCTCCTTGGACAACACGACCCTTTCCACCATATCTCTCCTGGAATCGCGTCTGCTTCGCATCGAGCACCTACTGTATGGCCCGACCGCTGCCCCGACGTCCCAGCACACCGACTCCGCCGTCGATGGCTTGGATGATATCGAGAGGCGATTCAACCACCTCCTCTCTCACATCCGTGTCTATGGCGAACTCATGAAGATCTGTATGTTTTGCAAAAAGACTGCTCTTCTAGTGCGATGCATTTAACTCACCTCCGCCAGACAACTCCCATCCGACCCTCTTCCAACCCCCACCGCCGTCCGAGCCTCCCATTCAACTCGGTCCCGAAGCAGTCCAGGCCACCGTCCTCGCATCCGCCGCCTCTTTCCCGTCCACGGCCTCGTCCCTGACCTCCGTCAACGACTGTCCCATCCCGGAGCCTTCGCAGAGCGCCGCCCTCGCCTCTCTCGTCCCGAGGATGCGCGGCATCGAAGCCACCCAGATCGCCCAAGAAGCCGAAATGGCCGAACTCCGCGCACGTAGCGAAGAGGTTCTGAAGAGCTGGTATCAACAAGGCGTTCTGGGCGTTTCCGAGTTCGTCGCCGATGTGGAGGGCCGCGTTGAGCGAGTAGAGCGCCGGGTGCGAAGAGCGGAGCGGGAAAAGGAAGAAGCGACAGCCATTTGAAACCCCGGTCGCTCGAATACCAACCTCCGGTACCGAGTTGACTTTGTGGGATGGGCTCCGCGGGGCGGCATCTTCCACGTTGCAAGGGCGCGCACGCATATCCTTAAGTGGCTGCGGTTATAACCCCCAGACCCGAACATTCGCAACAGCGGGAGGCTTTCCCGCAGCGTGATCATCTGCCGAGCGTGCATGAAACAAAGAGTGGTGCTCTGCGTCGATATTCCGCCATGTTGTCGTGGCTCTGAAATTGCTTCTCTTGTCAAGTAACCCAAGACAGGCGCCACTCTGTCGGTATCGGTCGCAATTCATCTCAAAAACCGAAAAACAGATGGAAAGCTTAGTCCAACTTGGCAGCGCAGGAGAACGGGCTCGCCGACGGTGACTTGCGGAAGGTTCAGATTATTCACGTCCGAGGCATGTGGGCGAACGAAAGACTCCGACAGTCTGACGTCGTCCGCCCGAACGTCATCGCAGACGAAAAGCTAGTCTTAGGTTTGCGTACGATCGGACCACACGATCAGTCGCGCAGACGGGATGGACGGCAGAGAAGGCAGGATGCTTGCTCGTCTGTACGGGATTCGCCTCTCCGCGTTTCAGAAGCAGGTTTGTCCACGTTACAGAAGCGATGACTGAAGTCGACAAGGTGTCGACCGACCCAGCCGTGCCAGCTGGGGCTGATCTAGCCTCAATCGCAACTTCAGCAAACCCACGTCTGTCACCTGCGGCAATTCAGGTAGTCGATAATACGAGATCTTCATTGATGACAATTACACGATGCCGTGCCGCGTCGCCACCAGAACCGTGATACTGAGGGGATACGATAGGGAAGTCGTCCGAGCCCTGGTGTAACTGTATGCTAGAATCGGAAGATGGCTGATCTACACGACCAGAAAAAGCTTGGCCTCCTGGGTGTAGTCTTTCGAGGGCAGTCTGTGAGTATCGGGCACGGATGGCAGACTAGCTGCGATGGCTGAATACACCTCGACCATCGACTGTGGTGGTGTCCATGTGTTGTTCCAGCCCTCGGTTCCGAGATCACGACGTGGTCTTACTTACCAACCGGCGTGGTATGATCGTAATCAAGAAAGAATTGCCATTTTCCACGTCGATTAGTTGTCACACCGCTTCTCAAGACGGCAAGTGTATGAAGTTCGTCTACCCCGCGCCGTCCAGACTGCTGGATCACCATGTGTTTCCTTGATTTCGACCCTGGGTGACGTGTCAGCCACAGATGGAAGCCACTGAGGCGCCTGGCGCATGCGGAGAGAGAGGAAGGTCTCGATGTGACTGGAAATAAGCGAGGATCATCCAATGACTGCAGCGTCGCTCGGGCATTGTGGTCGACTTGTCGACATTTGTCGTTCATGAGAGCTGCAGGGGTCAGAGCCAGGGGTACTGGCTGCAGAAGGGGGCTGTGGCAGAAATTGTTAAGGAACACAGTGTGCAGTGTGCTGACCACTTCGCTTTGAAGGCTATCGTATTGCAGACCCCAGGAAACTTATTGGAAAGCTTCGGAGAACCTGTTGAAGATGCTCGCGGCGATGGTTTGATGGTCGTGTACAACGAGAACTTCTAAGGGCGGTTCTTTCGCGGGCTTCCAGAAATTTGAACCCGCGTATGCCGTCGAGATATCATTTCGTTCTGTAGACTTGGCGTCGTAAGTGACACGAACACCGGAGATGGGTGAATCCCGGTTGCCATTTGAGGAATGGGTGCGGATCCTAGGGAATGTGAATCAGGAACGGTCTCGGGACCTTCGGGTGCATGAACACCACGAACATCGTCTGCGCCGCGGCCCAGCACCTGCGAACTACAAAAGAACATGGGCCCAAATACAGTTTGCACGCGACAGCTTTCGCAAATCAGTCCCTAGCGTCAACGATTAGAGGCTTCGTAGCTATCCGTAGTTGAGTTTGACTTGTTGATCTGCAGCGGATGCAAATGCTTCGAGTCCGGTCCGGCGGTATGGCTGAAAGCCAGCATGAAGCGCCGAGAGACCCGGCGGCCGGCCTGACGGCGTGTAATTTCGCGGTTAATGGGCCGATGGGATTGCCAAATTTGGACCGGTCGAGTCAAGCGACGCCGAACCTGGCACCGTCGGCCGCGAACAGCAGAATCTCCGAAGCGAAACTGATGGATGAGGCTCTAGAAGGGTTGCCCAGTTGCCCAGGTGTCGTTAACCCGACGCCAGTGAAAGAAAGAAGTGTTTCGCATCCGGTTGTCTGGGAGGTTGTGTCGATCAGCATGATCTCCGGAGTTCCCCCAGACTGACGAACGCATTGCTGAGTGATCTTTGGATGAAAGAAGCAAATGCGAGTCAAAAAAGCTGTCAGTGACGTTGAGCTGGGCTGTGCGCGTGATGTCGAAGCAGCGTCCATCCTGGGCCGAGGCTGACAAACTTTATATGGTGCTGCAAGCATGCGACCATGTGTAGTGTCGCGAGACGATGGTGAAAAAGTCGCTGATAGTGTTGGCAACAGCGCTGTTCAGGCGGGTGAGATGATGGTGTTACTCAGACAAGCCATGTCTCCGAGGTATTCGTAGGCTTTCCCGTCTCGGTACTCGGCTTGTTGCATGGCGCGTATTCTGTATGGAAGAAGACGAGGTCGGGTAGCTTGTGGCAGACCATGTTCCAGTTTCTGTTGTTTCAGGCGGTCAACACGGTCAACGGCCAACTGTCGCTTTCTGGTCGATTCGCTGCATATAGTAGTAGGTACATGGCCGGGACACGCTCTGATGACAGCTTGACGGAGGCTTGTTGAGACGGGGTACTGGAGTTTAAGCGCGGACAGCGGACTAGTAGCATGAGCCAGGTGGCATGCCGTGATGCTGCATGTCAAACGGTTTGAATGCAGACGTTGGAGTCTGATCCAGTCGATCACAGAGCTGGTGACGGCGGCACGGTGTTGAGAGGACGGATCTGCAGCTGTCACGACGACAGTCATCAGGGGCCTCGGAGGAGAGACGGACTGACACGGACAATCGGTGGGTAGCAAAGAGCCGCGGACGCGGGACGGGACCTAGCAGGACAGAATGCGAGCCTGGCAAGAGTCAAGACTCGAGCGCTGTGGTGGGAGGCGACGACACGTGAGGGTCCGAGAGTTGGGTATCGGATGCCGGATGCCCCCGTTCTGAGTGCGACTCTTCAGCGCCGTCTTCTTTTTCGTGCCGAGAACCTCCAGACTCGGGGCAGTCAGCTACCGGATCTGGCGAAGGGACGCTGATCTGAGTGCCCTGCCGTCGTGTGTTGGCGATGAAACGACACGAAGGGCTGGCGGTAAGTGATAGGACGCCCCTGCATCTGCGTGTCTGCGTCTCGTCGACATCTTTGTGGTTGTGTGGACGATGTGACGGCGTTTCTTGTTTGGAACCGGTGGCTCGCATTCGCAGCCGCAGCATGAAGCGATGTTTGTGAGCCAAACACTTTGTCCGAATTATTCGACTTCGTGTCCATATTTTATGCCTGTGAATGAGGGACGACATGCTGAAGAGATGGAGATGGCGGACGACGGGAAGATCCAAAAGTCTGGGCCAGTCTCGGCTCAGGTAAGGCAGGTGCTGGTGCAGCCTCAGGGCTGAACCTGAAGTTAAGGTGCGAGAGCATCCACCGGTACGTACTTTTGAAGGTGGAGTGGAGTCAGGGGTCGACGAATGTTCTGGCCAATGAAAATAGCATATCCTCGAGTCATCGTCCAATTAGGTCGGAGGAGGCAGACAGAGGGAACCAAAAATGACCCCTACCTTAGCCTCGATGCCAATCAGGGGCAAGGACCAACGGTTTCTGGGGATGCGATATCCGTAGAGTGAATGTTCTGGGTCGGCTGGTGGAAGATCGTCTGTGATGCGTACCTTTACCAGTAAATGGTTTATTTACCATGAACGCTTGCTGGGTAGGGATGGATATTCACCTTGTTCAAATGAGCTTGAATGGAACGAGGGAGTGGGAAGGAGTTGTTGGATGCTGACAACCAAACCAACAGAGAGAATCTGTACCGTGCCATATTATCATTGTTCAACTGTGTCGTCCATCAGATCACCCTCTCATGCCAGACCAGGCTCTCCATCCTTCCCGCCAGAGTCCTTGGCTCTTGGACCACTCCGTATTGTTGTGGCCGCCAAATTGGCGTGTCTGGCGGCCGTACGGGAAACTCAGCGCTGCGGCCGGGTTGGTCGAGTCGAATTCATTGGCAATGATTGCTGTTATTGAATATTTTGCCCCCATCTTCCGTGAAAGGTAGGCAGGTATCAGGAGTCAGGCGTGCCTTCTTCTATCGGATGCCCAAGACGAGTCGATTTAGATTCGGCTCATTTGAGATTAGCGCGGGTACGACACGCCAGCCGTATCCACTTTATCTTTCTTTGCTCCTTCCAAGTTCCTCAGTCCTTCCTTCTCTCTAAAGTCCCCGTGTTGCGTTAAAAATTGGAACTTTGATGAACAAGAAGACGGGAGGAAGGGACGAGATCCTAAAGTAAAAGTCCAGAGTCCAGAGGCCAGAGTCCCTACCCTGTCGACGCTTGGCTCTTTCCTTGAGCTTAGGTAGTTTGCCTAATGCTAAATGTGAATTGAAGGCAGGCGCGCCATGCCCCTCTTTTCCCATCTCCAGGCCCAGCTCGCAGGTGCTGTCCTCGTCTCGCTTCCCGCCTGGGCCCCGGTCCACCATGTTCTGCGTCTCATCCAGTCTGGGTCTTAATCCCCTCCCATTCATCACTCCTTCCAACCTGCACCCCCATTAATTATCCACGCCCACTGTGTAAAATGTAAGGTACCTTACTACTCTTCTCTCTCTGCAATTCAACACCCAAAAAGCCAGAAGCAGCGGCAATTGCAACTGCATTGTACCCTCGTCCAATTGCATACACACTTTCTGCACAGCCCGAAGAGCAGTCAGCAGCAGCAACAGCAGACCAGGAGCCTGCAGCAGCCCTTGCTTCCCTGCAACGTCCAGGTCTCCCACTGTGACCTGCAACTGGACCAGACTGGACTGGATCTGCTGTCAGGACCGGGACTCAGCTTTCTCTCCTCTTTTTTAATTCCGTTCTTCCCCCCCGTCCATTCCTTCCACTCCTTTCAACCCATTCCCCGACAACGGTTTTACGGCTGCCGTTTACTGTCGACCAGCGAACGATTTGAGAACGAGTGGGAGACGAGTACACTGTTAGCCGTCGTCCAGAACGAAAGACAGGCCGCCTACCTTACCTTACGCGATTAGGCCAGCAACAACAACAAACACTACCTGACGCCTACCAAACGCCCCAACACGAGCGTAGCGCCGACAAATACCAGCCAGCCAAACCCATACCCGGGGCGCGACTGCACGGCGTAGCGCAGCGCAGCTCAGCGAAAAGCACTCCTCCGCGAGACACACAGAGAGACACGCAGGAGAGAGAAAATAATAGGGGCGGATTGCACCTCGACACGCGATCGGGTGCCACAAAGCACTACGTATCCAGCCCGCTTATTCCCATTCACGCAGTAGTCGACGTCCTACCGGTGAAGGTGCCTGACTATCGGCTTCTTTGGCGACAGAAAATAACCCACGCCAGCGACGCCAACAACAAGAACCGACGCCACACCACGTCTTTTCCTTCGTCTGGTCTGCTGGTCCGGCTCGATTTTCTACCTCGCTTTCCACGCCGCCCGCTTCCTTCTTGGGCCCAGCTAGTCGTTGCCCTTCATTTCGCCCAGTTCAACCGACAGCAACCAACGCCCCCGTTTCTTCCTGCGCCTGGCCTGCGGCACTCCTCCCGCCGACTTTCGCCTTTGCTGCCCCTTACAACTGTCGCCTGCTCCCGGCGCGCAGTTTGCTTCGATTGACTCGACCTGATTCGACTCGACTCCCGTCGTTCATCTTTCGCATCTTTCATCCTTTCTCCGTGCCGATTCTTCGCTCCTTGAAATCAACTTCGACTTCTCTCCCTTTCAGCCTTCTCTTCGCGACAGCAAATTACCGCCGTCTTCGATTCCACACGTCATCACCTTCATTCCGACCATCCATTCTCTTTTCCATTCCCTAGAAAAGAGGCTGCCTTGCTGGACAACCCTCTGAAACGATCAACTCGCATTCGAGATTCCGATTCGACTTCGCTTTACCCATCGCCAACCTACCTTACCTCACCTCATCCGATCCAGCCTTCCTTCGCTGCATTTTCAGCCGCTACGGTCAAACGCTCCGCACCGCACTGCACGCACGCTACCCGACGCACTGAACAGCAAACTGTCCAACGACATCCCGGCTTTCTTTCTTTTATTTGGCCCACGAGCCCAACCACCAGTCACTCCTTTTGAACGACGAACTGCATTCCCGCCAGCCACGACAACCCCCTTGCGGCATTCGCATTACGTATCGCTCCTCCGAGTAATCGACATCGCTCCTACAAATCTGTTCGCTCGATCGTCTTCACGCAGAGGGTAAAAGTCGTCCGACTGACTCTACGAACCGTCACCTCAATCGAGAGCCGCTCTCGATCACTGCCCCTAGGCATCTAATACTTGCACCGCAACGAACCTCGACAGTCTTCCTTATGCCCTCTTACGGTTCTCTTCATTCACCATCATTGCGCAAAATGGAACAATCACGGGCTCAGTACGGGAGAAAGAGCAGGGGCATTAATCTGGGAAACATCATCGGTGATCCCTTCGCCCTGGCCACAGTCTCCATCTCCATGGTAAGTTCGAGCCGCAATTTCCGCCGCAGCTTTGAGGCTATTTGCGCCATGACCAGTGCTGACATTCCTCCCAGCTTGCATGGATAATTGCATTCATCAGCTCCATCATTGCCACGACACAAGTCACAAATAGCACGGGATCGTTCCCCGCCTTCGCATGGTGGACCGTTGTCTACATGTTCTTTCTCATTGCCGGTGTTTTTATCGTCGTCGCTTCCGACACCACCCAGACCTACCATGTAGCGCTCTCGGGATACCTGGGCGCTGCTCTCGCCCTCAACTCCCTCACCATTCATTCCCTAATTTACTCGGCCAATGGCGCTCGCCAGGCCGCCGGAGCTGGTTTCATCCTGATGGCCATGGTCACGGTACGTTGTCTCTACGCGAAATGTTACAAACAATGACTGACTTGCAAATAGATCGTCTGGATCTTCTACTTCGGCTCCGCCCCGTCGGCCAAGCCCCGCGCCTACCTTGACTCCTTCGCGCTCCAGAAGGAGTCCGGAAACAGACAGATGATGTACGGCGGCGGTCGCCCGGAGACCTCGACCTCGGTACAGCCTCCCCAGATGTACACCTCTGCCCAGTTGAACGGCTTCGAGAACCCATCTCCCGTTCAAGGTGTCTCTACCCAACCACGCGAATCCGCAGTAGCACCGACCTTCACCACACCAGGCCCAGGGCCTCAAAAGACCCCGGATCAGGAGGTGGTGCCGCCAACGGAGTACCCTTACCGCGCGAAGGCCATTTACAGCTACGAGGCCAACCCCGACGATGCGAACGAAATTTCATTCTCCAAGCACGAGATTCTGGAGGTCAGCGATGTGAGCGGCAGGTGGTGGCAAGCCCGCAAGGAGACTGGCGAGACGGGTATTGCGCCCAGCAACTACCTGATCCTGTTATGATGAGCTCACGAATTTCATTTCGCCGTTGGAGATGGGAGCAAAAAATGACCATATGGGACATGGGATGGTTTTCGCGCTCAATGCTTGTTGGAGTACATTAGGGTCTCTTGTACGGGATAAAAACCGCCGCCTTGTTTTCGAGCCACGGGCGGCACACGTATATCCGCCGAAACGGCCTCTTTTTTTCTTCTACCTGTTGTTTTTACTTCTACCCGCCCACCCTCGCGTGCCGGCTTTCCCCTAGTGCTTCTAGTGTATGTTGCCGGTCCGCTCGCCGAGGGATTGTGTCTTGTGTTTTTTTTCTCGTGTTTTTCTGGGACGGGTTACGAGCAATGGGTCGGTCGTTCGGATAGCTGTGATAGCTCACATGGGATATCCAAACATGTTGGTGTTCCCTTGCTGTTTACGAATGGCATTTGCACATATTCGAGAGACGCTTAAGGCATATGGTTTGTGTGATTTGACTTGAATTGTGTTGCCTATCGCCCAGGTGGTTTCGTACTTGTGATATCATATCAACTCGACACGGTTCAGCCTCGTGGTCGAGAGTTCCTAGTGATCCTTGGGGTCGTCGATCTTGTGATGTATCACTGTTTCCGTCACCAGCCTGTGGCAAAGGCATCGACCGGGCTTGGGCCAATGATCATCAAGACCTCATGTCCGCTCGCAGCGTCAAATGCTTGCTACGTTCGGAGTCGTGGGATGCCGGCCTCTCCCAGTCCACCACCACAATCGCCTGCGCGGCTCCAGGGTATCCTCCCCCCACATTCGTCATCGGGTATCATGTGCATCGTTCCGCATGCGTCTCCTCCCTTGCCCCCCCTCCAGGTCTCAGTATCCGAGTACCTGGAACATAACAACTCCGTCCAGAACTCCATCCGCAAGAAAACACACAAACGTCTTCCAATCCCGTCCTTCACGCCTTGCCCAGCCTCTTCATCAACTCCCTCTCCTTGGCCAGGAGCTCCAACTCGAGCCGCTCGACGCGATACTCCAGCCCCTCCCTCCTCTGCCTCACAGCCCTGGCTCTCAAGGCACTTTCCCCGCCCAGAGCGTTCTTCTTCTTACCGCCGGCGGCGACCCCCTTGCCCTTCCTGCCGCTCCCGTACCCGTCGTCGTCTTCGTTAGACTGCGACAGCCGGCCCTGGAGCAGCTCGGCGCGGGCCTTGAGGGTCTCGATGCGCCTCTCGCGGCGGGCGATCTGGGCGTCGGCGCGGTCGAGGAGGAGGGCGACGTAGGGGCCGATCTCGTCGCGGAGGGAGGCCTCGGCGGCGGCGAGGGTGGGTTGGGGGATGAGCTCGAAGTGGCGGGTCGGGCGGAGGACGGAGGCGACGCGGGGCAGGTCGGAGACGCCGGCGTCGAGGGTCGAGACGGAGGATTCGAGGTAGGTGAGGGAGTTGCGGAGGGAGGCGACGCAGTCTGCGTAGGTTGCCGCGTTGTGGGCTGCTGACATTTTTGTGTGCTTTGGTGATGTGCGTCGTGGTGTTTGTTTACTCGGTGAATTGTCGTCACCGCCGCCAGTGGAGGTTGGTGTGCAGTGTCTTGCCGGCGTCGATGCAATTAGGCGTGACCGCAGGGGTGATGTTGATGCTCGCTGTACTTCTTTGACGTATCGTCGTGATGACGAGTGTTGTGTTGAGAACGAGTGTTTCTTTGTTTTTTTGGTGAGGTCGGCTTGGTACGGGAATGTCTCTCTCCCACGTTGTTTACCTAATTACTGCCCCGCTACCTCAGGAACGGGGTGAGTGACAAGGGAGGCCTGGTTTCACCCGCACGGACCATCCCTACGATCTCGGTGAAGAAGACCGGTGAGGCCCGGTGTAGGTCGCCCTCACCTGAGTCTTAATCCGACATCAATCTTGGCGGCGCTTCATGCGTCCCTGTACCATCTCGCAGGACATCTCATGCGTGATGCGTCTGCCTAAAAGCCTTTAATCCGTCTTTCAATGCTTTCCGGCGACTCCGTGTCTTGCTCACCGCTTCTGCGGGCGTTTGAATTGCAGTGTACTTCTCAAGTAAGCAGCCTGCGCTTTTCCAAGGCATTGATTCACTCGAATCATCACGTATCATGTAATCAAAGCAGCCCGTTCCACCCAGTTTTCCCCTTGGCGAAGCGAAATATCGTAAGACGAACGAGACAGCTGTTTCGATATGATTAGCTCAGCTTTCTACCCTGCAGAAGTCTCGACCGAACCCAGCGTCGTCTGCTGACACCAAGATCACCACCCCAAAAGGCACCAAGCCCGTTGGACATTCCTCAACCGAAATCCGACCAATGCTGTTTAATACGAAGCCGACACATCTCACAGTCCAGACTTCCTGCCGCCAGCAACCTTCGACCCCTCGTCCCATAGATACCGGCCCGGCCCACGTTGGGAAACTGGGGGGCAAGATAAGGTTGTTCGGCCGCCGTTGGAAATCCCATCCGTCGGCCTCTCTCCCCGTCGGCATCCTTCCTCCAATCCACGCCGTTGAGAAATCGACAAGAAGAAGAAAAGGCAACCACACAGAGCCGCATTGATTAAATCAACGTTGGGAGGCGACACTGGAATATGCAAGGTCAGCCCGGAGGCTGCTTACTCCGCTGCGAGTTGCGTCCGTGGCACGCAACCCGTCTGATGTGCGACGCCCACACGGTGAAACCTGCGCAGGGACGAACATGTCGATGTTTAATACGTTTAATACTACTTCAAGAAGCCGGGGTCCTTGTTTGGTTCCTCTCTTTCGCTTCTCCACTCTATGTTCTTTCTATGATCATCTAATTCTCTAATCTCCTGATTACCTCTGGCGTTTTATTTGTCTTCCGAGATACCCCCAAACAATACTTTTATAATGTCTATCGAATTCGCCAAGCAAGTTGAGCAGGTGGCTGCTGCTTCCAGCGTAAGTGCACGCCCCGGAAAGATCTTGGTGTTGTCGGGATTGTGACGAAACTGACTCGATCGCAGACTCCCACCGCCGCTCCCTCATCCAGAGGTTCAAGCCCCATGAGCATGGGTGGCCCGGCCACAACCGCCATCGCCATCGTTGTGGCCGTCTTGCTGCTTGTGGGAATCTCTCTTATTGCTTTCCACGAGCACCGGAAGAAGAAGAAGGCCGACGCGGCTCGGAGGAACGCCGGCGATGTGGAGGGATGGGATAACAGGCAGTCGGTGGCGAGCTTTGATACTATCGATGAGATCAAGGCGCCGCAGCCTGCGGCGAGGAATATGCTTCAGGGCAGGCGGTTCTTGTTTCTCTCACGGAATCGTTGATCAAAAGTAGTTTCTTGCCGGCGAGGACGTTCAGGGTTGGTGGAACTTTTATGACTGGTTTGGCTTATTCAGGACTACGACATTGGTTGATGTGGTTATCTTGTCTCGTCACTGAGACTTTAGACTTCACTATTTTTATGGTTATGGGGTGGACTTTCGTCAACAGTTCAAACCAAACATGATAATTATTACATTACTTGCGGGTGTATCTCTTGTCAAGTTACTATTATTTGTACCGCACATCACTACCCTAGCTCCATGTATCGACGTACTTCCTGCCGCCATTAACAAGTTCAATGAAGGTTGGTCAGCTTCCATCTCCTCTGGATGAAAGTTGGTATACGATCACACCACAGCTCTTGATCCTGTTGCTTCTTTTCCCTGCAGCTCGGTCGCCGTGACGAAGGCTGAAGCACCTATCTCGTTGCTCCTGGCTAACATGTTCTCTTCAAAAGGTCACAAAGGGTCTGATAAATGAATGACTGTGGCATTTCTCGCCTTCGTATTATGTATACTACTTCTATGCCACCACTCCAATCCTGTCAAAGTCAGGGGCCCAGGCACTTCCCACGCCTGAAATGCTGATCGTGTTCGCGCCGTTGGTCTTGAAACCCGTCAACTCCACAGCGTAACCTTTGAAGACGTCGGCCTCCCAGTTGTAGCCGCTAAGAGGGAAGCTGACTGTCTTCGCAGCGCCACCGTTGACGGAGATCGACGCGAGACGTTCATTGTTGCTGCCGCCGAGATACCCTACATCGCCGTTGATGTAGTCGAACAAGACGGTCTGCGTCGCCTGGGAAGTCGAGATGTTCGACAGCACGACGCGACCACCGGACGAGCCACCTAAGTTGCCGACCTTATTGGAGGATGTGCAGCCGGAGCAAGACTGGAGGTTCGCGCCAGATGACAGAGAACCGGATGCGACGGACACGTAGTTGTACTTTGCTCCCGAACCCGTTGTACGTCGAATGTTGGAAAGCCTCAACGCTACAGATCCATGGGCATTGACCTGTTTGGAATAGCTGGCGGCATTCTGGACAGTAGCCGATGTCCAGAGATCCTTGACCGTGGCAGACGCGATGCCGAGTTGTGAAAGCTGCACGGAAAGAGTGCGAGCAGCATTGCTCAGGTCCACAACGAGAACCGCAACGTCCCCGTTGGCGAGGTCCCCAGCCCAGAGGTCACGGTCTCCGGTCCAGCGCTGGACAAGCTGGATCGGCTTGACCGCGGAATCCTGGTTGATGGCAATCAGATCCTTGTTCTGAAGAACGGCTACGGTCTGGGTTGACAATGCCGCAAGATCAGTTGAGATCATGAGGGCAGACTTGAGCATTGCCCAGGATGCGAAGTGAGTGGCTTGCTCATCGAAGGTCATGCCTTTGTTGCCGACCTCGAGGAGATCAGCATCTGCAATGTGGCCGGGGCCAATTAGCCCAGACTTTGCGATGTGGACGGCCTGGTTGTAGATGCGGTAGACATTCCCCCAGCCGGTGGCAATGTCGTCTGACAGGCGGAAGGATGTCGAGATACCCTTGGTCCATTGCGCAGGTCCCTGTAGACCACTCGAGGACGAGTACGGAGTTCCCCACTGGCAAATCAGCATTCCCGGGATGCCGACACGTTGAAGCTCCTTCCACATGGTCGTGAAGCGAGTTACGAAGTCGGTTCTCGGGTCCTTAGGGGCATTCTCGGCCGACGTGGGACCAGTAACGTAGCAGTTGTCATCTGGGCTGTATGTCAGCGCAAGCATAGGGCAGAGGATTCAGCTGGTAACTCACATTTCACATACTCCGTGTTAAGGGTCTTGAAGAAGTCCGCATCGACGGCTTCGTGGCCAAGCGACCCAAGCACGGGACTCGGAACCGTGGTATCGCACGTGCGAACCCCGGCGTCGGAGTACATCGTCCATTTCATGCCCTTCGACCTCGCGAGATCACTCAAAGGCTTGAGACCCTGAGGGAACGCGTTGGTGTTGATCTTGAGCGCGCCGGATGTGGCGTTTCGTTGTCCGTCTCTAGAAGCCCATCCGCAGTCGACTTGGAAATAGTTGTAGCCCGCGTCTACGAAGCCGCGACTGGCCATAGCGTTGATGGCCGCCGTGATCCCGTCATGGGTTGGGCTGCAAGCGACCTGGTTGTAGGAGTTCCATCCCATCACCGGCGTTGACTGGAACGACTGACATGCCACCAGCGGGACGGCGACGAGGCCGAGGACCAAGGTCGAGATACCCATGTTGAGCGCGCAAGAGAGGAGACCTAAACAGACAAAGTCGACGACAGCTTCTCCAAGCGCATGATGGCGAGCTTCCAACTTATTTAACTTTCGGTTTGTTTAATATCGCGCCGTTATTATTGACAACACCAATATACAGAGACGGACAATCTCCCAACTGTGGATTGTAGCGCACCAATGGCTTAGTAGCAACTAGGACGCAACTGGCAATAGAGCCTGGGATCTGCAATGAAACATCGTATTTGCTGGGTTAATTATTGCTCAGACCGCACAAATGAATCGCGCTAATCGATCGTTCATGTGATCAACCCCTGTTTCCCCGCAAATCAAAGCGGTTTCCCCGGCGCTGAGTGAACTCGATTTACTGCAAGTACTCTCAGACAATCGGTCGTCACTATCCCGGCGCAAGCGACAAGCTTAGCCTAGTCTGAGTAGTCGGATGTCCGGAAAATCTGTATTTGAAAGCTTGTTTTCGGGACAGTCGTAGTGAGAGCTCCGTCCATACAAACTAAATTGGATGACTGCTTGATGACAACTAGACGTGCGAGAGTCTGGGCTCACAACATGCTTCCATCACAACGGACGGCAACTTTGAATAGCTTGTGTTAGGATCAACACCAATATCTTAAGGAAAGAGGTAATTAGGAATAAGAAACAGAACTTTGGTCTAAACAACTGATAGTAGAGGTCATGACCTCAATGGCTGTCCAAGCCAAAATGGATTTACCCTCGCCTACCACTGCGACTAAACTGGGCGCGCCTCAAACTGTCGTTCGGCATAGTATTTATAAACCTTCGCAGTTTGCGCTCGCAACTTTTTGCCTCGCCATATGCTATCATAAATCAGCACTTCCGTTCGGATGCCCATATGCCTGTGTCGGTACTTACAAAAATACGGAGAAGGATAGAATCAGTACCCCAATCGCACCGATAGTATTGAAGACATTTGGAATCTGAATTTTTAGTTAGCCACAGCATGCTTGAGCTCGTTGGATAGCCACTTACTCCGACTGCTGCAATCCAGGCTGGCATGGCAAATACCTGCAGTAGTTCAGTCAACGGAGATCTAACCTATGTACGATCGGCAGGGAAGCATCTTACAAAGATTGTACTCAAGACATTGCGAGTGAAAGTTAGCGCCGTAAGCGCATCCCCAATGATCTCTGTAGCACGACTTAGCATCCTGGAACTTTGTGACGTTTCCCACAATCAAGCTCACCATTATATGCGTCGAGCAAGTATGTCAGAGCAATACTTTGCAACGGCGCTGATCCGAAGTTGCAGATGCCAAAGGCCATCGCTACTTGAACCCATGACTTACCGTCTGCGAGTGCGTAGCCAAACCACCACGCTCCCGCGAGTTGGAACGGGATGAAGGGGACGAATACATAGAATCGCATTTCAGGTTCATATATGCCGTTGTTTCGCTTGGTGAGCTGTAGAGCAAAATAGTCACTCACAGGACCTACCACGAGTGTGCCAAGTGTTTGGCCGATGAACTGCAAAGAAGTTAGTTGTGTTTGAGACAAGCGGTGAAAAGAAACCTACTGGAGCCAGATTCATCAGGCCGATTTGACTTGCCGTGAAGTTATAAGGATCCTTCAGCATGTATACTGACAGTGCAGTCGTCATAACCGTAGTCCAAGCAAGCAAGATCGCGTAAGTGAGTGAGCAGAATAGTATGCCAGGGATTGAGCCAAGAATGAGAAACGGCTGCCATGAATGTCTCAGAAATTGAGACCATGGACCTGGTGAAGTTCTGAGAAGAGACAGTCGCTGCCAGTATGTTTTCCGTCTCTTGTTCGGGTCGATGTGTATCGATGTGAGATCACTCGAATTGCCTTCCCCATCTTTTTCACTTGTCGACTCATTGCTCATGAGGGGGACCGAAGAACTCCTCATCGGGTCTTCAGTGCTGTTTCTGGCATTCCTGCTCTTCTCATCTCCCTCGTCGCTGTCATCTCTGTCGTTCTTGATACTCGCCGCTTCCCCTGAAGCCGGTACCACACCATCTCCGCGTAAAGGAGTACCCCGAACATGACTGGGAAATTTCGTCTCCTCGAAACCAAATACGAACATGATGATCTGGACGCCGAAGAAAATGGCACACCACCACCACACCCATCGCCAGCCTTGGTTAGAGGTGATGAAGCCAGCCGCGACGACTGCCAAATTCGACCCAATGTTAGCAGCCCACACATAGATCGAGTTCATCAACCCGCGTTGATGGACGAAGAACATGTCCGCGATCGTGATCTGGATGAGGACTTCCGCAAGCGCGCCAAGCCAACATTGCAAGGCATTTACACCCCACCAGTCGCCGGCTGTTTGTGTCTTCGCCGCCCAGATTGAGATGATAAACTGGAAGATACTGCTGAGGACGTATACCGGCCGGGAACCGTATTTAAGCGCGAATGGGATCAGCATCGGCGCTCCCAAGGCCAATGTGGCGGATCCGATGGCGTAGGTGTTGGTCAACGTCTCGATGCTGAATTTCAGCTCATCTGCCAGTGGGCCCCATGTAGGTGACGTGGCGCTGATGAAGGCGAACACCATCATGGCATAGAAGGAGGCTAGGAAGAAGTTGACGACCTTCTGGGATTTCGGCCAGTTTAACGGATCGTTCGGGTCGTCACTAGGACGTGGTTGGAAGATGATCTCCACATTTTTGTTTTCCGCTTCATGTTTAGATAGTCTTTGAAGCTTGACTGTTCCTGGTGGCCAGTCCGGGTCGAGGTAGTCGTGAGTCGCCATATCGTAGAAATTGAAGATGTGTAAAGGGAGGAAATCTGAGCTTGGGTGGGGGCGAAGCGGCCTGAGCAGTTGAAGCATGTGTGGTAGAAACACAAGTCCGTGCTACGGATGTATGAGATGTACCATCCAATCTGGTTTATATCTTGGTAGAGTGCATGCAGAGATAATCATCCGATCTACATCGGAGCGATAGTGAAAACATGCCGAGGGGGGTATGAGCTCATGCAGAGTTGCTGATAACGCGAGATAGACACTGTTGGTAAACTAGTGGGTGGTGCAGATAAGGAGGTTGCAAGTTACAGCGCCTCGATGCACAGTTGGATGGGTAATCTATCTGGACGTACTGTCGCCATACGCGGCAACCGATGATTGAGTTATCTTGCCGGACGGCAATAAGGGTTCCAGAGTTCCCGTACCATTCGCACGGGTTAGCATCACTCATTGTCTTTGACCACCAACAACAACATATAGGAAGGGCAAAGTTCATCGTGCACAACGTTCCTTAGCCACAGGTCAGGTGATTGGAACGGTATATGTTGAGTACTCATGAATCAAGGAAGACTTTGATACATAAACATCAAGGACGCCTTGTGACGGGAAATAGATATGAAAGATTTGCTTTCTACACACTTCGCCCTTCCATGTTTGAAGATACTCGAAGGTCTTCTACGTCCGAACTAGAAAAGGAAGGCATTTGGAAGTATCGTCAACGATACTGCGCAGAGCCTCTTTCATCTCCATCGAATCTGCCCTTCTAGACATGTTAGTAAGCCATGAAAACTAGTAGCTTTAAAATGAACACCTTTGGCTTTCTCTGTTTCCATTCCCAGCTTCAGCAACAAGAAACCTGGTGCGTATGAGTCTGATGAAACGCCCAATTGCTGTGTCGGCCGGACATCGATGATCATTTGCGATATGGTCCATCCAAGTCTGGACATTTTCCGCGACCACAATTCTATCAAACGTGCCTGGATCTTCGACAAAATTAGCGACAGAGTGAGCCTCATGGAAACGGTCCACTTCTCCTGCTGAAACGAGACTTTCTCTAAAGCTTAAAGCGTCTGCTGCCATAAAGAAGCCATATCAGAAGCTCCAAATGAATGCAGCCGATGGACCAGACGTCCCATCGCCTAGATTCGGAAAGGGATGCAAAGTCTTTATCCGGGGATCGTATAAGATAACACGTCCACGCTCTTAAAGGGTTTGAGACTCTGCGGCCATTCCCATGTCCCGGAAGCCAGCCGAACCGAGGCCAGAGATTGTCAGCCGTAGCATAGCTAATTCATCCTCGGAGTAGAAACAGTGGATGTGCTCTAGTGTTAGGTTTTAGTGTCGCATTGGCTCGGTATCAAATGAGTATGCAACCGCTCAATAGCCCAGGCTAGACCATAGACTTCACGCAAGAATAAGTGTAGAAAATGATGACCATGCCACCGAGTGGACTTTTAGGCCCTAGATTCCGGAGGTTACCACCGTCAGCCTTTGGAACCCCCATATGATGTTTGTTGTTTTTGGTGTAGTAGGTGAAAAGTCTGTTCAAATGGGGGTGATTCCAGTCTCAGGTAACTAACAACATATCGACCTCAGTTACAAAGGATCAAGAATGGGAGTGCTTCACTGGCTAGGCTGAGCCCGACACCATCGAGTCTGGACTCGATGCAATCGACCGCGTCAGACGTGTCAGCCATGGTTATAACGACACAGCTCCATTCAGCCTCATCGGAACTGGCCTGCGCAAGCGCGTCATCCCCTACGGTCCAATGATCACTCTGCCCCAGATGCAGCAACTATGCCCTACAAACAAGGACGAGATCGAGCCCAAAGACTGTTGAGACATCTTTGCCGGGGACTAGATGTACAAAGTCTCGACCGAAGACGAGGACGCCGGCAGTGTCCTCAAGAGGAGTGTCAATGAGAACACGAACAAGGAGTACTGGGAGGCCGCGGACGACGATGTCTACGTCGTGAACCCTGCCACGGGTCTTCACATTCGCGCTGCCTCCAGCAAGAAGAAGATCATCATCTGCTACAATACATGGAAGGAAACCAGTTGGACCTCTTCATGCTGCAAAACAGTGGTCTCTGCAAGGCCATGAAACACAGCGGGTGATTCGAGGAACAGTCGATCGGAGCCAAGAAGAAACTGCTCTGGGAGTACATCGGCAGCAACGACGACGGATTCCACTCCATCCTCAAGATCATGAACATCATCAAGGAGAATGCGTTCCTGGGCAACGCACTGCCCGGAGAGAAGGACATCAAGAAGTCCATCAAAAAGGAAGCTTACCCTTGATGAGGCTATCCGGACGGTGAAGAACGCCATGATGACGTACAAATACATGGTGATGGATGATGTCAAGGACATTCTCAAGGACCAGGCCGACCGCGTGGGTGACAGGTTGGACACTGTAGACAAGTGGTTCACCGGAAAGGGTTCCAATCCGTGGGCTTACAGCAGTATGAAGGCGAAGTGGACGTCTTTCATCAAAGGCAGCACGGAAAAGGCGGTGGGCAAGATGAAGTCCTTTGTGGTGGATTGGACGGAGAAGATCGAGGAAGTGTTGCCTAAGGACACGACCAACGATGCCAACGTCCCCGGCCGTGTGGCCTTGCGAAAGAAGATCGTTGAGCTCAGAAAGGCCGTGGATGATCTGCCGGCCTGGACGAGTCCGTGGTAAACTCACATTTCTTCCAGCGACAGGCTCGTGGCTTGAAGTCTGGCACGCCATTTTGGATAGATCCGCCATAAAGTTACTAGAAAGCGTTTCTTTGAAGTCATTTAGTCATGCATACATTACGTACATCAAGAATCCTACCTGAATCTCTCCGTTTTGAGGCATCGTGATGTGTGCTCATGTTGAACAGCAAGTGCAAGTCGACATCGTGCGCCAAAGAAACACCGAATCTGGGGACCACCAAGCCCTACCAGGCGGTACTAACGAATGGCTTTAGAAGAGAACTCACCTGATTTTGTCATTGCAAACTACGAGGATACATAGCAGGGAAGATAGTTCCATCACGTGACGGACATACTGTCTGTCACTAGGTAGGTACGTATAAATAACAGCTCACCCCACTTGGTTGGTTCCCAGATATTTCAGCACCACCCAACTCTCATCAACCCACAAGAATGCGCGAAGTTGACATTTTCCCTCAAACTTTTGAGATCATTAACCATGACTCATTGTTCTCCATCAAGGTGACCAGCGAGGGTCTCAGTTCTCTGAAAGACGATCTAACGAAAGGCCAACGCGCATCTGTGCAAAAAATCGACTTTCAGGTCATCCTCCCAGAAGTCGTCCCTAAACGCTTCAAGAAGATCCAGAGCAAGAGCGAGGTTACCAAGAACAATGGAGTCTTTACGAAAGCCACTCAAGACTTCTTCAACATCCTGACTACATGGCCATCTGGCGATGGAGCTGGCATCAAACTCACCATCAGTGCCGCGTCGCCCTCGGACGTGACGATACAAGACATGATGGAAAGTGGCGAGCTCCAGAGCGACCGGCAGTTTCCCGTGTATGAGACGCGCTGGAGAACTCACGCACTCAGCATCGATCGCAAACTGCTGGCGGGCGGGAAACTGCCTGACATCGCGTGCGTTTCCGAGTTCTCATTTGAGGCAATCCATGGCCGGCCGTTCAGCCCCGACGCTTTCTCAGTCGTCACCAGCGCTCTGGTATCAGTGAGGACGATGCTCTGGGATTTTCTACCACCTCAGGTTCGCGTGACGTACGACCGTCGCTTGGCGTGGCAGTCGGATCTGAAGACATTCAGGAACGCTTTGGGCGCTGCGCTGACCGACACTCCATTCCCCAAATTGGTCGAGTTTGAAATCGTCACAGATAGCGGCGATCCTTCCAACGAGCTGTTCCAACCTCCGGACATGACATGTGATGGAGAAGATGCCCTCAGTGTCGGCGTGAGGCGTCTACTTCAGCTGGAAAAACTTGAGAAGCTGCACCTGGGATCAAGATGGATCCTTACTTCGGCGGCCTTCGATGCCCCGCTGAACTGTCCGCGTCTCAAAGATCTTCACATTGACTTGTGTGTCACAACTGTCGATGGGAAATGGCTATACACAGGCGACTTTGACAATCTCCCCGTCAACGAAGAATACTACGGTTCGGAGGAGGACACTGAACCAGACTTCGACTCGGAAGACTCCGACGCGTCGGACTTTTACCCTGTTGTACGCACAAGAGAGGCCGAGGGCGACATACCGGAGCTGGCGTTCCGCGTGACGCCTGACAACCCGGTGTTCGTTCCCTTGATTTCCACCATTGCCAAGGCGGTCCTGGGGATGCCGGAACTGCGAAGAATGCGTGTCATGCTCGGAGGATCAGTGAGGGGAACGATTGCGCCGTTTGATATCAAGTACCTCGCGCCTGGGGAGGTGGAGACGAACGAGGGGATTGAAAACTTCAGCAAGGAAAACCTGGAGCGGCCGCGCTGGTGTCTGATGGGATACCACGACTTTGATAAATCTTGGAGAGTTCCACAAGAGTTGGAAAAGGCGTTTGCGGGAGAGTCTGGGGAGGGACGTTTTCTACTGTGGACAAACCCATGATAGAAAACCTGTTAATCAACTTCTTTGAGAAAGATATGAGGCCATACGTGACTGGGCTTTTCGGAGAAGGGATAGATGGTTTTGAACTTCAAGTTAGTCTAAGTTCGCATACTACATTTTCCGGGAAGATTTATGGTTAATCTCTCGGACTCCATTCTAAGTCTCCAATGTAAGAGCCACACTCCAATACATCATTTAGAAGAACTTCTCCCCGACGTTAACAAACGTATCTCAACATGAACAACCTCATTTGCCCCCAAAAGATTGTCTCGTGTTGACTCTGTCAATGTCATACGGATTCCCGTCGTACGACTTCCGTCTTGTCGAAATCGCGGTGCCACCGCTCATTGTCCGAGGCCTTTGCCGCCGTCGGCTTGAGTGAGATGAATCATCGGAGCTTGCGTCGTCTTCAACCGCAGCTTCTGTGGAAGCAGTTTGTTCAGGTTCCTTCTCCGAGCCAGAGGCGTCTTGTTGGCGAAGCCGAGCCATGAACGCTTCTGACTGCGCAGCAAACTTGCACCGAGAGCGAATCGCAGCTCCGTATTTGTAGAACAAAAATGGAAAAGGCACGCACGCAAGCGCCAGGAAAGCCGGAATGGAAGACGCCCAGTTGGTACCGAGATCCGCGTACATGTAGGACGTGAACAAGGGAAACGCGGCGCCGAATAAACTGCGAATCACCGAGTTGGCTGCCAAAACAGACGCCGCGAAAATGGTGTATGCGTCGATCAGGTAGTTCATGACGCTCAAGAAGAGCAAAACCATTCCGAAGCCAAACGGCACGCCGGCAGCGATACTGGCGAGCCAGTGAACTGATGCTTGGTTCGTCCACGCAAACCAGAAGAGGCCAATGGGGATCGCAACACCGCCAACCATGGCCGGCGGGAGACGGGTTTCCGGGGGTGCGAAGCCGTCGTTGTTTGCCTGCACCCGCTGATAACGCCCGTTTTCCGGTATCGTATAGATGATGGCGAATATCATTCCTACCATCACTCCCAGAAATGCCAGCCCTCCGACTCCTTGAGACCAACCCCTCTCTTGTTGGTAAACAATAGGGAAGGCCGCGAAAAGCATATACAAGGTGCCGTATATAATCGCCATGTAGAGTGACAAGAGCAAAACAATGGGCTCTCGGAAGAGCAAGATCCAGGGCCGCGACAGCGCTGTCTTGAAGGACTCCGCCAAGCTGACCTTGCCCTGATCACGCTCCACCTTGCTCACATAGCACTTCCCCGTCATCTTAGACAACTTTACCGCTCGTTGACGAAGCAAGTAGGGAGCGTATGTTTCGGGAACAAGTGCAGTTCCCAGCAGCCAAAGCGTACCAGAAAAGGCCGCCAGAAACCCCAAGACCCAGCGCCACCCGGCTGCTTGGCCGAGGAATCCTCCTATTATCGGGCCAAGGACCGGGCCGAGAAACGGCGCAGCCGCAAACAGCGCCATTGCCAGACCTCTCTCGGCTGCTGGGAATATGTCTGCGATGACACCGCCCGAATTGGCGAGAGGTGACGATCCGAAAGCGCCTGCGAAGAAGCGGAGGACGAGCAATGTAGCGGCGCTGTTCGCCCCAGCAGCGCCAGCGTTAAACGCCGTCAACACCGCGTACGTGCCGAAGAAGAGATACTGGCGGCCAAACAGCTCGCTGAGACCTGCCCACAAGAGCGGCCCAATCGCGAAACCTAGAACGAAGAGCGAGACGCCGAGTGTGGCTACGATTTGGGAGATTTGGAACTCTTCAATGATCTCTTTGATACCTCCGGTATATGCGGAAGACAGCAGAGCCACCGCCAGTGTTGTGAGGGACACCATGAAGGTGATGAACCATTTCGTCGGTTGGCTGAAGAGCATAGGATTTCGGGGATCGTTGGGAATCCATTGAACCAGAAAGGGGTCGTCTTCAGTACCGGAGCCTTGGTATTCGTAGTTGGCTACCTCTGCCGTGATGCCTGCTTGGTCGGCAACGATGCGCCAGTAAGGGAGCTTGGTCGGCGCGACAGGCTCATCGCCATCGTTTATTGGCATGCTCGGGTTTTGTCTTGTTGACTAGAATCGGGAAGGCCAAGTGGGAAATGGCAAATCGCTGCAGGTGAAATGTGAGGCCGCGAGGGTATTTTCCGGGATGGAATAGAGAGACGACGAGGCGGTGCTTGTTGTTGGAGGGTCCAATGTTGTGCCAAGGGGGGAGATTTTATTACGGCGGATGCAGAAGCAGCGGCATACGGGTGGAAACGACTTCCGGAATCCCGTATCTTAACAATCAGCGTCACGTTGCACTATACCTTCTTCCGCTACTAGGGTTACAAAGTAAGATCTGAATCTTGTGTAATGCCGGGCAGTACTACCCTTAAACCCGGCTTCTCGGGGGCCCTTTAGAAACGTTCTTGGGATATAGCGTCCGAACGATTGCATGCTAAAGACCCTTCTACTGGTGACGACAACATTGCACTGACTCTGATGCTGTCATCCGTGACCAGTCATACCAGTCACAATGGCCCTGGTGGAGTCAGGGAGACGACGATTAGGCGGCCGACGTTCTTAAGTCCGGCCCCTAGCGCGAAGCTAGGTGGTCCGGGAGGATAACAGCCGACTTCAGTGCATAAGTCGGGTTATTCACGGCACAAATCGACGCGTAGCCGGGTTTTTGCATTATTTCCTTACAGGAACTTAGCCGTTCCGGTGCATAACCTTTCACAAAACGCCGCCATTCCATTAGCTCTCACCTACGGCGTCATTGTGACCACGAGTGATCTTGAGTCCGGACCGGCTTTTTGGAATCATTCGGTCTGAACCCCGGCCTCCATCGTGGAATGGATCTTCAGAACAATTCTACAGCCAGATTTAATCTCGCTGGCCAGATCCCACGTGTTCACTGCTAAACTCAGCTTGTCCGACAAGCTCGCTGCTCGGGATGAACTTGTTCGTCCCACCGAGCGACCGTTTCTCCCCTTACCTCTTCCCCGAAACTCTTAATCTGGTGCAACGATTCCGGATACCGCCGGAAAATGTAACGCATGCGCTGCAGATCCAATCGATCGGTAACGGCTGCTCCCGAGCCACATTGCCGCCCGTGGACCATTCAAGGTTGTATCGCAATTGACCCAAGATTTCGGCCCAAACCTTTCTCCTTGTGTTCCTAACTTAATGTCACACCTCTTATGTGTTTATCTCGTTCTGTTTCTGGACACCTTCTCTTTTCAGATGCTTCTGTCAGCCCTTCACTGCCGTTTTCTTCAGTCCCCCGACAATTTCACGCAAGTGAGTTAATTATCAGTTTTCACTTGTAACGTGAGCAAATCAGAGCCTTTTAGCTTGGATGAAGCAATACTAAGATCCTGTATCAATTGAGTCGACGAGCAAGACGGGTTCCAGCTCAAGCATCGAAGCTAACTGGTCTAGAAAGGAAACTGCTCCATGGGGTAGTGGTGTCCCTTGAAATCCTTGAAATCAGCGTCTCGGTCCGGGTAATGTCCGCTATCAAGGAGTGCTTCCACCATTCCACTTCGGCCGCCCCAAGTCTCTGTGGCGAAGGCCCGAATAAGATCGGTTCCGTTGAGCAACGTGCTGGAAGTCCACAGCTTGCCGTCGTGGGCCCAACGTCTGTCGACCCAGTTCACCATCGGTACGTTCTTCTTCATCAAGTCGATTAGCGATCGTGGGCAAGTGGCAGTCTTTCCTGCGAGGAGGCCGGCTTCCAGAAGCGGCATCATGCCGCCGCAGATGGTCAGGAACGCGCTGCAATTCTCGAACGTCTTGCGGATGAAGGCCAACTCGGCGGGGCTCGTCTTGTAAGTCTCATCATGAGCACCCATCAGGGCGATGTCGAGAGGTAGACAAGACGCGAACGAATCCTCGAGAGTCGTCAGTGATAGCTTGTGAACATGGGAAATGTGGGCTTACGGTAGGCATTATCTGAGCCTTGCTCTTCATCCTGGCTGGTTGACCGTCCTCAGTAATCCAATGGAGTTCAACATCAAAAGCCTCCTCCCTCATCTCGACGGGGAGATTCATGAAGGTAACAGCCTTTTTGTCTGTCCAGGCAAAGAACTCGAATGGCGCCACATCGAGCATCTCCGTAATACTGCAAATTTAGTCAGCGAAGAGGACAACAAGTCAGTCTGGACTCAATATGCGCACCCCTTGGTCAGAATCACACCGGCGTGAATCTTGCGGTTGGGCTTGCTGAGATCGAAAGACATGATTGGCTTTTCGTAAAGAATTCGGGAAGAGTGTACTGGATACTGGCGAGTTACTAGAATGCTGATGATAATGATTGACCATCCTGCATTGCCCGTCTTATATACGAATCAACATGAATGCGCAATGCCACAAATATGCAGAGTCGACGACTATCACCAAGGCAAGTTGAGCCGGCGCTGTACGGAGCATATGACGGCTCTTACATCCGAGTGGGTCCGGAAGTTATGGCCAGTCCGGGGATTAGGCTCCCGCTGAAACGGCTCTTAAGAATCACGGGCCCGAGCTTCGATCGGAGCCAAACGTAAGCCTCCACACTCATGCTAGTTCGGATATGTGTATAGTCCGGCCGCAGACGGGATTTGAGCAGTTATCGGCAGCATACATCACGGATACGATTGCTCTATGAATTGTCGATGTCATATTTTTCAAGTAAGGTGAGCGAGTCAAGCTCGTTCAGAAATGTCTCAAGGTTGGATTAATCGGTTTTTGTACATGACTTCCCTATGTTCTGAGCATTACATGGTGCTCAATTCATACATTTTCCATCTAAATATCTCAACGCCTTACTTGTATAGATCAGGCTGTGTCTTTGAAATCCCCCTCTGATTTTCTAATGTTTGTCCGATTTCTTTTGAAGAAATAGCCATTTACATAGCGTGGACCGTGCTAGAAGGGTTGTGATGAAGCTTTATTCTCTCTGGAATGGTCAAGCGCATGACTCGGTGAGAAAATTGCTAGGCGCTCAAGGTGACTTGGTAGCTTTCCAGGAAATGCTGGGAGCCACAGCCTTGTCAAAGTTTACCAAGTCAGCTCAGCTTGTGTCCTTTGGTAGCAATAACTGAAATAAAAGCCTGACTGGCATGACTATCGATCCGGGTCTCTCGGTGGATCGGGTATTTCAAACACCAAGTGAATAAACTCAATAAAGCCATTTCACCCGTACGGGTATCACATCGTCAACTGCCAACTGGGGAGACAAATCCCATTGCTAAGTGATCATACCGAATTCTGCTGCTGTTTACTTTTACGAGTCATAAACTCAGCTGACTTGGAAGTAATGGATTGTTTTGATTAACTATTCAAGGACAATGTATTAGAACTATCTGAGATAATTCATATTGAAGTGCAGAAGCTCTTCTTGAACGAGACAAAGAAATGCAATGATTTTGACTGACTGGCTCATTGAATAATCCAAAATTAAGCAATAAATGGAATCATTCTGTAGATGTTGTCGTCAGTGCTCAGTGGCTTCCAGTTGCTTCATATCAACCACTCACGAGCCATCGCCTCCAGTTAGTCCATATCAAGCACGGGAAGAGAATATTCAGACACCTTGGGCTTCAGTTCATGTCCCCAAAGCGGCGAATCTCCCTTGTCCAACGGCACCTTCGGCAGAAGGGGTTCAACCATCTTGGCGGTCTGCATGTGAGCCTCCTCCGTCCACGGCTGGGTCTTCTGGCCCAAGAGGTCATTTCCGTAAACCGAGTGCTTTCTGGATATGGCTACGTGTTTGTATCCGTGCTTGCTGGTGCGCTGGTCGATGTGGACGCTAAAGACTCGCCGTTAGCAACTTTCCTAAATTGCATCATGGCAGAAGCGCCAACTTACCGATTGCAGCGTGGGAAGTAACCCCGAGGGTCCGAGAGAATGGCCGTCGTAAAAGTCGAATGCTCAACAACCAGCAGTGCCGCCCACGAAGGCTCCTCCCTGTCATCCTTCCAACCAGAGTAATGATACCATGTATTCCTGGACTTTTTGGATACAAAACTCTCCTTCTTCATGGTTCTGTTCTTGTCTTGCCAGAAAATCTTGTCGTGTAGTTGTCGGGGCAAGTCCTTGAGATAGAGAAACATCTCCCCGTTCCAGTTCTCCGTGCCCTCATTCCTGCACGTGACCACCACCCTCCAGTCGTATCCGTCCAGCCACTGGGCCTGGTCATACCATCCGGTCGCCAGCTTCGTAATGGGCCGCTCAATCTCTCCGTCCTCAACTCCCTGAGTTATCCGTAAGATCTGCGAGGAGGCGATGTGTTTGAAGTAATAGTGATGCAGATGGGTCTGATGACGACCGTAAAACCACGCGCCAATCATCGTCATCACGTCGTCGATATTCTTACCCCTCACTTCCTCTTGAACGGCTTTGAAGTGCCTGTTGGGTTGTCGGAAACGCGTGAGATGGAGGGGAATCCTGGAAACGGTGACGTGGTTCGACTCGGCCCAGGTCCTGAGTTCCTCTCGGTTGGTAGCGGCGGTGTCGTTCGGGGCGGAGATGTTCTTGATGGTGCCGGGCTTAGGTAACTTTTGCAACTCCTCCGACATCCTGCTTAACATGCGAAGGGAAGACATCAAGAATGGGGGCACTCCAACCTCGATAAAACCGGCCTCAGATTGCGGGCACATATCAGCCGGAACCCCCTCGACTGTGGTCGAGTCATCTCTTCCCCGTGCTTGACGTGACATGGTGACGATTAACGAAGTGAAGCTGAATGTCAGTTTGCAAGAGATCAAAAAAAAAAAAAAAAAATACAGCCTTTAAATACCCTCTCGTAACATACTTTCGTGGATTGTCGGGTAGGCATCCATGCTGCAAGTGTGGATGCCAGAGTTCGGCTCGTCATCACCTGGATGGACATCGAGCTGCAGCCGGTCTCACGCCGAAAGATTGCAAGTAGACTGCAAAGACACAGGGCCAAAATGCTATAAAGTATAATACGTCAACGCGAGAAAGGTAGCTCTGGGGTGGAGTCCTGCGAAGACGTTATGCCTTTTCGTCATTCCCTTCAGAAAACGCCCTGTGCCACTCTACTCCACACTCTCGATTTTGATTTATCTATGGAAAATCTAGGCCGAACCGCTACGATATGCTTCGAACTGTTGCGATGAAGCTATAAGGTAGGGATTGCTAGTATTGAGCGATGGATAGGCCTAACATGTGCACAGAGCTTTTCCAAATTTTCCTCTGGTTCTTCGGAACCTTTCTGTCTATAATAGACAGAGAGCTTCCGCGACAAAAGTTTGCAGAATCATAGCAGTGTTTATCTTTTACTCATCTATGCTGATACGGATGTACACTTCTAATTAACGTCATAGTAGGGAGCTTTAAGTTCAGCTGTCTTCTCAATAGAATCGGCAACCCTTACATAAAGAACACTCAATAGATATCGCAACTCAGTCTACTCCTACACATTTCCACCTATCATTTCGAACGATCTTGCATTATTCTGAGTGAAACTTTTGCTACCAAGTCTCATCCACCCCTTTTCAACGGACTCGCAGCCGACGTCGTTGGTACTCCTTGTATTTGTGTCGGGCACTCACAGATGACAGAACTCAACCAGATAACTTCAACAAGCAGAACTGTTTTTTTTTTTCACGCAGACTGAGGTACTGGGCTTCAATTACCAGAATGCCAAGTCGAGTTCGCGTAGTAGTTATTCCTGAAAACCTCGAGCCACGCTGCGACGCCAACGTCCCAAGAAGGCTCGAGTCGCAGCATCTTCCACTCGACCATAACCCAGTCATCAACGCAGCCGCCCGTTCACAAGTTGACAACAGCGAACATCTAAGCCTCGAAATGGCTTAAGAAAAACCTCAACCCACATTGTTTAGAAACAACTCTCGTCCAAGTTGACAACTCCTGACCCAAGTCATCATGGATAACTTACCAAGAAACCTTCCAGTTCTTTACAGCTCACCATGGCAAGCCAACACACTTAACCTCCAACGCTTGATAATCGAGACTCTTCAGCGCAGCGATCCGGGCAGACAAAGACAAGCACGAGAGTCGCAACTGCCTGCTTTGATCAAACCCCGTCTGATCATCACAACACCTCAACTCCCAGTCCACACAACTCAACTCCAAAGCAATTCACCACCACCTCATCATCAGACGAACAGCGCCTTCCTAATTCACCGAACAACTCTCACCAAAGACACCAAGCCCATAAAGAGCCACCGTAACTCACCGACAACCCTCGCCCTCCCTCAACCCAGCTCACAACCAATCTAACCAACCAACAAACCTCACAACCCACCAAACCCCTCGCCACAACTCACAATGTGCACAATCCACATCGCAAAGTGCCCAGACTGCAACCACATAACCTCCCTCACCCGCCACCCCTGCGCCAGCACACCGCGCGCCCGCCTCTGCCACAACAACCTCACAAACACCGTCACGACCTACCTCCTCCCAGGCCGCTGCGACGCCTGCCTCACCCGGACGGGGCCGTACCACGCGCTACCGCCCAGCGCCGCCGCCACCCCGCACGCCCTCCAGAGCAGCTTCGAGAGCCTCAGCAGCACGCTGGGTCAGCACTACGCCGCGCGGCTGCGGATGGTCCGGAGGAAGTTGGCCTCGGGAGCTGGAAGATTCTTCGGTTCGGGCGGACGTCGTGAATCAACGCGAGATGGCGAGGCGGGACGGGGACGTCGGTTCCATTTGTGGAGGTGGACGGTCGAGATCAGTCAGAGAGAATCGAAACGTGGCTTTTGATGATGGAATGGCCGCCGCCACTGGCGTCGTGATGAGTGACGCGGCGCGAGGTTCGTGATGTTGGCCCGTGGTGTTGAAACGTGACACATAAAAGATTTTTGAATATCTATCTGCGAACGGCTTCCTCTCAGCTAAAGTAGTGTTTGCCCCTGTGGATCTGTGAGTCACGTTGACCAACGTGTAGACGGTACATCGCCAAGCTGTACTGGGAACGAAGCTATTCGCAGATCATAGCCAAGGGTCCGCGGCAACCCAACCGGGCTACATGCCATGCAAGAGTTCATGGCAGCCTCCCGGCAGGCATGGCTTAGCCATTCATTTAACTCGAGGCATGGATTTGACAGCTTTTGCGATACAAAAAGCTGCAAGTGGGAAGACTAAGCCACAACGGTACATGGACAACATAGTACATCACAGGAAAAGTAAACATAGCCAGCCCGCTCGGACCCCCTCTCAACCTCTGAGTTGATAGAAGACCGGGTATGGACATGCAATGTTCCCACTGCCGCCGTTCGTCGTCAAAACAAACTTATTGCCCCTCACTCGCGGCAGGCATATCTCTGGCGATGATTGCGGGCATGTTAGCGAGTTGGAAATGGGTGTCGTCAGCCCCCCGCCTTGTCTGACGCAAACTCAATGCCCCACCCAGTTCGATGGAATGTTCGCGAAACACCCGGCCGAGTGCTGTTCCACACTGGTGTAAGATTGAAATCACAGGATTACAAGCTGGCTACACGTGGCTGTCTCGGCCGAGGTCTTTGAGATTTAGGGAGTGCACAAGGCAACACATGCGTCGCATTGTGGCGGATTATCGCTGCAAGTGCTCCGGGCCCGAGGTGATGCAGCGGAGGAGAACGGACGTAACAACCCGAGGAAAGTGTGAATGCCCTCATGCCTTGGAATGATCGGGGGCATGAACGCGTTCTTGCGGCAGCATGGAGAGAGATACAACCAATTAGCTGTGGTGGCATTGGTCCGTCCAAAATCTTGCGTTATTGGGTTATCGTTTTGAGTTACCATGAGCGGAAATGATTATCGGGTGTTACCATATCCCGCCAGCTGTAGAAGCCTATACATGTCACGAAGGCATACCGATCGAGCCACCATGCATCCACGATATGGCAATCGGTGTCCCTGAACGACGCTGATTTTCATGCTGAGTTGCCGCGTCGGAGGAAGCTCCGAGACACGGACCTAGATCAGGGCAGTCGGGACGAAAGCGCATCCGAAGCGGGAGCTTCAGCTAGGTGTCGGTACGGACAAAGCGGCGTTGTTTGAGAAAACGGGGCCGGAGGAAAGTGCCCGGATTGTATTAGTAATCCGACGTCGATTTCGAATGAACTTGCGAATACTCGTCGCGGCCCGACTTGTGGGAGGATGAGGTTGTGGTGAAGGGGGAGAGCGAACAAAGCCCCCTTTTGATATGGAGGCGGGGTTCGTCGTGGGTCACCGCCAGCCGTTGGGCACCACGGCACCAGTCTGTCAGTGTAGGAAGCAACATGAATTCCCACGATACTTCCGCACGACTCGGGTGCGTTACCCACGGGCGTGTTCGGCCGGGATGTCGTAGTCAGGATGTGCCCAGCGACGTGGGATGATAAAACTCAATCTCGTTGGGTGTCGACAACAGCGGGTATCTGATCCGGCAGACTGATGACGTGAATTGAGCCAGGAGCTGACAGCGGAGGACTTTCTCCAGGGAGATGGACCGGGTGCGAGGGTCGAGCTGGCGGGGTTTTTTGCCGGGGGTATTTTGTCCAGTTTCGTCAAGCGGTCGCATTGCAAGGTGCAGAACTGCGGTGTTCTGTATGTACCCTGCGTCAGCTGTGTTTCTGCTCATGGCTTAATGGTCGACTTTGTCCCACGTTGATATCGTCAGCCAGAATCGCAATCCGCCATTCTGGGACCTTCGGAAGCCCTCCGCTCACATTCATTGGATTATCCACAGCGGCCTCCAAGCCATCTCACGTTGTAATGCGTTGGTCCCTTGTTGAACCCCTGCTTGTGAAAACCCAAGGACGGCCGAATGTCGTCGGAAAGGTCCGTTATCCGCCACGTTGTCGGTCGCTGCGGTGGTCTCCCTGCCGGCGTCCACGGCGGCGGTGGCAAGCGAAGCGGCGAGCGGAAAGAATTTCGCATGCTCGGTCCAATACGACAGAGGAGGAATGTCGCTGCCGAGCAGTTGCAAGGCAGGGCGCAGAAAGGTCCCGCATGGGTGCGCGTGACCAACCGTACGACGAATTGGAGTCTCCGGATTGATGAATCACCAGTGAGGCACGTCACAGACGGGATGGCTCTGGTGAGGTTTCTGCAGAGGCGTCGCGATCCCTGACACGGGATCCAGCTGAGGAGATCGTGGGCTTTGACGGCACAGCAACGGGCGACTGTGACCGCCGCCGGTCCGCCCGGCAGTCAGGTCCAACAGATGCTGCAAATCGCATGGTCGCAGCGACCGCGGCGGACGAGTTGCCTGCCACATGGGAGCACAGGTACTCTGTGAGGAAAGGAGCCTCAAGTTGGTGGGGGCCAAATCAAAGTGATTCGCCATGGGCGGTGTTTTAGCTTCGTGCTGGCGGGAGGCCGAGAGGGCATTCCCGTCCAGGGTCCTCAAGATGGTCCAGACTCGCCTATTTTGCTCGATGGAAGCCGCCAGAAGTTTCGTGCACCCTGTGGTCTGTGGCTGCCGCCTCGTTCGACGTTCGTCAGTCCTCGTGTCTTATTCCGACGAGGATCTCCCGGCGAAGTCTCATCAGACAGTTCGATGCCATGTGGTTTGAAGACCAGATTCACTTCCAGGCTTCGTCAGGGAGCTCTGAAAAAGTGCGATTGGCCTTTTTTAGCGTCGTCGTTCGTCAATTGGCGATCATTATGGTTCAATTGAGGCCACGATGGTCCGACAACGGTGGCAATGCTCTCTCGCTGGATAATTTCGAATTTTGTCTCATCACTTCAAGTCCTCGAAGGATGTGGTGTGATGGTGTTTTCTTTTGTTTGTGTTTCTCTCGTCGGAGCTGGAGCTGTCTATGACGTGTTTCCCAACGTCGACAGGTTGGCTTGGCTGAGCTTGTGAGACGGCAGCAGTGCAGGGGGATTTGGCGAATTGACAGGTAAGTTGCTGCCCAGGCACAAGCACAGACGTAAGCAACGCGCCGCGCGGGCCGGATGGGATTTTCGGTTTTGATTGCGATATCGAATCTGTCCTTGTCCCGTCCTGTCCTGTCCTGTACTGTCGTGTGGTGTCGGGCGCCGCTAGGCCTGCCCTTGCCTTGTGAGCCGGAGCTTATTGTCCAGACTGGAGGTCGAGGGCTGGCTGAGGCTGCCTTGGGGACGGATGCTAATGCTGGAGCTCCCGTCCCAACCTCAAGGTGCGATTCGCCGTGATGGTGACGGAGGGCCCCGAGTTCGGAAACCGAGCATCAGCACGACTCGTTTGCCAATGGATCCAGTTGACGGGGAGCTGTAATTAAGGCGAAAAAGGACGATGCGTCATGTTTCAACTCCGCAGTTGTTGGTTTGGCAGCAGAAAACTTTTGCAGAATGAGATTGACAGGCGGGTTTTCTCAGGAAGAGAGGTGCTTAAGGTCGACAGGACGAGGCACAAGAAAAAAGTGTTCGGAAGGGAATGGCCAGGCACGGAATTGGATCAGATGGAGATCTTGGGGTGGGCAGGGCAGGCACCGCAGGACGGCCCACCTTCCATTTCACGGTGCTACTACGTACCTACCGGGCCCAGGTCCGGCTAAGGTACGTACTCTGCAAGAGGTGAAGACAATCGGCAGGAAGGTACGGGTACGCAACATGTACCTGCTACCTTCCTTCCTCGACGACTTTTACTGCAATCCTTGCTGGACCCTTTGAAGTTTGAACTTCTCTTTCCTTTTTGTATCTTGCTTGGAGATAGTAAAATGGGATGTAAGAGATGGAATGCTGGCCAACCTTTTCTCTTTGGTAATGGCCCTGTTAACTGCCTTCCGCATGAGCTGTAAGCACCTCCAACCAGCTCAACAAATGAAGAAAGTGGCCTTATAAAATTATACATCACCTCAGTGGTAGAAACTGCGGCAGCAGCAGCAGCAGGTGCAGCAGGTGAGCACTGCAAATTGTGGATTCCGTTCAAGAACCAAAATGTGGGTCCCGTTCGGTAGTACCAGGGCCACTCGGTGCTCCATGCGGCCCCATAAGCGCTTCCTTGCCGCTCGGGCCTATCACAAGGGGGACCCCCAAGGAGCATTTGCTCCGGTAGGGCCCCAAAGATGCTCCAAAGGGGGACCTCCCGGTCCATTCTGCTTCTCGAACGAGTCTTCGAGTTGGAGAGACTGCCCCATCTCTAAACAAGCCCTCCCATTTCAACTTTTTTTTTCTCCTCCTCCCGTCCCTCCTGTTGGAGCATTCGAGTGTGGCTTTGCACTTGTACCATACCTCTCCTGGTCCTGGTCCTTGACCGTACCCTGAGCCTGGGGATTGCGGATGGGGAACGGGGAATTCTGCCCTCCTGTATCCGTAGACAGGTGTCCAGAGGTACTTGCTTCTCACTGCTGGATACGCCCGATGCTGCTGTACCCTACCTTTCCCTGCTGCCTTTTCCTTTCCTTACCTCGCTATGCCTTGCGTTGCGTTGCCTCGCCTCGAGCCTTAGTAAACTCACCAGATGTACTCTGTACTTGTTGCCATCCCTCCTGTACCCTTCCTTCACCTACCTGTCTTTGCTACTGCTGGCTGTTTGCTGCTGGTCCGTTCTCCTGAAGGGAGGGGAGTTGTCGGGGGACTGGGATTGTCGTAAAAAAGAATGGGATATGGGACGCACCAAAATATATACCCGACTAGCCAAATCAAAATTGTCCAGTCTGCTCTGATTAGGAGACTCTGCCTCGCTTTCGTAGCCTCCATCCCGCTGGTTGCGTTGACATGCTGTCGGGTGCCCTGCCCTTGCCTCCCCTTCCCTCTTCCAGTCACTTCACGTCGTTTCGAGTCGACTCGAGTCCCATTTACCTTTCCTTCCCCTTCACCCTTCTCTTTCCTTCACACTTCACAGCCTTCACGTCCACGCCACTCTTCCATCTCCGACCACTACAAAAGGCTACCGTTGCGTTGGCCCGTCCCCCCTTACCTAGCCCTCCCGAGAGCCTTCCGCCGCTCACGCGCGTCCGCACGCCTTAGCTTGGCCTTCCAGTGGCTCAACACACCCCAGTAACCACCCCCCCTCGTCCGACGTCAACGGTCCCCCCCAGTCCGCATCTACCAACCAAAAAAAGAATCCTCCTGTATCCCGCACCCTCGTCGCAACGTCTGTCGTTAAAAACGCTCCGGCCCTGGCGGGGGTCCTTGTGTGGAACCGACCGTGTGGCGATTCTTCCCCCAAACTCTGCAACGCCATTGGATGACCGGCAGACTCGCCGGGGGGCAGCAGCCACATCTGCCGTTTATATCAGCCACACTTGGGCCGCCTGTCTGGCAAGCCGGTCAGCACCAGGCCAGGTGGTCGCTCCGCCTATTGTTTGCTTTGTTGTCATCCATTGTCTTGACGAGGAATAGTAACACTTCCATGTTGCCCTCTTCTGAGCACACACGACTACCTCACTCATCGCCGCTGCTACCGTCGCTCTTCATCATCACAAAACGACGCTGTCCAAGGCGCCAGAAATCTTCTTCATTCGGCTTTCATGTGCGTTGAGCACAAGACTGTTTGTCCAGTCTGTCGGAGACTATACCTCGTCTATGTCGCTTTCTGTCACGAATACCATCCTCCCCTTCTGGAGTGTCCTAGGGGTCTTGTAGTTCGACCAATGCAGATGCTCGACGGTCGATGTCCAAGTCCTGTCTGTCCAAACAGCCGAGTTGGAGGCTGTCTGGTCATCTAGACACTTGCTAATGGACCAAAAGACCCGAAACGTAAGTTTCCCGGAACTTCGGGAAATGATCAGCAGGAAGAAACGGAAAACCAAAAAAAGTTAATTTACTAACTCCCTTTACAGCTTCTGACCGTTGTTGTCCACTTCCACCACCTGGTCGATGCCTTCGTACTGCGGAAGGTCCAGGTTGTACTTTTCAGCAATACCTGGCGAAACGAATCTGCTCCCAAGGTCAGCCAAACGATTTCTTTAACTTTGGGGGTGCCGAAGCTCAGAGCATGCCTTCCGCCGACGAAGTGCCGTCCTTTGAAATGCTTCACCAGTGGCTTGGGTGCTGTCAGGCTGACGAGGACCTCAGGGTGGAAAGAGCTGCCGAGGCCAGACGACGGCGGGCCATCCTCGATATTCCACGATGATGGAGCGTCAACCGAAGTTACGGGCAATTTCGTCTCCTCGAGCGCCTTGATCACCGCAGGGAAGGGCTCCCGGACCTCGCCAGAGAAGCTGAATCCTGAGAATCACGACGTTAGGCGCGCAGAACGACAGTCAGAAAATAGGAGTCCGCGAACGAACCGAAGATGGCATCCACAATGTGGTCCGTCGACTTCAGAGCCGCAGGAAAGTCATCGACGAACGGCACGTTCAGGTCCTCCAGCTGCTGCGCCAGTCGCTGAGAAAACGATTAGTTCAATTTGAACCACGGCAGGCCCCCGACAAAATCCCAGGGGAATTTCAATTGTACGGGCGGCAAGATACACACGCAAACTTTGCCGCTGTTTTCTTTCTCAAGGGGGAGGAGAGCACAATCGCCAACAACAGAAGGTTTGTGCATTTGCATAGCGAAGCGTTGGTGGAAGATAAAAGTTTGTTGAAAAGTTCGTATGTGGGAAACGACTCGACGACGAGGAGTCGCTGATAGAGGGTTTGTTACTTTCAAAGAGCACTTGCCCATGTATTATGCGTCCACGATTTGAACGAGATAGACAAAAAGCTAAACACATCATGACCTCACTCACCTGGTACAATTCGTTTTTACTCCTCTTGGGGTAGTAAATGCTGGGTTTATACCCGTAGTGACGGAGGTGACGGGCAGCGACAAGACCGTCACCACCTAACGTCACAAGAACTCAGCCTCAGATACTGGAATGCAAAGACTGCAGTATCACTAACCGTTGTTGCCAGGCCCGCAGGCAACGAGAATATTCAATCCCTTGCTGAGAGGGTGAACGCGGTAGACTTGTCTTAGGGTCAGTATCCGGCATTCGAATGAGATGGCGCCTCGAGACTGACTTGCTTGCGAAACTGAGAGGCCGGCGAGCTCCATCAGCTGGTCGATGGAGAAGGCGCCGGTGCTCATCAGTTCCTTGTCCAGGGCTGCAGCAGCCTTCGCCGAGAGTGTCTGTATGCAATTGTGAATACCCCTGCGCCGGCGCATCGAGACAATGGGCATCACTGACCTTCAAGCCCATGATTCCGTATTTTTTGCTGATGTCTGTTGGTGGTGAAGTGAGAGGTGACGTTGGAGTGGTGAGCTGTGGTCAATCAGCTCAGAAGAGTGGATGAAGACGGAAGGGACGTGCGACTGACATCACTCCGCATCGGACTGGCAAGTGGTCGCTTGCCGTCCAGCAACGAATCAAAGAGTGGGCCCGTCCGGGCAGGTGCGGGCGGGGGCCGGCGACAAGACCCACACAGTGGATTCACGTACTGTACGGAAGTCCGTCCATACGGTAGGATCGAACTCGCTACCGTCTTTTCTGGTAGAATCGGGTTTCCACCAAGATATCTCCCTTCTCTAATTTACTTAAGTAGCTATATTTATAGGCCTCTCAAGGGTCTAGCTGGGGGCTAAGTACACAGTATTGGGGTATATATCCAGTTGGGAGCCTCACAGCTAGGGGTTTTAGTGGAAACCCGATTTTACCAGAAAAGACGGTACTGCCTGCCCTCAAGTAAATGCCTGGGTATCCAACATCATGTCATAAAGCAAGCAAAGCTTAAAGAAATAATAAGATAGAACCTATGAGAGAATCATAGTTCTTTTGATTAATTGATATGGATTCCCAGTCTATGCCTAGTGTCTAGGCCGATGCTGACATACCCCTGTATATCATCAGAAACCTCCCTCATGTTGAGACTGCCGAAATGAGAAGCAAGAGCATTTCAAACCATTGGCCAATTAGTTTCAGGATACAAGATATTGTAATTGAATCGAAACTTTATATCTTATTTCAATGAACATAACGATGAATCTACCATGCTTACTACTTCCGACCACCCCCCGAGGCCTGTCGCTGTTTCCACATACAGACCTTTTACCCCGCCACGGGCTGCCAGCAATGATTTAAGTCCCGGAAAAACGCTTCAAATCTATTTCCCAATTCTGATTGTGTTGCCTTGTTAACCTGAACGTTGCTGGTTAGTATGAATCTAGTAGCCGGCACAGATGAACGGTGATCAGACAGCGGCATTCAGACTGCCAGTACCCCGCATTGCAACTCCGTTGAGCATTTGTTCGTCGCAGCTTCACCTAAAATCTTGCTCGATCCAACGAATTCTAGATGTTGAGAATGACTTTGGGTAAGCATTTCCGAGCAGATCATGTCCCGCGTTTCCATCAAATCGATGTTATACCGAGATTACTCATGTGGAGTGTTGACAGGTTAAAGACCCTGGCGTTCTAAGCCGAGTTATGGCCTTCGGTCGCGGGGAAATAGCGGTACACTCTCGCATCAAGCCGTGGAACAGGTACATAAGCTCTTGTTGGTTCCCTCAGATCTGGCCAAGCCTCCTAATATGTAGGTCTGGATCGACCGACCGATCGAAGTCAAGATGCTGCCACTTGCCGTCCTCAGCACTGCTGCGCTTGTCTACGCAGCGTCCAGCGGTCATGTGCCCAGAGAGGACTATGCAGGGCCAGCTGTTGACACTAAGAACGGAACATACGGGGGCGTCTATCTCCCAACATATGACCAAGATGTCTTTCTCGGCGTTCGCTACGCAAAGGTCCGAGGCAGTCTTCTTCGCCCTTTTCTGGCGCTAACATGTATACAGAAAGTTGTCCGCTTCACGCGATCTGAACCTCTCAACGAGACATGGGCAGGGGTTAAGCCCTTCACCCAGTACAGAGAACACTGCTGGGGCTACGGAATCGCCTGGACCGGCCCAAACGCGGACTGGTCAGGCTACCCAATGTCCGAAGACTGCCTTTTCTTGAACATCATCCGACCGGCCGGACTCACCAACACATCCGGTTTGCCTGTCGCGCTTTGGGTTCATGGAGGCGGCTTCGCGAAGGGCGGAGGCTCTGACAAGAGATATAACTACAGTTACTCCGTTCAAGAGTCCGTCGCCATGGGAAAACCTTACATCGGCATCACCATCAACTACAGATTGTCCGTATGGGGCTGGCTCATGGGGAAACAGGCCCTCGATGCCGGTGCTGTGAACCTGGGATATCACGATATGCGACACGCTCTTCGTTGGGTGAACGAGAACATCGCCGACTTTGGCGGTGATCCTGCGAAGGTGACCATCGTTGGCGAGAGCTGTGGCGCTGAGGCCTTATCTGCACAGATACTTGCTTACAACGGTTCGTGTTTCTGTCCTTCCTGAATTGACTCATTGAACTAATCAGACTAGGCCGCGACGATGGCCTCTTCCGAGCCGCTATTGGGCAATCTGGTTTTGGAGGCCGTATCCCTAGGTTTGACCCCGGTGGTTTCAACAGTACCGCCGACGACCAGCTGGAATTTGACCGCCTGGTAGCAAACACATCATGTGCTGAAACGGTAGGAACCCCCGACGCCATTCCCTGCCTCCAGAATGTGCCCTTCGAAGAGATCAACAACGCGGTCAACGTCTCCGGAATCGCACATTGGTCCCCCGTCATGGACGGCGACTTCATCCAGGACTACCCCACAAACCAATTCCGAGACGGAAGATTCGTCAAAGTGCCCGTTCTCATCGGCGCCAACACCGACGAGGGCGGCTACTTTCGCGGCCTCCGCGGGAACGCCAACGTTAGCATCCTCAACACAGACGACGACTTCAAGACCATGGTCAGGCCTATCTTTGCCGCAGATGTAGAAGAGACGAGTGGTAAAACGGCCAAGCAGCTGGTGGAAGAGCTCGCCGCAGTTTATCCGAATATCCAGAGCGTCGGCATTCCCAATCTCGTAGCATGGCCCGAAGTCATCGACAAAAACAACCCGGATGTCAAGTATTGGGGTCTCCAAAATCGCCGTGGCAATGCGTTTGGGGGTGACATCACGAATATTGCGTGGCGCCGACGATCGAACATGTACTGGTCCCAGCACGGGATACCGAACTGGAGCTATCGATTCGACGCGGTGCCTGACGGTATCCCACCTAACGTCTCAGCAGCACACTTTTTGGAGGTAAGATCCTACTAAACCTGAGAATCATGCTGTCTGACCAATGTTGTTAGATTGCTTATGTTTTTGATGACGTACCCGGTGAAGGCTACAGACTAAAGCCCCTGACATCGGAGAAAAACAGAGCTCTGGCGAAAACGGTGTCCGCGGCGTGGATCAACATGATCAGTGATCTTGATCCAATGCCGACTGGTGATAAGCATGCATGGCCGATTTACAATACCTCGGCTGGGGGAGGCGTGGGTCAGAATATGGTCTTCCATGTGAATGGTTCATACGTGGAGTATGACGACTTCAGGGCGGAAGCTCTACAGTGGTTCAATGATCACTTTCTGGACGTTTTCGGAACTTGAGGTAATACTCTGGATCCTGATTTGGAGTATCCAATTTAGTAGCTAGGGCTTTGCTTTTGATACATATTAAGACAAAAAGCCAACATCAGCCTCACCGAGACTCTTCCAATCCCTAGGAGAGAAGTACACAACAACTAAGATATAAACCACTGAACGCCTCTCCCAAAACTGCAAACTCAAATCAAGATCGAAACAGCAGTCAGCTCCGGCTGCAAGACCTTGTACTCAGTGCTTCCCTCCGTCTGATGATCCGAAATCCAGTCAAAGACCGGTTCAAGAGCTCTCAGGCGACTGTAGAAAGTCGCAGCGGCATCTTTGATGGCGCCACAGTCAAAGTTCTCGTTCTCAAAGTTGGTGCGACTCTTGTTGACGTTGTACAAGGACTTGGCGTAGTTGATCAAGTTGTACCGCGACTCAACCTTGTAGCTCAGCAGCTCTGGCAGTTGAGCGGCGAGCAGCCAATCTTTCCACTTCGGACCCTCGCTGCCGATGGGAAGAGCCTCAGTCAACTCCTTCTCCGTGATGGCTTGGAGTGTTGCCAGATCCGTCGGCAGAGGCGTGCAGAGCGCTGGTGGCTTGGCGGGGACGAAGCTGTAGTAGTAGTCCTGGAGATAGTTCACCGCGGTATGCTGCGGCGAAGCGGTGTGGATGCACATGGTGACAGCATCAACCAGTTGGTCAACGGTGTTGATTGTCGGGAAACTGGGGATTTGGCCGTTGCCTTGAATCTCTTTGCACCAATCGGAGATGTACGAATCTTTCTGCACATCGTCGTCGCACTTGTACTTGGTTGCGAGAACCGACTGTACGAAGTCGCGGATGACTTTCCACAGAAAGTACATGTTGGTAGCGTAAGGGTAGTTGCGGTACTTGTCTCCGGTGATCGCCTCAACGTCGAAACCACGCTTCTTGAGGTCGTTGGGGATGTACTTGTCTTGAAAGTTGAAGTTCTTGTACGACCACTTGATCAAACTCAGTGCGCGGCTCGTTTTCGGGTCGTTCGTCGGCCCAAATCCAGCAATCCGAGCAATGACACCCGGGACCAGGAGCTTGCGAGCAGCCTCGTTGAGTGGGAGAGTTCTGAACCAGTGTGGGCTCAAGATTTCGTAGAGCAGATGGTCTTCGGGGACAGTCCGGTTCGTTGCCACGATGATGGCCTCTTCAATCATGTGTGTGTCAACAAGATGCGTAGCGATCTCGTGCCTCGACCAGTCGGCGGTCTGGGCGCACGTCTTCGCGTATCTCCATGGCCAGTCATCCTTTTCATCGATGTCATCCTTGGCATCTGGGGTCAACCGTCGGTTGAAGATGGTGACAGAGTTTTCGAGCGTGCCCTTGAAGTCGATGGTGATGACGAGGGGGTGAAGCCGTCCATCGGAGTGCAGTTGGAAGAGAACGACTGGCGCGCAGGCATACCGAGAAACAGTCCCATCTGTCCCGTAAACGACACTTTCGAAAGTTTCGTCGGTGCTCACACCAGTCGCTTCACGGAAGTATGAGTAATCTTGAATAAGCAAGTCTTCGCCCTTCAGGAGCAGCTGCTTCATGTCGTCCAGCCCTTGCTTGCACGCTTCATTCACGTAAGCAGAAACCCATTCGGCAGAAGCAGTCGTGATGGTTGAAGGGTTTACACCGCTCAAGTGTTGCTGGGCGAACCTGAAGTCGGAATACCAGTCTGACTTGTGACCAAGATTTTCGCCATTCATGATGTCTGTTTGCGGCTTGGGGCTGCCGTGGTTGTACTTCTCGCAATCGGCGAGTGTTGGTCCCTCGAATGGCGTGCCCGCGAGCTCAATCTCCTTGGGAATGATGAAGGAGAAAGTTGTGGAGATGGTGGAAATGAATCCCGACTTCGCCATGTCGAATATGAGACCGACTCCCGGTTGCCCTTGCTGTAGTTCCAAGGGAATCGTGTCTAGATGCGGAGGGTAGCCATCTTCTGGATTACTCCATTTGTAGATTGCCTGCTTGTCTTTGAGGTCTCTATTGACAGGAATGATGGGCTCGAAGCCTCTTGCGTTGAAATGAGCCGCAGCACTAAAACTGAATTAGCAAACCTAGTTCAGGATATCGGAATCTTGGACCCCGGGACTATCTTACGATTCTTCAGCCATGCTATAGATCTCAGTCAATGCCAACCGGGTACCCTTGTACGTTCCCTTCTTGAGTCCAGAGTGGGCAGCAAGACTGCCGTCAATTACACCATTGCTACCAGTATGAAGCGCGAGACCCTGTTTCTGAAGTTCGTTGAGAAACACACCCTTGTCCCAGACGATCATCTGATCCTCTTCCACATCATAGTTGATGTTGGAGGCAAGAATGTCATTCAGCGACAAGGGGGGCGTGCGAGGGCCACCGTTGGGCAACGACTGAGTTGATGCAGACATAACGCGTTGGGGTTCTAATTTATTGGAGAAAATGGATCGATTGATCTTGGTAAAGAGAGAGCCTTCTTAAAGACCCCGTGATTGCTTTACATGTCATCGAAGACGACTACTCTCATGTTCTTATACTGCTGCCCACGCCGTGCCGCTCTTGCCAAGTTGCCAAGTTCCATCTCATTTTCTGAAAGCAGAATGAATCTGCAGCGTGACCCTCAGCCTCGCAAACGACTCAATTACATCGTTCGACTTGCCGAGGCATTCATCACACTCTCAGCCAGCCGTCTGCAAGCGCTGGCTGTATACGCGACCAATCGGACCGCCTTCATGACTTCAGTTCGACCTTGCCGACAACAATAGCTGAACTTTTAGGCTATGAGCTTTCAGCTGCTGGACGTATTTTTAGGCTATTGAAAGTGATTGGGCTATCGTAAGCATAGGCAATGGTAACCACCGCTGACATTGGCAGTGATGCCATTGGCGGGCCTTGCTCGGCCTGGGCCGCCCGATGGCTGACGTGAGACGCCGAGAACCAAGGCTCACAAACAAGACGCCCTGCCAGGCCTCAGCCCTATGTGACAATGTTTTACGATTGACAAGTCGCTTTAGGAATGTAGTTGACACAGGACTTGATAGATGGGTTGAAGTGATGCGGTCTTGAGACTTGGATGGCATAAAATCACAGCTGTCCCCGTGTCTTCGTAGTTCGAATAGAGCCACCAATTTCGAAACCAAATCCGCGTTTTCTTGATTACCTGAGAAGATATTACACTTGAAAATCAAGTTGAGCTTTGCTGTGTCGAAACAATGGCTGCCAACAATACGAATGGGACTGCAGGGTCTGACAACAAGCTTCCACAGAACTTGGTGGATGCAATGCAGGCGCTTTTTGGGAAACACCCCGGATATCGTACGAGTAAGTATATCTCCATTCAGTCTCACTGACTAAATATCTGACTGTTCTTTGCGTGATCAACAGCTCATGCCAAGGGCCTCCTGGTGGAGGGCATCTTCAAACCTACGGAGGATGCCAAAACACTCTCAACGGCCCCTCACTTCAACAACCCCTCAACCCCAGTCATCGCTCGCTTTTCCGTTGGCGGTGGTATTCCACACATAGCTGATGTAGACGACGGCGCGACCCCAAAGGGCGTGGCCATTCGTTTCCAGATCGACGATGACACATACACAGATATGGTCACACACTCGTTCAACGGTTTCGCAGTCAGGACTGGAGAGGAGTTCCTGACTTTCCTCAAGCTCTTCGGGGGATTCGGAGCTGCTGAGGCCGCTCTTGAAAAGGCAAAGGAGGCCGGGGCCGACACTGCCAACGAACAAGCAGTTTTCGACAAGGCCCAAGCTGCCTTCGGGGCCTTCCTCGCTGTTCATCCGTCGGCTTTTGAGTTTGTGAATGCTCCGAAGCCCAACCCCTTCAACTACGGCACCATCACATACTACCAACCGAATACCCACGTCTTGACCAACTGCGATGCCAAGACCACGAACGTCCGCTACCGGCTCATCCCAGCAGATGGAGAGCACCTATACCCTACTGCCACACCGGAGGACAAGGAGAACCTGAAGAAACTCGGAAACAGCTACTTGGAGGATGATCTGCAGCAACGGTTCCCTGGCAAGCCCATTGTCTTCACAATCCAGGCACATATTGCAGACCCGAGCGACATCCTGGACGACGCTACCGTACCATACAAGAGCACGACGTTCGTTCCGATTGGTACCCTTGAGATTAACAAGGTCTCAGACGACAATGTTGCCAGGCAGAAACATATCTCATTCAGCCCAACTCCGGAGAGGGGAGGTGTTACAGGCATCGCATCGTCCAAAGACCCCCTGATCCAAGCACGTAAGGGTGTGTATAGAATCAGTACGGATCAGCGCAGGAGCGAGGAACAGGTTGAATGATGATATGTAGCTGCCCCTTGCATTGTCTGGTTAGTGGGTGGTAATAGAGAGTTGAGATTGTCACTGTAAGCTCAAGCAATGAACAGTTTTTGCGTTTATTTTTGGGTTTTGGAAGTGATCCCACCGCTGTGTTACTCTAGGGACTTTTGGTGTCTATAATGTGTCTCATTCATGTCTTCTCCATGTCGTCATTGCTTCTCTCCATCACTGTCGTCTGTAGTCGTGGTTCATGTCGCCGTACTTGTCGCTGTCTTCGTAACTCGCTCTGCCAACCACGCAGAGAAAGGAGTAGTACCGTCGCAGCTCACTGACGGAACACAACATTCTCGATCTCTGCTCAAGGGGATTCGCGCCTTAGTCGAATCCGATGCGGCCCTTGGAGAGACCGAGCGCGAGCCAGCCAGCAACGAGGCAGCCACCGCCAACTGGCGTGACATGATTGAGGAACTTGAGTTCGGGCTTGATGACAAGGGCGTAGAGACTACCGCTGAACAGCATCATGCCGGTGGTGAAGAAGCCAGAAGCGATGGGGTTCTTGCGGGCGATGAGGAGGGCGACAGAATGGACAAGCTGTTGAGTGTCAATTGAGTGAACGATGCATCGGCATGATTTCATGATGAAGAAATTACCTGGTAATATGCGGCGGCGGACCAGGTTGCGATTTTCGCAGCATTCGTGATGCGAAGGTGCTTGAGGCCTTGGGCTCCGAAGGCTCCGAGCCCGACGGCGGCAGCGCCAGCGACGGCGCCGACTCTCCAGAAAACAACAGGGCTGGTGCGCTGGACGCGTGAATAACCGTATGATGGCTCTTCATAATCGTCTTCGGCCTCATCCCAGGCTGAGGGCAGGGTCGAGAGGGTCGAGAAGAATGAGGTTGTCGTCTCATTGCCATGGTTCATGATTGAGCGCGAGCTCGAGCCCCTCCTGCTGCTCTTCTTGCCACTGCGGGACGACGACTTCTCCTTGTGCTTCTTGTCCTCCCTCTTCTCTCTCTTCTCGTCCTTGGCCATGTTGGATGTGTGGGGTGGTGCGTGAGACGGCGATGATCGTTATTTTTTCTGATTCAGGTTGCTTTGACTCTCGGTGTAGACTCGACGGGGATGGATTGATTGATGAAGAAGGATGATTCACCGGATTCAAGATGACGCGACAGCCGATTGCCGACAGAGAGCGGTGAGCGATACCCCTGAATGTTTGCATGGGCCGGTCGTGATATCCCCACCGCCGCCCCATGATTTGCCCTTTCAAGCGAACGAATGTCGTAAACTGTTCGCAGAAAATCCTGGCCAGCCCTGGCGATGTGGCGCGCTTGGCAGCAGGGCAATCGGATGACTGGGAAATGGGAAACCACGTCGCGCTTTCTGCCAGTCGGGCGCCGCTGCATCAATGGAGCCGTCACATGATCATGAATCTCGTTGAGATTTCACCTCTGATTTTGAGCGGCTCATGAACTCTCAACTGGTATGAGTAAAGACACATATTATTCTCAACTCGATGTCTTGGCACTTTTGAGAAATTTTAGGTAAGAAATATTACAACAGGTTTCAGAATTTTCAATCGATAAGCTGTGATTGGTCTGTCCAACCCCCCTCATTTTTCACTAGGTAGCGCATGTCTTCTTAGTGAGAGACTCATTGAGATTTCATCCTTGATCACACATCTCAGGTACTTTGGTAGTAGGGACTCATCATGGGTCGCAAACATAAGTAAACATCAATTGAGATAATTCATTCGTCGTATGTAATTCATACTAAAAGCCATACGCCGACCTTTCGCCCAAGAATCAACTTCAGCGACCGATGAAAACCCCTGACTCCAGAAATGAGAGAAATTTCCATCCATTAGGAACAGCAGCCGAATGCAAGCAACAACCAATTCAAGTCAGAAAAGAACTCAAAACCTCTGACGAAGCACGCCCTACTCAAGCTTCTTCCTCAAAGTGCTCTTCTTGGTGGCAGTGCCAGCCAATTGGGAAAGACTTGAGTTGTTCGTGATATCAAACAACGAAACCTCAGCGCCAAGCTCCTTGATCAACCATGATCGAAGTTCGACAGCAGTGAGAGAGTCAATGCCGTATGCATGCAGAGGCTTGTTGTCGTCGAGGTTTGAAACTTCGATGCTCAGCATTCTGGCGACCTTCAGAAGCAAAGCGTCAAGAACAACTCGCTCCGCTTCTTCCCAGGAAGATGCCTCGGCCAGGAGCGCCTTGTGGTTGATTGTCTTGTTCGACTCAGCCGCCCCGTCCGTGTTCACATCCGCCTTGCCGAGTTCGATGTGGTTGAAGAGAGGATCCGATGCCCATGACGGCGTCTGGTAGCCTTCGGCAGCGGTCTCTTCAGGCAGCCAGAGTCTGGGGATGACCTGAGCCTTCGAAGCTTGTACCGGGCTGCTTGCTGGGCGGCAATGGTAGTCAAGCACCGCGCGGAGCTCAGCTTCGGTGATGTACGTCCAGCCAGCGGATCGGAGGTAGTCGAAGAGCTCCGGCTTTTCGGCGACGTAGCCGACGCCCTGCACTATAGGAAGGTCGATTGACACGGCGTTGACGCCTTGGGAAGCAAGATGGCGTGCAAAAGCATCTTGGAAGGTGCCGCCTGCGGCGTAGTTGGCCTGCTCGGGGCCACCAGTGATGCCGACAGTCGACGAGAGGAAGACGAAGAAATCCATCTTAGGTCCGAGAGCATTGTACAAGTTCCATGAGGCCTGGACCTTGGGAACTACTGCGGCCTTCCAGTGGTCAAGCGACATGCTTTCCAGAGGGTTGTCCTGAGAGGCAATTAGTACACAACATTGAGACAAGAATGGGGGAGCTTTGATCTTTCCACTCACCTTGAGAACCATGGAACCCTGAATGCATCCCTTGATGGGAGGCAGAGAAGTCGACAACTCAGTGACAACCTTTTGAAGGGCGGCAGAATCTGAGATGTCGCAAGCAGGTGTAGACACGTTGTCGCAAACCGACTCGAGTTCTTTGACGAGTTCCTTCGCAGAGTCCTCCACTGGACCGCGTCTAGAGAGCAGAATGAGGTTTCTGGCACCCTGCGACGCCATCCATCTCGCAACGGATCTTCCAAGTCCACCGAGACCACCAGCAATGACATAAGATGCGTTGGGGTCAAAGCGGCTGGTGGCTTTCCGGCTCGGCAAGACTGGAACCAGATCCTGGTCGTGAGGCTCGAGGACGATGGCATTTTGACTGTCCGTCTGAAGCTGGCGGAAGGCGTCGTGGACTTGGGAGAACGCATAAGTCATGGACGGCAATGCAGGCTTGATGGTGTCCCAGTTGGCAAAGATCAGCTCAGATACGTGCTGAAACACTGATCCTGTGCGAGCAGCGTCGCACGCAGTAAATGATGCAAGGTCGAAGAAATCGAGGCGAACGTTGCGGCCTCTGGGGAGGCGAGCGCTGGAGTAGCTATCCTGTCCGCCAATGTTGACAATGCGCCCGAAGGGCGCAACAATGTCCATTGTCTCGTTCAGGAAGTGCGTGTCGTTGACAGTGTTGACGAAAATGTCGATGCCGCGACCCTTGGTCATTGACTGAAGAGTCTTCTTGGTTGACATATCGGGGTTGACGAGGATACGGTCTTGGGACAAACCGCAAGTCGTCTGCAGAGTTTCGCTGTCCTTCACACTTCCAGCAGTTGCGAAGACCTCGGCTCCTTGCAGTTGAGCAAGTTGAATGAGGGCTCTTCCAAGAACGGCAGAGCCAGAGTGAACCAAGACAGTCTGTCCCTGGCGAATAGTGCCGAGTTCGTAAAGGGTTGCGTAAGCGGTGGAATAGGCCACAGGAATGGATGCGCCTTGAGCCCACGATATTGTGTCGGATAGCTTGGCGAGCAAGCAACCGGAAGATCGCACATGAGTCTTGACAGAACCGGAAACAGTAAGACCAAACACGCGATCGCCCACCTGGAAGCCAGATGCACTTCCGGCTCTGGTGACCACGCCGGAGGCTTCACGTCCCAAAGCAGAGTCTTCTGTCTTCCCGAGGGCCGTTGCCAAGTCGACTGAAGAGATCCCGCTGGCCATGGTCTTGAACTCAACCTCGTCGTCTCCCAACGGCGAATCGAATGCAGTATCATCTTCGAATCTCAGCGAGTCGAGCTGTCCGATGTTTCCGATTTGGAGACTCAAGGAACGAGAAGAGTCGTCTCCGAAGGGCTTCTCCACCGCTGCCAGCACTCCGGTCTGAGCTTGGATGTGGTCCGTGAGGTAGCTCGCCCGGACGAGGCGAGATACGTTGACAGCGTTACCGGAAACTCTGAAAGAGTTCTCGATTCCATTACAGGCTGTGTGTAGAGCCTTCGCAGACTTCTCGACAACGACCTCTTCTGAAGAATTCTGATCGAAGGAGAGAGTAAAGAATTTGGCATCTGGCCTTTCAGATCGGACAACACGCGCTAAGCCAGTCACAAGCTCTGCGTCAGGGTCTGAAGCGCCTCGAGTAACCCATGCGATGGTCTTGCACTCAGTGAGAATTCGTTTGAAGCCAGCAAATACTTCCTCGGACATGTCCTTCAACGTAGGATTGTCAAATTCGGACAGAACAACGCACGTCGTGTCGGTGAAGTCCCTGCCCGATGCCTCAGTGATGTTGACGATTTCGGACGATCCGAGACGACGTTTTAGTCCTTCAGCAATGTTGATTTGCGAAGAGTTTCCGCTCGTAAGAATGAAGTCTGGAGAAAATGTGCCAGTCGTCTCCTCTGAAGTGGGAACAGACGACACAAGGATCGAGCTCATCTGATGAGGCGAGCCGGAGAAGTCGTCAAAGACGGCGTCGAGGCCCCCGAATCCCGAGTTGATCAGATGGTTGTCCCACGAGGGAGCGGACATAAGAGGTCCCCAGACGCGGTCCTTGTCCTCCGAAAGCCACCAACCGGGAAGTACACCAAAGCAGAAACTGCCGAGAAGCACGGACGTGTTGGTGATCTCAAAGAGCAAAAGCTTGCCGCCAGGCTTGAGCAGCTTTCGGGTATTGCGGAGAGTGTGGTCGATGTTCTTCGTGGCATGCAGAACGTTGGCGGCAACAATGAGATCGTACTTGCCAGCCGCGAAGTCCTGCTCCGAAGGGTCGTTCTCGACGTTCAAGACACGGAAACTCATCCGGGTAAGCTCATCCTTGAAGGTCTCCTTGGCTTGCTCAAAGAAGGAGGGGGAGATGTCGGTGAAGCAGTAAGACTTGTAGCGGCGGCCTTGCTCTGTGAGAGTGGCCATGACCGGACGAGTGGCACCACCTGTGCCTCCGCCAATCTCAAGGATCTCCATGGCGGGGTTCTTGTGAGCCAGGGCATCAACATAGTTGCAGAGCTGCGCGTAGCATCTCTTGGAGCCGAGACCATCACGGTAGACATCCTCCGCGAGCTTGTCCTTGAAAATGACATCGAGGGGATCTCGGCGCCCGTCAAGGATCTCCGACAGAGCATGACCGACGGCGATGATCAGCTTGCCCTCAGATGCTCCGCCAGCGATGACCTTCTCTTCCAGCTCCTCAATGCTCTGAACTGGTTGATCCGAGTGCTGGCTGACGACGTGCTGGAACCACTTGAAGTATCGCTTGTGGTGCCAGGCCAACTTTTCGATGCCATCCTGAGAAACAGAGTCCACGCAACGACGAATGTACGCAAGACACAGGGCTTCGCAATCCTGCATCCAGCGCGAGGGGTCATCTTCTTTGGTCATGGCCAACCCGAAGACGTCCTTGGCCTCTTGCTTGGAAAGGAAAGAAGGATCGGGCTTCCATTCCAGGTTGAAAGCCGGGTGCAGCGACGCACTTGAGGGCTCTTGAGCCGTCTCGCCACTGATTGACTTGAAAACAAGGCCTGACATCTGTACCATCAACTGACCTTCACCAAGATGTGCGGCGGTAGCTTCAGCAATGATCTCGTTGCGGCCTTGAATCCGAGACTCGGCAAAAATCTTGTAAGAGTCGTGGGGGATGTCAGAACGAGCCGAGATCCAGCCATCAGTGAGGTACGTCGGGACTCTGGTAGCCTTGGAGTACTTGGTGCTGGAGACCAACGGGGCTAGGTTGGCGTGGACGATAGCGTCCAGTGTGGCCGGATGGACAAGATGAGGCTGAACGTATTGCTTTGGCATGACTTTCTGGATTTTGTCGCTAGGGTTGTCGATTGTGGCGATGATGTCCAGATTCTGCCCAGTCCTCACGTCGCTGAGTGTTTGGAAAGTCGGACCGAAGTCCAGGCCTGACTCCTTGAAATCGCGGTAAAGCTTGTCAACCGACACACCTGTGGCACTCTTCAGGCCCTCGAAGTTCACCACGGCATCAGTGAAACCTTCGGTCTCATACTCGGTCTGCACGAAGCCGTGGCAATGCTCTCTCCAGTCACCTTCTTGGAGGGTCCAGAGCTGGAATTCTTGCCACTTCGAGGCAGTCGAAAGGCTCGACTCTCGGTGCGATCTCAGGAAGAACTGCGACTCAACGCCGTGAGCATCGTCTGGCACCCGCAACGCCAACTTGAAAGAAACATCCTTGAATCTGAACCCCTTCAAGACTTTGTTCTTATCGGCGACTTGCCTGCTAGCTTCAACGGCCATGACAAGCATACCAGCAGCCGGGTACAGGATGTCCCCGGAAACCTTATGGTCTTCAATCCACGGGTTCTCAGTGAGACGGATGTAGTTACGCCAAGCCGCGTTGGTCTCGTTCAGGCCCGGTACTGGCGCTCCCAGAAGCTCGTGGCGGCCAAATGACCTCAGCCGGAAGTCGTTGCTCAGCGTGCTCTCAACCCAGTACTCTTTGGAGTGGTCGAACGGGTAGGAAGGTAGGTTTGTAAGCATGAGTGGCTTGGGTCCGTACGGTTCGTCTGCGTCGTTGACCTGTGCAAGGTCGACCTTGTACCCCTGGCAGAAGAGAGATCCGACAGCTTCCAGGGTGGTCTCGACCGCGGACTTCTGGCGTCTGAGGACAGAATGATAGTCAACCGAAGGACTGCCCTTGATTTGCTTTGTGGTACTGATCAACGGTCCCTTCAAGGCACTGTGAGGGCCAATTTCCAAGAAGTCGGTGATGGGCTCAAGGGAAGGCTTGTTGTCGGCGTGTCCGTTAGTGCCGTTGACACCGTTGACACCGTTGACACCGTTGACGCCATTCGCATGACCATTAACGTAGCCGTTAACCTTGGGTTCCGTGGAGCCCTTGAGCATCTCCGACACGGACTCGGTAAACCTGACCGGCGAAACCAAGTTCCTGACCCAGTATTCAGGCTGCCTCAGCTGTGAGGGCGAAATTGCAGTACCGATGGTAGAGGAGTAAAACTGAGGCTCAAAAGCAGCCCTCAGAGTGCCTTTCTCAAGCTCGCCCATTGCTTGGAGATACTCGTCGGCCATAGGCTTCATGTACTCCGAGTGGTAGGCAATCTCAACGTTGAGCTTCCTGGCGAAAACCTTCTCAGCACCAAGCATCTCAACAAGAGCGTCGATCTTATCAGCGTCGCCGCTGACGGTGTGACTGTCTGCACTATTCATGCAGGCAATCTGAAGAGTGCCCTCGCCGCCCAGCCGGTTGACGCGATCGATGGCAGCCTCGCTGTCGGCAGTGCCCAGACCGACGGCGGCCATTCCAGTCCTAGGCCTCGACTCCGCCCGAGCCAACTTTGCGCTGAGTCGTCCACGGTGGTAGGCGACTTTCCACGCCGCTTCTCGGGAGATGGCGCCGGCAGCGTAGGCAGCAGCAACCTCACCTGAGGAATGACCGGTGATGGCATGAGGATAGATGTTCCAGGTGGAAAGAAGATCCACCATGGCAACTTGCAGAGCTGTGCAGATTGGCTGACAGAATTCAGGATCATCAATACGAGATGACGTCTTGGGCTTGGAAAGCTCAACTAGCAACTGATTAGTCGAATTCTCATGTCGGCAAAGATGATGGAATAACTCACAAGTCAGAGACCAATTGCAACCGATATCATTGAGATACCTGTCAGCTGCCAGGAGACTCTCTTGGAACGCCCGATACACCATCAGGTCCATGCCCATGGCAGCCCACTGCGCCCCTTGACCGGTGAAAACGAACGCCAATCGGGGTTGGGTCTTTGCCCTCGTTGGCTTTGAAACATCTTCAAGGGATCTCTGAAGCTGCTTCGGCGAGCTGGCGATATGGAACGATCTCCAAGAATGTCTTGTTCGACGGGAGGCAAGGGTGTAGCCCAGGTCTCTCAAGTATTGAAGGTCCAAATCCTCGACATTCTTGGATGCGAGATGCTCCTTGTATGAGGACTTGATACGTGCAACGGCATCTGGGTCGTTCGCTGATAGCACGAACAGTCTCGGGGGGATCTCGTTCGACTCGGTCTCAAAGTCGATGAAGTTGACACCGCTGTCTCTTGGACGGTGGGATCGGTGTCTGCGGCCTGCTTGCCGAAACGTTAGTGATGTTCGGAGTCTAGAGACGGGAATCGAGCAATCTTACCGGTGCCATTCACTCCATTAGCCCCGTTGACAGTAACGACCCTGAACTGGCTTGGGATCGTCGGTGTGGCTTCAGTGCGGTGGTTGCCAACAAGGCGGTGTCGCTTCAAGAAATGGAGCGCGTCATCCATGACGATATGAGCGTTACTACCTCCAACGCCGAAGGAGTTGATCGACATTCGACGCAGCCCACGCTGAGGCCATAATGTCGGCTCGGTCGGAAACTTCAAGTTCCACGAGTCCAAGATCTTGGGATTCCGCTTCTCATGCCAGATGTTACCGGGAATAATGCCGCTTTCCAGCGTCAAGATACCCTTGATAACAGCGGCAACTCCAGCCGCGCCCTCCAAGTGTCCAACATTGCTTTTCAGGGCGCCGACATAGAGCGGGTCGTCCGGTGATCGATGAGGAGCGAAGATCTCGGCCAGTGCGCTCGCTTCGATGGGGTCTCCCACCGGCGTACCCGTGCCGTGGGCCTCAGCAAAGCGTGTAAGTGATGGGTCCAGCCCAGCCCTGGAATAAACGTGTTTGATGAGGGCAACCTGGCCGGCCTTTGTCGGTTGCGTGATGCCGGGCGATCTCCCGTCCTGGTTCGTTGATGAGTTCCGGATGACGGCACGGATCACGTCCCCGTCCCGAATAGCATCGGATACCCGCTTTAAAACCAGGGCTCCGAACCCTTCACCGCGTGCGTATCCGTTCGCGCGGTGGTCAAAGCTGTATGACTTGCCGTCCGGACCCAGAACACCCGCCGCGTCGAGTTTTAGTGTCATCTCGGGGGTCAGGATGAGGTTGCATCCGCCGACGACGGCCTAGGAACGACGATCTGTCAGAACTTTGAATCCCAAACTCCTCTTTCTCCCCACAGATTAAGGTAGGCTCACCATGGATACTTCACGGAGCTTCAAGCTCATACATGCTTCGTGGACAGCTACCAGGCTGCTGGAACAAGCGGTATCAACCGTTACGCTGGGGCCTCTGAAGTCGAAGAACCACGAGACTCTGTTGCTGAGCATACTCGCCACTGTTCCCAGCGCGGAGTACTTATTCGGGATGTCCAAATCTTTTGCAATGTGATCATTGTAGTCTGCCGTGAAGCAACCGACGTAAACGCCAGTTTGTGATCCGGCAACTGTGTCGAGGGGAACTCCGGCTGTTCGACCAAAGAAGTCAGCTTCATTCCCTTCCAAATCACAGCAGAACCCTCTCACCGTTTTCGAGTGCCTTGTAGACACATTCTAGCATTCCTCTTTGTTGAGGGTCAATGCTTCTGGCTTCTGTGGGTGTGATCGAGAAAAATGGCGCATCGAATGCCTTGATGCTGTCCTTGAGAAAGTGGCCATGTCGAACCCGTGTCTGTATTCGAAGTCTCAGTCAGCCTGCTACCTAAAGCTGTAAAATAGGCGCCTAAAATCATCACGTACCGCGCCACTTCTCTCGGCGTCGGGGTGCCAAAAAGCGTTTGCGTTGTATCGTTCTCGCGGAACTTCCGTACGGGCAGATCTTCCGGCGAGTAAGGATTCGAAGAACTTCTCAGGGGTGTCGCCATCACCGGGGAGCCTTGCACTCAGGCCTACGATGGCAATTGGGTCTCCCATGATGTAAGACTGTCGTATCTAGTGTAGGATCAAGAGCTCACTTGGGTCCGAGCGGTGAGTTACGGTGAGTTGCGGTGAGGATAGGATGGATGGATGAGATGGATGTGCCGGGGAAAAAAGTCAAGAACGAAGCGTCCAGGAAAAACCTGGATCAAGGCTCCACGGGATGGCAGCACTTTTAGATAGAGTCCACCAGCTTCTCATCTTTCTGCTTTCTCGTGAACAATCTGGCTTCATAGGAATACTTGAAGCCGAGTTCGACAAGCCAGAACGCAGCTCTTCAACCCTGGTCGGACGCAGATGCATGCTGCTGCAATCCATCACGGCCATTGGCACCGGCTCTGCATTGATCATCCACTGATACTGCTCAGTTGGCCTCAGTCGATGTACAATCTGCAGCTCTTTGCAAAGGTATCTGTCGCCATGTAGTCCATTGTTGCCGGGCCTTTGTAGAATGGGGTTTGTGGCCCTCTTGCAGTTGCATCCAAATTGGAACGTGTCCCAGTTGACTGCAGCTTGCGCAATGAGTGGCTGGACTCTCGATGTAAGTCAGTCTTGCGTGTCAGTCAACCCAATGAGCCGATGACGACGCACGCCTCACAATCAACCATCAGACCATTTGAGGGTGAGGACCCTTGCATATTCCCTGTTCCTCCACTAGGACGAAAACAGGGCGAACGCCGACGCAAGGAACCAACAGACCAGTGAGAACTCAATCAGATATTCGACTGCCGGCCGGCATATACAGTGCGGTATAACCACAGAGCCGGGTAGGATCTAGACCCTGGTCTATCTTCAGCAAGCTTACATGCACAATAGCATTGATGGCAAGAACAACGGCAACAATGCACCAGCAATGCAGCTACAACTCTGCACACGAAGGATTGATACATACAGTGCAGAGAGAATATTGGCCCGCGGAACGTTAGTGTCGGGTAGTTGAAAGAGGGAAGCATCGTCCGCTTCATCCTGAGAAGACCCGCAAGATCCTACCGCTCTAACTCTTTTCAGGCGAAGGAGCGATGAAGCTAAAATCGAAGGAGGGCGAGTAGTCTATGAGATCCTCGTTGGAAATCATTACGCAAGCAGAAATTCTCTTGTTCTTTTCTCCTTCTGTTGTGCTACCTGACACATGAGGTGGGGGGCAGAGAGATCGACTCAATTCGTTTTCGTTCAGCTGCAGTTCTTCAACACCACGTGAAGACTGTTTCATGAGAGGGTGTGAGTTGTTTTCTTGGCATCTTGCCCCTTTTGATAGAAACGGGATCGAATTCCGGAACCCGAAGACGATCCAAGAGATATCAACTGGGGTGCGAAAGCCAATCAATATTCGGCAACACGGCAGTTTTATGCTAATGGCCATAATGGCTGGGCGATAGGGGGCCATATCATTGCTCCATACGGTATGTAAGTTCATGACTAGCCGTCTGCTCCTGTGCTCCTTTCAGGTGCCGGTCGTTACGTTCAATTCGGACCGGCATCCGGTAGACCCGCGATAAGGCGGTTATGACAAAAGTTCCGGCGAGTTTTCTTCCCACACAACCATAAAAACTGTCCTTTCTTTCGCGTGCCGTGTTCGCTGTGACAATTGCCAGGAGGTTGGAAGAGTCTCGGCCATATGAGTTCATATGAGTTATGACAACGTCAGGTGCTTGTCCTGGCAAAGCACCGAACGAGCCCGCATATATGTCGTAAATCCCCACCACCGAGGCTTGTCATTAAACAAGGTAGCGATTCCAATGGCACTGAGCTGGAACAAGAAAACATGAATCGGCAGGGATATGATTGCGGCAGTGCGAACGGTGGCACCCTGAAAAAATAAACTACGTGCCCTAGCCCCTTTCCCCAACGATGAAAAAACAGGACGAACCCATTCAGTTCATGGGACGACCTTGTTTGCTAACTTTCCATTCTTCCCTTGCGTCTGCTGCGGCTATCGTGCTTGTTGTTTGCCAGCCTGCTTGCAACGTTGGTGCATCACATCGCATCGGCCGTAGACCGGGCGACTTTTCATCCCCATACCCCCTCCATTCCTCCTCTTCTTCCCCTCTATTTTCCCCTCCTTTGTTCACGGTCTTTCGGAGCGGCCCGCAAGTTGATGGACAAGCACAGCCAACGCGTGGGACGGCCGCGTCCTACAACGGCTGCGAACAGCTTTGTCTCGGCCGCATCCACCTCGACGCTCACCGCTACTTGTTCGTCCATGTCTTCCGAACACCCCAGGAACTTCTCGACCGACAGCGTCCGGCCGCATACGCCGCCGTCCACGAGGCCCTCTCTATCCGTGCAGTCGAAACAAGACGTGCGTATTATCGTTTCTTATTTTTATTTTGCTTTTGTTTGTCTACACTCGCCAAACAATATATTTCCCTGTCCATTGAGGTAATTGAACATCCATTGAGGCTCTAAACCAAACAGGATCATCCCGAGGATCATCCCAGTCCGACTTCTGATGAAGTCAGCCGGGCGGTATGGGCCGGAGCATCCGACTCCGATTTGGACGACTCTACGGACGATTCGACGCCGCTCCCGGGTTCGCGCGCCCCGTCCCGGTAAGCTTTCCATCCGATATCATTACACTGTCCCGGCTGCTTTTAAAGTTCGTCATATTTCACATTTGATTAACAACCTTGCCAACTCAACAGTACCGCTACGACTAAAACGAGAGACAAGAAGTCGATCTTCTCTTCGATCTTTAGCAAGTTCGCCAAAACCGGCAAGCGGTTTGGCTTCGTGCCAAACACCAAGGTTCGTGAACCATTGTTTGCCTTCTACCAGGTTCCCACACGCTGATCCGAGATTCCGTGTCTAGGAGGAACAAGACAGAAATGGTTAGAAACACTCTCACGCCCC